AATTGGCTGGCGGCCGCCTGGCTTGCGGATGCACGAACGACGGGTGGACGGCCGAAGGTAACGTAGGTTGGTTCTCGAAGATAGTTCGTTCTCATATGTTTTGCTATCGGTGTCGGGTCATAAGTTAAAGAATTACGTTACAATATATATACACAATGTACCTTGATTTATCATAAATCTTATATCCTCGTGTAATACCGACTTTCTTCCATTCGTAACAACCCCTCACTTGTTAAAAGGCACAATGAATTTCGTTGGCTTCAAAATATCCGATGTAAACAGCAGGGCTCCTATATATCATCCACAGGAACAAACGCCTACGCTTGGGTAAACTTGACCATCCGAGTGAAGCCATCCACGTGTATCTGTCAAGTGAAAGATTAACTTGTTAAACATGAATTTCCTGATCGATAACGTACGAGGCACATAACCCGTGTACTACGCGAGTAAAGCCTAAAATCGCAATAAAATTCTTGGTAATACTGAAGTCCCGGGGTGGTCGAGATTTTATTGAAAAATACAAAATACCGACACTAAATCGCGTGTACTGTAACGTATGAAGGGGAGGATATAAACTCGTCACAGGAAACACTCTTTGCGCCATTCTGGAAGCAATTACGTTTCACAACGTCGACTCCTTGGCAGCTTCGACAATTTCCAAGCCGTCCCGATGCCCGAGCACTCGACAATGTTGTTGACACGAAGAACCAGAAAATACCAATAAAGGGGGGTGTTAGTGAGAAAAATATTGAAAAAGATGAAATAAGAGGAAAGGGATTTACGAAGATTTTTGGCAATCAATAAAAGCTAGATAAATTAGCCGACCCTCGTTATCCGATGGTACAGCCATAAAATCGGTACCGGCGTAACGTCAACGTCAACGGCAATAAATTCAGGGCCGTACTAATGATCCTCATCGGAAGGTAGTAGCGGCCAAGCACCCACGGAGAAAAGAGGGATGTTCGTAAAAATGTCCGGGGGTAGGTAAATTCGCAAAATAGCCATAAATTAAGAAACAAAGCAAAATTCGCTAGCAAACACAATGGCGCTGGATTTTTATAAGGGTAGTGATGATTCTGACAAGGAGGGGGCGCAGTGCCAAAAAGAGGGAGGGTACGCGAGTTAATCTTCCTTATTCCTAATTAGCTCACGTGTATTTCACGTGTTGACTACATTAAAGTAACTGCCGGTACTTTGCTCTCGAGGAGATGGATAATCAAGGGGATGCTAGAGAGGGGTGACCGGGGGGAGGATTAGGTAAAAGGAGTGGAAAATATTTCGGACATTATGAATTTCCCGAGAAAATATTTTCCAACCAATCCCCTTCCCTCGCCTCCTTGTCCGCTTTAAGCCAAGCAACCTAACCCGACCTAACCTCAATTCTATTCCGACCGATAACCCGGACGAAGCTTCTCACGAGAACGTCGCGTTTACTTGGCGAAATAAAAGCTCATTATCAAGACGCAGGTGCCGGGTCTGTTTTATAACGTTGAAACTTTAGTAGCGTCAAGTTTAAAGGTGACGTTTATACTACTGCGAACGACTGACTTGAGGGACAAATTATATCCGCCCACGTTTCCGGCAGCGGCTTATTTCATTGTCGGACCGAGAATTGCCGTGAGAATAATTGATGGTACCGGTGAGACACGTAATTTTGTTAAAAATTGCAAATTTTTTTTTTTTTTTTTTTTTTTTTTTTTTTTTTTTTTTTTTTTTTTTTTTTTTTTTTTTTTTTTTTTTTTTTTTCATAAAAATGTAAAAATGTTAGTTCAAAAAGTCAATGGCTTACAACGTAGCGAAATAATTGCCGAGGGTGATTGTTGCTGGTCGTAAATGGCGTGGCTCCCTTGTCGCGTTTGATTTGACGCTAAGGCGGTTTATGAGTGTAGCGACAGGCCGTAAAGACAGCGCCCTGGAAAGAGTGACGAGGGGGAAAGACTGGGGATGCAGAAAGGGAGCGAAGGGCAGAATAAAAGAGGAAAAATATACTCGTACCAGAGTCAAGAGCGTAGTTATAGAGTTTATCGTTTCGACTTCTGCCATCATTTTCTCGAACTCAGAGTTCACGACGAAAAATTCTACCTTTCGCCCTTCCCGTTCAAGATCTTAGTACGCCCCTGGATGTACCGCAAAACGCCACAGGGTCAGATTGAAGTGGTTCTGCAGAAATAACCCTCGCGAAAAACGGCAGCAGACTGTCCCTGTCTCTTTCGGATCTGTGTACGATAAGAGGCACATAGAGATAATAAAAAGAGAAAAGAAAAGTTTCGACTCGATTATCGCATACTGTCAAAGAGAGGAAGAAAGAAAAAAAAATAATGGAGTCCAGTTCAAAGGTAATTGGCGAATTATCTACGGCTAGGCCGAAGTACAGGTTTTGGTAGATTTTTTTTATTCGTATAGAAAAGAGCGAAAAAAATTTTTTTTATATCAACCGATAGTCCTTATTCGTTACGTCACTGCGTCAGGACGTAAATCCCTCGGGAATACCTTCTGGTACGGGGGGTAGAGGGCGGCCGGGTGGGTTGGATCTTTCCTTCTCCGCAATTTGACTATTCGAAGAAACGTGACCCGTGCCCAACGGCGAATCCCAAATCGGTCCGATTCGCGATGAGAAACATTTTCTTTATAGGGGTAGAAACAGGAATAGAGGAAACCTGAGATTGGTCGTACGGTGCGGGCGCAAGAGGTTCGCCGGGAAGGTACTACCGTGGGTGGTTAGGTTAGGTTAGGTTACGGTTACCTTCGGATCCCATCCTGCAGGAGGCGGAGCAGGGCGAGTCACTGAGTGAGAAGATAGAGCTGGTGGTTTGATGCTGCTGGGGCTGAAGGTGGTAGTTTGGTAGGGGGATGGTTCGCCCTCAAAAGATACTGGCAAATAGAGCAGCAGCTGCCCAAGAAAACAAAAAATCATCTACTGCGTCTTGAGCATATAATATGTATATAGATATTTGAACACGTGACCATATAGATATATGTACCTTGCCATGACTTACAGAACCCACTACCCATCGTCCACCTACATATCCGTGTAAATACGACGTGTATATATATTGACGTTTGTATGGAACAGTAGGAAACTTTTCGTGAGACCAATTAGAGCGCGGGAATTTCGAATTTTCAATTCCTTAAGAAAACTGTACGATCGGCATGTGGTAATGTCGCATTTTTAATGCTGTACGAGCGTGGAGAGGACGAAGAAGTAAATGAAGAGAGCGGTACCAACGAGTTGGATAAAGAAAAAAAAAGAATGAAAATTAAAAGAAAACACTACTACCAACTAGTATGCTTGCTCACCTTTCCTATCGTATAACCTGTCTAATCCCAACGCGATGCTAAGGATTCTCGCGAGGCGGATAATCCGCTTGTTAATTAAGCTGCGTGTAGGTCGAGTTTATTATGAGTTATTGGACACTTCCGGTTTATTGAGACCCGCGAAATTATACGGTCCTTCTCAGTGTTATTACGCGCTGGGTAAACGGAGGCTACGTGGCCTTGTCAGTTGATTATACGGGATAAGAGTCAAACTCATGGCATACTTTACCACTTCCATATGTGCTACTAGTCGTACTATAATACTTGATAGTATAATGATACCTCTGGTATATATATATATAATATCATATACAATACTAATACTACAGTACGTTACAGTTAAAATACTACAGCACGAATATGAAACATATTATAACAATAAAATAATATGCTATTGGCGAACTGTCAAACTAGTAAATTCACTGTCTTACGTAACTTTTTATTAATTATAAGAATTAATAAGTAATCAGCGTATAGGTATGGACTCTTGAAAATTAACGACGTGGATATTTAATTTTGGCGTCCATTCAAGATCATGTCCTTTGTGCCAAAAAGCTCGATTTTCGACTTAAGACGAAATCTGTGTTATTTATAATAAACTTCAATCGTTTTACGTTCCTATTATTACACTCGTACCCGTATCCGTTGGCGATAGGAGAAAATGAAGGTTTTCTTGAATCACCGTGCGCAGCATGTCCAAAATTCTCGTAATAGGGCGTTAATTAAATATCATTTGCCGAGCGTACACTCGTTCGCCTATCGATTCGTCCTAAATTCGTGAAACCCTATGTGGGAAAAGCATATTAGTATATGCGTATGTAAAACTATTTTCCAGGCACTTTGACACTGTAAATAAAGGCCGAAGCACACCTACACACATTAACGTTGTCCAGTATGTAACAAATTGCGCGAGCTTCGTTGTCCCGTATATTCATGACGTCAGTTTTGAAAATTAGTCGTTTTCTTTTATGTAGGCCGATATGCCCCGTGATGTATATATATATGTAGAGTGCTGGTAATTACCTGGGAAACTCGTAAAAAGAGGAAAATTCAATCTGTCCTTAATCTACGCTCTCTGGGTGTACTTGTTTTCATTAATTTTTTCTTCCCTTTCGTATCTGCGGAAAATAGTGGTATAAGCGATACTTTGGTCTCTTAATTAGTAATTAACATTGACGTTTTATCTGACTTTGTGAAAACTCTCGGTGGAAATTGAATTCGATCGTCTCTTATCAATGCGATATGAGAGATGAAATACTAAACCAAATTGGCATGCAATGGAGTACAAATTTCAATCGTTACCAATCGTCGGATAAGTAACCAATGGAAATGGATTCCACATACGAGCCGTTCCGATGTGACCCGTAACGTAGCAGCCAGCGGTGTAATATGCTTTAATTTCCTGTCAATAATTACAAACGTGCGCCGATGTAGCCAGGCAACACTCACTGCCAGTAATTAAATGCGCAACGGACATTAGAACTTCAAATCACGTAGTCAGGTTCGCCAATCGTCTTCCATGTTGTTTAATAATTACTTCAGGTCTAATAAGAATCCAGTAAGCATAACGATTGGTAGGTATATATGCATAGTATATGTAAATTTAAATTATAATTAATGTACGTATGCTAACAAGTATATAATATACCTTTATGTATTTATATCAGCTGCCGTAATTCCGTTTTCACCAATTATCGATATAAAATCTCGATTCGATAGGTCCCAGTCAAATCTGTTTTTACTTGAAACTCGTTCCCCGTGAGTTTTGACTTTTCGGATACCTCGTTAAAGTTCAACTCGACATTACTTCATTTAACACTGGCATCGCTTCACTTCAAGCGTTACCACGGTTCACCGTGGTAGAGCTTTACAAAGCCTTGTTGTTGTAAAAAGTTCTCTACTTGAAACGTCAATGATTTTCATTCATAACCTGAAACATTATAATTTTATATAATTTTTATTCGAGCAACTCGAGAAACTTCAGACTTGCCATTTCTAAGTTAATATAAGATTTTTCAGATAACCGTGAACAGTAAAGTCGCTACTGAAGGATTTTTATCTTTTCGAAGTTACAAGACATAAAGTTTATCAATGATAAGAAATCAGATGCTATAAAAGAGAGTTATAGGTATGTACGATGATGTTGGTGCTATTTGCAGGGTCGAATCGTAGCCTTTATAAAGTAAAATAAGAAAAGCTTTGTCTCACGGCAAGACGTGTAAGAGACGGAAGGATTTGTGGGTGAAATATGACGTGTTATCTTGGTTGGCTAGAAGAGGTGGCCCCGGGTCCTCTTCAAGAGGCTCTTCCCATCATAATACGGAAGTCGGGACAGAGAGACCGTTGCTACCAGATAGAAAATGTCATCATCCACGTCGTTTGGAAATTCTCAGGAAAAATCGGGCACTCGATCCACTTTACTATTACTTTTTTCTTTCCTCTCTCGTCTTTTACCATTTCTCTCTATACGTGCCAATTGTTCGATAACGTTTCCTGACGTTTATATATAAACTTAAAGAGAACCGGAAGTAGGTAGCACATTTACATGAACCGATCCACATATCGAATATTCATTTATTATTCCAACGAATTTACTAGACGATATTTCTCTACTCTACTTCCGTTTTTACATAAAGACAATCACAAGGCACCGTTATCCGTTCCCACCGCAACTAGATTTTTATTCTGACTTTCTAGGTAAACGATAAAACGTTAAACTTATCTGCATGTTATCCCATGCAATTTTCTTAGCAAGTACTTATGGTCTGAATCATCCAGGATTTTACTGTACCAAGTGTATATATATAGGTAAAAATTTATGTAGCTTCAGGTAATCCTGATGATCATCCTGTATAATTAAACGTACGATGGGCACGTAATTGCCTTTAGTAATACATATTGGTGAAATTTCAAATTAATGGCAAGCCCTTATTCAAATATGGATACAATACAAGAATATCCTTCGAAGCGTTTCCTTATCAAATTCCGCTGGTAATTTCCCTTCTTTTATTATGTCCGGTCTTTAATCCTTACAGTGGTTAAATTGTATACAATGAATACGTATAGGGTTCTGGTTCTCCATCAGTTTTATCCATAGGTAGTAACGTTCTGTTATCATGTAACAAATTAACCAGATGATTAATGAAAGGCACAAAAGTATTTTACGGGCATTAAGGTCATGCCCTAACGAGAATCAAAATTTATACGACATGCGATATTTTTTTAATGAATTCTGAAAAACAAAATTTCTTTCAAAGTTATTCGCGTTCACAGTTATAAATACGTGATGACACCATCAGGAATTTTTGCTATGTAATATATATACATACGTGTTTCACAGCTTCGTCATTTTCGTCCAACGATTATTTTTCAGGGTCAAAGGTGAACTGGGTATTTCGTTAGGAATTAATTTTGCCCGAAAATATCGAGGTAATTGCTTTGATTAATTATACCCCGAGAGTCATTATTCCTTGACAGTATCCAAAAGGAGCTTTCGCCGAATCAGGAGTAACCTATGATCCACGATATATTCGGTATAGTATATCCAGTGGGAATTTGACCTTTTATCAAATCTGAAACAGAAAGGTTATCAAAGCGTTGATAAATTTGATGGCAGTCTCGCGTCTATGGGGTTGGACCCTTTGAATATGTGGAGGACACGAGGGTCCTGGACGATAAATCCTTAAGCAAATTGAAGTAAGAACGCGTTGGTGCGAGAGGGAGAGAGAGAGAGAGCGAGGGAGACAGAGGGTGGGAAAATAAAGAATAGGGTGCGTGGAACGACGGGAGATAAGGAGAGGCCAAGTAAGGGGATGATGGTTCTAACGGTTGACTGGAACGAGTTGGAAGGGATGCTGCGAGAGGGGGATAATCGTAGAAGGGATGAAAACTGGCGAAAGTCCCATGGGCAATATATTACCGTGATACTCCCTACAGATGATCAGATCGCATCGGGAATAGAAATTGCATCACGCACCTGAACCAACCCCATGAACTAACCTTGTTCCCCATAAAAGTAGCTCATAACATAAAGAAAACATCCATCTTTTCTTTTCTCTACCCCTGGATTAACCACGGTACAAAAATATCTAATTGTAAAACGGATAGAGAGCAACCACTTTAAAAAAAGTGTCATCTATACAAAAAAAAATTTATTTTACCCCTATTTCTTCGTTCAAGTACTTCTTAATCACCCTTGACCTTATTTTAGGAGCTAAGTGTGTCTGCTGGGTTTAAAAGTTTTATTGTAGTCTTATGTTTCTTACCTGATTTTTTTATCGAGTTTTCTAATTATCAGTAAATTTGCGAATCAGTGTCAACTAGTATCATGGACGTGGTATCGACTCCAATATGGAGTAGCTATCATGTTCAACTGATGTCGCCTTGGAACTAGTAGTTTGAATTTATTTATATGGCGAGTCTAGAAAATAAAAAAATAATTCAATAGATCGATAGTTTTTTATTAGTCGTATCTTTTGTCACTATCGTATACAACACTTGGATACTTGCAGTACGGGTCTGATGCTATGAGGTCTTTATGTTTACTTTGATAACTTAATCACTAAGATGGCTGATTACATCGGCGAATTCCTCGCACGTAGCACTCGTCTAAGTAGAAAAAAATTGCGTTATAATTGTCTCAAAGTGGTACGATACATATGCGTAAGTGCTAGGGGATTGATGTACGAATAGCGTGGAGGTACCGAATATCAGGGGAAAGAAAGCTATACTGTTAAAAAAAATTGAAGCGTAACGAAAAAATACATCAATTTCCTCACTTGGTAATGTCGAAAGTTAACGATCCGTCGGATTTTATAGAAACGACTTCTTTTCGAAATCATAAAGATTTCAAATGGATGATTTATCTTAATTTTTAATTGAATCGTGTCTGCGCAGGCGCGTTCCCTTAAACAATCATTTATAGAATTTCATAGAAACACATTAACTGAGAATCCGAGTTTTCTTTTCCTTCAGTACTTATGCAAATGGGGGAAGAAGAAACGTCGCTTTGCAATGGCTGCGGGAAACGTATTCATTATCTACTGGGATCGCACTCAACTCGAATTCACATAACAGTCTTCAGGTCGAGTGCTAGTTATGGCAGTTATGGGATGCATGTAATTAAAAGAGCAACGCCTCCAGTATCGCACGTTAATATATATAAGTGCTTAAGTACTCTAAGCCGGAAGCCGGCACCGTGTTGTCTAATTAAGATGGTGGACTACTCGTGTTACATAGGTTAGGTCAAAGGTGCGTTCACGGTACGCGAGAAAATCGAAGTATACTAGGCAATATAAATAGCATGCTACGATATAAGGCCATGAGTTCACGATGAGGGGTCTGTCAAAGTTTATTCGTGAAAAAAGGTATCAAGGCTAAGAACTTTGTGAAAGAGAGAAAAGAAAAGTGTACAGAAAAGGAACATGGCACGTACCACTCACCTTTCTACGTATGTATCTAGCTTGCTGTGTAAGAACCTGGCAAAAGTCAGAAAAAGCCAGTCGTGTTTCTCGCCGTTTCATTTGTGGCCTCTGCAGACGATGCGGGACTTATTGCACCGTGAAAAATTCATCTGGCTTCCCCGAGTGATGCTGACACTTTAATCTTCCGTGTTGCCGGAGGTATCCTGTCTCGTCGTTCATTCACCTGGAGGATACAGACCGAACACGGAACGTAGAGGTTAGATCAAGTATATCTCTAGAGAAATTTCCTATTTCAACTGGCACTGGCTTTGTAACATTTTCATCGTTCTCTTCTTTCTCCTATTTCTTTACCTTTTCTTTTTTGCTTCTTTCACGTCTACACCCATAATCAACTGTCAAGACTGCGCCTGCTTTTGATTGGCCACAGAACAGTCCATCAGTCATTGCCAAACGAGTCGACAAGCTGTTTCCGTTTTCCTGACGCTAGGCGTCGCGACGACACTGTATTTTACGCGGACCAGTCACGAGATTGTTACTACGTCACGAATGTCGTGATCGCTGGTTATACCTTACGTGCTCTGTCCTTATGCTTTACTTACTTGTCACGCGTACCAGTCGTTGGCAGTTCCTGTCGTCTGCACATGTATGATGTATACGAATTGTGGACAAAATTATAGGTACTGGAGATTCAATACAGAGACGAACAATTGTTAGATGGGGTTAGGTATATATTGACATTAATATCAGAAGTAACGCTCGGGAATTTTGTGTGGCTGTAAGTTATTTGTTGACACTCTTGACTCAGTTCCTCCGGATACATTATTACCATCGTAGTCCTACCGTACTGAATGAAGTACCTACCGCGGTCATGTTTGAAAATCCAAAGTGGCCTCTCAAGATTTCTCCAACCGAATGCTCGCAATCAGCTGCACTTCTTCGAAGATTCAAAAGGAGCCACGACAATTACAGGTACCCAGTGCTAACCTATACAATTGAATAGTCGCAATCAAACCATTTCCAACCGGATGTATGTAGTCAGTGGCTATTCTAAAGGCGGATATTTCTCCAGTCTCACTGCCAAGCTCTAGCTACCGCGAATGTCGCTCTTGCCAGTCTCTACCTCCAAGGAGAAGAATCTTTCCGTATCTCGAGCATCTAGATCGTGGCTCCCATCCAGGCCAATCATGCCTCCGAGAGAAATTAGCGCTTTCCGGGTACGTAGAACGAGCTGCACCCAACTATCTTCCTTCTTGCAGCCGCAAACCTAACCTATAATAGCGCTAGGAGGTTATAAGATGGGAGAAACCTATATACATACATGCATGCAGCATTCAACGTGCAAGGTCTCGAAATAGGCACGCGACGGCACTTCCGTTTATATGAGGATGGTGGGTTTCGACAAACTGCAACTGGCAACTGGGTTCTTTCGAATTGGGACGCCAGGATAATAACTGTTATGACAATAGTTATTCGCGGATGAAAAGTAAAAGGTTGGTCATACTGGAATACAAGGTACGTAGAGAATTCCCTTCGGTATCTTCTTACTGCAGAAATAACAGCAGAAATACATACTCTCTTCATATAGATGCACACGTGCGTGGTATATACATACATACTGTGAACAGCTATTGGTATACCTATACGTACAGCGGACATTCCCAGCTCTAGCGATCCCATTTACTCTTCCGGTTTGTGCATTACACTTCCGCCAAATGGATGGAGATACATTGGAAGGAATCTCTCTCGTTACCTGCAAGTTCGGTAGGCGTGTCACGACGCAATGTAAAATCTGCCTATAAATAATGTAACGCGTTACTTGCAAAAGGCAATGAATATAAATAATGCATGCCGCGGCACTCCGAGGCTCTTTCTCTATCCAAGAACAATAAGGATGTCCACACCGCCAAGAAGGCACTTTTAAGTGTCTCGGATTACGTCATATCCGATTAGCAATGATCCCAGAGTGGATTAATTTAAATGGCATTGAATTCTCCGTGGATTGTGATAAATTTATCTTTTTTTTTTCCCAGCAATATCCTAACCTAATGAGTACTTGGGGAGAAATCATTTTTTTCTACGGACTCTCAGATCTTTTATGACAGGTCGTTATGGTTAAGCGGAAGTGAGACTCTTATAGTTAAATTTAATAGGAATTCGCTTAATAAATGAATCGGAAGGGATCGTCCGAGAGAATCTCATTAGCTCCTGGGGATAGAGAAATGCAATAATTACGTAACGAAAGCTTCTTCAGGGCCGTGCGATATATCCGCCTATCTGATTTTTAAAGGCGCTTCTCCCCAGGACACGATTGCTCCTTTGTCGAGGAATCGTTAACGTTCATTATGGGGATGATTTTGTTGGTTTCTTTGCCTTTTTGTACGCACTCTACGTTTTTCTTTTTAGGCAAGCCGTTTCCTTTTTTTTCCCAGTCAGGAAATTCTGAGATTGCTATACCGTAGCCAGGAGTCACGCCAACTTATCGTGATCTCTGACATTCAGGGGATATTCGATACGAGATGTTACTCGGAACCATGAAAATTTCTTGTTTTACGATCCAGGTAAAAGCGTATTCAGTGACTTTTAATCGTATAAAGTTTCACTGAAAAACCTTTAATTATCTGTCTTACAGAGAGTGCCTCCGATGGTCGTCGTAAAAGTTTAAGACGTGCTGCGAAATTTTGCTGGGTACCGTTATACATTTATTTTATTTGTATTTTTACCCAAAAAAATGTTCAGGATACTAGAGTATTCATTTTTATTACTAGGATCCATTTACAGGGTAACAATTTGTCTGGTTCCCTGTGATTGATAATAGAATCTACCAACAGGTCATAAATTATTACTATACTTTCTGTATGGACGTGAGAAACTAATCGAAAACATTGAAGGCAGAGGTCCATGAACTTCTTGTGGATGCTCCATACGTCGCCCTTCACCAGGACTATCCGTAGCCCATGTTCGTCGCGTCATCGTTTCTTAACCGTCGTGTTTGCCAATTCCTCGAAAGAGAACACGTGTTGACGAAAAAATTTCTCTTCACGTAGGTGGAAAAATAAAGGGCTCTCTTTCGATCCCTTTTGGATCACCTGCACCCTCTCATCGTCCACATCCACCCCGGGAAAGCTTCCCTATTTTCAAGAGGAAAATCGAGTTAAGACACGCCACTCAGAAATCAGCTCGACATTGTCCTTTGAGGAAGGTCGTTTACTTGGAAATGGTAAGATAAGGTACGTCCCTATTCCTTCGTTTCCCATCTACCTTTTCTCTTGGTCCCCTCGGCGTAGACCCAAATACTTGAGTGCCGTCGAAGGGTCGGCCATGGTCCTGGGGTCGGTAATGGCGCTGGCTACCTTGACAAACGGGTCTCGTTCAGCCATGAAAACCAGGATAATACGGTAATCCAGTTGAATTTTCCAAGTAGGACTTTAATTGTCATTTCGTGACTTAAAAAAATTTCTTATTACCGTAAGAAACTCCTGATGAATTTACATTTTCAATTTAACCTTAATCGTACCATAAAGTCACGAGAGTATACAAGACTTCGTTGCAATTAAACGGCTAACGATATTCTTAATAGCTACATTAACTGCTGATACAGCCTACAGGCATCTATTGTAACATAAAATTTCTATAATCTGTGTATACATATATATATTATATATTTTCAGATGTAAAATGGCTCCAGCTTCGCTACAGATATATCTTCATAGTACTGGGAATTGTAACGGTGGCAAGATAGGGTACCATGGACGTTGAAAAAAATATCACCAAAAAATTTACATAACGTCATGACACCGCTTGGGTATCAGTGCACTACCCTCCGTCTCTCTTACCCAGGGAAGGTTAGGTAGATATAAGGGTAGCTCGCCGAGTATACAGGGAATTGTATGAAGCAGTAGAAACTGCGTAAGATAACTCCAGAGAAGTTACAATGCTCCTACTGAATTCTTGGTGCGCCAGAAATAAGATAAAAATAGATGGTGTACTTTAAAGTATATGGATGTATGTAGCTAGTGTATACCATATATACATTATCTGTACATGCTATGCTGAGCACAGATATATCCTAGACCGTTTAATCGAAGCCAGTACTGATTGCAGTCTCCATAGAAAGCCAAGTAAGGAATCGATCATATTGTCTGAAACTGTCCACCTTGAATTCTCCTAACGTTTTCCTTTACCTTCCAGTCTCTTTCTTGGTTCTTAACGAGTACGTATTTCGGAAGTAGTTTGCATTCCTCAACCAGCGACCTGGATATCTTGAGATTCTGCGATTGACGGTTCGAATTAAAAGCTGCGAGACAGGAGGGAAAGGCTGGCAGTGGATTTTACATCGGGAATCCATCTTTCCTTATCCAGCATCCTGATAGGATTAGCGAGGCTACGACAGAGTATTTCGCTCTTGGGCGTCTTTGCTGCTAGAGACACGTGCTTTGTGTGGCTTCTGGACATGGAAAGTAGCCTACACCAATTTCTCCAATTTATAAAATAAACAGTTAAGAAATCAGACTGTTTCTTTTTAGGCAGATATCGGGTGACTATTTTCTCTTTTATATACTCAAACTTTTTCACATCTTTCGTCTATCTCGTCTTAACCTCTCGTTTCAGTATCCCTCGTCACGTTCATCATCCAAGAGATGGCATGGTACTCGGAAAGAAAAAGAAAAAAGAAAAAGAGAGCTCTATTAAAAGTTCATCGAGGCACGCTCTTTTCATCAACCGGGTAGTAATTTGCCAGGAATAATGTATTCCGGCCAACTGATATTACACTCTGCCCTTTTATTTCTCGCCGTCGGCTCGTGCACCAGGCTTTACCTTTTCTTTTTTTCATTGGCATTCTCTTCTGCTCTCTCTTTTTTCTCTCCCTCCCTTCTCTTTATTCTCTCACTTATATTCTCTTCGGTTAACACTTCTGCCCCCACCCCCCAATCTCTTCCTGCCTACTCCCCCCCTTTGACACTCACACTCTTTCACTACCCTATTCAAGCTTTCCTTTCAGTAAGATACTCCAGAACTTCCCACGATCACTTTATCCAAGTACACTAGATTTATTTCCACGTCTCACAGTGCCAAACGCACGGATTCTAGATCAAAGCATTGTCATAGAATTTTCCTAGTGCACAGCGATAAGGGCAAGGTTGGGAAAAGATTCTAGCATTTGTATTCTCCACGTCTCCGACGTATAAAGAAGAAAATAATATTAGACCGTTCTTGGTTTCTTCAGTCCCCTGCTACACTTTTCTTATCTAGCCCCGATGATAATTACTTTTGGGGGAGGCCTCCTGCATTTAACCCTTGATATGATATTTGGGACCGTATCGTGCCTGAAATGGTATAATGGAATAGGATTGGTTAGGTGTCTGATCAGTTGCGCACTTGCTCTACTTGCCAGTGGTGGAGGCAGTAGTTTTGTCCGGAGTTTTATTCACGGCACCAATGGTACGTGGTTATTCTTGAAGGGGCTCTGAGCAATAGAAAGTTATTTTTTTGTAATCAGATTTATTGATGGGATTGAAATTTAATGCTATCACTGATATGAATTCCCATGACGAGTTGAATGTAGAAATGGTATTTTATATTGTGTGCGTTTGTTGTATTGTTTTGTATTGTATTACTGGATAGATTATATTTGTAGAGGGAGAACCAGGCAAAAGGGTGAGTGCAGATGGATGAGAGAGCGAAAAATCCGGTGGTGGCAACACAATGGAAGACTTTTAATTACTTCTTGGCGATAAATTAATATCCATTAAGCAAACCCGGACCCAGTCGAGCTTATCGTTTTCCGGGTGCTGCCGTCGTGCCGCCATTGTTCTCTAAACGCGACAGGTTCTGCGTTACGTCCGGAAAGGTGAGAATGCTCGTCGACCATTTAATAAGAATAGTCGTATCTTGTGTGTCGAGAAATCGAGAAAAAGATTGAAAGGAAAAAATGACAAAAAATATGTTAATCAAGCTGGAACGATAACTCCTTATTTTACACTAAAAGCAAATTCTAATTTTTATAAAAAAAATTTTGTTTCTTTCAAAAATAAAGTAAGGTTAGATACATGGAACATTAGATAAAATGACCTAGATTCTCTTTGTAGTCATCATAATAGAGCCACTATTGTTGAGCTAATTAATTACCGGGTTATTATTGCGTGCTGAAATTTTGCAAAAACAACAATACTAACTTTATTCAATTCGCCTAAAGATCGGAGGAAGCATCGAAATTTCCTATATCCTGACATCAAGTTTTTGATACGTGACCAGTAATACATTAGGCTCTCTTTGATATCCTCATCTCCATTCAAGATTGATCTTTGATCTTACTTGCGTCACAAATCTTACTATTTCATATCCACTTTTATTTAAGGGAAGGCAGAAGCACTGTTGTTACAAGCGTTTATTAAACTAATAAAAAGTAATGGTGCATAACCGAAGGATGTTAAGATCACAGTATACAAGATCCAAGAATATGTCCTTGTTTCATAAAATACTTTAAACATCTCCACCAAGAAGCCTTGCAGTTTATAAATTAACGGAAGAGACACAATCAGCAAAATTCCATCGAGGGAAAGAATACTTAAATGAAAATTGCAACAAATTTCTACACGCTTATCCAGATGCATGTATGCCGCGTCTCAAAGTGCATGGACCCTTTCGAAAATCATTTCCTTATCAGACAGACTGATAACACACGCTCTACCACGGAGTGAGGGTGCAAATTGCTCATTAAATTATTCAGATCCATGTAAGAGGGTAGTAAAGCTCGTGGTTAGCTACGCCATGGGGTTCGAAAAATCCATTAAGCTCTCTAGTGCAACAAAGAGTATGGCGACCGGGTCGACATAATTTTAAATAGTTTTTATTTACATTCCATCAACCTATGCAGGAGAAACGAGAATAACGGCATAGATGCACGATGCGCGAGACAGTAAAAAATTTGCAAAATGACGCGTGGTAAATAAAATTTTTAAAAAATTACTATAAATCCATCTTAATATATCTATACGTATTTACAATTAGAATCACCACGAGACTCTTTGCCGGTATGAATAAAACAAATCAAAAGATCTACACTATACGCACAGAGTAAAGAGCCGGTACTAGTAGTCGTCTGATAATTCGTTAAATAAATATCAGCCCTAATTTCTGTTAGATTCCCACGTCGCTGATACACATGAAAATACAAGGAAATACAGACAAAATATTAATATAATTGTAAACCGTTCCACGAGTGTACAAATTTAAGGGTGCATTTCCATATGCATATATATAATGCAATGAAAACACGATAGAATAACGTTAATAATATATCTCTCTGAACCTAGAAAACATCATGACCATTTTGTAGGATATCCAGCTGGAGCACTAGATGGTTATCATTGGAATGACAAGCACTGAGAAATGCATTGAATAAATATCTATCCGTTTTACGTATATGTAAAAACATATATATGTATATATATGTCCTGATTATACCTAGAGAAATCTCAGCACGTAGATGCTTTTTTCATACGTATTCTCTATGTACATTCTCGTTGGTCCTCTGTGTCCTCCGATATCTCCCTCTCTGTCTTTCTTTAGGTGGATGGCAATGGAGAGAGAATATATATAGAGAAAGAGACAGAAAGGGTCGCAGACGAGTTCGTGTGAGTTTTAAGGAGAAGAGCGAGGTCAGGTCGATCGTTGGCAAGCAGGCAAGACCTTGACTCAGTGCCCGTACTGACGGCGCAGACGCGTCGACGTCGACGTCGGCGTCAGCGTCAGCGTCCTTTACTCTTACTACCACTGCTCTACTATTACTACACCATCCATTCCACGTGTACGGCAACCCTCTATGCAGCCGATTAATGAATACAGTTGGAATGGCAACTCTGGAGCTGGCGTATCAATGCTGGCTCCTAGTAAAAATAAACCAAGAAAAGCGTCAGTCTACAATTGTACTAGGTAATGACGTAGGTAGATAAATTATATCAGTATAAATTGTCACCAATAATAATAATAATAATAATAATATATGGTGCCATCAGTGACTGTAGTCATGCAATTCTATGTCCCAGAGACACAACAGAATTCCTGGCATTATTCTTGACAATGACCTACACTAGACAAATGTTCTAGTAGGTTTCTAAAAGGTGTCCTAAAAAGAAAAATTAATTAGAGAGTGACATATTCGATCGATCGAAACGCTTAACTTATTTTAATGTGAACTTGCCTTTAGTGTACTGGAGCAGATTATTACGCCCGTGAAGAAATCAATAGAGCACATACACCTTCCTCCCTGTGGTGGCAAGGATGCAGGCATAATAAATTGTATCGTAGAATCGTATGTGGGTCTGCAAGCATTAATAATAAATTTTTATGTTAAAAATACAATTTTCACGTTTTTATTACATGAGCCGCTCGATACAGAGACACACGTCTATTTCATACGACGTCCATTACGTATAATTCATTTAGTGCTGATTATATTTTGAATAGCCCGCCATTTCATTGTACTTCGGAATTTCTAATCGAAAAAGGCTTTCGGTTATACAATATCGTGATAATGGTGAAAAAAAGTCAAAGGGTGGAAATAGGCGAGGAGGACGGTGGGGGGTAGGGATTTCCAATACGAAAGAAAGGAATAAAAGTAAATTGAATCTGACCAAAAGCTGTCGTTCACTCGATCACTATTAAATACTGAAAATACGGATTGTACTTACTCGATCTAACCTAACCTAACCTCCAGCAAGGTTCTCCTTAGCAAGATTCTTTTTCCAACGTAATAGGAAAACATTTTTAAACGTCCGCCAATCGGGAACGAATTGCCAATACGTTCTAACGGCTTTCTCCTCTTTAACTTTCTCATTTTTCTCGTTCTATCTCATTCGAACGCTTTTTTCGATCTCTCCTTCTCAGGTATAGAATCAAACAGAGAGTTATCGCTTTACGAGCTTCTGTCTACGTTTCAGTGAGAATCATAAATAACAACTGACATGTTGTTTGTCTATCCGGTATTATCACGTATATTGGCCCTTCCGCGGTCAGTTCAATGAGCGACACTTCAGGTAGATCGATAACCCTCATTTGTAAGGGCGAATAAAGTCATTTTTATCTGGGCCACCAACAGGGAGGTATTCTATAGGTATACGGCTGCTCCACCTCGAATTTGCCAGTAGTCGCACAGATAACAAAAACGATACGGTTAAGTGAACCCATGGAGAAAATTGCGCTTACGTTATGTATGTCCTTCTCTTACGCACGTAAGTACGCATAAGTCCGTCTCTCTCGCACTCACTGTAGACATAGGAAATATCAATATCTCAAAGCATAACCCCATTCTGCGATTCGATAATTAAATTATTCACTTACCAATGAACACTTATTTCGACAATTGAATAATTGTTAGAATTTGTTTTAGTTGTTATCATTGCCGACAGATATGAGTGATTGAGCCGGATAATATTTTATATGCGTCTGTATCGTATACGAAGCCATACGCAATCTTGTTAGCACAGAGCAGTACTTATGACATACATAAGTAGAGTAGTAAACAGTATGACTCAAGTAAACCTGGTAAAACATATACCGTGTTATATAGATATATAAGTACGTACTCCTAGTTTCTCATAAGCTCCAATAAGGTTCATAATATTAATTGATGATAGATAGAAGCTACGATATCTACTATCAAGCGGAAGAGAGTGGCGAGGCTTCGAATTACTAACCTGATGACTATGCAAGCGGCCGAGAGACGCCGGAAGATCCGGAACGATCGGCCCGGCTTGTTCCTCTTGTGCATCATTAAAGCCACTCGATATATCGATCCTCGAGCGTCCTTGTTATTCCATGCCCCTGCAAGCTCCCGACGTTTCTCAAGCACCTCTAGATAAAAATATCATAGTGCCTTTTAAAGAGGTTAGAGTGTAGCCGGACGGGAATGGTTACGGGACGGCGGAATTATTTGAAAAACGAAAAAGAATAACAGACGCTTCGTTGAGCCTTAAATCTCCCGGAAAGACCACAAGGGTTTCACTTATCCTTATTCGGCTGTGTACACGTTTACATATTTACAGGATTTATCCAACTGGCTCGAAAATGACTGCCAAACCAGAATGGTCACTAGATCGATAATTCGATACTATCGCTACGCGCTACGCCGTGAACCTAGCGGTAGGAGTGAATCGAGCGTATTTGAAACTTGTACTGGAACAACGCCCACGGCGATACTAGGCGGGAAATATGAACTGTTAAACGTGGAATTGGTCAAGCTTCTTTCCTGTGAAAAAGTCCTTTTCCACTTACTCTTTCTGTGACATTTCTAAACGATTTGGATGATCGATTAACGCACGGGGAACGACTGCCTACAAACTGTATCCCATTGGTCAATATATTTCTTGTTATTGACACATAAAGAGGAAGTGGGACAAGTGTGTCGATCTTATGAATAATGAATTTTGAGAAAATCACACAAAATGGCTGCCACACTGGTTGGATCGAATGAGCCAGTGAATAATTGATCTTTTAAATTATCATTCGCACGATACTTACATGTAATGACCGTGGCATATTTTGTCTGCTTTCAGGATTCTCGCAAAGAATGTGAACGTCCAAAACATCGCAGATGCCCAGCAAGGCGCGGCCTCGTCGAGAGTGGTCTCCCCAATCCCCCATAGATGTCTTGTGAGTGTCATTCAATGAATTTCTCAATGATCCTACCGCGTTCGGATAACGAATAAGTGCAACCTGTAAAGGTGGTAGGTGTCAGTGAAGTGCTACATAACGATAGGGTACTAGCCTTTTCGTGAGGTAGTGCCGTTCATAATATTTTTATTCGGTAACGAACCGGGTCTCGTTAATCACTATGGCGTCTGTGATAAATCATCGAAAGCAGCCAGATAGACGCTTCCACGTGTTACTGCTTAAGGAAGAGGAAAGCTTTCCATGATTTTCCGATTCGATATGACAAATGAAGAATCCTATATACTTTTATACATACACTGAAGTAACTAGCGTCTCAATATACATACATACATATATATTATATACATATGTATCCAGGAAGTAAGCTAACTGGCCGTAATGCCCGATTGTTTTGATTATTCCGTGCCACGCCACACTTCACGCTAATCAAACCTCGACCAGCGGTACGTATAATTAACTAATTAAAGTTTCTGTGGAAGCGTCGTGAGGGTAAAATCGTTGCTTTCCGCGCAGAGCTCCCTAATTGAACTAGTTTGCGAGATAAGGTCTTCAATTTTAACACGGTGGGAGACATGGCGCCCGGTCACGAACGAGCTGCAACCAATACCCTGGGTATACGCTTCTGGCACCCCCTATACACTACATATATGTCATTCCAGAACGTTCCTACATAGCCCCCTCTACTATACGTATATAAACTCGCGAACCCACTCAATACCCCCGAACAAGATGTATCATTCCAGTAGGACGCTAGATGCACCCGATTGGGAATTACATTTTTCCGTAAAAATCGAGGCAAAGCCTTTTCAAAGACCGCATAAGCATTTGGAATTATTCAAAAGATATTCAGCCCCAAAAATACCGTTGGCGCCCATGTATAAAGCAAACGTAACCTAACCTCGCTATCGCGAAGGAGAGTCGTAAGGCACGAGAGTATTGTTAAAGAAAAGAAAAAGATAAAAAATTGCTCAAGTATATCCCAACCACCAACGTGTTATCTCTTAGGTTAGAATTCGCTGAGGAGAGCGTAGATCGCCGGCGAAGATCGTCCGCGGGATCGTCTTCCGTGAGGATTGTCTTATCTCAGGACTGGGAGGTTTCTACATGCGGGCTGAGTTATCGTTCTTCCAGGAGCAACGCGGGCAAAAGTCTCGCGTGGTGTAAGATGTCCGGGCACAGGAAGTGCAGAAGCACGATGCAACTCGTGGTGCAACTCGTAGCTCGTAAAAGTTGATAGACGCCAGCCTACAGGTTGAAGCTAGCCAAGCCAGAGCCAGTACAGTTAGTAGCTACTCTCGAGTATTCCTATTAACGTTTCGCAGATAGGTACATAATACCCTTGCCACACTCTGTAGCATTACCAGCGTAGATACTGGATAGAATGACGTGGAGTCAGACCTCGTGCACGCTAGCCGTTGCCCTCACGTGATATTAACGAGTCCCGAATGAAGTCAGTGAATAACAATGACGTTGTTGATGTGCGATTAAGAACTGTCTCACGCGGTGTTTAAATTGTTAACTGGATATATATGTGTATATATGTAGATATACGGATGGACGTATGGAGCTGAGCCAAACGATCGATTTACGCCTATGTTCATACCTTACGTAAATTGAAACTTCGAACTTGAGCCACGTAGTACTACACGAGGAATAATGTATGATCGTACGAATTTACGTATACACCCGTTGTGTACGGGGATAACAAGTAGGCGTAACAAGGACTGTTTCTGGGATTCCAGGATAGCTGATAATTTGACTTGTAGTGTGAGTTGACCTGGGAAGTCGAATCGGCTTCCATTTCGTCTAGATGGTTATTTAGTTATGTCTTCTTTTTTTTTTTGTTTCTGTGCAATTTCACAGGTGGATGCCCCGCTCTGCTATGAGGCCGGCCGAGGGCGACACATCGGATTGTATCCTGGTGGTTGGAATATCACGACCCAAAATGGCTGCTGCTTTCTTATCGGTCGCCCTGGTCTCCCTGTTCCTGACGTTTCACGTTCTCTACGACAGCGCTGTCTACAGTCTACATGCGGCATCCGGCGTGGAGGCTCGTACCGTGGAATTGGTGTCGAGGGTTCGTGCCACGCCGCCTCTACTCTTCTCGAACAAGGTCCACTTTCCGCGCACCAGCAGACACCTACCTCAGGCCATTATAATCGGCGTGAGGAAATGCGGCACGCGGGCTTTGCTAGAGATGCTCTTCCTGCATCCGCAGATACAGAAGGCTGCTGGCGAAGTACACTTCTTTGACAGAGATGACAATTACAGCAAGGGACTGGAATGGTACAGACGGAAGATGCCGTACTCGTTCAAAGGTCAAATCACTATTGAGAAGAGTCCGAGTTACTTTGTGACACCTGAAGTGAGTCCTTATGCGTATTTCTGGAATAGAGATTAATTAAAATTAATTATTAAAATTCTTTCGAGCATAGATTAAAATTAGGTCAGATAGTTAAGTTAAAATGGAACAGTCAATCGATTGAACGTAGCGTCATCGATATACGGAGATAGTTGAAGTTCTGATAATGCAATGTAAATTTGGTCAACAAAAAATTTATAAATATGTCTTTTCGCTAACGAGGTACCAGAACGGATACGTGCAATGAACTCGAGCGTGAAGTTGCTGCTGATCGTACGAGAACCAGTCACCAGAACGATCTCGGACTACACGCAGCTAAGGACCCACGCAGCGACGGCATCCTCTGCATCAGCGAGTTTAGCGACACCACGTTCGACAGTTCCAGGTCGCAGCTTCGAGGAGCTCGTTATGCGAACCGACGGCTCGATAAACGAATCTTACAGACCGGTCGCCATTAGTCTCTATCATACGTATATGCATCGCTGGCTGGAGGTCTTCAATCGGAATCAAATACTCGTGGTGAACGGCGATCAGTTAATCGAGGATCCGGTACCGCAGCTACGGAGGATCGAGAGCTTCCTTGGTCTCGAGCCACGGATTGGCCGTCACAATTTCTACTTCAATCACACCAAGGGCTTCTATTGTCTTCGTAACGACACTACGGACAAGTGTCTTCGCGAGAGCAAAGGTCGACGACATCCACGCGTCAGTCCTGTCGTGGTGACGAAGTTGCGTAGATTCTTCAACGAGCACAATCAAAGGTTCTACGAGCTCGTGGGCGAAGATCTGGGATGGCCCGAGGAGTAGGTCTCTTCCGGTATAATCTTCGGCCACCTGGCGGTCACGGCTTCAATTAGAAGTACCTGGTACCAACTAGGAGTCTCACAATTGGCACCTCTCCTGACGCACGTATCCTAATGCGAACGTATCCTAGTGCAAGGGTGTCCTGAAGCGAATATATCCTACAGACTCGTTCTGCTGGTACCTGAATTATCTAATTATACACATTATTTACATGTGAAATTAAATGATTCGATGGGTCCCATTAGATCGCGGTATAAGTCTGGTCTTGGTATATTTTTCTGGATGATGGGACAATTGTGAACCGATGAGCCGTGACTTCCTGTGGTTCACGTGTGCCAGTATGGATCCTTATTGAAACTTTAACATATCAAATACACATTCAGAGGACGAGTATACACTTATATATACATACATGAAAAATACACCAGTAACGCCGGCCAAATAGGGGATGCGGGTCTGCGTTGAGGAATAGGGGTGAACACGAGTCTCTCCCGGTCCCGCGTTCGCATGGATCACATTGGTCCGTTTATAAACGTACTATAATGATAGGTTAATAGTTAAATTGCAAAGATTTAATATTTTTATAATCCACATTGGAAGTTGTTATATTGATCGTTAAGCTATTATAGTAAGACGGACCATCGCAGAGTCGCGTGCCGTGACGATGTCGCCTCGTTAGAAATCATCCTTCCGCATCGAAAGACGAGTAGTTGCGTACTGTAGTAATTGGGATAGCTGGAACAAAAAAAAAAATGAAAACCATTTTAACCATACTAGACCCAATGCTCCACACGAATAATAATTATCACGGTTTTATATGGAGAGACTTCCGGCATAGTCATATCAATTCTTCTCTCGAGAATAGTTCCGTGTTTATTCAATCAATTTGATAAGAAGATCAAGTGATATTTTGGCACTGGTACCATCAGGAAAAATTGAAGGACAAAAATTAATATCGATGATAAAAGATATCGGTTATCTTTCAGAGGGACGACGATAGACGAAGCACGGATAAACTTCCTTTAGCCCATTTTGCATCCTGTAGTCCATTGCGTAGGCGTAGACGAACTGCTAGGCTAAAACGTTAAGAAATATGTAAGAGAGGATGAAGGTGATGAAGTTGAAGAAAAAAAAAACTCGTCTGTGATGCACAACGTACGAAGACTGCTAGAGTACTGTATGCATAATGTTATACGGAAGAGGTTAGGATGGTATCTCGACACTGTATATCTGGTATATCTTTTCTGTATGTAACGGCGATGTAGGAGAAAGGCGCGAAAAGGGGTATTTTAAATATCAGGGTTTGTGGTGGACGAGAGAGAAGGCAGGCGCGTTTTGTCTCTACGGCTTGCGTGGCTCAATTGTCGTCTTACACGAGCGGTTGTACTATTTTAATATTGTTTTAAAGAAGAAGAATTTACGAAAGAAATATATTATACTATATTAATGATACTCGTCATAAGTCGCGTGGCGCCCTCTCTGCGATGGTCTCCGAAACTCGCCAGAATCAATTTACATTGTCGAATTCGAAGATCCTCGGGACTCTAATGCGTTGGAGACTTAATCGAGATTTTAATACTACGATTGACAGTTGCTTATTTATATATGCTCTTATGATTGGGTATTTTAATAGATTAACCAGGTACTCGCGCTCGAACTAGAAATAATTTATCGTTAAGTGCACGGGGAGGGGAAAACGATACATATCAAAATTTGTGATAAAATTTTATCGAGTATTATTATATACTTCAGATATACGTGTTAGTATAGAGAGCACGCGAATTTTGTTATTGATAACACGGATCGAGGACATTGTAAAGTATGGTAATCGTATTCAATCAGTATGGTTCCTTACAGAGTTTATTTATTCTTAGGAATTATATATGAATTCAGTCATCTTACAAGAAATGTCGTTATCACTTATTTTCTATGAAAACAAAATTTATCGTATGTACAATTTGTTCATTGTGTGATTTATGAACTGATTTTGTATCTGCATTAAATGAGTACGACAATTTCATGTATAAAATCGTACAAATTCTCTATAGTGTCAGATACGATAACTTCTGACTGGTTTTCTGATAAACAGGTAAACGGGTTAGTTATCCTTAAAGTTTTTTTTTTGTACCAGGTAAAATCCGATCTTACGTGTTTAAATTTCAAAGAGCGCATTAGGCAAATTAATATTACATAAAGTTGCGATTAAATAACGACTAAGAGCTTTCGGGGAAATAGATTAAGGAAGGTTTGAATTTCCCGCGGTAAAGTCATGTAATGTAATAGGTCTGACGAATATGCCACCTATACCACTATACCCGTTATAAACTTATACAATGATACACGAAGCAAGTAGAAATAACAGAATCTAGTCAGACGAGTTCCCACGATCCTCCTACAGTTTCTCCAGCATCCATACAACTAGATCCATCAGTAGTTACGATGGGGAACGTGTTGATCTCAAGTTTCTCGCAATTCTCCATTCTGAGTGTACACATCAGACTCCAATACACGTAACCTGAGTGCTTGTGGATTTGCCAGCATTACTAAAAAATAGAATGAATCATACAAATAGCTTTCTTAAATTTAATTACCAATTTTTACAAACAGACGTCTTGCTGACGTCTTCGAAGAGTCATGCTGACGCACCTTTTATGTCTGTCCGACTAGGTACGTCTTTTTCTCCTATTCGTAAATCTTCGACATGATCGTCCATCTGGACTAGAGTTTCCCTTATGGCTGCCTCTAAGGGCGTTAGGTGTTTTTTTTATTTTCCACATACCGACTATAGCAGTATAGACTGCTATGGGAAAACTTGGCTAATAAACGTCCGGAAGTCAAAGCCTTTTTCAAAACTTTTCCTGATATTCTATGGGAGGTTAGAACGTGGGCGAACGTAATGCTGGAGAAGCACGAGGACGCTCGCTCAAGATGGATACGTGCATTTTTCGTAGGAGGCCGGACGCGGCGCGTGATAGCAAGGTGGCTCGTTAGCCGGAAAAAGGCGAATGAATATTGTATGAGGTCGCGATTTCCCGGGATACCGAAAATTAACCAACGAGCTATGATTACGAATAGTATCCGATCGGGTTTGACGTTAAATTAAAATGGCGACCTTTTGACCAAATATTCCGAAATTTTTTATCTTTCGCTTATACTTTTCATCCCCTCGCAAATTGTCTCTCTCCAAATTTTTTTAGCGGCTTTATTTTACCTTCGATCGTACCAATCGAACCGATTCCCACCCTCTCACCCTCTTTTCTATTGGCGTTGTACATTAATGCGATCCAACAGGATTGGCTTAACTTCGACGTGCCAACGTTAAAGTGCTATCGGAACCCTTTATACATTTTTATCCTTTTCCACATCCCTGTGTTCGGCGTCGGGGTGGAAAAAAATGATAAGAAAAAAAAAAAAAATTTGCACTACCAATAAATCACAGCCGATTGCTTTGGTAACGAGCGAACAAAATGTGCGGTTTTCAAGGGGTATAAAAAAAAATGGGCAGCCCCCTCGCCCTTTCGCTGCAATCAATTGGTCACGCAGTTATTCGAACGAATGTCTCGCGACGACCCGCACTCAAATTTTAAACGAGCCCTCGTAACGTCGCTTATCCGTTTCTGTGAAAATTCATTTTTCCATCGATCTTTCGATTTTTTCTCCCTCGTTTACTTTTTCTTGCTGGGCTTTTGGTTTTTTGCTTTCCTCTTGTACCGCAAACGTCACTGGAGTCATTTCAATTTTTTTGCCCCAACACTTGTCACGCTCGTTGACATCTATTTGAAAATATCGACGATTTTCGGCTACAATAGAAAGAGAAAAAATGAGAGCACGAATCTACGGCAGAATTGGTATCCACTGACTGAAGGGATTGGATTTTTTATATATATATTTTTTTTAAAAGTATACTTCATAACAGCCACTAGACTCTTCCACTTAATTTCCATGTCAATCTCTGTATGTGAAATTAAACAGCTGCCGGTGGATAAATTTTCGTAAAAATTTTCAAATCCACGTAGAGACGAGCGCCTGGGTGTTTTTGGAAATACCTGCGAAACAGCAAATTAGTTAAGTAGCGAGACAAGAATAATTCTTATCAGATAGCAAGGACACGCGAGCCACTCGTCAAAGACCGCACCCCCGTTTGAATTCGTTTGTAAAATTTTAGAGACGTTTCGCCACGTTGCATGAGGTTCCATCCTTAAAAAAAAAAGCACCCTTACCAGTTCACAGGGTGTACTCGGTCCAGTCCAGCCTAAAAAAACAATTGTTAGCTAATTCAGTTAAATATGGCGGATCAGACGGGTAAATCCGGATTGAAATTTTTAGACCGAATAAATCGTTTCCCTTATCGAGAATACACGTAGCGACTTCTTTTTGCAGGGGCGTGTCGCGCCGATTTAATACCCAAGCAGCCGCTACCCATCTACCCCCTAGAGATACCTGGTGGGCATCCGCGAGGAATTTCAGCCGGCAGATAATTTATCGCGTCCGAAAGATCCATTACCCCTTGGCTCGCGATCCACAGATTTTATCAAAGGGATTCTTATTCTTCTTTTTTTTCATCCACTATCTTTGCTCTGTGTCAGTCTTACATGTTTGCTACTCCTGGTTACTGATTTTATATACCTGTAGGATAGGATATACCCGGGCACCCTTAAAGAAAATTCTCCTTTACCTACCAGACAACCCCTGGCTGGATCACGAAATGCCGGCCGTTCAACCCCTGAACGTAAGTCTGACACGCTCTTGCCTTTACTCCTTGCGTTACTTTCTCTTCTATTGGCCTTTTCGTTTTTTTTTGTTGGTTTCTCATCAGGGTCGATATGCATATTTATTTCTCGATCCTCCTTAGGGTGGCAAGTCTGGCGGTCACGCAACGTGCCATTATACTTATAAAAATTTTAATCAGCCACCCTCGATCCCTCTCGATGAATATCTGAAAAGTAAATCAGACTAAAGAAATGATTCTTCATATTTCTAAGGTAAATTCGCATCTGCTTGGTAAGACGTATAAAGTATTGCTGAAGATTACAGAAACGTATTGCTAACCCATCTGACTGCGAAAGGTACAAGGAATCTCCAAATGGAAACATTATCGAGGAATTCGCTGAGACAGGAGAGCACAAATTATTCAAAGTAAAACAAAGTCAGTCCGAAGTCATTAAAACGTCCACGGTATCACCGTGAGATATCGCTGAGTTCACTCGTTTCGAAAGTTTGCACAAGAATAAATGCTCGATGGAAAATGTAAGCAGAAAAGGAAATTCAATAAGTCGATATAAATACGTCAGGGCTGATTTCCATGTATTATAAAGAACTCCTCCAAGCTTTTTCCAGCTTTTACGAAACTTTACCTAATGCATCAATTGAATACTCGAGTTTACTTGTGGAAGGTCCAAGCGCCTTTAAAAGCTTACCGGTAAATACAAACGTAGGAAATTTATGAAAAATATCAATAATACACTAGACTCTGCTATCCATGCTGATAATATTTAAACAGTACATTTTCCTCTTAAATATTATTCTCAGCCACAGCCGGAAATACAATTTCAACCCCCAAAGCTCCAGAATACTCTAATTCATTTTCCACCCTCATAAGCAAGTACTGTACGAGTCTCGTTTACTCCAGATGCACCGGGTAACGTCGGTTAATGAAAAAAATTGTATAACCAAGAGAAATTTTTGATCTGGGCTTGAAGCTAGAAACAGGGTTGTTGATTAATTTGAAAATCATCCCCTTTCAGGCACTTTGACCAGGCAAGGAGTTACCAACTGTTACAACCTTGTAGTTTGCATGCGACATCTCGAAAGACTTTTGCCAAACGTATTCGCTTGGCAAACAGGATGAAAGGGTAGCAACCCTCTCGAAAGCTCTCAGCGAAACCACGCGTCAAGAAACTCACTTTCACCAACCCGATGGAAGGGATTAAAGTGCAGGCAGGTCGCGTGCTGTTTTTCGTTGGTAATTCGACCGGTGCTTTGGGGTAGGTTAGGTTGGGTTGGGTTAGAGTGCAGCGGCCTAGAAAGGGATAGGGGTTGATAGGTGGGTGGAAGCTGCAAGCTAATCAGCTGGGAATTCGGCTGAGGGATGGTTGGAGGCTGTACAGAAGTGAGGTAGTCATGTCAGAAGAGTGTGCGGGGGTAGGAAAGAAAGACAACCACCACCCATGCCCATCCTTAACAGTGTAAAGAGACTAAGGGTAGAAAACACCAGTGGACAAGTACCTTCCTTAATTAATGGCACGAAAGTACCCGAGCTCTCACGAACTGCCACTCGGCTAAACGAAAGTGTTGGCCCACCGACCCTCCTAGTCAGCTGTTAATTGAATAATTCCGCAAATAGGAATTCAACATGGACGAATCGTTATCAGCCCTGGGATAACCTCATTATCTGATTACGCGTTGAGTAAACTTTGATCTCTGTATCCTCTAATTTCGTTTCACTAATTCTCATCCCTAACTTCACTTTCGACTAACGTCACGTTGTTCGATACTGTTTTCACGCCTTCGAATGTCCCACGATGTGGGGTATGGCCTTCGTGTATTTCGTTAATTGAATTTTCTTGACGGCCATTTCTTTTGAGTTCTGCATCCAAAGCATGCCTCGGAACCCAGATAAAAGCGTGCTTGCCCGGGTGCGCGGTATCCTGAGTTCTTCAGACCGGCCAGAAATGAAATTGTCTCCTGACAAATTTATTTTCTCGAAGACGTCGAGTAAAAAGTTCTGTAAAGGAATGAAAGAGGAAACATTAAGCATATATAGATATATTATCCATACCCTGTGATCTTTGCATCGGGTACATTCATTCGATAGACTCGACTCATAAATATTTGACTTTCTTTATATTTTTCTCTTTTTTTACCTTCTCTTGGTCCATTTCTCTTTTTAAAGAAAATTCAAGGTCTTCCGTATATCGCTCATCTCGTATCCTTCAAAACTCTGCGATCCCTTCCAAAATGAACGTATGACCTGTCAATGAAAATATCAAAGGTTAAAATATACAACGTTACTAACCATAAGACATATACTTTCTCGATCAATAATCTTATACATATATTTACCTAAAAAATTTTTTTTTTAATTTCTCTTCTTTATATACCAAGATAATTCTCTTTTCCCGATTGCAAGAAAACTTCTATTTTAATACTTCCCGCGGGAGTACGTTATCCTTTAATTATTCGACTCGGCTTATCAATTAGATTACTACAGTTTTATAGTGCGAAGCATAGCAGGACTATCTTATTATTTATGGTCTCCTTAGAAATTCCTTTGACGCAATGTCATTCAATCGTCTCGCTGTCATTTGTCGAATATTCGTTAATGCCACAGTGTCTATGGGAGATATTCGGTATAACCTATACTAGGGGATATGAATTTAATTGTTCTTTCTAAAGGTATACAATTTATAGGAAAAGTCACACTCCATAGTATTAGATGCCACTTATGCATTGCTTATTATTATTATAAATAAGTAACACGGCGAATATACTCGGTGAACGAATAGAAGAGACAGTCCAATGAAAGTATGTGAATTTATATATAAAAATATATACACCTGAGTGCATTGCAAATTTTTATTCCTAAGGTCGATATCGATTGCAGTGCAATCATTTGATTTGACAAAAGAGACACACGGTATTACGTCAAACGGGAATGGTTTAGCGTAACGACGATCTTCGAGTTCGACAATCTATCTAAATACGCGGTACGAGTGAAACCAAAGATGTTACGAACAAAGTGTGCAAGAGCGTCATGCGTGCTGATGCGTGAGCCCCACATTTTTTGTACGGGGTTCAAAATTTTTTTTTTAGTCCTTAAGGTGAATTCACATATCATAAAGAATTAAGAGAGACACAGGATATCTATGATCCCACTGTAATTATTGTATATTCTTATTATTATTGCCACATTGTTATTATTAGCAATTCTCACGAGGATCGAAAAAAAAAAAAAATTAGCTTTTTTTTTGCAATATCTAAAGATCGAAGTCAAACTTCTTTTTTGTTGCGTTCGCAAAAATTTTTAATCAACATACACTTTTTCTGGTTCTATGATTACTTCTGTCGCGCTCACAGTGCACAGTGCTGGTTCACAACGGAGCGAAACACGTGGCGCCTATGGCGGCGGCGTGAGACACGCGAAAGCACAATAAACGCAAAGTTTATCGTAACTAATGAAACTTTCTTTGAGGATTGCAGAGGCTTGCGTGGTTCCTTGCGGAATTTTCTCATATTGGATCTCGCCAGCTCTGTTCGGCCATTTACCGGAAGTTTAACGGTAGTGAGAGAACCGAGCAAGGGAGGATGTAACGATAACAAAAAGAATGGTAACTCTGTTCACAATGCCAAGACGTGTCCCAGGGGTCTCGAAGGAGTCACTGGTTTATTAAAGAAGCCAAAGCCATGGGCAACAATTGCGAATTTCTTGGCTGGCTCGAGAACCTCGTTTCGCAATCTTGGCTTATCTTGCACTTTGCATTTTTAATGAATCCCCGTGCACGGGGAAACGAAACCGGATATTGGATAATTGAGTGAAAAATATCCGCCGACGCGATACTCGTTCTTTCTTAGCTTTGGAGTAAAAATTAAAAATGAAAATTTTGTTTGGCAATATTTTATTAGACGTTAAATTAGGTATCTTTTTTTTTTATCCAAGTGAGAATCTTATTAAAGCTCATCGACAATTATCAGAGGGATGATTGATGTCGATTATAATATATTACGAGAATTTAATCGGGATAATATCAGATATTTTGCTACTACTATGCAGGATCTTTCTTTTCATTTACAATTTTCATAAACAGTCCCACTACTTCCCGATAGGATCCCCAGACTAAATTACACAAAGTGTCAAACGACAAATTTGAGTTTCATCGGAATAAGTATTTGGAAAAAATATTAACTGCGAGTGAAAATTTTATCTTAGTACACAAAAACATCGATGGCAAATCAATTTAATCGCTGCTGGTTCACAATCAGGATAATCGCCGAGATTAATAAGATAGTCTTCTACGTAAGAATCCTTATCGATCCAAGTTATCCTATCTAGCTTTGATAACGAATCAATTTATTCATACGTAAAAGCCTCGCGCGGCATTTCTTGCTTTAGACTGTTGGGAATACCTTAATTAATTATTCAATTTTCACGCGATTAGGTCTCATCGAGATACCCAACATTTATTATTTACATATCATGTATGATAAGAAAGCGTGAAATCTGAAAGAAATTAATTTTCAAAAAGTTTATTTGACATTTTCAGCTGATAATAATATTTTGTTTCCTGCATGTGATTAGCTACTCAATGAAAAGGCTAATAAGAGAAGATCGTATCTACAAAAATAAAGTGTGATTAGATAAGAAAAATAACATGTACCTAAAGTCAATCTTTAATCCAGAAACCAGTTAGCTTTGATAGCTTGGATTCCATCAATACATTATATAGTCATTAAATTCTCTTCAATTCTCATTGTATCGCAATACGTGCGATTTCAAAGCAACAATCGTATCTTCACTATTAATGAATTTTCATTGATTACAATTAAAAGTGCGTCTGTTATCGTATAAAGTATTTTAACGTTAATAGGATATACATTGTGTTTTAAAATGCCGTGACGTACTAGTAAAGTATTTGATATTATGACTAAGAGAATATATATATATATATATATATATATATATTATATAGACTTAACCCATTCAGCCTCAGCGATTTCAAAGGGACACAATTTCGTATTTTTTATTTTCTTTCTAATAATTTCCATCTAACTTCTTTACTAAGTAAAATTAATAAATTTTTTGCAATTTCGCAATTTCTATTCAATTAACCAAATTACGTCTCTTTCAAATTCAACGTACCAGAGTCCGACGGGGTTAAGTGTATAAATATAAGTTTAAGTATACATATATATATATGAGCAATACGCCATGCTGAAAACGATACATATCAAGAATCGCCTGTAAGGGTAACGCGGGTGTGGTAGGGTAGCATCTTAAGCAAAAATAGGATTTAAGTGAAGAAAAGGAAATAGGATGAAAAAAAAGATAAAAAAAGAAAAAATTCTAATAAGACTCAATGGGGCTTGAAGGATAAAAAATAATGGGTATATTATACAAAAAAAATATACATATATAAGAAGGGTACATCCTCAAGAAACGACTATGACAACCGACGAATTAGTTGCCGGTAAAATCGTAGACGGAGGATGACGACTTGACAAACCCTTAACACCGAAAGGTGTTTCCTCGCAATAAAACTTTGAACTTAATTAACCCAGCACACTCGATTCGCACCGAAGAGCCGTAGCCAAAGGGGCGCGACACGTAAAATCGACCGGCGTATCCGCCGCAAATGGGACCGCAGCAGCCATTTAATTTTTTTTCTTCCCCGGAAATGAAGATCATAGCCAAACTTTTTTTTTCGTATCGTAAACCCTTCACCCCCTTTCCCTTTATATTTTTCTGCTTTACGTTATTCTCGTGCAGCATCCGTATCTTTACGCTTTGCTTTGTATATTTTTCTCAATTTTTCTTCCCTTCACTTAGTTCTTCTTTTTTACCTTTCTTTTTACAGGCAACAACTGTTTACAACATGGCTACCATACCACGTCTTGCTTTTATCCGCTAGATGGCAGGCGCACTCGCTTCGTATTCGTTGCAATCGTAAATTTACATTCTTACGGGCATCGAAATGCATCCCCTGCTAGATTGTACACGGTTTTCATAAATAGTACGACCTATCTCTTGGGGTAGCTACACGGGGGGATGTTAGGGTAATATTTGTTAGCGCGTAAAACACTTGGCAAACCTTCATCATTCCCCATGCAAATTCTATTCCCACGTATGATCGATATATAACTCAAACGTTTTGTCCAGGTTCAATTTTATTTGCTCTGGATGCTTTTTAAGCGCGCTCCCGTCCAATCCTTGCGATTTGATCGATCAGTACCGCCGCGCGAGGAAGGGAACCTGAAATCGCACTGTAACCTTTTGCGGAATAAATGGAAGCGCCGTGGAACGCGAAACGATCGCGAAAATATTTCAGTCTGAGAATAGTCCTTTACGTTTTGCTCCATTATCAGGAAGAAGCTTGCCAGAAGCGATGCCTCGGATGAAAATACAATTGTAAACATATTTCGCGCCTTGGCCGCCACTGCTCCTTAGAATTTGTTTTTTATTCACTTTTTATCCCCATTTTGTTTCACTCCGTCGTAACCTACAGACAGAGAATGCCGTTACACGGTTTCTTGTAATAAGGAAGGCGTACATTTGAGAACAGTTAAGATTTTTCTTTTTTTTTTACCTTTTTTCTTTTCATCTGCCTCCAGATACGTAAAATAGTCGTGGACGAGAAAATGGCGCTGGTTCCACTAGCAATGATATCAGGTTTGTTATCGTCGTTGCATAAGACAGAGTCCAGGGATTTGTTTCCAGCCTGTCGAGTGTATGTCCCACTGCAAGATAAAGGACCGTCCACATTGTTCTAGGTTAAAATTCAAATTTTACCTCACTTGTAAATTCGAGCGACATGGATCGCTACTGTGTATCTGGGCTTTTTTATCTTTGACGACAACGCAGGTCGTTACGAGTCTCGTCATTTCGTAGCTAATGAAAAAACGAGTGTAGGGATATCTCATACGAACAATGAGCCATGGTTCGCTTCCAATGTTCGTCCTTCATTTTCTAAAATAAAAATTCAAAAACGTATTAGTACGTAGAATGGAAAACGGTTTTTTTTTTTTCATTGTCGACAGAAAAAAATAAGAATTGACCCAATTCTGTTTTCCTCGTATACGGTCTCCCTATTCACAATTTTACGAGCACGACAGAGTCCAGGTATAATATTGCAAAAGGACAAAAAAAAATAAACCAAGAAAATATACGTCAAGTCCGAACTTACTTAGCCGAGTAGCTTGATTAGAGTCTCGCTAACTTTAGCTGGGAATGAGATAATGAAAATGGAGAAACTTGCACAAGGGATAATTCATTCTTGTTAATTGTAACAGCGTGAGTCGTAGCGTTGCGCATCGATCCGTCTACGTTGGCGGCGCTAGTGTCGCGAGATTCCTTAAAGCCGCGAAAGTTCAAAAGCGACGAAACGAAGTGAGACAAGGACAAAGAAGAAAAGTCAAGAAACCTCATAATAAAACTATACATCAATATCTATAATTGTCACGTTGAAAGATTGTCATTTAATAAATGCAAAGAAAATTCAAGCAATTTTCCAGTAACCGTATGTAACGTAGGTCCATTAAAAATTACTACCGGAATTATTCGATCATACCTAATACAGCATCTATACGCAGCTTGTTAACAATTCAAATTTCAATAAACGTTCAGCAACGAATATATATATATATATATATATATATATATATATATATATTGTATTATACATAGATATATTATTATATCGTATAGACATGAAAAGCATCGACTGCCCTGAGTACCTTTTTTCCTTTACAATCTACACACAGAAAGCAGCGGACATGGTATTAGCTCGCGCAAAAACCTTCATCCCGCAAACGATACGCATATGCAATGTTGAGGATGCAAACGAATTTATTAGCTCGCAAATTTACTAATTTAAATTTAAACCGAGCGCGTCGAGAGTGCTCGCACACTGTCAAGGACGAGCCCCGGCTGCATCCAATTAAACGTCGGCGCTCTTGCGTGGTCGAGACTGCATTAGACGAGAAAACGAATACGAGGGAACACGAATGAGAGTAACGCGTCAAAAATATCAAAATTACCACGTTATATCTTCGGGTAAAATTAACAATTTATGAAATTACATTTGGAAACGTCCCGAGGGCAATTCAAAAACCACCACGATTAGCCAACATAATTAGCTTTGCCGAATTGAAAATAGGGAGGTTGTGAGACGGTCCTTTGTCTTTTGGTAAGAGAGGGATTAAAGTGCGTAGATCTTTAGGGAAAATGAGATGGCGGAGGAGAGGGGGAAATCTCGAAAATCAAATTTCATAAAGTTCCATGCGGTTACGGTCAAGAATAACTTTTCAAATGCCCTTTACATATATATGTATATACACATAATTTTTCTCGTTCGCATATAGGGGGGTGACTTTATTTTTTAGCGCGCCGCATTTCTCGTCGTTTAGCATTAGAATCGTATCAAACTAATATAAAAGTGCAAAAAGGATGAGGAAAAGAGAAAATATAAATGAAAAACGAATACATATCATTAGCTATTACACGAAACGCAGCATAGTCTCTAATGATACGGAATAACAATAATAATAATAGTAATTAACGATATTGATAATTTATTATACATTTACCGATATATATATATATATGCATATATTATATACCGTATAAATTGATATTGTATATATATATATATATATTATATATACATGCATACAAATATAAGTTTTACTAAAAATTATATATTGTATATTACATAAAGCAAGCGTGAGAATCGATGAGTTGCTGGCATGTGTCCAGTAAAATTAATGAGTGATATATGAGTGAGTGCGAATGCCTGTTGTGTGTGATTCAACGTATACGCGTGCGTGGATATGAATGAAAAAGAAAAGAAATGAATGAACGAATGGGTATCGAGAATTTCGAAATAAAATGAGACATATCAACAAAGATACAGACAGTATTTTAAAGAATAAAAGTACGTAGGCGTAGGCAGAATTTGCCGGGAGAATAATGAAAGTGACGTTATCCGTTACGTTAAAGCAAAAGTTTTACGTGTGAAGTCTTTTGAAGCATTTAGAATTAGATTCTCGTGACGTGAATAAGTGTATTGACGAGTGATATGTAGAAACGGCGAAAAGGAAAAAAGATGGATGACAAGAGAATGGGTGAAATCAAATGAGAACTGCAAGTCCTTCGATACGTATGGATTCTGCACGTAAATCAACAACACCGAGAACACTCCGGAGTCAGGATTGATTATTATACATGTATTAGACAATTTATTATTTTTATAAATAGTCTTACCTTGTTAGACCTTTGTGCGTGTGTCTCTACCCGTTGTAATGTCCCAGAGAAAACCTAAAGATAACCTTAATAGACACTTACTTAACCTACGTACGGAATCGCTTTCGAACTTTCTAACTTCAAAACGTCATTCAAATACGACGTGTCTTTTTGAATGAAGCTTCTATTCCCCTAATACGTTTCGAACTTTAAATCGTAGCTGTATGAAACCACGTTAGATCTGACGATTGTTTAACTGCATATATTGTCGCGCGTAATAATTCTGATCAGCGTTATATAGAGCTTGAGTGCGCATGCGCGCGTGCTCTTGTTCATGTCAGCGAATAATTCAAAAGTTACATATTCTAGAAGACGATTCTATTCATACATGAATAATTGCAATCAGCCATACATAGGTCGAGTACGGCAATAAAAGAAAGAACGAACGAATAATGATTTATTCGTTCCGTATTCTTTAAGAAATATCGAAAAGGATTATTGGAGAGACGAAGAGAACTACGGTGAATTGAGCTACGAAGGACGGTAAAATGTTATCTGATTCGTATCGGATGCCAATTCTCAAAGTGATGTTATGTAACAAAAAGCAATAATTCCCATTTACGTTTTAAAACAATGGAACACGTGCGACTGATAGTTTATAGTGACGGAGTATGAAAACAATGTCAATGGCGTCCGCCATCTTTCTCAATATTTCCCTTTTGTTCTTTCGTCATTCTAAACTGCCCAGGAACGATATTCTGCTGATTACGTAAACTGTACACTGTCATCCTTTTTTTTTGTTATAACGTCGCGACACAAAGAAACCGTCAGAAATAATGTCACTGACTTGCGTAGTACTTACGCATGCGCATTAGAATAAAAAAGGGAAGGACAACAAAATCGTCCACTGCCGCATGGAATTTATGCAGCCTATTCGAGTCACCGCTCTGCAGTCAGAATTTATCATAATAAATTAATCTTATTAACATTAATACGTCACGCTCGCGTACCTGTAAATCGTTAATTCGCTAGCGTGCACGCAACGATCGTATACCTACGAAAGGTACGTCATGTGGCGGGAAATTTAAATTCGAACTAATGAAACGACACGAAAACGATTATTCAATTCTATAAAATCCACATCCCATGATTTATATCTCACTTAATACTCGACTGTTTACAACAATGAAATCCTTTTATCTGTAATACAAGATTTACAATCTCACCTATGTCGTATCGTCCTGTTACCTAGTAATATCTGACGTCTCCAATTATACGTTTATACTGTGTATCCCTCTAATTTCTCTTAAAGCATAGGCGTAACAAAGGAATTATTGCAAAACCTGCCAGAAGGAACGTTCTCACGTGGATCTGCGAACAGGAATTTTCATCGTTCGCAAAGATTACGTTGCGACGTGTATAATTCGCAAGACGCAACGCTTACGATAGGATTGACTATACGAGCTATATAAGATCGATTAAATAATATAATAATAATAATGCGAATTAAGAATAGTCAATCAATCGTTTATCGTGCACCAGCGTAGAAGCGACTCGGCGATTCGCTATCCGCTCTTATCGCGCCGATCATATTGTGCGGGCATATTGTTGGTTGGCGAAGTTTACGATTTATTATTAATTATTAAATCTTTTTGTATGTTTATATGCAGTTGAATGATGTATCATCGATGTTGTCGAGTTATCTGATTGTAATACGAACCTCGTTAGTGAAAACACGTCGCTTTTAAATTATCCTGTAATTTCGTAAGCTAATTAAATGAAATTGTACAAAATTCATTGAGTATATTAGTGGATATCATAAGAGAGAATCAATATAGCGACATATTGTATATTTATTTTATTACTTTTTTTTTACCCCATTACACCTTAAACCAACGATAAAAACAGTCGCCATTATGATTCTCTCACAAATCGACAGTACGTCATAAATGCGTATAATTATTGTCGAACCTTCCTCTTTCCTTTTGTCCAATTTACTCCTGGCTATACTCCTAGTATAGATAAAATGTCAACCCGATAATTTCCAATTATTGTTATCCTCAGGCACGTACCAAGAATCTCCTCGTGGAAACGTCTCCTATCTGTATTAGCGGTACCGCCATTACTCCTTATTAAGTCCATTGGGATTAGAGAAAAGGTACATGATAATAGCAATAACAGAGAGCCTCGTTACCCGTAGTCTCTGAGTCACAATCTAAATGCATGATTTCATAAATTGTTTATTGGAATTGGAATCAACCGATCTTACTTCCTTTTGTGTAAAAGCGAGAGAGACAATATTTTTTTCTATCACAGAATAGCCGTATGAGCTTAAGAGAAAACGAATTGATGGATTAGAGTTGTTTCATCCCACTGGGAATCTTTATACCGTTTTCAGACTCTTACCGCGTTGTGGGTAAACTCTTTTCGTCTGGGGACTAGTCTCGGTATAATTCCAAAAAAAACCTTATTCTCCTCCTGGAGTATGCGAGGGTGGGTATTATATTGTGTTCATACTGCATCAAATTCGATTGAACGTCAATTCGTGAAAGGTGCGCATGCGTCTACCTTTGCGTTCCTTCGAATTTTCCAAGAACCACAACAGCTAGAGTCCCTCTAGTAAGAGTCCGGCCAACACCCGGAAGGGACGCCATATTAAGGGCTTGCTTGGCGCCACCATGACATTGCGCGCGGATTTTCAAACTATCAATCTTTACCATCAAGAGACTCGGTCGAGTCTCGCGCCAAGTACAGGCAACCCGCCGTACAGGGCTTAACACTACCCACCCTAGAAAATGCGAATCTCTCCCATATACGTATTCACACACACCATTCTATTCCGGAAAGAGCCTATAATATGGCGGAGCCAATCACTAACAAGCCTCACCGTTGGCCGGACTCTTACTAGAGGGACTCTAACACCAGCCTCTTGACAGTGTCACCTGACGAAAATTTTTATAACTGAAAACACAAGCACGGATCATACTGATAATTTAAAACCAGAATTGATTAGGCTCGTGATAGAGATGAGTAGGGAGATGCACAAGGCTACGGTTTTAGGCGATACCAAAATCATGGAGCTAAATCGTAACGGCGAGTCTGGAAGTAAGATGTTGTTATCATCGCCACCATCGACAATGCGAATCCCGTCGTAACCGAGGTAAACGTGAACACGAACGCGTAGCTTGGCGGGCAGAGGTTCTCCGCTACTCACCGCTGGTTCCCAAAGCAACCCTTACAACGAAACCGGGAAATATAGAACTTCTCAAGAACTATTGAAAAGGCGTGTTGTTGAAACATTTTTAAGACATTTTTAAGAAAGTGCCAACTTGACAGCCATGTAGCACCTCAATTTCTACTAAATATTGGATCTTGATTTACTTTCAAAATTTATTCAAATTATAAAATTGAGGCTAAATAAAAATCTCGCAGAATATACGGAGTAGATAAAAATTGAATTGAAATTGTAGAATATCGAAAATAAATTACGTTCAAATTGAAATATTCATAAATTAGGTGTTTGGAACATTAAAATAATTATTTAAATCAACAAAGTAAAATATTAACGTTTAGAAATCGGAAATTCTGGCCAAGCATATTTAAAAGTACTGGAAGTTGCCCAAAATTGTGTGTGCGTAAATTCGTCGCGCAGGGCTCGGCGAGTGGGGGAAGCGCTCGAGGCAGGGCCCGGACTCGGAGCGTTTATTCTTCCTCGAGCCGGTCTCCTATACTGGTCTGTTGGAAACATCCCTCATATCCATTTCCAGCCTTCTTCTATTTCTATATTTATTTCTTTTTTACTTCCTTATTTCTTTATATTTCATTCTTTACTTTCTGATTTATCTCTTTCCTAAAGTCCTATAAAGTCCTATCTGTGCTTGTGTTCTTGGGTCGGCTTCACTTGGGGTAGGTGCGAGTACTATTGAGCACCTGCTAGTTTAGACGAGGTCCGCCGCCGGCAGCGGACGCGGTCCCATACGTCTAACCCACTGAGCTTGCTCGGTGGGAAAGGATGGAGGTTATAGCGTTGAATATCGTCTCTCGGGACGTCCTGGCGGTGCTCGTCCACGGAAATGGGCGAAGAGCGGCCCATTTCGCTCCCTTATACTTCCTACTTTTCCCACTTTTTCCAGTGTTCTCTTTTCTACTCACTCTGCTCGCGATTGCATTTGAGATACCATTACGATTTTCTCACTCCTGCAGTGATATAGTATTGCTGTAGTTCGTGTAGAAGATATTGCCAAAGATTGTCTAGCGAAATCATCGTAATTTAGGCTTCTTTATCCTAAAGTTTTCAATCGTTCACTGTACATAGTCCTCGGTGATTATCAATATTAATCAGCATTTTAGTGATCATTCATATCTTTTACATCAGGGTATGGATAACATATTTCATATCAAATGTAAATAGTCAAATTACTTTCACAAGTGTGTACAATATTTATTATCAATATTCTGATATATGTTACATAACGGTCTTGTATGTATATACAGATAAAGTTTAAATCAAATGTAGATACATTCTTGTCAGTATGCCATAATTTCACAAAAGACAAGTAAAAAAAAAACAGATTAACGGAAAAGAAACAATAATTTTGTCAAAAATATATTTTTACAAGCCCAAACGACCAGGAGTCTTTCTATAAGGAGCAGGCGTACCCGGTTCCCTAGATCCAGGAGTCAGGATTTCTTTTCTGTAACAAAAGAAATTATATTTGTATTAATCTCATCCACATTCATGTTTAAATCCATCATAACTAAACTCCACTTACTTTCTAACTGAGGCTTGTTCCCTCTCTAACTGTTCTTGAGCCCTAGCACGCATCTCCTCTTCCGCTTCCTTCATCTGCCCTTCCATCTCATGAAGATGCTGCATGGCCTGTTTTCTTTTAGCTCGACCACTACGTCCAGTCTCTTTTACACTGAAGAACATTGGTCCTAATTCAGCTAACCAGTGACCATCAACAGCGGTAACACACTGCATGTACTCTTTGGCAGTCATCACCAGCTCGTGGTAGACTACGTAGTCTGGTGTGAAACCCATGCCAAAAAGAGCACTAGTGGGATGAAGATGGCAGGGCATCCCGGTTCTGCAATTCACGTATTCCCCTATTCCCTTGAGACGAGCTGCTTGATGAAAGTACGCAGAGCAGATACATTTCCTGACGACATCCCAATCAGTACCGCAACTGACCACCTCCATTTTTTGTTGCTTCAATATTTCCTCAAGCTGCTGACGCACCTCTCGTACTTTCCGCATTGCTTTTGCGTGGATGAAATGATCATTGCACCAGGAACTAGAATAACCATTTGATTTCCACTGATTGTAGACGTTCAAAAATGTCAGATGATCCGATTCAGGAACTTGAAATTTCTCGCGGGCAGAATCAGAGTCCTCTTCACGACCTTTTGGACGATAAAATATTGACGGAACTGATAGCATTGATACTGAAATCAAATAAAATAATTCATTACACCCTATTGTACCTTCTATCAAAGATAAGAATAGTTTTTAGAAAAGCATTAGTAAATAGAATAGTAGTCATTCAATTTTTCATTCATTAAGCTAAATGAGCAATGAGCACAACACATACGTGGCACCAATGGAATTCTGATAAGAGAATAGAGCTATCATTGTGATAAAGTTCGAAGATTAATATCAAGTTCCCGATAGTACAGTCATGTACACTTCGGCACATTACTTTCTAATATCAGATATCTGTTTGGACTACAATTCTTTCTTTTATCAGTAACAAAGAAACTATGGCTAAGTTTACCTATGATAAGAATATCTGCTGTACAACCCAGCTGCGATGCGACTATCAACATTTGACACTGTGGTGGATCAAGAGGAAACTCAGCCATCTGACGTCCCAACGGAGTGAGCCGTCCCGTGTGATCCAAAGCACCAAGTATCCACAGTTGATAAAGAGAATTCAATATATTATCTTGAGGCGGGGGATCCATAAAGTGAAAGGCAAGTAAATCTTGGACACCCAACGATTTTAACAAGAGGACAGTATTGGCAAGATTAGTACGTTGAATTTCCGGAACTCCCGTAGGCAGAAGTTCATCCAAATATTGTCTTCTAGTATATAACCGATAACAATGTCCAGGTCCAGTTCTTCCAGCTCTGCCAGCTCTTTGATCAGCATTGGCTCTGGACACTGGATAAACCTGTAGAGCATCCATACCAATTCTAGGATTGTAGACCTTGAGTTTGCAGTATCCCGAATCCACCACGAATACAATTCCGTCTACAGTCAACGAAGTCTCAGCAATATTCGTAGCTACCACGCATTTTCGTAAACCACCTTCCGAACGTTGAAAGATCTTTGCCTGGAGGTCTGACGGAAGCTGGGAGTAAATAGGTAAGATTGATAGAGGTGGTGCCGAATCGATTTCAGCTAATCTTTCCTTCAACGCTTCACAGGTGACTTCGATGTCCTCTTGACCTGGCATAAAAACGAGTACGTCTCCACTTCGTGGTTGCAGATGAATCTGCAAGACCTGCTTAACTGCAGCATCTACATAATCCTCGACAGGATTCTTTGCGTGAAGTATCTCCACCGGAAAGGTTCTTCCTGGTATCTCAAATGTTGCAGCATTACCAAAGAATGCTGAAAACTTGCTGGAGTCCATAGTAGCTGAGGTCACGATGAGTTTGAGATCATGCCGCCGTGCGACAACCTGTGACATTAAAGAGTTTGATATACTGATAAGATAAACGTAAATCGCGAATTGACTGACAGGTAGTAGATTGACTAATGACAATCTACGATGTTGACCAGATAAAAATTAGGACGTAATGGATGCGTCGTATTCACTGGCAGTGTGCTTGGAAGCTTCATCGAAGGCTCATGGCTGCGTGGCTCTTTAAGTCGCAACAGTTGCTCGCCAGAAGTAATAGCGACAATGGAAAAGGATTTGCTACCACGAGACTCTTTGCCCTACGTCAATCGAGATGGTTTAATCAGGACGAATCTAATTTATTCAAAAATGTCTTAGATTCGGGTTACATACTAGAATTACGTATTCCAAAGAATACGGACACTCGTAACGTGGACAAGGATGCTGCGGAAACCTTGGAATACGGCATTGTCCTTTGGATCGATAAACCAGGTGAGTTTAATGGAACAATTTCGCAGTGTAGTACTCTATTATTATTGATGATCGTAAAGTTAAAGCGTTTCATCCGCTCCTTCATAGATGGCGAAGACAAGGAGGCAATGGTCGTGTACCTTGATCCCCAGAGTGACAAGTCCAAGAAGAAAGATCGTGAAATTAAGTACATTTCACTCCATCAATTCTGGTCAAGCGGCATTGAGATAAGGATTAACAACATGGGCGACCGAGAAAAGAAGCCTAATAGCCCTGAGGAAATTGTCGATCAGGTAAATCGTGCCTTGCGTGGATCTTCCAAATGGCACGACAGTAAAGCATTTGTATACTGGTGCCGTTATGGCAGTCCTCCTACAACCGTTCAGGAAAATAGCAGAAGACGACAATTGAGCGACGCAGCCATCCGGTGGGGAAGCATCTCTGCCAGTGCTGGTGCTCTATTCTACACGTCAAGACGTCAACGCAGACATTCCGAACGATCTGGCTAAAATTATTGAAAAACGATTATTCGTAATTTGTCGCTAGGAGAGAATTAAATTATTTACCTTGTTACCATGTTATGAGATACGTTACCATAACTTACTATATGCAGTATTTTATTATAGTATTTAACGTAGTCGTTAGATTTTTCTCATACATCATAGACAACATTTTTACTGTTTATCTCTTGTGAGAGATTACTTTTTACTTCTAAGAATATGATTTATTGGTATCAATAAATAAGATTCACTCTTACCTCGCGTAGTAATCCAAATAATACATCCGTCGATAAGGAACGTTCGTGAGCCTCGTCCATGATGACTACACTGTATCTGTCCAAGTCACCTTCGCGTAAGCTTTCTCTCAATAAAATACCATCCGTCATGTATTTGATGACGGTTTCCTTCGAAGTACAATCCTCAAAACGTATTGCGTAACCGACTTTATCCCCAAGTGCAGTAGCCATTTCATCAGACACTCTTTTAGCTACCGACATGGCAGCAACTCTTCTTGGCTGCGTGCAGCCGATAATACCGTAACAACTGTATCCGTCTTCGTGAAGATATTGCGTTAACTGAGTTGTTTTACCACTGCCAGTTTCACCCACGATAACGACAACACTATTTTCACGAATAACGTTCAGCAATTCTTGCCTGACGGCGAACACGGGAAGACTTCTTCTCTGTTGCTGAATCGAACGCTGTCTTGCTTCACCAGATATTTCACCAGCCCCAATATGACGTGCGTACTTCTGTCCTGCTTTGAAGTCCGTTTCCTGACCTTGCTGATCGCCGTCCTCACCTTTCTGTCCGTCCTTACGTACTCCCATGATATTTCCTATGTGGGTTCCTGCCAGTTCCCAATGTTTACGCTGCGCTCGACGTCGTTCTTTCTGTTCTCGATATGCGCGTACCAGTGCGGAACCTTTTCTTGCTACTAAAGCCATGTCTGATCCGGGATCTCGCACTGGTACTACTGGTTCTGGCTGCTTCGTGAACACGATTCGACCTAATTAACTCCATATCATTACTGTATCAAGGTATATTTTAGATGGTAATACTATTTCTAGGCTTTCGCTGTGTTATATTATTCAGCGAATGATGATAGTTGAAGTTAAGGTACAATTTAATATGTAAATATAACTTACCATCTAAGAATGGAGGAACCACGTTATGTACTAAGAGATGAACCCTCGCCTCGCCCTCGTCATCAGGATCGTCATCGTGGTCGAGAGAACTGACCACTCCTGATGTCAACATTCTGTTTCGTTCCCATAGTTCATTGTCTTTGTTTATTTGTCGTTGTTGTGCGGAGACGCGACGCTCTCTTCTTGCTTCTAGTTCCATTTCCTTCTTACGTGTATACTCTTCAGATACGTCATTAAATTGACGGTTTTCACCATCATCCAATGCATACCATTCTCTATCGAGTCTATAATAAAATATTGTTAAAGTTAATGGGATATTATTGATTATTAACTATACAGCTGCATATGAATAATGTAAAAAATTATTTACCTTTGCTGTTCCTCCTCCCAAAGCTCCTTCTGCTCTCCATCCAACATAGGTGTTGCACCTGAAGCTTTACGCTCTTTGACCCACGAGTTAAATTTGTACGATGGTGTAAATTCGCTTCGTGCACTGTCTCTGGGATCTCTATTATTGTACAATTTTGGAGTTGGATGATCCCAACTTGATCTCCTAGGCTCTTCATCTTCATCGTCATCCCAGTTACTCCGAGAGGTAGGATCCTTAAATCCAAATGAAAATATATATATGAAACTGTATATTTCATAAAACAGAAATAAGGTTATATGTTCAATAAAATACCCTTGTTCTAAATTTTGGAGTTTGAGGTTCATCCTTAAATCTAAGAGGAGTTTGTCTTGAACTATCTCTACTGCGACTTCTTTCATGATGCCAATCCCAGTCCCTTCTTCTATCGTAATCATAGTCTCGATCTCGATCTCTATGACGATCTCTATATTCTTGGTCACGGGCATCTAATCTCTGCCGTTTTAATCTTGATTCTAGTCTTCGTTGAGCTTCTGAATTGACTCCTCCAGTGTGCGTTGGAGTTTCTTCTTCATACGAACGATACCTTCTATCCTTAGACTCTGACTTGGAAGAACTTGTTGCAGCCTTAGATCCACTAGGTTCTTGAGAATTTTCACGTCTTTTACGCTCAGCGAGTTTATCGAGACCAAAAATTGAAGTCTGTGGCTTTTTGAACGTATGGTCAGACGTTTTTTTACGAATAATTAGTCCACCAGCCTCATTGTTGTTAGAACCTTGCAACTGATATAAGTCAGCGTCCTCAGACATTCTCGTTTATTCTGAATAAAATGTTGACCTATCTTTTTAAGAAAAATAACACTCTATATGTGTACTATTTATAAATGTTTACTAATCAATTACAGAATTCGGCAACGTATAATAACATAAACCTAAACACAATAGTTGTCACCAAAGATGAGCTGGGAGATGTACAACGCTACGGTTTTCGGCGATACCAAAATCATGCCGCTAAATCGCTCATCAGATATTGCTTAAATATGTATTTATGCTTAATTCGATGAACTGCCTCGTTGTAAGGGTTGCTCTGAGCAAAGATGAGCAGGGAGATGTACAACACTCCGGTTTTCGGTGGTACCAAAATCATGCCGGTAAATCGTAGCGGCAAGTTCGGGAGTAGGATTCTGTGATCATCGCCTCCGTCGACAATGCAAATCCCGTCGTAGTCGAGCTAAACGTGAACACGAACGCGTAGCTTTGCGGGCAGAGGTTCTCCGCTACTCACCGCTGGTTCCCAAAGCAACTCTTAGAACGAGACCGGGAAATATACAACTTCTCAAGAGTTATTGAAAAAGCTTATTGTTGAAATATTTTTAAGACATTTTTAAGAAAGTGCCAACTTGACACCCGTGTAGCACCTCAATTTTTACTAAATATTATTGGATCTTGATTTACTTTCAAAATTTATTCAAAATATAAAATTGAAGCTAAATAAAAATCTCGCAGAATATACGGAGTAGATAAAATTTGAATTGAAATTGTAGAATATCGAAAATAAATTACATAGAAATTGTGATATTAATAAATTAAGTGTTCTTAACATTAAGATAATTAATTAAATCAATAAAGTAAAATATTAACACTCAGAAATCGGAAATTCAGGCCAAGCATATTTAGAAATTACTGGAAGTTGCCCAAAATTGAATGCGCGCAAATTCGTCGTGAAAGGACTCTGGGAGTGGGAGATGGCAGAGAGTGGGGGTGAGCGCTGGAGACAGCGCCCGGTCTCCGAGCGCTCATTCTTCCTCGAGCCGGTCTCTTATACTGGTCTCTTGGAATCATTAGTCTTATTCATTTTCAACATTCTTCTCTTTCTATATTCACTTCTTCTTTACATTCATATTTCTTTATCTGTCATTCTTCACTTTCTGATTTATCTCTTTCACTCACGGAAATGGGCGAGGAGGGGCCCATTTCGCTCCCTTATACTTCCTAGTTTTCCCACTGTTCTCTTTTCTCGGTCCTCCAGAATAATCTGGTCTTCGTGCATATGCTTTACGCATCTTCTTCGCCCCTTCATCCCTCAGTCATTACAATCTTTCTTCTTCACTCTTTCTTTTTAACAATCTTCCTCTTTTCCCCTTCAACAACATCTTCCCTGTCTGCTGCCACCAAACGTTTCTACTCAATTTTCGAATCTCCTATTCCTTACTCCATAATGTCTCCATCACTATCTTCGTAATATATCCTTAAAAACTAAGTTTTTGAAATGTATTTTGGAAAAAGGAAAGTCCGAAGTGGTAGCGCATGTAACATACCACACGTGTATTATATTGCAGTGACGTATTTTAATATATCTTTAATGGCATTGATATTACTAAACTTTCGCGGACTATATATGTACATCTGTACTTTGTATACTATATCATTATTGCGTTTGTCCAATAAACTATCTTTAAACAATTATACACGTTGATATTCTTTTGTCCTATGCGAATATCCCAGAGTACGAATGAGTTTTATTTTTGAATCTCCTATTCCTTCCTATATCTCCATCACTCTCCTCCTAATATATCCTTAAAAACTAAGTTTTTAAAATGTCTTTTGGAAAAAGAAAAGTCCAAAGTGGTAGCACATGTAACATACCACAGATATATTATATTGGATTGATATATTTTAATGTATCTCTAATGGTATTGTTATTGCTAATCTTTTGTAAACCATATGTGTATGTATATCTGTACTTCGTATACTGTATCATTATTGCGTTTGTCGAATAAATTATCTTTAAACACATATACACGTTGATATTCTTTTACCCTATGCGAATACTCCAGAGTACGAATGAGTTCTGTCTCTTTCGTACTCTCCTTCGTCCTAACTGCATCCTTCTCCTACTCCTAATATAATTTGAAATTCAATTCTCGAAATTGCACCTTTGGGAGGCTGTATTTCGGAAACGGCTGGGTTTAGGGCTTTTTCCTTGACATTTTGAAAGATCTTTCAACGCAGAATGTCAGAATGGTCCATAGAAGAGGCTGGTACAGGTTAGATTTCGATAGGGCCACTTTCAAAAAATTCCTTCACTTTTCGGAACTTATGAATATTAAAAAAATTTGCATTAGTTCGAATTTTTGCCGATAAGGGGGCAGCACCTCCTGGGCATGATATATATCTGTACCTCGTATGCTGTATCATTATTGCGTTTTTTCAAATAAATCATGTTTAAACACATATACACGTTGATATTCTTTTACCCTATGCGAATACTCCAGAGTACGAATGAGTTCTGTCTCTTTCGTACTCTCCTTCGTCCTAACTGCATCCTTCTCCTACTCCTAATATAATTTGAAATTCAATTCTCGAAATTGCACCTTTGGGAGGCTGTATTTCGGAAACGGCTGGGTTTAGGGCTTTTTCCTTGACATTTTATGCGAATACTCCAGAGTACGAATGAGTTCTGTCTCTTTCGTACTCTCCTTCGTCCTAACTGCATCCTTCTCCTACTCCTAATATAATTTGAAATTCAATTCTCGAAATTGCACCTTTGGGAGGCTGTATTTCGGAAACGGCTGGGTTTAGGGCTTTTTCCTTGACATTTTGAAAGATCTTTCAACGCAGAATGTCAGAATGGTCCATAGAAGAGGCTGGTACAGGTTAGATTTCGATAGGGCCACTTTCAAAAAATTCCTTCACTTTTCGGAACTTATGAATATTAAAAAAATTTGCATTAGTTCGAATTTTTGCCGATAAGGGGGCAGCACCTCCTGGGCATGATAAGTGGCGCCATCTCTGAGAGAAAGAGTGAACTTTCTCCGATAAAATAATTCCGAACTCGATTTAAAAATCCCATTGTCGAAATTTCAATGAGTAAATCTTATTAAAGAATTTGCATTAGTTCGAATTTTCATCGATAAGAGGGCAGCACCTCCTGGGCATGATATGTGGCGCCATCTCTGAGAGAACGAGTGAACTTTCTAGAATAAGATAATTCCGAAAGTAATTCGAAAATCAGCTATATCACGCTGGTACATATAAAACTATCATAGGGCACTTTCAAAAAATCCCTTTACTTTTTGCAACATGCAGATGGAATAAAAGTAATGGCAGAGAAAATGCAGCATAGCCGAGAAGAGGTGTAGAAGCATAAGGTAAGTGAAGGAAGAAAAGGATGCTGTTATAATGGAGGAGTGTAAGAGAGAGACAGAACTCATTCTTACTCTGGGATATTCGCATAGGGCAAAAGAATATCAACGTGTCTAAGTGTTACAAGATAATTTATTCGACAAACGTAATAATGATACAGTATACAAAGTACAGACATACATACAGACATACAAAGTACATAGTATACAAAGTGCAGCCATACATACAGACATACACATACAGCCCGTGAAAGATTTGTAATAACAGTACCATTAAAGATATACTACATATATCACTGCAATATAATATAAGTGTTGTACGTTATATGCCCTACGACTTTAATTTTTCCTTTTTCCAAAGGACATTTTAAAAACTTAGGTTTTAAGGATATACTAGGAGGAGAGTGATGGAGACATAGTAAGGAATAAGAGATTCGAAAAGTGTATAAGTGTTACAATATAATTTATTTGACAAATGCAATAATGATACAGTATACGTATACAGTATATGGCTTGGGAAAGATTAACAATAACAGTATCATTAGAGACATACTACATATATCACTAAAATATAATACACGTGTGGTATGTTACATGCGCTACCACTTTAAACTTTTCATTTTCCAAATTACATTTTAAAAACTTAGTTTTTAAGGATATACTAGGAGGAGAGTGATGGAGACATAGTAAGGAATAAGAGATTCGAAAAGTGTATAAGTGTTACAATATAATTTATTTGACAAATGCAATAATGATACAGTATACGTATACAGTATATGGCTTGGGAAAGATTAACAATAACAGTATCATTAGAGACATACTACATATATCACTAAAATATAATACACGTGTGGTATGTTACATGCGCTACCACTTTAAACTTTTCATTTTCCAAATTACATTTTAAAAACTTAGTTTTTAAAAATATACTTGGAGAAGAATGATGGAGAATAGGAAGGAATAGGAAATTTGAAAATAGAATACAAAGGTTTGGTGGCAGTAAACAGGGAAGATGTTTTTGAGTGTCTGAGTGTCAATATTTTACTTTATTGATGTCATTAATTGTTTTAATGTTACAAACACTTAATTTATTAATATTACAATTTCTATGTAATTTATTTTCGATATTCTACAATTTCAATTCAAATTTTATCTACTCCGTATATTCTGCGAGATTTTTATTTAGCTTCAATTTTATATTTTGAATAAATTTTGAAAGTAAATCAAGATCCAATAATATTTAGTAAAAATTGAGGTACTACACGGATGTCAAGTTGGCACTTTCTTTCAACTTTATATTTTGAATAAATTTTGAAAGTAAATCAAGATCCAATAATATTTAGTAAAAATTGAGGTTCTACACGAGTGTCAAGTTGGCACTTTCTTAAAAATGTCTTAAAAATATTTCAACAATAAGCTTCTTCAATAACTCTTGAGAAGTTCTATATTTCCCGCTCTCGTTCTAATAGTTGCTTTGGGAATCAGCGGTGAGTAGCGGAGAACCTCTGCCCGACAAGCTACGCGTTCGTGTTCACGTTTAGCTCGACTACGACGGGATTTGCATTGTCGACGGAGGCGATGATCACAGAATCCTACTTCCAGACTTGCCGCTAGGATTTAGCGGCATGATTTTGGTACCACCTAAAACCCTAGCGTAGTGCATCTCCCTGTTCATCTCTGTTGTCACAGACTTCAAGAACTTTCAGATTACACCATTTAGGCACGAATTACATAAATATATATATCCAACTCAACTAGCAGTTTTGAGTACTAAAACTGACAAGTAGCGCCATCTCGAATGAACTTAAAATGGACTCACCCAGTAGTAAAGCGTGCTATTTAATTTCTGCTATTTAGGAACATACTGTGGGACCTAAATTAAATTGTGTTCAAACGTACTCAACAGATGATGCCATATGCAGTTAATTTGAGGACAACGTGGGCGGGAAAGAACACGGTCGGAAAGAATCAGCACAAAACAGCTGCTGAATGCTCATCGTACTAATCCGGACATAAGTCTTCAATAAACTCTAGACCTAAATCAAGAATATTACTGCAGTTAAGGTGCAAAGAAATATGTCATCCTTGCCTAACACCTTCAACATACGGTCAGTATTATCGTAATCACACTGAAAGTGAATGTAATAGAATAATAAATCCAATTTGGATATGTCTATATAGTCTTCATTCGGGTATCCTCGGCAAAATCTAGCTATACTTTCGTAGCCTCTTCCAACCACCATTAGACTCTAATAAACTACCTGTCTAAGGGCCATTTACCTATATTGTATGCACGTCTTGTTTGGAATAAACCTTAACCATTTATTTACGATAATAATTACCATAAAATACGGATTTGGAAATTGAATACTAGTCAAATACTATCACCATTAATGACTTTGAACAAGATATAATTTATATTTATTTTTCCACATTATTACGTATGGTACGCTAGTAAATCCGTATAATTACTTTGTGGCGAAGTGTTGAGGATTACTGAAGGATACAAGACATATAATCACAAGCAAGTAAATGAATTTTATTTAAGAAACATTCGTATAAATAGACATTAAATAATATAGAGCTATAATAGTCAGACCAGAGAGTTTCGCTAATATTATAATTAAACAATAATTTACATTTAAATAAAAAACGGAGTGTGTCAGTCAAACATGTATTTACAAAGTAACATCGATCTCTTCAATGGTCGAGATTAGGTTGTCCAGTCCGAAGAGGAAACCTTCTTCATGATTCCCCTGTTCCCACGGCCTTCTGTGAGTCAAAGTCTTCCCCTCGGGGACTTCGTAGGTCTTCGCGAAGTCAATCAACCAGACACCGACCTTCTCATTGTCGTAAATCATGAAAATACTGCTGCCTATTACCTGCCAAAAGATCAATACTATTAACGAGAGATTCCAAAATTTACAAGCAATAATTAACTGTTTACTCGAAGTAACCGTACCTCGTGAGTCTGGAAGTACGTGGACTCCTCGAATTTGGTTCGCAATTTCTTAAGACGTTCCAGTAACTTTTTCCTGGTGTCTTCGCGACCCGCGAGAAAGCGGACCATGGTGCTGAGTACTTCCTTGTGCGATTTGACCTTCTTCAGATCAGTAATAGGTGGCGCCCCAGGTAACTTCATAGCTTCAATTCTAAATCCATGACTGCAGGTGGAACTTTGCTGTTCTCTGAATTGCATATAACGCAATTTCGTAACAGCACGCTGCTCGTGTTCTTGGGCGGTCGGCGCATTTGGATCAACGGCAACCATCTTCTGGTAGAGGTCAGGCCTCGCGACAGTCTTAGACACTTCAGATTCAAGAAATGTCCTAGTTCCCATCTTAATATCCATTACATGAGGATCGTTGAAGCCAAATAAAAGATCCTGAAGCTCGATGAAGGTATCACCCTTGTATTCAACTTCTCGATAATACGTTGGAACACAGTCAAACATTGTCTCATCCTTGCTAAGAGCTTCGTAAACCATCCTCTCGGTATTTTCAGAACCACCAGCACGTCTTTTCCACACGGTACCAGGACCGGCTGGTGCGAACCCATCAGGATGTCCTGAGAGTTGAAACCAGGACTTGAGTCTGTTCTTAAGTATAACATCACTAGCAGGAGCAGTCAGGTCCAATGCATTCTGTAAAGCAAAGTAAGTTCTAATTAATTTATATACTATGAACAAGCATATTTAAATAAAAATGCAATCAATGCAAATAAAAATGCAAAAAATGCAAATTGCAGCATTTTAATTCTATATTAAGAAATCGGTCAATGAAAATCTAATAAAACCCTCTGCCAAATAGATACATATATTACTGATCATCTCTTAACAAATTATTTCTTCAGTGGGTAATCATCGTGTCTTTTCCGAAGATACCCACCAGAGCAAGAAACTTCAAAGAGAGATCTTCATCAGGCATCGAGGTATCCGAAAGAACGAGAGGAAATTGTTCCAGCTTCCGTACCGTGGCAGGGTCATTAGGAAGTTTAGCGACAATGGTTGATCCAAGTCCCGCGTTGTTATTATTGGATCTATTTCCGGCGGAGGTGCTTCTTCGCCATTGACGGAAGACGGCTGAGTAACTACCGGAAGGAGCATCCTTCGACCGTCTCTGGTCCTTATGCAGGCTGGATTCGTGGCTCAGGCGTGATTTCTCCTTATTAGACGAAGGCTGTAACCAGAGAAACCTACTAAGAATTTAATGCAGCCGAAAATATAACTGATTCCTATTCTATAAGGTAATTAGCTGTATGGCTAAAAATTAACCGTATATCAATCAGTACTACCAATGGAATTTCTGTCAAAATTTTTTAATTTATTGACACTTGTATACCGTGCAAACAAGTACATAAAGTTACCTATTTACTTTTGACGTCCGTTTCCTATTTGTATATTGATACGCAAACGCTGTTAGATAGATAAAGCCAGTTGAATAGATTAGCTGAATAGCATACAAGTTCTAATTGCATTTACGCACTGAACCTTCTAATTGTTTACATGCTTGTAAGCATTATTGTCATGCTCATCGTCATAATTTATGTTCAACAAAATTATACAAAGGCGTCTGATCGATGAGTGTCGTTAACTACAGTCGAAAAGCTTTTTCGCTATTTCTCGCGTGTTCTATATATTAAATAATAAATTATTGTTTTATTGCCAACAGAAGCGGCGCAATTGAACAAAGAACACAGTAGAAAAGCATCGAGGAAGTGTCCGCAGGTGATTGATGAGACGAATATAAACCGATGAAGAAATGTGTAATTATTTAATAAGAAAAAAAGTAGTATTTGATCGTTTCATTAGGAAACTGAAAAAATACAGCTGCGTGTAAGCAAAAACGTCAAACCAACTCACGCCAGTGAGAATTATAATATACGTTCTTATTCGTCTTTATATATCTGTATATAAAGTTCCTGATTTTGACTTACAAAGTCATCGAAACTGTTAATAGATTCAAGATGAAATTGTCATCTCATCTCATAAATACAAGTGGCATGCGTTTCTATCTTAAAAACAAATAAAAAAATAAGCCGTTCTCTGATAACCGATGCTTTCTCATTATACAAGCACTTTTTTTTTTATTTAACAAACTAATAACTGCTTACCGTCAAAGTGAATGATTTGAGTTACCGGTCAAGTTATGGCATATTTTAAAATACCAGTCTATCGGGTCAAAACGAAAGCAAAAAGAAGACGTAGGAACTCGAGTTGGCGTAAAGATTTTATTGTACGGTTGGTTTACGTAGGATAAATGAAATGCTTTAAAAAATGCAAAACTCAGTCCTGTCAACCACAAAATACCAATCGCGTGTTGATGACATAATTAAAATATGCAAAGAAATATGTTCTGGTACGATGTACACGAAACTGTCCCTGCTGTACATTTATACATACAACTGTTACATCCAAATCGACATTATAAATGGAAACATTTCTTGGACAACCATTAGCCCGCGCAGTTGTATCAATGAAATATATTTGCCAAACGATCTTTTATTTTTAGTGTCAATACAAAGAGTATACATTAACAACTGTAATAATAATGACTAATTACGATTATACAGAAATCTACTGCTAAATCTTAAAATACCAATTTAAGGCGACTGTCTTATTAAGTGGCTCTGTTTTACCTAAAACAGAAAATGACTAATACAACGAACTGACAAGCCTGTCAATTAAAAATAACTGCCGGCAGCTAAAAATGTTCTAAGAATCTTGTGTCGATTTTGATATATGGAATCGAACAGGCCTTAGCCTATTTCTAGACCAAAAACAATAACCCCTGTTCGTATGCCGTTAACGTAGCCTAAGTAAAATTCACACCACGCAAACGGTATGAGCCATCGTGAGTTATTTTGGGAACAAAATAATAGCGCTGTCCAATATTGGCAAAGTACTGTAGTACGAGGCTTAGTAAATAGTATGCTTATGTAGCGAGTTTTGATTCTATCAGCGACGGCTTCGCGATGACTGTTCAGTAGCTATTCCATTATTGGCAATGGAATATACATATTATACGTGCGTACAATTTTCGCAATGGTTTGTAGGAATGTCAGGGAGTGTTTGAGAATTGGCACGTCGCGAATATCGATCCAATCTAAAATTCACTTGTAGTATAAACATCGTTGTGTTTATCATCGAGCGTCGAATGATAATACGTATCGTAATGACACGATAAAAATCTCCGAGACGTTTATTGCCAATGTTTCGATTCGAAAACTCGCGCGCACTTCGCAATGAGCCACCAGGGTTATTCGTGGCGTTGGGTTCTGATTGTAAAGCAGTTATTAATCGCACGGTGAAAACTAATTTTTAACGGTCTTTGGGTTTAATAATTTCATCGATAACAATATATCCGAGTGGCTGCAGCCTTCTCTCGTTATGTTTCATAAATGCACAAGGCGGGCCCACAATGTATATGTATTACAGAGATCGGTATTTCGTTTCGTTGATATCTTATTCGAATCGTACCTATAGTTCATTACCATCCATTTTATGAGCCTTCGGATTATACGTTTATGCGAAGAGTTACGCAGCAATCAATTGTTAATCCTGAATTGAACGTCAGAAAGGAGATAAAGATCCATACCGAGAGGAGCACTGAGATTTCCATCGATTGACAAGAATACGCCATGACAGTTTTGCATTAGCCTTGGGATCAGTAACCTCCAATATAAAGTCTAACTCGTTCCGCTTGACGTACAACGTGCATATTGCAACTGTGATTTTAATCAAACATCTAATCATTGCTGTCGTTTGTGTATTCACATCTTAATTCGATGTACGAGTCATCAGTGTACAGAACAAGATCATAAAGTGCTGTATACAATTGTAAGTATGCAATGACATCACTTTACAGACATGTCCGCATTTCTATAGGGCATTAAGAATAGATTTTATATAACGTCCTGCGTTGTTTCTTCATGATACACATGATCAATGGAACAGTTGTTGCTAGATAGAACGAGTTCGAATAATGTGCAGGCGAGCACGCAATTCACATATGTATGTGCATTGGGTCTGCGCACCACGAATGGCGTCGCAGGGCTGCGGGAGAGTTACGTCACGTAAACATTCGGAAAGCGACAGAAAGCGTTACCAAGCACTTCGCATTGTGATGGGGGAATAATACACAGGACGGAATTAGGTCGAGAAGGATATCAAGACTGGCGTTTCAAGGATAAATGAACTAAAATTCAATCACGAAGAACCGATGAGGTATCACGAAAAAAGGTTATGTATCGTCACGACGGAGTTGACAGTAATTTTCGTACGACCGTGGGTGCTGTGCGTGACGATTGATATATCCAGCAGAATCGTAATGTCGTGTATAGTCGTGCAATTATAAATTACGTAGGTTTCGCGTCGATTTCGCGATACGCCATTAATTTTAATCTTCCTTCTATCAAGGACTCTTTCTCGAGGACAAGGAAATTCTTTGCGCAAATTGTTTTTCGCACGTTCGAGGTTCACTGACACCCTCATTATGCGCTGCATATAGAAACAGATATAAGGGGATGTGAACGTGGCCTTCCTTGAGAAAAGTCGAGGACAAGAATTCAGGGAGGACAAGGCAGGATACGTTATTGAAAAGAATTCGCGGAAAGACTAGCCGGAAGTGATAGAAGCTTATCGAGGATTCGATGCACGAATTACTTGTTTACGTGTTGTCTTTTTTATTTATTTTTTATTTCACTCAGCAATCAACAGCACAGGAATACCCTACGTGAGTGTACACTGCTTACGAAATCAGTGTAATCTTTATTTTGTGATATATATAGTATACGCGAATCTTGAAAAAGATAGTGAAAGAAATAAACAAAAGAAAAACGGAAAAAATATTCTTTATTGTTGATGCTAATGTAACTGTTGAATTTTCTGATTTACTATTAAGCACACTGTGTCTACGATACTCATATTATTCCAGGTAGCATGTCTCATTCCACCGATATGGCAACATTGGATTCCCAAGAAGTGGTACAACGCCAGGTTAACCCCTTGCATTTGGAAGCCGTTTCGCATTGATGCAACGTTCGTGCCGATGTCTCAGAGCGAGGGACAACCAGGTATAGAGGGTTAGTAAAGAATAGAAATACGCAATTCAACGTGAAACCGTATGCATTAGTTTACGAATGACGACAGAGGCGTTGTCGAAGAACGAATAGTGATAACTTAACGCTTACAGTGCGCGACTAGTTCCGCAGGACGTCACGTGACCCGGCAAAGCTCGTCCGATTACATACACGCGTACTTCCTTGCGAAGGAATCGCGCATGAAAGGCATGCATAATTGAAAAAAAAATAAAAATAAAAAAATAAAGGTACCATTATTTTCTTCACCCGTGTACTACACGCTAAACCGAATATAATACTCTCTATTTCATATCACTTCTAGCAATTCGTCACCATCCCACACGATCAGCCCACAAGAAGTCACAGCAATTACTTTTGTCATGGTCGCCATTGTTCCTCGAGCGTGTCGCAGAGTAACCCAACGACGTTCCGGTTTAACTTTCAAATGGTTCGAATCCCGCAAGAAAGATATTTCGCGTAGCACCTTGGAACTGATAAGCAGCTTAACGACGGCCACCTCTCCACGTCGTAAGTTCCTTTTACTGTTAATTTCATACCCGAGCACTTTAATTTCGTTGATAGCTCTAGTGTGCGCATACTGATGTATCATAAACAAATCACGCTATGCGATATCACTCGCACTCAACGAATTCAATAAGAAATATCGCTACGGTAAATCGCTCAACTCTCAAGAACCAAGCGCCGTTGGACACGCGTTCACGTAACGACGGCGCGCGTAAACATATCAGAGCCACGAGATTATGAATGAAATTATTTTCTGCTATGGCGCGTAATTACGCTCCACTTACAGCGTTACATTTATAACTCGTTATAAGCTGCACTGAGAAGTCGAACGAAAGTGGCAAATGGGTAGCGCGATCTCTTATAGAAACGATAGGCGCGGTTAACGTATGCAGTTAAGCTATTTCTTTATCTTTACCTATGGTAGATTTATACCTGATAATTTTATAATGGAACGAATGATTATACAGCGTTGTATATCGCAATGATAACAAGGTGGGTATCTTTCCTACAGTGACTTTTATCGCTGATTCTACGTTTCAGCTGAGATTGCACTGACAGCAAGGATATCATTTATGAAGGAAAAGATTTTTTGAAAAATTCGTTACCTCGACTCGATCAAATGTCCCAGGACCTCGGGAAACATTTTTGTGTCTCCTTGACTAAAGGAAGTCGAGAGATATGCAGCTATGTGCGTCCTCAATGTTAATTATGACAATGAGAGATATATGTATACGTATCTCTCTGTATATCAGATCTCAATGACATTCCACGACGATGAAGAAATTCCTAATGATTTACTATGCACTGTGTAATCCATGGGTATAATTAGTTTAGATTTTTACACGATGCAATTTCGTATGATTCACTACCGAGCTGTTAAAAAAAATGTGAAACGTAGCTCTTGGCGTGGATAATGACATCTGTCGTCTGTGAAATTTCAAAAGTAACGCATAAAAGTCGACGATGATGAGGAAATAAATAAAGATACTGATTCGGTCCATACATTAATTCTATGACTTGGCTCTCCTAGGGATGATTGTTTTTTATTGTGAGATCATCGTAACAGAACTGTTATTTTCTTCTCTATTTTCGCGATGGTGACAAACTTGCTCAAAGTGACGAACGTAACGTTAATGTATCACTAGTATCATATTTTAATTGGTAAATAGTATGAATATTCATAGCTATTTGAATTAGCAAAGAAACAGCTGTTTTAGCGATTATGACGACACGAGGCAGTGACATATCGGATTTTCTGGCAATTTAGCAAACGGAGAATAATAAGATCCAAAGTCGAATTTTTATACGCGATATACCACCTTTTTAAGCTATTTATTAACTTAGCAGAAATAGATTCAATCAGATTTTCGCAATGTATAAGCTCGAGATAAGACGTCATCTTTATGTTAATATTAATCTATGAATTTGGGTATGCTAATAAGATACGTATTTATGGATAATGCGTCACACTTGGGAATAAACAAATTAAGCATTTTCGACGTATTGAAAGATGTTCCGTTTTCACGTATGACCCTACAGGAAGAGACAATTTATATGTCACAGCCGGATTTCAATATTCATGCAGACGGTTGATAAATGATCGCACGGTTTAACCGGAGGAGCGAAGGGGAGAATAACAGGGGAGGGGGAGAGTGTAATAATAAAAAAAGGGAGGTCAGACAAGGGGGGAACATGACATCGGTGCTAAAAGTCAAATGGCAAATCACTTTAAAAGCCATTATGCGTCATTTGGCCAAGAGTTATCGAAGTGAGGATTATTTAAAAGATAAAAGACGACGAATAACAATGCCGAGAGTGAAAAAAAAAAGAAAAATCGAATTGACATTAAATACGAGGAGAGCCTGTTGCGTTTAGCAGACATTATGCAAAAAGATGGCGCGAGCGAAGTTTTTAATCGGAATTACGTCAAAGTTTTGCCCAAGAAGAGTATATTTCTGGATTTTATCTGTCTTTCGATATTCTTGACCTGTACCGATGTTAAAGAAGTGTTGTTTTTCTCTAGAGGAATGACGTGCTTGTGGCGAACATTGCATGTACCTTATTTTTTATTTACACAATTTGTAGTGCAACATGTGGCGCCTTATTCGAATGTCTTATTTTCTTGCGTTCCCCTTTATATTTTTACATCACTTTCTCGGGTCGGTTTAAATACGAATTTTTGACTGCCATCTTGACAATGTTTACAGATCAACGCCTAATTGTCGCGGACAATCTCCCTCAGTCGCTCACTATAATAGTCATTCGTACGAGAACACTCATAGTGTTTACGTACGATAGAGTCAAAGCTTAAGAAATGTAAATCTTGTCCATGTTTGTAATCAAGACCAGAACAGAGCCCGAAGCACCAAGAGTAAATTACGATATCGCCAAGACCTGATAAAGAGAATGGCGTCTTCTCTGCTTGATGTTATTAACGATATTATAAACATGGGACTTTAGAACGGAAGTTTGAATTTCAACGTGATACACCATGAAAGAAGATTGGGTATAATTGCTGTATGTTTTTAAAGCGTCATTAACGAGAAAGCTAATTAACTGTCTTATTTAAACCGCAGGCACGATACGTAAGAGATGGAAGCAAGAATTATGGCCAGAAGGAAAAAAAAAGGAGTGAACGAGGCCGCACGCGTCGTGTCGATCAATAATTCCGCTCGAAAGTTTCGGAAGCCTTGATCATCGCGTGTATTAGATATGGCACGACACGTGCACCAGATCTACAGTTGGACTGACAGTGGTAGATCTAAGATGGAACATTCACGTCGACGCAAGAGAAACGAAATTTATATTTTTACAAAATGCGAGTCTATATGACTGTGTATCTTTTCGTTACTCTTTATTGTTTTCTCTACAATTCCTTTTTTTATATGGAGTATGCGTTTCGTCAAAGTTCAATAATATTAGTGATTATTCTTGATGTAACGTGCTAAGATGGCAGTTTTGTATGCTTCTTTTTTCTTCGCTAAGAGATCGTTGATACTGTAGACTATCAAATGTCGAAACGATGTTCTTTGGACATTCTGATTATAGAAGCCGTTTTTCATCTTGGTAAATTCTCAGTCTTTCTCTATCATATATAATGGTCCCATGGTAATTTCAATGGCGGTTCACGAGAATCTAGAACTTTGTCATATAATTTGCCCAGACTGTCCTCAACCTTGATAATGTTCCCGTTCTGTCCTAGGAAGTCCGTAAACCTTGAGGTGTGTCTACGTCCTAATGCTTTCCCAACCGTGCCAAAACTCGTGCACTACGAGAATCATCCAATATGTTGAATGGGAAGAGGAAAAATATTTCAACATATTAAAAAAAATAGCAAGTGGAACGATTACTAGAGTAACAGGTGTGCATAACGCTTGATAAGTATGTCAACATTTCAATGCATCTAGACACACGTAGAAATTGCAACGGAATTTCAAATGACATTATCGCAATACGGTCGGAAGCGAAGAGTATCGCCAACTATTTACTGACCCTTATGGCGTCATTTTATTGAGAAAAGAAAAATAATCACTGATATTTACGAACGTTGCATGTTTCATGTACACTTTGGAAATCACGTATCGCAGTGGTACGTGCTCCTTGTACAAAAATCAGCATACAACTTACTACAGTAAACATAAAAACAGCGTTTAAAATGCATCGTGCAGGTACGCGAGAATTTCACTGATTAAATAAATAAAAGAAAAATTTCAGTAAAGAAAATGTAAGGTGCACAAGTGTCAAGCATTCAGGCTCGACCGCGCCCTTTTTTTCGTAAGTTCATCGTAACGATAGTAAGTAGGTTCAGAGAATGAGGTGAGGTTAGTTTGACAGTAACAATGCTCGTAAGATACAAAAAAGCCAACTCTCTGCTGATAATCTAATCTTCTAGAACTCTCGTACCTTGTTGAAGTGTGCCTGGAGAAGCCGCTCATACTGATCAACAGCTCGTAAACAGATTCTGGTAGTAAATGCTTCCATCCGAGTGGGCAGGGGTGCGTGGCAGACACTGCTGGACATTATTCCGTACGAGAGAGTCTGTTTATATATCTTGATAAATAATCACTTATAAAGCCGAATTGTATTGTATCACAACTTATCACGCACGCACTCAATAATATAATTAACGGAGTATAAACGCGTGTGTTATTCGCAAGAAAGCAACGTTCCTTTCGGGTCGGCTGTTGGGTTGAATGTAACCAGAAGCCAAGCTAACCTCGTTCGAGCACGAGTTCACGAGTTCATTGCAGCACGAGAGCGTCGCAATATCCAAGCATCACAGAATGCTTCCGAATAAATTTATCCCATTAATCTTCACCTAATGTATTTTCTTTTATTCAATTTATAATACTATTTGATGTTATAACAGTGTGTATATTCTTCTAGCGTTCCGTACGATGCTCGAGTTGGAGCCGGTTTGACGATAATGCGGCGTGCGCCGCTTGCTGCTTCGCTATACTCAATAGAGGAGAGAGCACGAACGTCATTTTATCGCCTTACGTGCGCACCCGACTCTCTCGTCTCCCACTTCTTCCAAACCGGTGTATATGAGTACCCTAAAGCCACTGTCAGACCCGGGTAGCGTATTCGTGGACCGGATTACTCTCAGCCTATTACAGCTGTACCTCATGTTTCACAGGAACGGTAATGACTCGAGTGTGTGGTCCAGATTAATTACATAAATTTAGATTTTTTTACTATTTCTTATGTGATATTCATTTCATCAGATGATCCATACGGCGGCGTTGTTTTAATCGCTTCGAAAGAAATTGGATAACGAAGAAGTTGATGAGCCTTATGACATTATTGGAATTTTACATGGAAACCTTTCTTCACCATTTTTATTACTCCATGGAAGAACTTTTCTAAGGCTCTTTATGGGCAATAACCACACATGCTCTGTATACACGTACAGATGTGGATTCCAGTTCAATTTTTCTCCAGGTATACTGTGATATCAGTAGCAGACAGAGATGATGTGATTCTTGAGATGAGGATTAATAAACGTCTCTCGTTTATAATCTCTAATCTGTGTGAAAGAGTACGTTATACTGGTAACCTTGTACCGTCTAGGATCTATATGCCTATTTAGGTATGTATAGAATGTAATAGACGAAGACTAGTTTTCACAAAGTACGCCTCCTTTCTCTCCGGATCTGTATATCTTTGTATGATAAACAATTGAGAATCGAGGAGGAAAAAAATTGAAGAAAAAAACTACCAACCACTTATTCGTCATTCCGTGGGTGTTTGGAATTAAACACAAACTTGCCCAATTGGATCCGGGATAAAAGGGATGCTCTGAAAAGTTTGAATTTACATTGGAAACATAGATGACAAAGTTTCCGTTGTTCGCACAATTTTTCGTGACCTCATCGCAGATCCCACGATTATATTGTAAGCCTGTGTTCTATGAATCATATTAATTCTACGTCATACAAACCTAACGTGATCCATCGTTTCTGAGCAACTCTCCTCGAAATGATCATCCACGTTATTGAACAGAAATGGAAATCAAAAGATAAATTTGATATTGGATATTCGTCACCTCTAGAAATCGAGAGACTCGAACGATTCAAGAAAATAATTGATTTCGGTCTCCATAGTGAATATTGCAGGATTATAATATTTTAAGTTACACAGAAAAAAATAGGACAACGTTTTCTCGTGTAAGACTGTCATCAAAGAGATAGTTTGTATTGAGATAGATATTTCACAGGCCGATTTTCGTTTCTGTAGAAACACGTATTGAAAAATGTTTGATCAGTTTCAAAAGAGTACGTATCTCTTGTAGAATTCTTATCGACGAAGAGTATTGGTCTGTAGTAGGATAACGGGGGCAAATATAGATTAGTGGAAAAAAATGGCCTTGTTAACACGTGAATGATACGTGACGTGAGTCTAAGTCCTTATATTTGCAGAGGTACAAGAAGGAATGGATCAAGAATGAGGAAGATCTAAATTATATGAAAAAAATCTCTAAGCATTTCTCTGATACAGCAAATACCTTATCGAACAAAAATCTTACTGGTTTGTACGAAGAGACATTTTTACGTTGATCATCCGCAGTTTGGAAGGTGGAGTTTACTTGGATAACCTCAAAATTTTTTTTTAGTCACAAGATGATCCAAATGACTCGATTCTTGAGCATCGAGAGAAACGTTATTACCCAGGACCTGTTCTACGTCTTATACCGACAGAATCCATTGCCCTTCCTGCTCCGGCGATGCCGAAAAAATGACCTACTTGCGAGAACAACGAGAGAATCCACTGCTCTGTACAATTGGCCCACATTTCTCAGTTCCTGGTCTGAAGTCGTAACCGATAAACGTCACGTAGCTGTAATTACGGCCATGATACTTACGGTTCTTGAAGGGCCGATGACGCAAGCTCGGGTACTGTTTTCATTCATGAAATTCTGCTTGGAAGGAACTTGACTCATTTCCTTTGACGATTAATTGAAATTTATATATTTAAAATCATTTGACTTCCTTTCGCTTGTCTCTGGTACACGCTAGTTGTATGTTACGATTCTTTCTGTAAATAGTCTGCTTCAATTTAATAATTAACGTATCCTGAGGTTTTTCACTGAAACATAAATTAACGTTTACAAATAGTCAACCTCGAGGATACGCTCCTGGCTCGTCAAGGCTGCCTTATCGTGGGAAGTATACTTTACAGCATGTTTCTCAACTACATCGTACAGGCAGCACATGTATACGTATGTACATACCGTATCGTTATGCACGCAAGAACATGCGTCGCTCCACGTGGTGCTAACACGCGTCAGCTTGCTTTTTTTACTTTTAAAGATTTCCAGAAGTGCAGAATTTATCACCAGTAACAATTAGCAATTTCAAATGCCGTAAACGAGTTTTACCATAATTATATTGTCTGAAAACAAACACACTGTTAATTATGTTATACTGTATTACTGTATGTGTTTCTTCATTCCAGCTACAAGATGCGATACGCAGGTATATGGAAAATAATATCTCCGTGACACGAAAACCAAGTGGTCATAACACAACGTAACATCTAGGAGAGTCGCGGAATAGATGGAGCATTAGCATCTGATTATATTCTCTGCTGAAATATCTATCTGTAACTATTTCCGCGACGCAGTTATCTACGCTCGAACAACGTTAACTTCAGTGGGAAGACGATCGATAATTTCGTTATTGTAGATTGTCATAAATTTGCGTACAGGAATCAGGACGCCCATATACTAAGTTTCGTATATGTATGCGTATACATGCGCGTTTAAGAAAAGGAAAGAAAATCTGTCAGGGTTCACAAAGTCTTACCGATTACGTTTATCATATAGAATTATGCAATTGTTCAGCAAATGAATATATGCCGGTTCAAGGTTATTGAATGTAAATGAAATGCAATCACGAAATCGCGTGGTTCCATATGTAAATTCGTGTAAAAATATATCAACGCCATCCAGTATTGACGACTGAATAGGGCACCGATGTAAAAACGAATTATTATACTCCAGTTATTCAGCTACTAAAGGTCATTAATTACTTGCATCTCTTTAACCACCCAGCCGTGAATCATATATTCAACTATTTGTGGCCTACAATTCTTTTATACTCTTGTACCTGGGTAATGAATGCCGAGTTAGGCCGTTTAATACTTAAATTTATAATTCCAATTAATCGAGTTTCTAACGAATATAAATAGTCCTAACTAGTACAAGGTATCCAGCTTCATAAAAGCCGTCCTGCATGTGTTTACTTTAAAGATAAAATGGAAAAACCACGTCCATGTAGGTAATAGCATTGCGTAATTAATATTGCTGGTTTTCAAGCCCACAAATTCAATTTTATATGTATATGTATATCCTAATTTTATTCTACAATGTACGAGTTAGTCCAAATCATTTATCGTTTTCAACGTGGACATAAATACCAGTGCTAGAATATAGAATTTATTGTGTAATTATACGTCGCAACTGATTTCGCTATATCTTCTGCCTAATGTGTTATTTACAACGGACGGCTCTGGCGCCAATACGCGTAACCGAAAAGGAAGCTTTCGTGATATCGAACGATTAAGTTGCCGGATATTGCTTGTTAGCAAACAGCATCTCTGTATACGAAAGAACAAATTTCATGCGTAGATTTCGTGGAAGGTGTTAAAGAAATTCAGCGTTTAGTTGGATGAACACTAACCTGCGTCAATATGTAGAAGAATATATAAACATATGAAACAAGTCGCCGGAAAAATTATGCAGAACGTGACAATCCTTGCTGATTTATTATTTATCATATTACCTGTATGCGTACAATTATAATTAAATATTAATGATCATGCGTAGATCTTTACATCCGTAACGGATTCGTTGCGACCGAATTTTTTATATATAAATTGTCAAGTCTCAATTCGGTGATGAATTGGTAACATTATGCTTGTTTGTCAATGTTTAATTTAAAAGTAACAAAAAGAAACATAGGTGCTTTTATGAATTTTTAGTATAAAAATTTGCAAAATGTTTTAGTTAGGACGTGTTCGGCATAAATGCATTTTTATGTACACAGAGAATGGTAGACGTGTGAAAAATTTTAACTGGAGAGGAAAAAAACACCTTGACCAATTGGTCGAGGAAAAATACCTATGCCGATTTTTGCGTCATTGGTCCTCGTCCGATTTTATGTGATCATCAAAATGTGTCGGTCTACTCGTAAATTCGTTCAGGAAACATATTTCCATCATCATGAATACCAAACATTCAATGTTTATACGCTAAAATTATTGTTCAGTGGTGAAATCGTCTATTGTTTCACGTGGTATACATCCGGAGGTTAGGAATACAGGAGATACAGTTTTCTGCGTTCATTCTTATAAAAGCTATTGAAAGTGAATGTATATCATTGATTCTGTCCTACCTTTGTTCGCAAATATATCGGACTACCGATATTTACTTTTTTCCCGTTTGCGACGAAATTTATCACTCGTTATACACACCTATGGCCTACGCACGTAAGTCGATCTCTCTATATCGCAAATCTCGATTAAAACAGTACATTTTCGAAAGTTTTTCGTGCGCGCCATAAAAAATATCTCAACTTGTATAACGAGGATGTCGATACTTTAAAAAATATGAGCTTCCGTCTGACAGAATTCTAAATTGATGTAAAGCCGTTCGCCAATTCTTGATCGAGCATGCTCAATGTATTTTTACAAATACGCCGGACTAACGTAGACACGGTTTGACGTCAGAAGACCAGATCGTATGTTTGGATTGATTTTATGGTCAAGAATGGTAATAATAAGGCCAACGGCAAATTAATTTTGGTATCCTCATATGACGTGCATTCGTATTGTGAATGATAAGTTTACTTGCTAATTTATTGTTCACTGCGCACTCCCATTCCACACATGAAAGAATGCTCCCTTATTGGCGGGACATATCGTACGATTATATGGCTTGGGTATAGTAATTGGTAGACGATTGAATATTCTCTCAAATGAATATGCACATTAACGATAAGAAGTTTAATAACATCATTCATGACGTTAATACGATCAATGATTTTTTTTCACTTTAGACATATACACAACCTCGATTTTCCTATGACTCTTCTTATTGACCAATGCGTAATGGCGTTCATATATAGCGCGTGGGAACTCGGCGCATCTTCATAGGCTTGGTTACGTGATAATGCACTTATTTTCCATGCACCGAATGTCGTTCATTGACACCGTCAGTGTCATTATGCCTTGAAGATAAATATATCAAAAGTGTGTAAGGGTCGTTCAACTTATAAATTGCATATATCATACATATATATGTATCAATATGAATGTGTATACACTGGGGTATTCACCGCAAATGTACCACCTGAAGTTAGCGCATCCACTTGATTCGGATGGTAAAATCATTATGCATTTGAGTTGACAATTCGGGTGTATATGTTATATTAACGGACGCTTAATTCTATAAAATCAGATGAGGATTTTCGTAATTAACGAAACGAACTCACTACACGAAAGTTCACAAACTTAAATTTAAATAAAATCATCATTTTCCTTCTTATTTTTTAGATACCAAGATCATGCGAAGGAATGCAAAGCACGAATCTTCGTTCTTGTTTATAATTCACTGTTTAAAGTTGACACCTGATGACGGAATGCATATTAAGTTACACGCTCGACTATGAGAAATATTCCACTGTTCTAACAATCCATTAATATATACGTATGAGTTTTAAACAGGATTATTTCTTTAGGGTGAGACAGAGAACCCGGATATCATGGAGTAGGTAAAAGATGTTGATGTCACGTAATAAAAATTGTTTTGTTATTTGAAGTGAATTCAAAAATATTTCTCAAGTTTTTCTTCCCTTTATCCTTTATTTTTACACGTCTATTTTTATTAGGTAATGATTGTCCACCCTGTGTCACCGTTCATTTAATACATGTTAATAAAAATGATGGCTACTACTACACGACGTTCCTTTCATGTTAGTCACGTTACGTAACTGCATTCAATTGCAATGTTTACTTTTGTACGAGAGGATTGTTGGTCGGCTTCGCTATGCAGATAAGCAAACGAACCTCTTCGTGTTATCTTAAAAACAAATTTTTTGTGCGTGAGATATTAGGAAAATTCAAGATGTTTTAATATTGGCCTAAGCTGATATGCAGAGTATATTTTTGATGAGGTGAAGTATTCTTGAAACTGTCTTTTGTTTAACATGAAAACGGTTTGACAAGAGTTATATAATACACTTCTTGCATTCGGTGTTTACTCAAAGTCCGACGATCCTGACTAGAGATGAATAATGCAAATGCATATCAACGGTTGAGAAATGTTCTATTTATCGTACGTATCGTGCATATACGTGCATATATCGTGCAGTACGTATGACACATATAAGACTGTATACATTGATTTTTTCAATGTTTTGAGAATCTTTCCTGAAACATTTATTCCTATGGTTTGCACAATAAGAACCTGCATTATTTGACAGTTTTAACCTCCTTGCAGTTGTATCTCATCGTATTTCAATAGTACCAAATATACTTACTTGGGCCAACGTTTTACCGTACATACAAGTTTCACCGTAAAGATTTTTTATCACCAGAAAATTATTAAGGGATTGGTAGGGTTTGAATTGATCTGTCGATATATCGAGGTCTAGAGAATCGAAACAAAATATCGATAATCATATGCTAAAACATCGATTCTATAACTCCATAGATTTGTTATTGTAAGAACGGACACCCAAATTGCGATTTTCTAACGTTTAATTTCACAATTAAATTTCAACTGTCCCTTGCGAAATCCAATCATGTTCTATCGTCTAGTAAAGCGGTACGTACGGTCTAATACCTATGGGTCTTCGTGCAGTGCAAACTATGACGAAACAGAATGCAGGATCGCGACATTTTTTTATAACCTCAACCTGTACGGTATGTATGATGGCATAGAATTTACTTGTATAACGGTGAAGTAGAAATAAGTCATACCTTAACCTGTACTACCGAGAGGAAATAGGAATCTGAAAATTATCAAAGGCCCCACGACGGATCAAGCCATCTTGGATTTTCAATACTCTATGCAAATTCAATAATGACGGCTATAATTGAACCAGATGACATCTCTAGATACTTCTGACATTATGAGGCAATTTACCTCTTGGCAAACAATGTATATACGTGAGTTTATTTAGAATATTAGTAGACACGAGGCAATGGGAATTTTATTCTGCTCATATTTCTGAAACGTCATTTTTTCAAAGGTTTCTATTAACGTGACGCGTTTACATTGCGATCGCGTTAGCTAGTCAATTAAATGCTCACAATGAATCAGTCGAGCAACAATAACAATGAGACTTTTGATAAATTCCTTCGAGTAACAAATAAAATGAAGTGTAGTTTTTCTGTACTTATCTGTCGGCATTTTTCATTTGGGTCATCGAACGTTACGGGTGGGCCTCTTTTGCACAGTTTACAAACCCATGGACGACATTGAATATCTGCGGAATATGATTAGCCTTGCGAATCTAATATCCTGTTCGTCTTTATGTATTCGTCTTTGTTACCAACAGCAGACTCAAGAGTATAATAAATATTTTATAAACAATTTCATCGGACTAAATTTTCGGTGGTGCTTGCGTCCATGGCGATGTTACGAAAAGAATGTTACTTTCAACGAACAAATGAATATCTATTTTCAAATAGTTTTTCTCACTATAGATAAAAACAAATAAATTCATGCGCATAAGTACACATACATAATTAATGTCGCCACGATGTAATAAAGTATATTTAAAAAATTAATTTCCAAATCAATGACACGATAGGAAGAGGAATGTATTCTCCAATAAAAAAAAATAACCTCCAATGGCGAAATGGAATGTACTGCCAGTCTGATGAGAAAGTGCTAAACCGTAGGTTAAATAAGATATCGTAACTAGCGAGCTATATATCTCGTGGAAAGTTACACTTATTATCAGGGCATTTTCGTCACAGTTGTAAACGATTAAGAGATCATTAACACTGTTCTTCATGTTGTAGCTACATGTGAACAATATACAGCTATGAGGACGGGACCCTGACGGGACGCGAAGTTTCAGCAACATGGCGGATACGCAACGACGCGCAACACGAGGACAATGCAAATAGTTTGCAAGAGACGAGAGAATTTGAGTACCCTGGAGAGAATTTCAACGCGGGAAAAATAGTCAGAGAGAGAAAGAGAGGCAGAGAGGAAATGACTAGAAAAGAAAACACCGTAAGCAACGGTCAGGACTTGAAATCAGAAGACACGGTTGAAAGAGGAGCGGAGAAACTTTAAAAGACTTAAGAGGGCCAGGAAGGCACGCCTCCTAGCCTCGTTAGTCGGGATCGTAGCAGCAGCGGCCGTTCGCTCGTTCGTCCGTATGGTATGCGTGGACAGAACTCCGGAGGTCACCATTGACGCAAATCCATCCGATATCACGTGACTTGGCTCAACACAATACTTACTCGCTGCTACCACCGTCGCTATGAAACCACCTTTCATTAAATCCATGCCTATATGTATTTATAGAGGGGCCACCCACGCTATCATAATGGACAATTAACGCCACTTGCTGACTGAATTTTAATATCGTTTTATAATCATTTCAAATGCTTTTTATTTGGATTTTCTTTGCAAACTGACTTCTTCGGCGGTACTTTCGTTGGCTATATACATACGTATGTAGATTTTTATCGAATAGCCATTTACCTTAGCCAATCTCAAGAATGTCAAAAACAGCACCCAGGACTTACGTATAATCGCGATTTTGTGATAGAACTTTTTTTATAATTTTGTTTAGTCAGACAATCACTTTGGGTGTTAAGTGACTTTTACATGAACGTTTAAGTACTGAGTCATATTTTGAGTCAGAGCATGTATCTTATTCATCAACTCTTCTGGTTCGGATGAATCGGTTTTTTGTTTTTTTATTTTTGACTGTCGGCATTATTGTTTCATTGTGTCTGAGTGGCTCGTTGAAATGCATGCTTCTTGTAGTTATGAAGATGGGTTATCTTCCTTCCTTCCTTCTATTCTTTTATTCCCACCGTTCTCTGTAGTATCGTACGATAATTCAAAGAGAGAAAAGTCATGTCGATTGGTGTTTCATTCATCTCAGGAAATACGTAAAAAGTCATGTGGACAAATGTGCGTTGTAGGAATAAATGATCTTGTGACATTAGACCGCACGCGTACAATTTGAATAATTCAAAACTTGGAATAAATAAAAATGATATCGTTACGAATTACAGCGGTTCTGTTGGGTGGGATCGTTGCCACGTGCAGGTGCAACTGCAGTTACTTAAAAACGATTGAGTTTATTCTAGTAGATCTTTTTGTTTAGGATCGATAACATGGTTCCCACGTTATTATACTGCTATTGTGTGTTTTCATGTGGAGTATGTATAACGTAAATGCATCGCTGCATCCGCCTGAGTCCAACTCAATTGCAATTTTGCAATGCCAGAAGGAAGGGGAACTTAACTCAGAGGTATCACTTTGCATGGCAGCAATTAATCGCGCTTTTACGATAATTTATGATTCCGTAGTAATAACTCTATGTTGCGAGACCTTAGATTATTACTTAACCTAGCATTTAATCGACAACCAAGTTTCAAACCAAAAGTCAGCGGACTGCGCATGTCTCTCAAACGTTGAAAATAATTAATGGGCTGCAGGTATCTAAAGATCTGGCAGATTTGATTTCCGGTTACGTGGTTAACCGCAGATCTCAATTAACAATTCGATATTTGATGTTTTTCATAGGCGAAAAGAATAAAGAATAATCTGAATAGAATTTGAATCTGTTAGAATTGAGTACACAATTTTCAGCATGTAGTATAAAAAGAAACACATCTCAAAATAATTTCACCGTTCAAGGAGAATCTTATGGAATTTTTAAATTAAAAAATTTATACTAATACGCCTACGTCAGGGTAATTCATTTCCATATTACTGAATTTATCTCCAATGATTTTTATATTCCTAATGTTTCAAGCAGTTGACAAGTATTTACAGAAAAGCTTTTTTCCCAGTGAACCGACATATTAATAATCAGTGCGCAATGTCAAGTGGCTCTCACATATTTAAAATTAATTGAAATTAATTATCGCGTATTATAACTGCAGAACGTATCGGTCACAGTGAAAGTTTTGTTTTTCTTACAATTAACTTAAAAAATTCTATTTTTAATATACAATTAATGTCATTCTCTGTGTAGACAAGTTTTCCACTCCAAGGGAAAGTCATGGGAATTGAATTAAAAATCCAGTAAAATTTTTCATTTCTTGCGCTCTTCTGTTTTTGAGTATTTTTCCAATGTCAATAATATAATCAGCCACACGCTCGCATAAGCTTTCCAGTTTACGATCATTCGTTCCTCGTTGGTCCTGTTTTTCTGTGGCTCGTTATTACGGCTTTTGGATGGGTCTCCTTCTACACTATTAAATACATTATTGGACAGGAGGACATTACCGAATTAATATTTACATTCTCAATAGGGAAATAAATGTATCCATGCTAGAATACAAAAATACACTACCTACTCTATAATACTCTAACATACCCAAAAGCCTTGGTCCAAAGTATTTGGGTAAAACCAAATAATGCTTACTCCTGAGATGAATCTCTTTCGATCGACAAGGAAAGTCCAAACCATTTTTTTGAATTTGCAAAGAAGGATAGACTTGCAAAAAATACAATACACATTAGTCTCAGAGGTAAGAATTTTAGGCTACGATGACCTGGACCAAGATGATTCGTTTGATCTTGACTTTAGAAATGAGATGAGTGATGGAGACTCGTATGTTTGAAAGTAGATATTTTTAAAATTTCACAAAATGATTCCGATTAGTCTCATGTGATCGATAGATCTAGTCTTGCTTTCTACTTATAAATCTCTGTCGAACAGTCAATCTTTTGTATATAGTAGTTGGCAATGTAATAGGCAATACAGTAATGTAAAATAGATCTATACATATGTATTTAATCTTAGTCGTTGCCGATTCATTCACATGCGTTTCCGCAGATCGAATATATCCCACACGTAAATTAATGCCAAACTCATGCCGAATGTAATGACTGCATAATTAAGTGTTATCCCGTTTTCTCGTGTGTCCGTAAGTATAATCCCAGGGCGGAAAATATTGACGTTTCCGTAATAAAATTATTTTTACACAAACGCCATCCGCATCATAGCAAATAATCAAGGCGCTCCAAAGTTCTAAAGAAGCCAGCAATATATTCCCACACTCCTATAGGAAACAGCAGACTTGATAATTACTTAGACATTGACATTACTATCATATAAAATTCAACGCAAAAATCATGTATATTGAGTAAATAAATACCCAATGATTTGATATCAGGAATAAATTTGTCTGCAACGCTCTTAATAGACGTTTGACGAAAATACGTAATTTATAGGGTCCATTACTAAAAGAACCTGTATCTTTTTAAGTAGCATGATCGATGTCTCAACTCAATTATAGCACCTTAAGAATTAATTAGCAGCTGGTTACAAGATGGTTCCTTACTTTATATTATAATTGAAACAATAAAATCAATCTTCATTATGTAGAACTCCCCCAAATTTTCGTCTAGTGTAAAGGTCAGGCGTCGTCGGAAGACTTTCTGTTTATGCCAGTTAACTTTTGTGAACTATAAACATTCATTTGCATGGCAAAGTCATTGCGTCGGCGTAGTTTTAATTTGCGTGACGTAACGACCCGTTTGTAAAGTTAAATTACAACTCTACATTTAGTTAACCATCTGTTGACGTTAAAATTAGCCACTCCTTCCAACAGTTTATCTATTGACATAGCAAACACACTTGCTGTATGTATCCCTTCTTTTTTTTTCTGTAAGCCAACTTCGATACGTTTCGGAAACGCCCATTGTTCGATAACTGGGAGGCTCATCTCTCACTATAAAAAGTATCATTCTCGCACACTAGACACGAGACAAACCAGTTACTAGGTAGACTGTATGACTGGCCATTTTCGTTCTCACGAATTACCAGTCCATTCTTGGAATTTTTCAATCATCTTTCACAAAGAGACTGAAGACGAATGACCTGTCTCTGCTATAGCTCCAGCCTGTAACAAGTTCCTAATGTTAAATCATTTCAATTGATATTTAGTTAGGACCGGTTCAAAGCAATTTCTTCCAGTCACTTATAATTGATCTGTCATTTTATTCTTAAAGAATTGAAATCATTACATGAGACGTTATTGTACAACGGATAAATAAATAATGCTTGAAATACTAGTATTACATTTGAAGTCCATATTTCAAATTAATAAATTGTATATCATATCCTTAAAGAACATTGCATACTCAACAGACTCAAAATATGTATTCAAGAATTCTTAAATAAATGTATTATTCTTTGTTGCTTCATTTTTTATTCCCTAATGTGTCGTGATTTGCAGTAAACATTTTTTCAAATCTTAGAAAAATAAATTTTCCTCTTGGTGGTACCTGACGAAGCGAATTTCTAATTTATACAAAGAGGCTATACAGTTTTGCTGTTACATAAGATTCAATGAGTTGTATGATTGAAAATAATCAAGAGGCTTCTATTCCATAAAGCTATATCATTTATTTTCACAGTCAGATAAACTATACGATATGAATAAAAGTTTCGAGTTATGCTTTTGTTTATACGGTATTGTCTTTCCTGCACTAAATTCTGTTCGTTTATTGTGAGAGTAGAGAAACGACGTATGATCATTTTTCCTAAACAATATCCGTTCAGTAAAAACGTATTTGGAAAGTTAATAGTCGAATAGTTTGAGTGTCACATAATGCATAATAAAGAAGTTACCGATCGAACGTTCGCGGTGAATTTATAAGTATTCGTCTCTTTTTTCCTCATCATTATTTTCCTCATTCATGTGTTAATGAACTTCGTGCGACGTGAGCGTAGAGTTTTTATCTGATAGGGTACATTTCGAAATCTACTATTAGTACTACGAGTATCGTTGTGTCCCTGTTTACCTGCATGTAATAATGTGAAACACAACCAGGTTCGGCAGTAAATTTTAGAACGTTCTATATTATAATTTAAAAAATGTAATCGTTTGAATCGTACTAATTTAAATTATTTACAAATTGATTGTCACCTTTGACCGAATTTCTTCAAAGTTCGTTTACACTGGCTCGTCATTGCTTTTACTTTCGGTAGTGCTTAAAATTCTCATAACGTATTGCAACATCTTCACCAATTCCTGTTCTTGTTTAGCGTCGGCGATTGTTAACAATGTTAGCCTTCCAAGTACTTCCTGGATGCTTTGTGGGAAGCCGGCACTGCGTGCTATCAATTTACCCTTCTGATTGTTGCTGACCAAAGACCAGAGCGTGGAACCGGCCACTCCAATTTCTGCAAGGGTGCCATTTTTGAAGATATTGTGTAGAAGATTGATAAAGTCCACTGAAACAAAGAGGACATTGATAACGTTGAAATGGTGGGAATAATTGCGCACGATACAACATTATTATTATTAGATAACAAAAAAATGCCTGCGTCGTACGACGCAAAATCATTGAATTCTCGTATAAAAGGCATTGACGTTCAATGATTTGTACAAAGAGAAAAAGAGGAATTATCTGATTCAAAATACATTTCGTCTCGCTATCCAATCGTGTTTATTTAAACGTGAAATCCTTATTTACCTGAACTGAGCAGTCGCGGTCTATTCGCTACATTGAATGCCAAGTTGCGCAATGTCGAAATTGCTAAAATTCTAGTTGAGAGCGATGAACATCTTGCCAAATGTATTAGTACATCCAAGCCATCCACAGCCTGGAATAACATTTAATACAACTTTGTAAATTTTTCATTAACAAAAATCATGTTCGTACACCGCTACTGTTTTCACTGAAGAATCTTTGGATTATCTATGTTCAATAGAAAGAGCGCTCAGGTTGGTTGACTTAGTAAATAAAGAGAATCCGGGATGTAAAAATTCAAATTTGGCTTTTGACATACCTTGGGCACGCATAGCTGCCCCTCCTCGTAGTACGTGAAATCAATGAGGAATTCAAGACAGTACATTTCCACGAGAGGCCAAGGTTTCACTCGTTTCGTAGTGATCGGATGTATCTTGGAGAAAAGTTGCAGGAGATTACTCTATAATTAAACAAAGTTAATTGGAGTATATTTTTGTATACCATATTTAAGAATATCATTATGCAAACTTTATCTTACCTTCGATATAGACACACGACATTCATGCGTGTGTACGGCATTTCGCAAAATATGGAATGCAAAGTGCAGTTTTTGATTATCAAACTTTTGTCCAGCTTTCTCAATTTCTTTTGAAACAACATGAACTATGACGTGTATCAATGCTACAGTGTTTGGAGTTTTCCTAAGACCGACACCTGGCAGTGTCGTAGTTAATGTCAGAGATTGATTGCCTATGAAAAAAAAGGAAGGCAAAAAAACAATAGAAAGGATAAACTCACGTAACTTAAGGCGCATTAAAAGAGGAAAAGCCAGAGCTAAGATTCTTTAATCAATAATGAAAAAGCAAAGAAACAAATCTATTGCATAAATCTACTCAATGCCTATAGAAATATGAATGTAAGAAAACGATAAATACTTTTCAAAATTAATTATGGTAATAATAATATAATTACCTTCTGGACAACTAGTGGTGAATGTTGCCAAGAGCTTTAACGCAGAAATTAAAACAACTTTATTAATTGATATCCAAGCCCATAGCTTATGAAGAACATCAGCCAAGCCATCCCTAGCCATGGTTTCCTTAACTTGCACGTTGCCATACATGAAGTTCATAAGAAGTGTGAAAATACAATTGACGTCGTGCAGCAACGGATGTATCTTAAACATGAGAATACGCAAAGATTATTTCTTGAATGTTCAATTGTATAATCTAAGTAAAACGTGCGTAGAGTGAATTGCTCGGAAATCCCAATACTCAACGAGCAACTCACTGTATGCCTCTTCACTACAAAGTGTTTGCGCGATGAAAAGATGAAGAAAAAAACTCCATTGAGTATGCTAACATTTTTATGTTGACTCTCGATTTAGTCAAGTAGTATAGAATAATTAACATATTGTTATCCGACATTCTATGGTATGGCCATGCGAACGTCTATACAAAATTCAAATGTAACATCTACGTTACTGCCTATAACTTTATGTTCCACCGACTCTTTGCCAATCAAAAAACTTCAGATTCTCTACAAGGCACTCGAATGTGGAATATCCTAGTAAACACGCGAAGACTCATACGAAGTGACGTAATAACAAATAAAATATATGAGAACAATAGAAATTAAACTCATTTAATATTATCTTACATTGAAAGCGATTTACCTTTCGCTCACGATCCGAATGATTTCTATAGAGTTCGTACGGCTGTAAATTCAATTTGACATAAAGTTCTTTCAGTTGCATTAACGTTGTTTCTGAAAGATTTTCATCCAGCGCCGTTTTCTTAGCTTCGGCCGAGATGCAAAGTAAATTGGTTAAAGCACCAACAATGAGATCTTTGTCTTCAGACTGTTTGCGATTCGTTTTAGTCCTCGCATAGCTGTGCGCAATGTAAAGTTGTAATAAAATCTTGCATATCTCAGAACCAATTGCGATGCATTTTTCATTTGATGACTTTCCATAACTGCCGATTGTTTTAATGTGATCCTTTTCATGGGATCTTCTTGTATGAATGCTTGCATTCTTAATTGATAATTTATTAACATTTGATAAGACTTCGCCTATTGCGTGATTCTTGGGATTATCCAGTGTGGATGACATACATGTATCTAATATAGACTTTAAAGAGACTCCGTTCCTTGAAGAAGAAGTCTCCCTTTGTATTTCCTGCGAGAGTAAAGATGCAAGTGCACCGATCGCACTCATTTGCAATTCTGAAGTTGAATTTTTTATTGCTATGCACATTGATCTCACAATCGCTTCCGTGCCGCACAGTTCCAATGCAGTTTCCACCGATTCATAGTGTTGGCTATCAGTAATCGATAGTACCGATAGCAAATTGAAAATTTCATTCCACAGTCTGTTACGCAAGTATACCAATCTAGGTGTGTGCATGTCTAACGGGATAAAGTATCGCATCGTAAATAACATTGGTATGTATCGTAGGGCGAAGAACATTTGATATTTCGTAATAGAATTTGAACTCACAATATAATTCTGTATTCAGGAGACTTAACAGTGAGTAGAGAGCGTCCGGTGAGAATGTTGCCGTCAGCATAAAGTCATTGCCATGCGTGATGCAGTTTGTTAATACAGTGCAAAGAGCAGTGTACATTTCCAAAATGTCACAATAGTGAAGAAAATTACGTCTGTTATCGATAGTTTTAGGAATCCCATTAAAACACCTGAGGAAATACGTCACGTTGTTACTGTATACTTCCTTTACGTTAATATCGAGACTGTTGGAAAATTTATCAAGATACCCAAGAAAATATTTGTCCAAGGAATGTTCATAGAAAAGTCGTACAACCTCATGTTGACCAATTGCTATTAGATTATTCAATAAAGTACAAATGCTTGTAATTAATGAGGGCGTTGCTATAAATTGTGGATAATTTTCATCGTCAGTTATTTCTGAATCCTTGACCGACACTGAAAGTACGTAAATTGTGCACAATGAAAGTGAATTATATAAAATAGCAAGGTTATTTAAAATTGTATAAATATATCAAACGTAACGCGTTAATTGACTTACGTAGTTGTAGCTCATCCTGACAATTATATAAATAGGAGACAGTTCTTGGTACTAAAGACATATAATCAGATACTCTACTGTGTTCTGATTGCATCTTTCCGCTTTCATCGTTCTCGTTATCAGATGCGTTTAGATCTAATGTCGGATGCATATAGAGATTCGAGCATAAAACACTAATTTCATAATAAATATTGCTCTGTTCGACGTATATTAATATGGCATTTGCCTTTAACGAGTCAGCCTATATGTGGAAAAACACGTTTTGATTCGTGACAGTTTTAATTTTAACATAAACATGTTGACGCTAATTTTAATACGTATTTTCATAACTCACGTATTGAAACGTCACGGAATTGCAATTCTTTATCATGTTGCTAAATGCGACTGACGCTTGTTCCCGGACTATACAAGATTCTTCTCGATTTGCGATACTATGAATCAGCGTATGGCACAACTCACTTGGAGCCAATGATATCGCGTGTAACAGCTGTGATGCTGTATGAGGTGCATTTGTTAATCCAGCCAGTAACTGCAGTGCTGATGCACGTACCAATGGATCTCTATTTCTCCAAAGCATCGGTAACCAGCTGAGGCAACGACCTTCCTCATACCAAAATCCAGTCCACATCTATATAGAAACAAAACATGTATGTCAGTACCAAAGGAGTCAAAAAAAAGTATGTTGAAAAGAACTTACATTTTTATCTAAATTCGTTTGCATTTGATGGAGTAAGTGATTCAGACAGATTATTGAATTTCTTGTGATTGATAGACCCATGTAACTGACTGTACCGGCTCCGTGGAATGATATGATAAGTTCCATTAAAGCATTTCCTAATGATATTAATAAATTTTTGTGACTACTCCATTGACACTTTCCAGTCAAGTATGTCAAGCATGTCAGAAGCCAATCGAGGTAAGCTGTAATTATTAGGGGTAATCATCTCATTAATCAAAGTATGGTATACTGTGATCATAATGTTGTACAGTGTACAAACCTAAATTATAAAAGTGTTGTTGATCTCCAAAACAAAGATTTGATACAACAAGCTCTATAAAATGAATCCATGTGTCTTTCGAATCTTTACAATCAGTCTGTTCCTGTTGCTCTATTGCTGAACAAGCTCTCGCAAGCCTCAATACTGATTGGTGAACATCTTGGTTGTTTGTATCTAAACTTCTAAGTAAATCAGCCAACGATTTTGTCATGTTCTTCATTATCTTACAGAGCCACATATTCTTTTCTGTAATAAACAGTATATTTCGTTATAATATTATCAGAGAGTACGTATCACGTCAATTGGAAGTATTCTTACCATCTCTTGTGACGTTAATAAATATATAAAGAAATGATAAAACATTGACAAATAAATCACAATCTTCTTTGCTGGTTGGATGCGATAATAAAAATCGTTCGAATGACTGTTCCCATGGTAATGAACTTATATTATCCATTTGCTCGCACTTTAACATATTATAAAATCTCAAGTACCTGCAAGAAATGGAATAATTAAATCCTCAATACAAATAGCGTAAATATTATAATATGGTGGTACTAATAACGCAATATTTACATTGTAAGATAGTCAAGCGCACACGAAACACCATCATGCGTGGTTGAATTTTGAATATTATAAAGTTGCCGCTGACAGTAATAATGAGGTAATGTATACTGAAAAGTAGCAAATTCCTGTTCGCGTATCATAAGTTTTTCTGTAATATCTGAATCATTTAGTGTCTCCCAAGATTGCCATAACATATTCACACCACCATTCCATTCCCATGCCCAGAATTGTCTGACGAATGTTAAAGCAACTTGATTGCTGCTATGAAGGACTAAAAATGCTTATTAAAATACAGAATACAGATTTTCGTTTTTTTTTTTTGCAAGTGAGTAAATGCAATTTACCCGATACATCAGAGCGTCTGTGGATACTAGTCTTCCAGTGAGATTTACAAACGTATGGTAGTCTCATTCGTGAGACAATAATATGAGGGAGAGAAATATTTAATTGATTTGACGAGCCTACGTGTTTCTCTCCAAGTCTCATAATATATTCGTCATACAATAGTAAACATAGTAGATGCGAAGCATCAATCCTAACGCACTCCTTGTTAGGGAATAAAAAGAGACCTAGAAAAAAGATAAGATATTCAAAGATAGATTAATAATTACTGAGGATAATGATAAGCTGATTATTGAGTACAACTGCTTATTGTAGAAAATTACAAAGTAATTTAGGAATTTCTAATTGTTCAACCATTCAACTGTTTGGTGTGGTTTTAACGTCAAGGAGGATTATGCAAACAAAGACTTATCCCATTGAAATAATCCCCTGCGTCATTGAGTACCACTATCTCCGTAAATTCAAGTACAAATATGAATAGTAAGGCAAATGAAAATATTTGATTAACCTTAACATTATTCTTTTAAAGACTACCAATATCTTTGTCTAGATATTGCACCTATTTCTATACGTACTTCTGAGAATGTTTAGAAAAACATCGATTCTGATTGACAAATCATGTCTCACTATATTATCCGTGGATGAGATTAATTTCAATATAGTTAGTATCGGTGTTACCGAGTCAGGATAATTAGCGTATTCCTTTTCAACCTGGAAAAACCCAGAATTATTTATCAATAAGTACCTTCGTCATAACCCGCTTAATTAGGTACGGACTAAGCAGTACTCTGCATAAAATTGTAATGTTAAATAGTAAATGGGAAATAACGTACCAGAGCGCTTGTAAATATCTTTAAAATCAACGGCAAGCCATTTTCGCTAACAAAGAGTTTGTGCAATGACGTGTCAGTGAGCATAACGCTAATTTGCACAAGAGCTGATTTTCGCATTTTTGGTTCAACACCAGGAGCATTCAGCATTTCAAGCACAGACAATAAGCTGCTTCTCTAAAATTATAATTATTTATGAAGGATATTTTTATGCTTGATTAAAATCCTGTACAGCATCTCCATAGTAATCGTTTATGGGAAAGTTTCGACAGATACGTAAATAGGTAACCTGATAGTTGCCTTGTGATTGCTTGGTGGAATTCTGTCGCTCAAAGATACAAAGTGAACTAAGGGGAAGGCCATGTAAAGAGGATAATCTTGGTAATTTCTGAGTAGAATCTTTTTCCTTTCCAAGAAGCCAGATCAATCGACACACAGCTTCCTCTCTGATGTCATGGTCGGGCGACAATAGAAGCCGTATGTTTCCTTTCAAAACCTTTGGATACGAAAAGTCAATTGAAGTTTTGCTAGATGACCTATTCTGATAAAAATTCGAAATCATTAATTCCTGCTTGAGTGATACATTACATACCTCTATATCTGCGAGCTGTATACTAGTGGATAGGTCAGGATCTAGCATTTTTGTTATACACTTCCCGAGCGCGGTAGATGGATGTGCAAGACATTGCAACAGACCCAGTACTGGTACGATGGCCTCTAAAAATTGTATGTATCCATTTTCTCCTAGTTGTACCTTTCCTTTTAACATGTAGACCAATATCGCCTCTGCCATATCCTTGATCTGTAATGATAACAAATGGACTAAGACTTAGCTCTAAACAATTGTAATAAGGAACTCTGTTGTAAGTACCTTCTCGTCTTCATTTGTCACTCCGTGGCAGATAATTTCTGTGAATATACTCTGTTCGAATAAGAATTTAATATTTTCCCAAGTGTATCTTTCTTTAGAGTATGAGACACCTAATATTCTCTTCACTAAATCGTGGCATTCGGTATACATTGCACACTGTATGTCAGCATCTCCATTTGCTAGTAGGCCAAGAGTTAGTTTAGTCGCAATAGCTTGACTTTCTTTATCCAGATCATTACTTGAAACAAACAGTTCGTCATTAATTTGTCATTCAGTATCATTTCGGACATAAATCTCAGTTTTACTTACTACTTGACGCGTTGTAAAAATGTTACTGCTTTTTTAACAATGATTAAATTTTTATGATAAGACAAACTTAATTTTGATGCATATAATGTTTTTAATAGATCTGGATGAGATCGATTAGTTGAATCTTTTAATAGAGAAATAGCAGCTTTCATTGATTTTATAATTAGACGTGTTTCATCAAATAGTTTTACACAGTCAGTTTCATTCTTTCCATGAAATTGCTGTAAGTCAACAACAGTCATTCATTAAGAATAGCAAAGAGTCAATTTCGCAATTGAATGTGTATCATAGCAATAGAATTCACAATCATTTCACAACTCAAAGTAATAAGATACTCACACGTGCATATTCTTGCAGAGTAGAATGTAATCCCGGATACAATAGGTAAATTGGAGCATCTATAATAGCAATTGATATTGATATTTTCAAAGATTTTGGCAGCACCAAATCCGCCAATTCTAATGGTACGATATTACTGAGCATTTTGTTAACAATACACACGAGATGAAGATATGTTATTCTGCAATGATCCACGCTACTATATTTCCCAAAATATTCCATTACTTCGCCGAATAATTGCATTAATGATTTTAAATCCTCGTGAATCTTTAATGCCACTCCGTCCCTGCATAGCCAAATAGTTGGCATAACACTGGTAATAACTAGTTGAACGAGCTCATAAGTCAAGTCCATAACGTATTTAACATTTTTCAATGGGAATGTAGAATTAATTGGAATGCTTAATAATGTGATAACGTGCTTCAAAGACTCTATGCAGTACATAGGTATTGTCATCTGTTGCAATTGCAGTACGGATTCATCAACGTTATCCATAATACTTTGACTTCGGTCGCTCGTTCCCTATAAAAATTTATAATTTTTTAGCTGAATTCTATGCTTATAATAATGTTTGAATCATAGGAATTAATGGATAATAATTATATACCGCTGATTGGTATGCCTGATAATTGGCTTCTGGTAGGCCGCCCTCAGGACTATCTCTATCTTCGGAAGACGGATAGGCGATACTTTCTAAATTCCCTGCTAACAACTTATTGGAAATATACAGTAAATTAGCTAGATGCAGTGAAAATTAATTTGGAGTAACTAATTTAGCATCTTTTTCAGAGTTTTAGACGAGAGTGTAATAAAAACTGTACTACCTTTTGCTTTTTGTTTGCCACACAGGGATCGCAGTAATAGTATATACGAAATCTTAAAGAACGTGTAAGTTTGTATAAAGTTTTTAATACTGTCGATACGACATTTCCCATACTGACTTCTAAATTATTTCCACTGGAATTAATTAGTGTGTGTAATACCTATAGAAAAAAATATTATTTGATTATGTAAAATAAAAAGGTTTTTCGTTGATTTATATTGCAAATTGTTCATGTACTTTACCGAAACTATAGCTGGTCTTTGAAGGAACACTTCTGCAGGGAAATCTTGTAACATTACGTTAGTTATAAATTGGCAAGTATGCAATATCAGACTAGTATCCATAGTATTACTTAATGCTTCTTCTACTGCTGATAAAACTCCTTTGTCTGACGTAACTAATGATTGCCATGGCATTACTAACCACTTTATACCACCCTCTGTTTTCTTCGAGATGTGTGTTCCATCTCCGCATTGTAGTGTCAAATCGAATGGTATTGTGCTGTTCATTGCAATGATGCATTTAAGAAATATTTATATGTATAAAACTATATTACTTAAATGTACATTCAATGCTTTACCTATCTGAATATGCATGTACATTATTAGAACTGTTAGGATATTGTGATTCAAAGTCTCCATCTCCAATTTGATGATCGTACGTTCTTCCTGCATATTGCTCATGGTTCCTACTTGGAGAGCCTGTAGTCTTTGTAAAATAAACATATACGATCAATAAGAAATGTAATTTCTTGTTTTAGAATTGTGCATTACGTACAAATACCTTTGACTGTGTTCCAGCAGAATCCGTAGGACCTTGCTGTTTAGAACTAAGGGCAACTTCCTCGATTAGATTTAACTTGTCATGCCAAGTAGAATCAAGTTTTAATCTTAATTCATGACATTCATTTTGAAATCTGAGTTTGCCAAATGCATTTAAAAAGCTTCCGTCATTTGTCTGTTAAAACATCAGTAGAATAAATAATACTATATTACAACTATATAAACATTGAATTTTTATGAGTGATTCAAAATTTAAAAAGTTATAAATTAAATAGGATTATTTGTAATTATTACCTTCACTAATCTGTATAGTAGGTCTAAAGCTTTTTCTGGCTGTATTACTATCTCGAAGGAGAACCAATTAAATAGTTTCATTATGAGTTCCTTTTTAACAGCATCACAATCACAACCAAAGCCATGATCGAATTTGGAAATAATATTATCCAAAGCTCTGGAGCGTATCTCATCGATTGCATGCCCTGAAAGTGAATGCAAGAAAAATTCCTTAGAGAGATGATGCATGATATAATAGTTGTCGTGTACTAAAAAAGTTAGATCATTTACCAAACAGATTACAGTAGCAAAATTAAAATGTAATACCTAATTTCTTAATATGCACGGGAGTTATTGCATTAGAATGCGTCATTTTCAACGACGTAGAACTGTCATAATATTTAGGTTATTGCTTCTTCAAATTCTTAACCGCCAACAATTGAAAATAGGTGCGCTTGCACGTTCACAAAGTGACTCTTTTAATACAAGAATAAAAAAGTGTTATAAAGCCCGTTTTGCAATGGGAAATTGCCAATAGACGTTTGTCGTAAGTCATTTCCGTAAGCCAATCAACATTATTTTCTCAGCTTTTTTTAATGTTACGATTGGCCTGTAGAAACATTTTATAACAAAGTCGTATTGTAGAACAGGCTTAATTGGATATTGACCAGTTGCACTTTTTTGAAAGCCAATAGAATGCTATCAATTGTTACTTATGAAAAGCAAGCATAAGGTGATTCCGATTTGAAAGGACGTGCTTTTGTAACCATAAAGTTAAACGTTGTCGTACCGGTGTCAGAAATTAAGGAATTTAAAAACTAAAATCTTTCTGTGATATTATTAATTTGCGTAAGTACTTTTTCGCGCTGATGAATTCCATAATCTTTACCTTGAAGATCGGTGTAGCAGAAATTTTAATAAGATTCATAATGGAGTTTAGATATTTAAACAAATATTTCGATATGTTACTATTTGCATATGATTTTATTAATGATTTAGACTCCCAGTGTAATTCCTATAATTTTAGTAATATAAATGAAGTCTTGAATTTCTTGCAGGAAAATGGTTGTCAGGCAGTATCAAGAGGAACTGAAATATTTGGAAAAAATTAATAACTACTGCTGGAGAATCAAAAAAGGGTTCCAGCCAAATATGAATGTATATAGTTTAATATATACTGCAAACTTTTTTCATGTTATTTTTATTACACTATAATTTTGTGTGTTGTCGAAGGTTGAAGGTATATTCTACGTTAATAATACATTAGAAAAACTAATGTTGGAGGAGCTACGTAATGCATGTAAACCTGGTGGAATTGGTGGGTTTCTTCCTGGTGTTAAGCAAATTGCAAATGTTGCTGCCTTACCTGGAATAGTTGGGAAATCTGTAGGTCTTCCTGATGTGCACTCTGGTTATGGTTTTGCTATTGGTAAGATATTATTTACTTTATATGATTGACAGTTTAATTTTATACATTATGCATATACAGGGAACATGGCTGCCTTTGATATGAATAATCCAAAATCTATAGTTTCTCCGGGTGGAGTAGGATTTGATATTAATTGTGGTGTTCGTCTTCTTCGAACAAACTTATTTGAAAAAGATGTAGCACCTGTCAAGGTATACTTATTCATATAATATATAATCATGTTATTATATATTGCTTACAAATGTATATCAGTGAACCTTCCACAGGAGCAACTTGCCCAGAGCATGTTTGACCATATTCCAGTCGGTGTTGGTTCAAAAGGAATTATACCAATGACTGCTCGTGATTTAGAAGAAGCATTAGAAATGGGCATGGATTGGTCTCTCCGAGAAGGTAAGTACAAAAAAAATACATTAAAGGATAAGATTTATTCTATGGAAAATATTTCTGTAGGATATGTCTGGGCTGAGGATAAAGAGCACTGTGAAGAATATGGTAGAATGTTAAATGCAGACCCTTCTAAGGTTTCCATGAGAGCTAAGAAACGTGGTCTTCCACAGGTACTATAAAAAATCTTTTGTTTTTATACTGATATATCTTGATACTTATGCTAGGTTACATTTTAGCTGGGAACTCTAGGTGCTGGTAATCATTATGCTGAGATACAAATAGTGGATGAAATTTATAATAAATGGGCTGCTAGTAAAATGGGTATTGAGGAAAAGGGACAAGTTTGTGTCATGATCCATTCTGGTAGTCGAGGCTTTGGTCATCAGGTTGCAACAGATGCACTGGTACAAATGGAGAAGGCCATGAAACGAGATAATATCGAAACAAATGACAGACAATTAGCATGTGCACATATTAACTCACGTGAAGGACAGGATTATTTAAAGTCAATGGCTGCAGCTGCTAACTTTGCCTGGGTTAACCGCAGCTCCATGACATTCCTTAGTCGCCAAGTATTTATCTGCATTCAATTTCCTAAGGTCTATAATCACTTCCCGAAAAATATGTTTAATTTTTTTTATTTCTTTAATCAGGCCTTTGCAAAGCAATTTCACATGAGTCCTGACGATTTAGACATGCACGTTATTTATGATGTATCCCATAATATTGCTAAAATTGAAGAACACATAGTTGATGGGAAACAAAAGACTCTCCTAGTGCACAGAAAGGTAACTCTGTAAGGATATTGAATGAATACAGTTTATACAATTCTCTAATGATAAAATTTGATAGGGTTCAACTCGCGCCTTCCCACCACATCATCCATTAATTCCAGTTGATTATCAATTAACTGGTCAACCAGTCCTAATTGGTGGTACAATGGGAACCTGTAGTTACGTACTCACAGGTACTGAACAGGGTATGCAGGAAACTTTTGGTTCGACTTGCCACGGAGCTGTTAGTATATAATCCGTTTCATTTAATGATTAGTTTCGTTATCTATAGATAGTAATTTCTCTACATTTTATTAATTCAGGGTCGAGCTTTATCTAGAGCTAAATCACGGCGTAACTTGGACTACAAAGAAGTATTGGATAAACTTGAGGAACTTGGAATATCTATCAGAGTGGCCTCGCCTAAGCTTGTTATGGAGGAAGCACCGGAATCTTACAAGAATGTAACCGATGTAGTAAATACCTGCCACGCAGCTGGTATTTCTCATAAGTGTATCAAGTTAAGGCCTATAGCAGTGATCAAAGGCTGATCTATAGAGTTTTTGGATCGGTAAATATATGTGCATAATCTTTATACAGATACTGAAAATGAAAGTATCTAAGTATCTGAAAACTCGTGCATCTTTTACGTTGAACTGCAGGTACTCATTGCGTACTAACGAACTGCACTCGATAGCTTTTTTATAATTACGTGGAAAATTAATTTATTGCTTATATTAATTAGGCATATCGAATATCAGATAAGTGTTGGGATTATGTGCCGAGTCAATACTCTTATAGTCATAACCAACGCTAAAAAACTGAGTTTCTGAAATTGAAATGAGTTATATACTTAAAAAATACTAGTGTGTTAAGTATTTACATTTTTTAATGTAATATTAAGACTTCTCAAAGAAAGTGATAAAAGAATCCTTTTTACATCCAACTACATAAAATCAATTAAACACAAAAAAAAATCTTTTTTTCTTAGATCTATATAATGTTAGAATAATATACATATTTCCATAAACATAAGTATACACAATTTTCACTGCAATATCCAACTTAGGATTACTGTAATTCCTTCTCCTCATTCAACTTCGACGGTGATCCTGGAGAATTCAGTTTGGTATGTTCAGGAGACATTCGAAAGGTTGTTCCATGTCGACTAAAGTCCTCAATTTCACCCACAGGAGGTTCCTGAGACATATCCCGTACTTCCTCCTTGCATCGTCCCTGTAAGAAAAATGCAGTTTACAATTTTCCAACGAACGATCAAAGTTCTCACGAGTAGTATCCTCTTACCTGGAAAGTACGAAGTGCAGCACTACGAAAATCAGTACTGCACGCAAAATAAAGAAGGAATTTTAGTGCAAAGTTACTGATTTCCACCAAATTAACGATAGCCCGCATCCGTTGGTAATTCAAATCCTTTTCTAATTTTATTGGATATATCAAAGTGACACATATAGCCGGAGTAGTGGTTAAAAAGAAGAAAATAACTATGGCAGATAATAGAATGACCAACTGCTGCTCCTCCCTGTAAAACGAACTACAGGTTTATTGTCACCTTAAAAATCTAAAAATCATCATCATTATAAAGTCACCTGTATCCACGATTCCGCATCAGGGATGATGTTTCCGCAACGTGTGTCGCTCTATATTTATCAGACACTGCATGGAACCTACGTCGTTTGGCAGTGAGTTGAAGAAATCTTTTGATGACCAATGTATTAAGAAAGACAAAGACTAGAGATGGTCCAATCCGTACAAGACTCTCTAATCCCCATAGATAAGCTGTCCATAATTCATTGCGAGTGATAGAGGTATTCTCTTGTAATATAAATACTAAATCAGGACCATCCTGCTGCTCGTATACGAGTCTCATACCTCCAAGCGGTATACTGATCTACGCAATGAAATCTTATATGTTCTCAGATCATCTTATAGTATTTCAAGTAAAAATTGAAGATTATAACTGTACCATGAAACCAAGCATGAAAGATGCAATGATCAGTGAATTAGCATTGCGCCGTATATTTCCAGATCTCAAACGTGCTGGAAAGAAGACTGAGACGTATCGGTCCACGGTAAGTGAAGCCATTATGAAAATGCTGGCAGCCATGAAAGTATGCAGAAGAACGAGCTCTATGTGAGCGTGATAAAGTGCGGCTAGATAGAATTTATTCATCCCATATCCTAGTCTGATGGCTGGAAAGAAGTTGAGAAGTATTTTATGAAGGGGTGATCCCTTATAGCGTCACTGTATAATTGGATGATAAATCGATACAGTAGAATGTCTGAGGGGTTGAAATTAAATACATGATAACGTTGGTTCATGAATGTATTATTTATAGAGATATGCGAACCGACTGGTATCCAGGAGATTAGGACACCTATATCAGCTACAGCCAAGCCCGTCAGATATAAATACGTCACTCCGCGGAATGACGGTCCTGATAAAGCAGCCAAAGTCAAAATATTTCCCAGGAGTCCAAAAGTCAAAATGGCTGGGGTGGCTATTCTGTGCACGGCCCATTCTATGTGAAGGAGTTCCTTTCTAATAGCCTCCTCGTCATCTCCAAATGGCTCGTATCTCTCTGTGGAGTAGTTACTATCGCAGCAGGAGAACGCTCTAGGAAATTTGAGACGAATCAATTACGTATGTATGATGATAAAGTGTTTTTTTTTAGGAATATATTTAAATGCTCTCCTGTTACGCACCCATCGATCAATCCTGTTAACATGACCTGAAATTATTGAGAAAACTTTGTGAGGGAAATCTAATTCTGTTTGGGTAAATTTGATTAAAAGAAGTCGAAACTTCTTCAAACAATGATTATATTTAATTTTGAAAATTAATTAATGAATTTCGATTTAAACAGTGCGTTGACGTGTAAAGACGATTTGCATACAAATTGTTAAGTTTACAGGTCTCGTTGTTCAAGAAAAAATATTCATTATTGAAGTTACAATGGAGTCGTTAGGCCATTGTACTCCCCTCAATGTTATAACATGAAACTTTTCAATTTTGCTCCGTCTAATTACAATTTACCATATAAACAGGGGATCGTTATCTACCTCCTAATGGGTATCATGTATTATTATTCGTATTTTTTTTTTATACTACTTGTTACATTATAACTATAGGAAACAAATTTGCATATTTCTTTTAAGATTTACTTTATAATACCTCTAGCTATAAAAGATCTTTTTAAGATGCTTACACTTTCTACATTATCCCATTATATGCTCTCTGCACAAACTACAATGATATAAAAAGAAATCTAATTATTCTTAGCAAAAAATTTCGAAGAAAAATTATCAAGCGCACAGAATTAAGAATTCAATATTTTTAATGAATGCACTGGTATTTCTACAGTCTCTCGTCATTTTGAATCCTTTTACCTTTTGAAATTCTCGGTATTCCCATTCGATTAAGTGATACGGCAGAGAACTACACGTCTGACAAACACATTATTAGAGTCGACATTTCAAATGAGGGATTTTTCTCAATTATCAGCATCCGGGTAAATTCTTTAACATATATCTATCTCACCTGTAATAGATATTTATTTATATTTAATACAATCTAATTTTTCTTTTCTAGCCCAAAGCGAAGTCACTATCCGTTAATTGATTTAATATCTACGACGTCTTACACAAAAAAACAAACACTTTTAGCGTCATTCTTAGCACCGAAAATCCGGTACATCCTGAATACATTAGAGTTCAACGTGTAGAGCTCTGAATAAATGATTATTCATGAATTCGTTAACGTTTGTAATGGACTACTCGAAGTATAACGAACTATTTATGCAATCTTCGCAGTAAGTAAAATCACCTTTTTCTTTTGTGTCAACAGGCTGCAGTTACACGATGCAATTGAAAACTCTAATACGAACTCATGACCTGTTCAATGTCGACGGCGCGAAACGTCGTAGCGGACTTCGTCCCTTGAACCTGTGTAGCTCTGAGACATCCCTTAAAAATGGGAGGTCGGTCAATGCGCAAGCTCTCACCCAGGTAGATCAGTCCACGTGTAGGAAGCACGTTGCTTCTCCTGTTCACCATATTCGCAACTCAAGTTTCTGCGCATTAAGAGAACTTAATACGTAGATAGGTATACACATTTTTTTCACTTCATTTCATTATAAAACTTCAAGCGAACCTTGTCTACACATTTAGCGCATAAAATTTCATCACCATTAATTTATCTTCGTTAGAGAACTGCCAGGACTTCTGGTACCTGAATATTAAAATAGCACTGCCGTACACAAACACAGAAGAAAGAAAATTTAAATGAACTGAAAAGATAGAGGAAGAATTAATTTTACTGTTAATTTATAGAGAGATATTATCAAAATATTTGTTAGCAACATGCATAAATATGATGTACAGTGAGAGACATAATTTAAAGCTTAAATGTTCTGATATCTTTTTGTACTGTAGAATATAGTCTGCAATAATTAGTTTTCTCAATGAGCAGCAATCAGCTACTTGTTAATTTACGTTTTAACGTGACATCTACAAGGTTCGCTATGGCTCTCTGATTCCATTTTAGTATCTGCAATCAAATCTCTACTGTTCTATTAAACTCTTCCATATTTCTCATAATTGCTTCCTAACGACTTATTCTCGTCACAGATACCTAATTAGACATTCACGTTTCATATGTGATGGAAACATTTCAACGATGTATTACTATTAACATTCTTAGTTTTGTGTGCATACGCGATGCTCTGTCGTTGCTTCAGAATCGTAGAATGATTAGTCATTACATTTGTTGTACTGCGTGCTGCATTACAGTGAAAAGTATTCGAAAGTAATAGAAACGTGACATAGTTAACGGTCCTAAGTGTATAGACAAGTATGACTAAAGAATTTATCAAAACTTTCAATGATTCGTTATTAAAGTTATGCTTCTTCTTGTTATATGGCATTAATTATATGAAGCCTTCAGCCAATTTTAAAAATCAATACTTATACATACACTCTATATTTACTAACTTCGACAAAGTCCAGATATTTCAGTACGCTGAGCCGTTCCGAAAAGACGTGGAAAGAAAATTTTCTCAACAAATACTTCCTTAACTGCTTGGAGAACTAAGTTGGTATCTTCAAGGGGTAGTAACATAAGTCTAAGTTGTTGCGAATGATAGATTACTACCAGCGATTCGCAAGGACAAACTTGCCCTTTTTCATAGCTGCAAAAAAAAATTCAGAAAAGTGAAATATGAAATATGTATAATCCAATATACGAAAACAAATTAAGCAGTGGAGAGATGGGCGGCATTGTGAAATAAATTATTATGCATGGCATCTGACGTTCTTTAATAAAAAGTAGAGAAGGGGTCTCATGTTTGCTGTGTAAAGCACAGTAAAATATTTTTCTTACAGTAAAAGTTTAAAGAGAGAAAAAATGTTAGTAGCAACATGTTTTTTCAACTTATAACAGCTATTTGTTATTACCATTGCTTTTTTCTTCGTATTCACGTGACTATGATCGATAATGTACGTTATCAAACTTTTTTCTGAGAAACTTTACTTTGCTCGGGAAATGTGAAACTTTTCGGTCGATAAACTTCAAAATATTTGAACTACAAAGAGCCACGTGAGTCTGAGGTGAAATTCACTTTTCTGCAAAACGACGCAGGGCTTCGCATAAGGCGCCCTCGCTTTCTCTGTATGGCCTGCGGCTTATGAGATTTCCAAGGGATGAGAGAAAAGCAGGTGGGGTGTGACTACCAAATTTGAGGACAGAGGGTGGGGCGGTATAACATAAATGGAATGTAACGGAACGCACGCGAGTTATTGGAAAAATTTGTGTGTTCTATTCACTTCGTTGCGTCGCGACGTTAGCTCGACCCAAGAATGGGGTCTTTGACGTTGCACAAAACTCTACGGTACGTAGCGAGAAATTATTTCGATAGTAATAATTAATAACAATATTTATGAAACATAATACTTCTAGTCTGCTTAATATATTACAATATTTGTCCGGACACGAGGAAGCTTATAGAAATATGAATTTATATACTGTCGTTAAACTTAAGCTCGGCTGTTGCAGATATTCTTTTTCATTTATACAGACTTTGCATAGGTAGAATATTGGATTGCAGGATATACGAAACGATTGTTTTTTTTTGTGATTTCCATTAGTCGATATGAAAGAAGGAAATATAAACCGTGCTGTGTATGTGCCTCGATTTAACTGGATTTTCATACATTGTTTTTTTAATTTCATGGCTTTAATATTGTTATATTTTTTTTGCACAGGTTCATTCAATTTATCGGCCTTAGCCAGGCGGTGTTCTGGTCCGCACCGTCCCCTCCACAAAAGAATCAGGGATTGAAATTTCCGGATGCCGTGTGTCCTTGCATACTACTTCAAGAGTGTCCAAAGATATTTGGTTCCGTGCCAGAAGACAAAGATCTTGGTTCGTTTCCGTCGTGCCAAGTGGATGGATACGTTAGATGCTGCGGCCTGTCTTCACGTAGGGATGCTAGGGCATTAAATGAAAATCATGGAAAAGAAAATCTGGTGACGTCGTCTACTACCTACAGAGAAAAGTATCAGCTTCCACCTGGCATAGTAGTTCCAGTACCATTTGTATATCCGGAATATATTGATTCACGTAAAACAGTGAAGGTTTCAAAGGCGGAAGTGGCTGCACCATTGATATCACGACCACCGTTAACACCCTTGGCACTGTTGCGACCACTGGAACCATTAACACCATTGGCACCGCCACCGAAACTTCCTCCTATATCAGCCAGTGTTACTAGACCGGAAATAACAAACGGCAAAAAGAAATTGTTGGCGGAAATAACAAGTCCGCCGGTGCAGAAGTTGCCGGTTGGCATTCACGTACCACCGGTAGGATTCATGTATCCGGAATACTTGGAGGAAATAAAGCGAAAGGAGGCAAAGGATCGTGAGGAAGAAATCAACAGGAAGAAAGCAACTCTTCAGAATCACTCTGGAAATTTTGAACTACATGCTTTCCCATTATCCATGACGAATTCGCAGGGAAATTTCAATACACCGGGTGTCAATAATATTCGGGAGTCTTCTGTAAGTTTCCAGGATCAATCTCAGAAAGAGACGCCTGATTCTTTCTCGGCAACTGTTCATAAATCTGAGAAGTCGTCGACAAATCAAAATATAAATGGCAATCAGGCATCTAGAACAAATACACAAGATCACTCTAAAAATAAGACTGAAAAAACTTTTCCAATTGTATCTGCCAGTTTTGAAATCCATTCAAAAAATGAGCCTACTGATGCTTCTCAAAGATTCAGTGCTAAGAATACAGATATGACCGGTGGCTCCCGGAAACCAAATGTCACTTTTGAAAACGAAGACTTTGGTGTGGCTTCTTTGGACACTGTGAGGGAGATTATAGCGTCGGAAAATGCCTTGACAAAACCGGACAGGATACCGGAAATAGCACCGTTCAGTCCAAGAAGATTTCCGTCGGGAGTAACTGCGCCGCCATTAAATTTCATGTACCCGGAGTACGTGGATTTGAGAAAGACTAAGCAAGGGAATGAAAATTTACGTAACTTCGAAAATACTCGAATTCCTGTCGAACAAGACGAACCTGAGCATATTGAAATTCCAGAAGAAGAAATAACGCCTCCGCCATTTGAATTTGTAAAATCTAAATATGAAAAATCTAAAAATGTCGACGCCCCTGTCAAAAGTGTAGAACGACTTAGAACGCTGCCGGTGGACATTAGAAAGCCACTTCTATTCCAAAAGCAAAGTCGTTTCGATACATTCGAAAATTCTCAACCAGACAAGAAGGTGACCATAGAAACAACACCGACTGAAAATAAAACTTCAATATTCTCAACCTTGATTTTAAACACGCTGCATAATTTACACAGTTCGATGTCTCAATTGACTTCTGGCATTTCCATGAATTCCGCAACAGTCACTACCACCACGACGAATATTCCACCCACAATCACAAGGTCGCAGACGCCGATAACGAGTAGCATTGAAATTCAAAATATTAGGCCGCCTCAAGCGATTCCTAACAATCATGGACAATCAGAAGTCAGAACTTTTTCTCCATTGATCGTTCCTAAGATTCCAGTAAGACTACGAACAGAGCAACACGAAATCTCGACAATGACTGCGAAATTCCCCATGTTGGCACAGAACTTAAGTGAGACTCCTCAAGAGAAAGGAACAAAAAGTGTCGTCGTTCAAGCGACAGATGTGGCATTGATTTCGGGGAGAATACCTCAAGTAAATCGAACCGCAGACATTCGTCTGAACGCTCCGATGACCCGGCCCAAGGTGAAATTACCCCATCGACAGGGACAAAGTTTAGTAAGGAATCGTGGAAACGTGAAACACGCTACGTCAACTATTGCAGAAGATTACCCAAATGCGAGAGTGATTTCGCAACGTCAAAGAGTCAACGCAGATCATGTCCCAGAACCTCAGGGAGATTTTCAACCACGTTTGAGATTGCCAGCGAGAAGTTTCGAGATACTGAACGCCAGTCAGCCGGAAATATCAAATGAAAAGTTCTCGGCGTTCAATGGTGAGAACATTCCTGAAGGACTTCAAAGACCGATACCATCTTTGAAAATGCCTTCTCAAGACGATATACAGGCACCACAAGTGTCCAATAAGCATACTATACAGCATTCAGGTGATGGAAGTACAAGTGAATCTCAGAGAGATCAGGATTTAGGAAGTAAGTTTCACACGGATAATAATAATCACGAGAGAGCAAGTATATTCAGAGTTACCATGACGATTGGACACCCTCGTGAGATTCTTGATCGATTACCAGTTGTACCAACTGTACCAGCTCCCGTAGAAATCGTTCCGTCTACAGCTGAGATCATATCAAGTTCAGTTGCTACTGTTGCAACAACAACTAGTGCAACTCCATTAGCTCCTGTAGAAGTGACAAGTGCTAGAACTTCCACGAGGACACGTCCTTCGAGTCCTGAGTCTATGAGAAATAATCTAATTCGTAAACGGCCTCAATATTTTCCCAAGAAGCACGAATTTGTTCGTCAGGATTCGATAATGCCGGCTACCACGTTTGAAACGAAGGTAGGGCACCTAGCTGGTGTTAATAGACACGATTTTGAAGATCCCGAGGTGCAGGAATCTCTGACGTTCCTAGAAGAAAACAATGTGAACTTTGGTTCGCGCGCGTCGACTGATCAGTCGACTAAATTTACATCAGAAGGGTCCGGAACGACGAGGGACTATTTTCCGGGACAGAGACTGTCGTCAGAGACGTTCACGCATGATGAGAGCGTCATTCATCCGAACGACAGCGGTGTAACGAAGCCAGTTAATGACATTAATGTGCCAGTAATCGATGCTCCGTTGAATAATAAAATAAGAAATCTCGAAGAGGGTCCAAGGCGTCAGTTCCGTAGGATGATGTTCAGGAGGCGTCTCAACGTCCGAAGGGATTCACGTAGAGGATTTCCTACTGATTCCACGAAAATCGAACCACAATCCAGGAGGGCTTTACCAAAGGAAAATGATTTTCCCGCAGGCATCCCGGAAGAAAAGATTCAAACCAATCAAAGACCTCGTTCTTCTGATACTCCCACCTTGAATGGACCCTCATTAGAGGCGGAAGAAGTTACATTACTTTCGACTCTAGAGATGGGAGATAATTTACAGATGGAACGATCATCGGGAAAGGGACCTAGTTCAGAGGAATCAACTGTCTTACCACCTATATCTTCTAATGTCGAGGAAACTCGTTCTCGTTTTCGACATGGCCTTAGAAATCCTTCGATTGTTAAGGAAGAAACCACTGTAGCGAGTGTTGAAAATATTTCTAATAATCTTACCGATAACGATGTGAAATACTTTGTGCGTAGAAGACCAAGGCCGGGTAGGCGAACTACCACGCCGGAATCTTCTGTGGAAACTTCTACGGACTCCTATGCGGTAGGAAGGAGAATAATACGTAGACGTCCTGGAGTAGGAAGTAAACGCAGAACACTTCAGGACGAGGAAAATGAAAATATGAATGTCTACGAAGAGAAGGCTCAAAGTGAGAATAGTGAATCCGTACGACAGAGAAGCTCGAGAAAGATCAAAGCCGAGAGAATTTCTGTTCAAAACTTGGAGGAATCTGAAACTGGGACTTCTTTGACAGCACCGGAAACGGGAATATTGAAAATCAATAATACCGCAGCCTCTACGGGGTCGGATTCAAACTCATCACCGGATGAGAAGTTAATCAATATGCAACAAGAGAAACGTGTGGAAATGTCGAGTAACAATAAGCTTATGGAGGTCAATTTACGTAAAATCAAAGACAAGGAGGAGGCGGAAAATTCAAGTAATGGGAAACGCGTAGTTTATGAAACAGCCACTAGTATTTCGGTTGTTAGAAACGGAAGAGTTTTGACTTTGGATGAAGTGAAACTTTTAAATGACTTGAAGAAACAAGAAGAACTTGAAGAACGTGCAGATATATCTGATAGTACACCGTCGACTTTAATCTCTTTTGATTCTGTACCCTTGGTATTTTCAAAATTGAGTCCTGCAGAAGACCATGGTGACTCTTCGAAAACTCAGAATAGCGGGAACGGCGAACTCCAAATTTCCACGCCAACAACTCCGGCTTCTGGTACAATGGACGATGAAATATTGGAAACAATCGATAAAGGCTCAAACGAACCAGGGCCTATAGAAAGGGATGCTTCTGCATCAAAAAAGACACATAAATCTGAAGAGACTACAAAAGAGTTTCATAATAATCTAATAAAGAAAGAAAGTACCGATAGTTTGGAGATGTTAAAGCTGGCTGAAGATACAAGCGTGGATTCAGATTCCGTAAAACCGGAAGATTCTACAAAGGATAATCCTAAGAAGGTGATGGATAAAGATGTCAATGACGTAAGTATAGAAACGCGTAATAAACTTCATAAGCAGTTTGTTGATGTTAAAGATAATGAAAAAATCTTATCTAAACTTGAAGAGAGCGGAGGAGATCCGAAGCAGTTGAGAAGTTGGTATGATGATAATAAGAATAGTCGGGCAACAGCAATGCGAACAGCCAGACATACGATTCTGGACCCTCAACAGATGCCTATCTTCGAGTCTGAAGATTCTCCTGGTGTTTCCCTTCAAGAGAACAACAATTTGCGGATGAATCACTTAACGCCAGTTAATAATATTACAATGATAGAGAGCGTTACGATATCTCCTGAGGATATTGCCAGGCCAGGGCGTATCAGTATAATTGGTCCTATTCCTCCGGGATTTAAAGACATAGCTATTTCACCAGAGGAAGAACTGCGTCTTGATCTACCCAATTTGGACGGTGTCGAAAGCTTTAGACCCTTTTCAGAACCATGGAAATCTAACCCTATTCCGTTGAAAGTGGCAGGACCTTCCAGAATAGAATCATTGAGGCCAGTTGCTAAAAATCTTCCACCCTTCAAGGCTTCTCCATTAGATCCCTTCCGATGGTTATGAAAGAATTAGCTGTATTTTTTTAGATTCTATTATTGTGGCCATTTATCGACATTTTTTCTAATTGAAAATTAGTGCTTCAATGTGACGTTATTGAAAGACGATGCATCGCTTAATGCCAACAGCGATATTATAGAATTTGATTATTTATTAATTTAGATAATAGATCTGTTGTTTACACATGTAAATAAATTATGTATCATTATTCGTTTTACGTAGAAATACATGGCATACTTATTTTATTTACAGGCCACCTTTATTGCTGGTTCGTAATTCTGTATCTGCTCCGATCTGTTTCTCTCCAATAGTTTTACCCAGTTTTACCAACTGCGGGAACAAAGTAGTATAGATTTAATTCCATATATTTAATCAAATTATAATAAATCAGAGATATTTATATTACAACTTAGATCTTAGAATTTCAGAAGATTATAACTTATAGATACATATTTATCCTAAACACGAATAATCGTTTGGAATATAACACATTTTGTTGGCAAACATGAGGCGTCGTTACCAATTAGTTTAAATTCTAGCAAACCGTCAACAGGTAGAATTTTAAGACTTGGTCCGTTAATAACATTTGTAACACGTTATTCTAATATTATACAGTATAATGGCCGAATTTAGAACTCCTACTACAAATAAATGTCGAAGTAGATTGCAGGATAATCCGGACTTGCAAACGCCAATAAAGATTCCTCCATCACCATATCTGGAGAAGATAGGTTACGGCACGTGTAAGCAAAATTATATTTGCCATTATGTATGGTATCCATAGTTAATTCTGTTTTTAATACTATATACATTTTTCATTAGACGTTAATGTATTTACTTTGGAAAGATCACCGAAAGTTGGTTTCGTTAGATCGCCTTGGGCCCTGAAGAAAGTCAATCGGAATGCCCTTAGCACCAAAGCTTATAACACGCGTATCTGCCTTGAGGCAGAAATACTTTGCAAACTTAATCATCCAAACATCGTTGGATTTCGTGCATTTACAAAAGCCTCCCATGGAGAGGCATGTCTTGTTATGGAGAAATTAGAAGTCTCCTTAGGTATCTACTTAATAACAATAGTAGCGTAAGATAAAAGTTTAAAATGATCTTTAAATCGTTAATCATTATGACATATTTCTTTTGGACAGGTGACATCATTGAAGGAATGATAGAAAATGATATGAATCCATTCTCAGCAGATGACATATTAAGAATTGGGTTTGAAGTCGCTAAAGGTTTAGAATATTTACATCATACAGTATATATCCTTCATGGCGATCTAAAAAGTTATAATGTGCTAGTATCTGATAACTGCAAAGTCGTAAAATTGTGTGATTTTGGAGTTTCTCTACCATTGACAAAGTCTCTAGAATTGGACAGATCGAAGGGCCAATTTGAATATGTGGGAACAGAGTGCTGGAGTGCTCCTGAAATCATAGACAGTGAGTTGTTTAGCACGTGTCTTTTTGTTTGCACGAAGTTTAGTAATTCATCTTTTGTATGTTTGATTACAATTTATATTGATGTTTTTCAGTGGAAGGACCAGTTACGAATAAAGCAGATATGTGGGCTTATGGTCTTGTAATTTGGGAAATGATAGCTCTGTCTCCACCATATGTAGAACATGATGATTCAATATTTGAAACTTCGTTTGATGATTCGTTTACTGCTAATGAAATGCCTGATAATAAAGAAAATAGTGATCCAAACCTGGATGAAAGTGTACAACTAATTAAGGAAATAACGCGTAAAAGATTTGGTATGTTACATGTAACTTTCAGTACTCAAATTTTCAATATATTATAAAATTATGTACAGTATTCTTTATATCAAATTTTATTTTAATTATCGTTTTAGGTATGCGACCTGCTTTACCTGCTATCGAATTAGGCCCAGAGTATAAAAAAGTCTTGGAACTGTTCTACACGTGTACTGACGCAGATTACAAATCAAGACCAACTGCTAAGGGTGTTGTCATGTTTTTCAAAAACTATGTTTACCCAAAATCTGAGAAAGCGGAAAAAGAAACGGAGTGCGACATGGATTGTGACATCTGAATCATATTATGGTATAAAAAGTTATTAATTTTTAAATACTTTATAAGTTATTTTTATGTAATAACAATCGTTTATTTTGCATGTACATGAGACGTCTAATTTTAAAAGAAAATAGCTATTAGCAAGAGAATGACAATAATTGTAACGATAATTATAATAAATTTGATTTTCCGCTGGAAAAAGAATTTATCAATTAGTAACATAGTATACTGAGTTTACATACGTATTCAAAATCAGTTTTAGATATACCTTTCTCCATTTGTGACTTTTCTTTTCTGCTCGATGGATCTCATTACGTCCACCGTCAATATTATGTGTAGCTTTCCCAGCAAAATATTCAACACAATTTAACTGATCGCCCTGAAATATTTAATTAGATTATTGTCATCCTTATTCAGATACTAATAACTAATTGCAAGATATACAGACTTGCTTTTCCACTAGAAATGCCATTTCCGTGAACATATCGCGCACTTCTATGAGAGATTTTTCCAATTTAATAATATCGTTGTGTCTTGATTGTATATCCGAGAGCTGCTGCTTAACTAGTCTACTATCTTCAAGAATCTGAAGACATAAAATTAACAATTATCTCTTGAATTCCTAGAATAAAACTTAGGAACATTAGATACTTGCATTGTCCACAAACAAATTTCTTTCCTGTGTATTCATCATCTCATCTAATTCCACACTAGTGATATCTTTTCTCGCTGTAAATTAGTAAATTAAATATTGCACTAGATGTTCCAGATTTTAAACATTTGACCAATCATTTACATACTCAGGGTCCCTTGACGTTGTAAAAGGGACGAACACTTATCATGATACTTCATTAGGGACTCATTGTATTCTTGCATAACTTCACTAAATAGTCGAGTCATTGTTGTATATTGTAAAACTCTAATTCTCGCATAAGCTGGTCCTTCTCTTGCACTTTCCACAGTGAGATCATCAATTGCCGAAATCTCTTTTCCCATATCTGGAAGAGAATTTTTTCAAAATCACTTTAGTAAATAGTTACTGCTCAAATGAATATTTCAAAGATTACCGCCACATGGCAGCACTGTCTCATTTGGGTATGAAGTGTTTAGTGTTATGTTGTGAATAAAACAATATTAAATACAATTATAATTCTGATAATCATCAGTTAAATCTAGCGCAAGAAAATGTATATTGTATTGAATTAAGGTAACGTAGTCATTCATTAAATTCTGTGTGGCAGTAATTTTAACAGTATGTTATTGTGTTAAGTAGGGTTATGTATATATTGTTTTAGAGTGGCAAAAAGTCCTGTTAATTCAAGAATTAATCACATGTTATTTAAAACGCAGTCATGGAACCTCTTCAGGTATTTGATAGCTTTAAGTTAAATGTTTTAAATCAAGTTTGGGTTAAATCTGTGTGGGATGGTGAATTCTTAATAGTGGATGATCTTCCTGACGAATATCTTCTTCACTTAGACAGTGAGGATATGGGAGTATTATTAACAGATGCTCATACGGTTGTGAAGACTTGGATGTCCGAAAACTTAGATTCAAATCAGCTTGAAAGATGCCAGAGACCAGAAGTGTCCTGGCAGACACTTACAGCTCTGAATATAAACTCGCACAGCTTACTTGCTGTTCTGGCTTACTTAATGAAAAGTGGTCAATCGAGTATGGCAGACGAAGACTCCAGACTTTCTTGCTTAAAAGCTACAAGTTTATATTTTATGCTATTAGCTGTTCCAGGTAGCAATGCATTTCATGTGTTTCATCCTAACTTGTATCATAAAGCTATGGAGACATTTAAATTATCAAAGCATTTAACAGCAAAGCCTGTTAAACGTATTCAAACTACTGATTTGGATAATTTTTATATGCAAGACGAAGAAAATATAAGCACATTATTAAACCTAGAAAAAATAACATTGGTCAAAGGTTTGAATAGTACCATGTATGATCTGATTATGATGCTCAAGACCTTTTGCATGAGGGATCAACTCAGGTCATTAGAAATCACGGTGCATTCCTTACTGGAAATCACAAAATTGGAAACAAGTATAAATCATTTTGTAGCTGGAAATAAGAATATGGACGCCTCGATAACTTCGTTATCTTACAATGCTTATGTAGCATTGCAAGAATTATGCAATCCACGACACGGTGCAATTGATGTTACCGTTAGATTGATCTCAAAATACGTGCTTCCTCATCTTTTATTAAACTACGTAGAATTACCAGCAAAAGCGTTGATGGTTATACGTGACACAACTGTTGATTTTTTGAAGAATTTACTTTCTACGCATGAAAAACAAGCCGAGCTAGGAATAACAATATTAATTCAACATTTAATGGTAAAATGCCCAGAGAGAGTAGAAGCCCGCCAGAAACAAGCAGCAGTCATCACGAAGTTAATGAATTTGTGCAAAGGCAACATGTATAATAGCATCATCGATGACCTTATATTGCTAGCATATCACAATAAAGTATCATATAGAATTTTTGCACAAGAAATCATGGGAAAAGTTGTACTTGACAATTCAAATAAATTGCTCAATTCAAAAGTCAAAAATTTATTAATAGCCACTACTCTTAGCCGATGCATTGATACTTCAAATATGGTCCGGGGAAAAGCTATGGCCATATTTGCAGAGTGCATAAATGTAGAAAATGATAAGAATGGTACAATAGTAAACGATATTTTTAAAATATCCAATGAAGACAAACCATTCCTGCCAGTAGAGGAACTTAGACGAGCTTTAGCAGAGGATATTAATCCCTTACCAGGATCAAATACTATTATGAAAATGTTGATGCACAGAGTAGAAGATGAACGTGCATTAGTAAGACGAAGTGCTTTACAGATTCTTCAAGATCTAGTGACAGCTTTCCCAGTATTATTAGACAAAATAATACCAGCAACAGGCCTTCGCTGCAGAGATCCTGCATTGTCTGTACGACGTTACGCTGTACAGGTCTTAACTAATATTCTAGAGAAGTTTTATGGTCACCCTAATCTAGTGAAGGAATGGGTGCAAGCAGTTTTGCCACAGGTATTCGACATCGAAATAAAAGTCCAGGAAAAAGTATTAGAAGCCCTACAGGATATGATGCTCAGCAAAATCACTCCATACTCTGATGACTATGAAGAAACGGCAGACTGCCTACCATGGAAGATTCTTTATTACGTAACAAGAATGAAAATGAGAAAACATTTATCCAAAGCATGCAGCGTTTGGGCGCAAACTAAAGTCATCACACGATCATTGATAGCCGATGTTCAGTCACACATTGGAACAGATAACAATCTATCAGCTTGGATATTACTAGAAGCCTTTTCACAATATAAAATATTACCAAACATGAACTTGCATTTTGCAAATTATAAAGAGCTCTTGTCTCAAGATAACTTTTATGCAAATTTAGTACTGGAAGTCTTAAGAAATACATGGTCCTCCTTAGATAATGAGTTCCTGAAGAAACTTCACTCAGATCTTCTAGACTCTCTCTGGCATTTCAAAGTTCATTTTGCATCTGTTGGTCTTTGTCTAGACATTATTGGAACAATTTTAAAACATCTCAATCCGGATAATGCTAACCAGTTACTACAAATGAGTGGATCCCAATTAATGAAACTGTCAGAAAATGAAATAAAGAAAATTCACGACAATAATAACACAGCTGAAGTAGCAATTACATGTCTAAGAGCTATGTGTACTATTGGACATGCATCGGCTCTATGCACTGATACAATATCTCCATCATGTCTACGTACTTTACAAGGGTTATTACTGGAGTGGGATTCGTTTCCAGCAAGATTAAAAAACGCGAAGGAACTAAGGCCAGCTGCCATAACTCTTCTTGGTCAACAAGCAATGAGGAATCGTGAAATAGCTCAAGAAGTTACACCTATCCTAGGAAAATTAATGTGCCAGACTACAGAAGGAAGTTCTAAAGTAGAAGCAGCAATAAGAGTGAATTCTGCCAAGGCATTGGCTGATCTTTGTATCCGTTTTACGGCTTTAGTAGAACCGTATTTACCTGACATGTGTGTTAGTATGAAAGACCCTAATCCTGTTGTCAGAGAAGTAATAGTAGTCTTATTCATTCAGCTACTGCTAGAAGACTTCATAAGAGTCAAAGGACTCTTCTTCTTTCATATTCTAACTATGCTCTCTGACACAGATGAGACTATTCGAGAATTGACTATATTTCTCATAAAGGAGAGACTCCTAGTGAAAAACAAAACACTAATATCACAACAGTTCCTGCAGAGTATATTTCATTACAACAATTATCAGGATATGAATAAATTTAGAACGCGGCGTATGCGCGAAAGGGAGAAAATTGCTTTGACTCTACCTGGTCAAAGAAATCAGGCAAAACGTCGAGCAATATATAATTTCATGCTAGAGCACCTGGATCCTCCAGGAAAGTTGAAGTTGTACGTCAGGTTAACGAATGAAGTGTTGGCTGCTGTTTTAAATGGAAGTATTCATACGAAGCAAGAGGAAGGTATATCCGTTTTAAAGGATGCATTGTACATCATCTCCAGGGAACAATTACAGCCTATGGCCTCAGTAAAGCATACAGAGGATGATGTACTGGATGAGAGCACATCTCCGGGAAACAACTCTCCAAGCAATGCTTTGAATATCATCGTTGAAGAGATGAAGAGACATGGCTTAGAAGTATTATTGCCAATCCTGATTAAGCTGAAGAGAAAACTCAAAAATTCTTTACCATCTGTAATAGCTGATGTTACCAGGCTTTTTATCAAGGTTGTTTCGGAGTACAGCAAGGATAAACTTTCTAACCTGATAAGCGAGTATCCAGATTTAGAAAAACAAATAGACCAAGATATAAGGTATGCATTTCAATAAGTACTCTTTTATAGAAGTAAGATCTAATAATACTGTAACGTTATGTTGTTTCAGGCAATACGGTAAAAAAACAAAATCCGACGACGAGCATACGGACGAAGAAGAGTGCTCTTCCCCGTCTCAGCCTAGCCCTTCAAATATTGCTTCATTAAGTTCAAAACTATTAGATCCGAATCGCACACCCAGAATCGTCATACGTAGACTATCATCCCTAACGTATCCAGGAATACCAAACCTGCGAAGTCCGCCCCAAAACTTATACACCAATGAACAACCTGGTCCATCTGGAAACGTACAAATTTTAACACCAACCTCTGCCACAAGTGCAAACACTCTGCTATTTAATGCTGGTCCAAGTTGTAGCAGCTCACCTAAATCTTCCAGAATGGATCGATCTTTTCGCTTATGTAGATATAGTCCAATTTCTCCAATGCGAGACAAGAGATTATCAGTCATTTTTGACGATCCAGATTTAGTCTCAAATTCAATGAATACAGCATTATCAAAGTCACCAGGACAAAGGGTTCAAGGTGAAAATGATTCCGATTAGGTAATTCTAGTGATTTACCTTTTAACATTGCTCGCACGCGAAATGATGTTTGAGAAACGGTGAACGTGCGACTTTCCAACTCGCCCTGAATTTCTAAAATATCATGGGAAAATTTCAATAGAGAAATTAATAAAAAGACAAAACGTTACTCACCCCGATTGTTATGCGTAAGAACATTGTTGTGCAAGTCCTTAATAATACTTATATTTTCGACGATAAGCTGAATCAAGCTCCGTATTTCTTCGACCTGAAAACAAAATATGTAGAACGCACCTTTCTGAGAATACTTCAATAGAGTCTGAATCACTAAAGTAGATAATTAACGTAGCACATACTTCTTCAAGAACTTTGCTCAGCTTTTTATTCTGAGACATATGAATATGAACATCTTGAAGAAATCCTCGTCCAAACGAACCGCTTCTCCGAGTCTAAAGCATTAGAAAAATTAGAAGAATACAAACATAGCTAATGCTAATGATTTGTAAAGTAGTTAGACGTTCGAAGAAAAATTAGCAGAAATCGTATTCGCGCAATTAGTATAAAAACCGGATATCCTGTCAAACAATATCAGATCAAATACTTAACGGCACATAAGTCTGGCATCCGATCTCGAATCATGATCACAGTAGTGTCTGAAATTCAACTCGAAACTAAGCATCCTTCACCGTGTAAAGTGTGCTCGTTGTTATCAGTCTTATCAGCACAATGTAGATATTTGATAAAGTTACTCATGACGTTTACACTTCACAGTAATCGATGATGTACTCGCTGAATTAATAACAGTCGGTAAATTCTTGATCGGTACGTGAGAGAATCGTACGCGAATTTCAGACTCTACACAGTTCTGCGGTAAACTCGTCCTCATTGGGCAGAAGGTGCTTTGCATCTGAAATGGAGTAGGAAATAGGCACTTTGTAGCAGCTGGATAGCAAGGCCAGAGTTAAGATCAATTAGGTGTGTGCGTCTTCATTTGCCGTCATTTTTTTTTAACGATTAACACGTCTTAGCTCTAACTTATAAATATTGAATGGCTGTGTAATGTTGTGTGCCACATTAGGCACAAAAATGAATATAATATTCTTATAAACTGGGTGATCCGAAAAGAGAGATAAAACGTAGATGTCTTTAGGTGATAAATATTCTCGAGTAATGAATACAGTACAAGGAATGAGGTACGCAAGTCTGCGCATTTTGTGGCACGAGGTCAAACAAATGTTTCAGGTATTCTGTGATATCTCACTTTGAGAAAAAAGCTTACTTTTTATGTAGCATGTAATGAAATTACATTTAGGCATAATATTACATCAGAATTAGTTTGATTCTGAAAGTGCATGTATTGTAAACAGATAACAAATTAATTCTGATCCAAATGATACCGAAAACGAGGTAGTGTTTTGAATGTACAATAAAAGAGGCATATTTTATTTTTGAAGATTTTCATAAAATTTTTATATGTGTATATATATATATCTATCAACAATAACAATAATTATTATTGACTAAGTAAATATTACATTCTAGGAAGACTGCCGGAATATTTTGAAAATTTTGTTTCACGCAAAAATTTGCTAGATCGAATGCTGCGGTTATTATGCTTCCTCCAATATGGAAAATATCGTACTGTTACGTGAAAGGTTATTCAATACTATTGTGCCAGCTTGAAGATGGTTCTACTATAGATATTGATATAAATCAAATGGACGTGCTAACTTCAGGTGGCACAACAGTCCTGAATAACCATGTATACGAAAGTCTATATTCAAAATTAAGTCACTTTCCAATTATGTATAGTACTAACGGTAAATCTACAATAATTAATTCTTAGTATTCTAATTAATTGTAGATTCCTTTATCTTTTAATAAAATCCCTTGATACATTGTGCACGATTCTCGCTTACAGATATTCGCCTCGTTATCATAATTTACAATCTGTTTCAAGGCAGATCAGTCAGTCTTATGTGATTGCATTCGATTGAACAATTGACAGTGTTTTTAAAAAACTGAATTCTCTCTACTGAAAGACTGCTGAATAGTGGGTTAGACCTACTTATGCTACAGCTGATTATGCTGGTAATGCGTAATTCTGATAATCAAAAAGGGAAAATTGATGTTTCCTATATACATTAGAGTACAGTTTCCATATACAAGTACAAGTTAATATTATTATGCGCAAAGCTGTCTCTTTCAAACGTATCTAGAACAGTATTAGATCCATTAGCTCATCTACCAGTTAGGAACAGCAGAGTTGTCGTGCCTTATGTTATTTTGAAAAGCATATTGCTGTGTCATATTTACAAAATAAAAAGAGAAATTACAGATAGTCGTCGTAAGATAAATTATTAAAATTTTATATATAAATAATGTTTATATTAATATACTCATCTTCGCGCAAACGTACAGCTAAAGTTATAATTCAACAACTTAGACGGAATACCCACTATAAACCTACCGTCCATATAGGGTGTGCTAAAAATAGGACACTTCCTGTGTAGTACCCCTTAGCGATATAATTACTAGAATTAACTAGTGCTAAACAACCATAACAGTGAACACTTAAAATTAAATACTGTACCACGAAGCAATACAATTTTCACATAGGAAAATAAATGCGAATAATCTGCTGCACTGATCGTTTTGCACTCTAACGTTACACGAGTTCCCATAAAACAAACTTTACGAAATACTGATACGTTTTCCTATCCTTTTTCAATGACAGTAGATCGGTTATTAACCAATAATGACAATCTAAAAAGCTAGGACAACATCTCTCCAATGGCAATACCGTTAAAAATCCCATTGAGTAGTATTAGAATAAAAACTAAAATAGATATGCTATCGCATCAGTAGTATCTCTTGCTACCAAGATTCATAAGCTCGCTAATTATCCAATGTTAATTTAATCTGCAGGGTTCCTCAATGTAAACATAAGTTAATATTACAGGATGAAAAATACGTATGGTATTTGACAGTTGTAGAGTCGTCAGAATGAGACAGAAAAGAATGCCTAATGAACCTTGTCTACATTTGTAATATTAACGTGATGCTGTTCGGGCTCTAACTTTATCTTTAAGGTAATCAGCGACCTGGGTTTGAGAGTGTCGCAGTGCCAGCTGAAGTGGCGTAAGCCCTTCCTGATTAACGAGTAAAGGATCAGCACCAGCTCCAACAAGTTGTCTGGCTACAGTCATGTGTCCAGACAAGGCCGCCGCGTGAAGTGCACTTTCACCATTCTGAAAAAAAAAAACCATTACGTCAAAGATATTTGAACGATCGTGTAGACCAGAAGTCAGATGAATCGAGCGCGACGAAAACATGATGTCACAGTCACTCTCTTGAGCATTCAAGATTGACACGCCTCTTTGAAAAACGTAACTGAGTAGTTACTCACCTCGAATTTAAACGTTCGAGTATTTCTGACATCCTGCTACGACTTAATACCAGAAACACAAGAATTACGTTTACTCTACTCACCGGTAGTATTCCTAAGGATGGACGGTATTTCAAAAGCTCGCCAATCACTGCCGTGTGACCTTTATGAGCAGCTTTGAAAAGAGGTGTCGCGCCATCCTGAGTAAGAAAACAATTAATTAAAAATCAAATAGCACATCGTCTTACTAAAATAATCCTTACATGTCTTGTGGCATCCACTCTGACCCCAGCTTTTAGTAGTCTTCTGACAACGTGATCGTGACCCATTTGAGCAGCTATCCACAAGGGGGTAGCACCGTCTGTACGCGTGGCGTCGGTTTTGGCTCCATGTTCTAACAAAACTTCTAGGATTCTCAGGTGACCGTTCTGCGCTGCTATGAACAAAGCTGTAGCTCCATCCTTGTAGGAGAGTAAACAAATTTAATCATTTATTAAAAATTAAAATGTCTTAGAGACTCAGTACCTTCATATGAGCATTGACATCTGCTCCCCTCTCTAAAAGTCCTTCGACCACGTCCAAGTGTCCACATTGACAGGCGACAAATAATGGGGTACCGCCGTCCTGAAATATTAATATGTATATTATATATTAAATAATAAACAAATTTTAAGTAAAAAATTCCTACCATACTGCAGGAATCCACAGCCGCTCCATGTTCAAGCAGAAGAGCAACGATATCCATAAAGCCACCCTGAGCCGCGAAGAACAAGGCTGTGGTCCCGGTCTGAAAATGGATACAAGTGAAAGACCTCAGGTCCTGACTACATCAGATTCACGGATGTTTCATCTCATTTCTTGGGGGTGTAGAGAAGTTGGTGGGAGAAAATAAGGGATCGATTACACGGAGCCTGAAGTCTTGTATCTCAACCCATAGTAATTTTCTACAATTTTCAGAAATTCCTTTGAATTTCCTATATCCGTCCTAACATTACCGTGATGTAATGAAAAATAACTGTTCTACTTAATTAACCGTAGGTCGAAGAAATACCATTTGAATGCCAGCAGAAAATTTATAGCCTGTAATAATTCAACATACATGCCCCCTGTGAAAGGCCATATTGAGTCCAGTGACCTATCTGTGATGTAATACTACTTGAGCATCGATTCACTTTGATCCAACAAGGACTCGCAATAACAAAAGCTACCAGACTGAACCAGTACTATTTCTCTGACAAAGCTAAGGGCTTATCCAACCCTCGGCTGAGAATCGATATTAACCCTGTTGGCTTCGAGAACCTCTGGAGATGCCTGCACTCGAGCCACCTGGTCCCAACCTGAGAGCCGTACGTATAACGTGAGCTAGCACTTAGGATATGCACGTAAATAGTTACGACGAATACACTTTATGTATAAACGTTATAGCGCTACATATACTATTATCCACTCGTCCTTCACCTAATTCTAAGAGAGCGCCACTCATTACAGACACGAACCAGATTGCTGGGAGCGTCGGCCTTCTTTTTGATTTTGTAAAATCAAATGAGCCTCAACGTGAAGATGAAATTGGATAAATTATTTATCATCGATCGATCCCACTTATGTTGGAATTGAAAATCAGGTGCTTTTACTATTGGATATACTATTACGAACGAGCATTGTTAACTCGAGTGAAACGTATTTCCTGTATACAAAGTTCAAGTTCGTTCTCAGTAGTCAAGGTTGTCATTATGGAATAATTAAAATTATCCTATAATGCACAGAGGACAGAGTTAATATTATGTAATGGATGAAATATTTATATTATTTATAAGGGATGTAATTATCCTTCAGGCTTTACTCAATGGCCATGTCACGTAACACATTTTGAATTACTATAGGTAGAGGTTGAGCACACTTTCACCGAGTCTCTTATGTAGGGATATAAGAGCAGGAGTGAACGTGGACCCGGAGCAAGACAGCGTGACAGTATACCGGGCGTTCCATTTATTATAATCCAGTAGCAGCGAAGAGATCTGACAATATCGCAAGAAATCAAGGATAACCAGTAAGACATTTTTCTCTGTAACAAGGACTAACACTAGGAGTTTGCGAGTTTTATAAAATTATCACGGTTCCCAGGATTTATTTTTTTCTATTGGTTTTACATTTACCAAAGAATATAAGATTTATTCCATAGAAGCTATAGGATTACTGACTTTGTGAACCAGAGTAGAAATGGTGACAGCTATCTGTTACAAACCGCAGATTCTAGAATAACCCAACGACTCTGGGCTGCTGCAGTATAAAATCTTTTTTATGATTAAACTTTTTCTCATGGTTCGAATCCATAAACAATTCGCGGTTATAAATTACGGCCTTTTTTTCTATACCTTCCAAAAAAAAACGCTTTGCCTGGAATTATTTTTCTCAATGCGTTCCAGGGAACGATTGGACTCTCTGGATTTACAATTTCAAGGAAGTACTGATTTCAGGAACTGCTACGTCACGACTGATGATAATAAAGTTTATCGCTACTGTAAGAAGTTTCATCGCCATGGATCTGGAGTGATTTGTTTTCCAAATCTAGAGGAAGTTCAAGCAAAAGCCATTGAGTCACGAAGCGCTAAACGTTTTCTAACTTTAATTAACTGTAGAGTGTACATGCAAACATAGAGGGCGGTGTAATCAATGGCGATGTTTCGTGATCGACGAGGCGCTAATACATCATTTATTCTTTTTTCTTCGGAATATAATGAGATTAATTCGAGAGGATTGTTAAAGTAATTAGTACTGGCTAATAACATGGTAAAACCGGAACACGCAACATGCTCTAATGACGCCATCGAACATTTGCTGTTCCTCCCTGAATAAGGTAGCACATCCTGCGAGCTCAAATGTCGTACACAGTCCCTAAGTGATAATCTATATACCTGCGACGACTATAATATGTACTTCCTGTCTGACCCAGCTGATCGCGGTCAAGCAAAGCCGATAACGCAAAAATCGTGCCATCGCTTCCTGCAGGGCAGAGTTACAGAATTAACAACCAGGACGTGCGCACGGTTTCTGAATAATTAAGGTTGCGCCGTGAATGTTTCTGTATGTAAATACAATATATATATTACATTAAAACGACTGCATCGAGGAACCGTACGAAATAACGTTCGCCTTTCCCCAGGACAAATCTCCTTCCTGCTCGTTGAAAAGTATCTGCACGTTTCCACGTTAACCGCAATTTTCATGGAAGATTTACTTCGCAGTGTAAGGTCGGCCGATAATATCTCAACAAAGAATTTCACAGTCTCGGCTATTATTCGTTTACGATATAGGCGTCTACGTGATTACATAAAAAGTCGTGCGACTCTGTCTACGTTTACGTAAACGCTTTTGAGCCTCCATAGCTCAAAGGTCGAGCTTTAGGTAAGTCGCAGATCTATTTTTGTCATAAAAGCACGAGGTCAGACCGCCAAGAAAGAAAATACAAGCAAGACCTCTGGTGATTGCGCAATGAGACTGAATTTATAAAATCTCGTGGAATCGTTTAAATAATTCTTCTCAAGTAAATGACATGACGATTAAATCTCTCGAGAAAGAGACAAAAGGGTCGGTGAAGCCTTGTTACGTCGTTTAACAAATTGCAAGAGAACATTCGCCGCTCTAGTGATAACAGAGACACTTTTGTCGAGGTGCTCGAGCGCGGCGAACTCTTGAATATATATTCTGCGAAACTGCACGTGGTGGTCCACTTGAAAATTTGCAGACAATGCAAGGGGGACCTTGCATACTTTGAACACCGTGGTTGTACGAAATGGCCGGACTTGATGATACATTCTGGATAAATCTGCCTACGTCCCGCACTTGTACTTGAAAGGTACTAATGGTGTACTTCCTGGTACTCCGTATAGAATCGATGACATGCTTTTTAGGTTAGCTACTCTCTGAAGATATCCTGAGTCTGGATGAAAGTGCCGTTGAGAATGTGAATAAAGTCACGTTCGTTTGGGCAATCATGGTTGACTATGGAAATTGAAAGAAGTTTATTGCGAGAAATAAATTTTTTAAATAATCCAAAGTACTGATTTACACGCAGTAAAGGAAGATAATGGTGTGTATACTGGTTTAGGACTTACCAGCCTTTTTGAAGTGGGATCGGCACCTTGCTGAAGAAGCTCTGTCACGGCTTCCATGTGACCTCCGGCAGCAGCTAGTATTAACGGGGTGGTTCCATCCTGGAAATAAATAAGAAACCCTTCACTTACGCCATAGACCTTTTAATCCGCTTATCGTAGGGTACTGTCACGGTGATTCGTGCTATCGAAACAAGTGGTTGGTCTAAATAGATTGAAAAGTCTCATAAGCCAATAGGATTGTTACTGTGACTAAGGGAATTTCTAAAGATTTGGAAATAGGACTTGTCACTATGGATCTATGGATAATGACATTAAAGAAAATACAAGGTATGAGATTACCTGTTTCATGATATTTTTTATAGATCGTTTTTTTTTTTAGAATGATTTATCTAACCCAATCATTGTGTGGACGCAGATGGTCGAACGGTGAGGTTAAACTCGCGTAATAACATTTTATAATGATGACGCCACTTGTCAGTTTATTTTTATTGTAACGCTGACAAAAAAACTGACCTTATCCTTGCAGTCTACGTGGACACGCCCGGAGTCCAAAAGAACCTGAAGGCGTTTCGCGTCGCCACGAGCTGCTGCCAGATGCAACTCCACGTCCCAGGGTGATTCTTTCTGCAAGGATAAATTTATTTAATCGTGTCTCCCACGATTTCTAGAATCATTATTTTCACGGATAATTCATACAATTTCTGAAATATTTTATCAGTCAATATCGAGCAGACTCTCTTGGTTAATACTGGACGTTTTATTTTTGTCGTGTTTTCTACGCTTTTATACGTAAATTTTATCACGTCCGAATTGAGCATCTTCGCAGCATCACATTCAGTACCTATAGATCGTATCCTTTCGTGATACCGTTATTGAGTGGGCGAAATTCTACGAGGATCGATACAAATAAAAATAGAATCGCTCATAAATTCTTAACATTTTCTCAGGTATCGCTGCCAGGATCATTGTGATGTAATAGAAAGTAGGTTCTTTCTCTTTGACCACTTGTTCCAAGTATACCTATAGCTATCGGTTACCGTCATCACGCTTCGATGACTTTCCACAGTTTAGATGAGTAGAGCGAATTCGCATTAGCGCGTGAAAAGCAGTAAGCATACACACAAAAAAAGCCAATCGCTAATTTTCCACGACTCTTTCACGTATCCGATCACAAGATCCGCGCGAAATCATTTTTATAAATAAAATCATGGCCGTCGGTATATATGTATAGTAGATACAGTCGCGCTATTTTCAAAATCGAAGCAATCCGAATACCGTTTCAGTGACGTTCATGTTTTCAAAAGTACTATAATAAATTGCCCCTTACTTTTTTATCAGTGACATAATTGCGCGTACGGGACAAGTCACGGCTTACGTCAATCGTCATTATTTATTCAAGAAAGACTTGCGTGCTTTCATACCGCGACATGTCTCAAAAATTCTACATATCCATTCTGCTTTCAAGCTAATAATCATCGCTTTCTACAGTTTATCCTTAACATATAATCTGATAACGTAATAAGCTTGTGATACAATGTTATAAATCATAATGCGTGAGCTCACCTTCATAGACATATCAATAGTTAACGAAGAATCGATCAGCGAATCGGAAAAGGTCTAAATCGATCATTCGGTCGGTAGTATTCAAGGCGGTTTTACGAATCCAGTAGAGTAATACATTTCACGTATGTAAGCATATGCAACGTCTCTGAAAATGCTGGATCTGCGTACCAGATATCATTGTCCAATATACACAGAAATAGTGGCTGTTTGATTTAACATTAATTAATTTATATCTCACAGTCACTAGCTCTCACATTTGTCAATTATTCACATTGGATATTCACTTCCAGTTGTACTCGCGGCACTGTCCACAACGTCATCATTCGCCCGATGACACTAGTCAACGAGTGCCCGGTGCAGCACGATGTTCCTGCCTTTAGATGAGCTTTAATTCTGTTTTCTTACATGTGATGGCGACAGTGTGCAGTGGATTTAGCTTGATGCTGGTCAGGCACATGTAGGATGACTGCTCGTATGATAATAGAAATATTGCAGAGAGTGAGTGTACCGACTCTGACAATTATTCCAACTACATACTATTAATGTAGTTCTATTATTCGTCCGCCAGATGGATCCATATTCTGAAAACCACAGCCAGCTGAAGGAAACAAAATTCCTTCCTTCCTTTCCTTACGGCTGTATCCCCAATGGGGACATGCGCCAGAAGGAAACAAAATTAAAGAGAATATTAACAGAGATTATATTAATAAGTTCGTATGCCAAACGTAAATCGGTTTTTTAAAGACATATCAATGATTGAATGATCTTACAGATGGCATTGCATTAGAACTGTCGTATATTGATTTTTTACTATATAAGTGTGTATTAAATTATGAAATTATATGTTACACTTTGATTAAACGGATAAAATTACTGATAGAATATTTGATATCTTTAGAAAAATATTGCAAAATATGTTTTTCGAGAATGTTTTACAAATATTTGATTTATTTATACGGATTTAGTTGAACTGCTGGAATATTTTCTTTTTTGAAACATCAGTTTTTCTAGAAACTTTATTTATTGGATCGCTCTGCTTAATGGCATGGAAATAATAGTTAAGGATATTTGTTCTTTTGTATTGGAAGTCTCATTGTACCCAGATCATCATATTCCTTTCGGGGATGATATATATGTATATCTCGTTATACTAATTATTCTGCAAAGACCATTAAAATGCTGGTTTGCTGATGATTCTGTATGGATATATATGTATATTATAAAAATTATATTCCCTTTGCGATGACCTTGAATAAAAAGAGGGAGTCTCAACTGCCCAGTATACGAATGTCCCAGAGACATCGCGGAATACACAGGGCAACGGCCGGCCACCAAACTCAAAGACCTCTTGCTGGCCGAGCAGGCAAGGAGGATTACCGGTTTCTTGGCAGATAGCCACTATTACATATAGAGAGCAAGAGAATCCCATCACAGTCACCTCTGGGTCTTATTTGGAGCCAGCGGGTTTTCTTCATTTCGCCATTTTCCCCTCTTAGCCAGTGCACGCAATCAGGAAGAAACCATGTTGCTCTTCTTGGGGTTCATTATCCTTGCTTATCAGGGCCCTTCGTGCAGCTTTGCTGCTGTGACCTACGATCAGCGACAAACGGGAGAGACTAACGTGCAGATAGAACTGAAGGATGTGCAAATATTAGCGTTGATCGATTCGGATCTCTTTGACGATTACACGGTAAAGTCTGCACAATTTATTTTTCCTACGATTATAAAAAATATTTTATACATATAGTGTATACCTGATTAAGCACATAATTAACCTCTTTATCTTTTATCACTTTTCTAAAGCCAAGTTGTTCCATTTTAACTTTCAGGATTACGATTACGCTTATGATTATGCAGATTTTACTATACGGCCTATCAATAAACCTACCAATGCGCCATCGTCTACGAGCTCAGTGAAACCCTGGTATACCTGGCCTACTAATCCGCCGAGTTTAGCATCCAATAATGCATCTGTCACTGCCTCATCTACTGAGGAACAACCTATTCTAAATGCTACAGTGGCACCACCCACGAGCAATGCAAATATTACTGAAAATGGAGCAGCGTCTGATGGTACAGGGAGTACTACAGAGAAATCGACGTCCTTGCAAAATTCTACTGAAAAGATGAATCCGGTGCAGATGAGAATCAATAATAAGACTGGAGGTTTATTTAGCGACGAGGATATTATTGATGGAGCCAAGAAATCGACACTTCCGTTAACATCAGCTCATGAAACAGATTCTGAGGGGCAGAATAGAAGACGTTGTCAACCAGGATATTCAAGAGACAAAAAAGGACGCTGCCGTCGGATTATACGAAGACGCCTGTCATTTTTACCGTAAGACACAAATTTTTTGACATTTGATACACTTAACATTATGCACACGTCGTACGTACCTATGTTACAGAATGGCAATGAGACTAGCAAGCAGAATTGTTCCAACAAAAAATACTTTGAATCAGCAGCCCAAATTCGATCGTCTACCTCAAGAATAGTTCACCTTGCATAATAAGATCACCGTGATCTACGACAGCTAGATAAATGTCGTATATACGTTTAGACTAATACCTTTCTTACTATTCACCAACTGGTCACCCATTTATAGAATTAAATTACCTTATTATGAAATCTTCCATGATTCATGGTCGCATGAGACCCAAACTCTGTTAAAAATATACTAAGATATGTGTACTGCTCAAAGATCAAAACAACTGAGTGAAGAGTTAGACATAAGGAAATATGAGGAAAGTGCCTCAAGTAAATATAATTATTATGAAATATACCTTAAATATGATTATGTATCATACTAGTATTAGAATATATGTATAGTATATCCTCCTTGATCTTTTGGAATAAAAAAAATGTCAAGCCCCCAATTACTTTTCCATACGTTTTACAAGATACACATTGGTTCTACCCTCTCCTATAGAATCTCAACGGATCTATATACCGTATCCCACAGCGGTTTCGTCGTCGTGAGGAGTGAAGTAATCCTCAGTCGTGTATCAGACTTCGTACAGTTCAGGCGATTCTGATAAAACTGTGAACATGCTGGCTCTTATCCTGGTATCATCTACGTTAGTCGTAGCAATAAATTCTGCCCCTATAACCTACGATCAACGTCAGGATGGCTCGTTGAATGTCCACGCTAAACTCGACAACATTCTCGTCGTGTTCGCAACATCATCTGGAGCATTGATGGATCTGGCTACACAAGCCTTGACATTGCAACCTTTCGGATCCAGAGAAGACAAGGACGATGCAGTCTCATTGACTTACAAGCCTGATGAGATTACTCTGGAAAACAATAAGGAACCCTACCGGGTGGAGATCGTTGGGATCCAGAAGAATGACAGTAAGGACGAATCACAGATTGAAATAAAAGTTGAGATGAAACCTGAAAATGAAAAAGAGGTTCTTATTGCACATCATCAAGGAAAGGAGGAAAAGGAGGCGAATCAAGATAATAAAGATCACACTGTACCGGAAGAGAATACTGAGAGGAAGTCAAGGAACGTCTTATGGAGTCGTCTCAATGATCCTGAGGATAACAAGAGAGGTATGTCCTTGAAGAAGGAACTTTCTAGTAAGGAGATACATACCATCAGGGAGGACTCGGGGAAATCTGGAGAACACAACGAAGTGGAGCATGCTGTACACAAACACCAGGAGTTGAAGCTACTGGGTGGCGCCATCGAGAACTGCGGACCTGGACGATACAGAAATAGTTATGGAATTTGTCAATTTGAAGAATCTGTTAATTGATACAATTTTTCTTTTTATAAAAAACCTTAAGTATTTGTCATTGGCTTTCCTGGTTGCGTTTTCGAATTTGAAAAAATAATTTCACCTACTTCCTTGTTTTATCCTCATGCTTATCAGCGACAGGCGGATATGGGGGATTGTGGATTTTATAATTAATTTTCGATATCGTACAGTAAATTATAATTGGTATTTATAAATTTAATGGATTTGAAAAATTGAAAAATTGAAATTTTTTTGGAATTTTGAGTATAGTTTATCTCAAATCACCCTCAGGTCCGATTGTTCATGAACAGATTTCTTTTAATTACTTACTCAGCATCTGTTACATAAATTATCGTCAAAGCACACACGTGCCAATTAATATAAGATAGGCCGAATCAACATAATATTTTGATATGCATAGATATGTTATTTCATCATTTGTTATGCTGTTACTTTATTAAGTTCTGTGAATCATTACGTGATGTTATATAATCTTATATAGGACTATATACAGCATGTCATATACAAATTAAAAAAAATGTAATGTGAGTTTTATTACGTGCCGAATCCTTCTTATTAAATATAACATTATATCACAGAGTATAACTATCTAGATTATATTTCACTATCTCGATTTAATATTAAGATGCGTTAAATAACTGAAAAGACTGTTTTACTGTACTTCTTACGTATTATAAATGATAAATAAATAATACGGGGAATAAAGAGAATTTGTTTCAGATCTTATACAACCTGTATACACAATATATCCATAACGTTTCAAATGTACAAAGAGAATTACAAAAAGAAAATTCAAACCCCTAAGGTATATGCACTTGGCAACTGTAAAAAAAGTAAGGGCGAAATTACCGTAATGGGACGACAAGATTATCAGAGAAATGAACTCGATGGGGCCACGTGAGGACATTGCCCTTTACAAATCATCAGCAGCATCTGTACGCGACTATCAGAATTTTTTATTTTACCTATTACGAAACACGTCGATATCAATAGGTTACAAAAAATATAAATAAGAAGTTAAATTCGACACGGATGGCAAAGACCGTTAGCTCCCGTGAGATGGTACTGCTAGAGTCAAAAAGGGAGAAAGTACTGTAAAACAAAACTCCTACCAAGAGTCTGTAACAATAGCCATGCGTAATTTGCATTTTTCTTATATTAAAATGTCTAAAACTGTTTTTAATCCAATTCCTGTCTTTCCATAGTTTTTGCAATTATTCATCTGACATTGAACCGACTCACGTATCAGGTTATGTTCCTATATATAAACTACAAGCAAAAGCATCATCACGGATAAAGCGACACGACCTTTTCCTGTTGTAGATGAATAACTAAGGAGACTCGCAGGTTCTTGAACTTGGAGTGGATCGGTTTCCGTGCAGGTGGGGATTGCAGTCCGGTTGCCGTGGAACGTCACACCTTGACTGTCTTTCGAATCGTCAAGAACGATCGGCCACTAGTACCTCGAGCAACAGTAGTGATATCTGCGAGGAAATCATGTTGGCGATAAACATGAGAATATTCAAGACCGTTTTCGTCCTGGTGATACTGTCTAGTCTGGTCTTAGGATATCCTCTGGAACTGCAGATGTCTAAGGAACACGTGCAATCTTCAAAGCCTGATGTTATTGAAGATCATTACGATCAGCGACAGAATGGTACTGATAATTATCGCATTCACGTGGATGGCGTCGTCCTCGTCGTTGCTCCTATAGAAGGTTTGCTTCTGGCTGGTGGATTGGGTGGTGCTGAAAATACACCAAATTTATCAATACTTGGTCAGAATGGTTTCTTGGCACAATCAAAACCTGAAACAGTCAATCTTACCAATCCAAAACCTGACGCTGAGGATATGAAACCGATCGACGCTAAATCTGCCCACAGGTACTTTAGTTTTTTTACAAATATTAAGTTATTGATTTGATATCAGTTTTCAAATTAGATTTTATATAATTGTCAAGTAACTTTCTTTACAGGTCCAGTCTGCGTCTCGTTAATCTGATCGCTCCTCTTTTGAGACGCATCCATCAGTGAAGAGTACAGTGCATGCAAGGGTTAATGGAGACTTTTCGAAATTAGCACAATTCTTATTCGTTTTCCTGATCTACCATTTTTTTTTTCGCCTATATGATTCTGATTACAATTTTTATTTGTTACTACTGTATGAGTGGGAGTGAGACTGAAAAAAATATTCTGCTTTAAAAAATCTGAAATATAATAAAACGTATTTTTAATAATTATAATTACGATTATTGCTACGGACTAGATTAGATATGAATTATGTGGCTGCTATCCATATTTTGTAATTTTAGATGCTGTGTAGACGTATCATTCATATAATTTAATAAATATCTATGTATACATTCTGAGAATGCCAGAAAGTCGATTCTTTTCCTACACTACGTTCTTAAAGTTTAAAGTGGGAAAATAAAGCAATAAGGGATATTACTGAAATGAAATTTATTCGATTAAAAATTAAAATACATTACTTACCAGCATTTTTGGTATATCATCACAACATTGTTTTGTATAAAAATGCTTATGACTATTGATATTTCTACCTGTACAGTACGTTCGTTATTTTCGGCACGAGTCTAACAAAATATCAGGCTTAAAGAAAAATCGTGTTAGTTTCAGACAATATTTTAACGTAAATAAAATGAAAAGCAGACGCTAATTGGAAAGCGTCATTTATTGCATTAAAAATATTTCTATCTCCTACACGTTGGTGCATACTTGGAACATGTCGCACGCGTCAATCAGAAATAAGATAATGGGCAAAAGTCTATTATGCGCTCAATACACCCGGCTTCATTTTTTCCGTTTGATAAAATATTATCAGCCGAGTGTAACAGTAACTTAATTAGCAAGTTTGGTTACCTTGTTACGACCTACGGTCGACAATTCTAGGCATTAGCTATAAATGGCCGATACACAGTTGTGTTTATTAATTACATTGTAGAGCTAATGTACCCTGTCGATTTAGTTGGAAGTATTTACGTATAACAAACAAGGTAATCTCGATTAGAATAGACTAGAATTTTATATTCATTAGGAGCTTATCGGACTCCCAATTAAATTGATCAATGATTTAATTAATGCTCAACAATCAATCAACTGGTACGACCATTCAAATTCTTATGAATCTCCATAAATATAGTCCCCAAACATTGATTTGCAAATTGTAAGACATTTTTGTGAATACTGAAGGAAATGGTTTGAAAATCTTATCCTTATTCAAAATTAATTAATTTGAAATCAAATTCTTTTGCCATACATCTTCAATTACATTTAACACATACACGAGACCTAGTTGAGAGCCGATAGCTCACTAATGATGCATCTCATTATCATAATTGGCCACTTGTTCATTTTCTAATCTCATTACAGCTATTAATTACAACTCGCTGAATTTCTGAATATTATCAGGACAGTACATTGGTATTTACACAAATTATCGTACATATTAATGCGATTTTCACTATAGTAATAGTCAATTATATAATATAGGTATGGTCTAAAGCAAAAGCGGACGACCTGTACAAGTATTGGTACATTACAAGTAAAATGCAGTCTAAATAATACGCTCAAGGACAATACGTATTTGATAAACTCGAAATATTGGCATGAGATTACGCAAATACGACGGTACGCGCGCTCCCGTTTAATTAGAGCATCAAATTGACATTTAAGATTAAATTTTCACGTTAAGGATGGGCCTAAACGGCAAGGCGTTGGAGATGAACATTCTTGGGGCAAAATATACAGGTCGAATATCATCAGGAACTCGCTCAGGAGGGAAGTAATGAAGTAGCATTCGTATTCTCATAATCCTGCACCGTTTCTTCGGCATCATTCAAGTCTTCAGCTGCAGGCTCGTCAAATGTTAAATTTTCTTTAGACTCCTAAGGATGGGTATTTCTTTTTTCAAACTCGAAATTCCCGATAGCGGGAAGTCAACATTTGAAAAGTAACAAGGCAGACAAATAGTTCCGGTACTACGATAAAAACCTACAGGACCTAAGGGATCCTTACCTCCTTCATAGAATGTCGACAATTTTCAACGACACTGTGTCTCTGATCGGATACTCCATTAAGGATTGGTTGAGGGTCTTCAAGACATCCTGACAATTTCCGTAGTTCCTCCAGCTCTGCACAGTCCGTCTCCAACTTTGCTTCCAATTCCGCCCTTTAAAATAAATGGCAATTTAATAATAAATTAAATCGTAAACTCGCTTGAAAAATATGTCTGAACTTTATTACATACTTATCCTCCCTCAATTCCTGAATGCAAGTATCATTGTCCAGCTGAATGATCCGCAACACTTTCAAAAGCTTAGTTACTAAATTATCAACATCTATCACTTGATCGACGAGACTGACAGCTGGGCAATAATTAGTTAACGCAACAGAACCATCGGTAATAGGCTCGGACTCGCTCGCAGATTCACATTCCTCGTCCTCTTCGTCTTCAACCTTTTAATAACCACGAAAACAACCACATATTAAATGACTTCTAAGGACACACTAGATATCTAAGTTTAATGCTTACTTTGCGTCGATGTAAAATGGCCTGGGTAAGACTTGTAAGACTTGTAGATTCGTCTATATACCTGGCTCTTCTGATTGTATTTTCATCAACTGGTTCTGGCACACTCATTGCTCTACGAAGTGAATCGCAACTCGATACCATATTGTGTGAATAGGTGTCTGGTAAAGGCACATCCTCCAAGACACTTTCCATCATTAAGCAGGGTTCGGTTTCGAAGTCGAGTAAGTCGTTTGAAGATTCCAGACTTAATTCTATAGAAAATTACATTATATATAATTATATAGAGTTGATTGAGGATATTGAGAATTAGAGGTTAGGATTTTACCTTTGTATATTTGTTTCGTGGATTCCAATGAGGGTCTCTTATCGGTAGGTTTCGTTGCAAATGGATGAGTCGCAGCATTTCTAATAGCTCCAATCACAGCAGACACAAAAGAACCTCGTTTTGGACTGGGTGTACATTCCTTGAGGCTGTGTTTTGAACTCACAGGACTGGATTCTATACTGCTATTGCTTCTGCTATACGCTTCGTTGTGATATATTACATCCTAATTGAAATTTAAAAAATGTGTTAATTCGAAAAGGAATATTTAATGGTAAGCATCAATTGACAAAAGTACCTCAAGATCCTTCTCCGAGATGTTATAAGAAGTTATAAGCTGATCAACTAATCCTTCCAGTCTTGTTCCCAAACCGGAAAGTGCTACAGCAGCGCCAGAAACGGCGGCACCTTGTGTCAATAATAATTCTCTGCCCCTTCGTTCAACAGCATTTAATTTCATGTTCATAGATAAGTTCTCCTGTCTGTTAATCAAAGTATTTCAAGAGTTAAAGATATTGTGATATTTTTTTAGGTATTATAATTTATATAATACTATAACGTAGAATCTGATATAGACCTTCTTTGTTCGCTAATCCGCACAAGATGCTTGCATTCTTCGGTCTGCCTTTCTAATTCCGATTCACGCTGTGCCAGAATCTCATCCTTTCTCTTTAGCTAAATAATAAAAACGTGAGACGGTTTAGTACGCTCCGCACGCGGAAGAATGATATTCTTAATGATACTATTATTAATAACATACCTCGGCTTCAGCGTCTTTAAGAGCTTCAGCCATGGCAGATTTCTCCTCCTGAAGAAAATCCTGCATCTCGTTGGATTCAGCTTCCAGCTCTTGTTGCTGTTGTAGTAATGTCTTCTGAGCAGCTAAGCTCTTCTCCAGATCCTTTTATATAAAATTATTTCAATATAGAATCATTATTCTCCATTGTATCATCTGTTTTATATACTTACTCTGGTCAACATCCGACAAAGGGACTGTAGGTCAGCAATTTCAACCTGCTGATTAGCAACGACCTGTCCCGATGTTTGCAAATGGGATTCCAGCTCCAAAAAACTATCACCACCTTCTGATAATGATAAATTATATGTTAATACATAAGGCATACAGCTACATTATACTAGATATCAAATATTATTTACCGGCATGTTCAGACTGCGGAGTGCCTAACATAGCAAGTATTCGCTGAGCATTTCTATCCAATTCCTGCCTCGCGAAAACATGATCTGCCCTCTCTTCTTCAAGAAGTCGTTTAACATCCACTAATTCAGCCTTTATCTTCTCATTGTCTATTTTCCTTGTTTCCGCCTCATCCTTAATCCGCTTCAACTCACACTGAAGAGCTTGAATATCTTCCCATGAACCTTCGGTTTGAGAACCCTCGTGTAATCGTTCTACTACCGTAGGATCTGGTACGACAACGAGAACACCAGCCAGAGCGTCCTCTACATCCTGTCCAGTCATACCTGTCTGTATGCTAACCTCATGATATATTCTAGTCTTCTCCATGGCTTTGTTACGTGGATAAGGCGGCAGACTTTTGTGTATAACGTTTGATTCTCTTGTCGCAGTCACTTTCTTGCTAATCAGTCTATTGAGACTAGCATCTCTACTGCCCGAACGACTTCTGCCGTTCTTCTCACCTTTCTCATTACTCTTAGGAACTGAGAATTTGCTCCTATTCCGGCGAGGTAACGTAGCGTACATATCTAAAGCCTTGTTATCCAAACTAACCGCCATCTTATCAATCCGAGGAGTTTTCCCATCTGTGCGTCCAGTACAGTACATAGTCCTTGGTGTAGACAGTGGCTTTCGTGTTTCCTCTAACGGCGTCGACCCAGGTGTTCTACCCCGAGTACTGGAACCACCTCTAGATCTTGAGCTACTAGATCCCCGACCACGTTGAGCTAAATCCTTATTGATCTCAGTAGTCAAAGCCGAAGGCAAAGAATCAGGTCTCATCCTGGTCCTTGAAATAACTGTATTTACTGCTCCAGTGCGAAAACTCATAGATCCACGATTGTTATTAGTCGGCGTAGTTTCCCTAGTGACTTCCCGGGGTAAAGATTTCTCTCTGGATCTTCCTCTGTCCCTTGTAGCCGGTTGAGTCTTGTTCAAGATCGCTCTCGGTGTTGTTGTACGAGGTTTCGATCTTGGAGTAGCTGTTACGTGATTGGCATTCACAGGAGCTGGCTTGGCACGTGATGTCTTCTGTGGCTCTGTGGCACACACTTTCTTCTTATTCGCGTTAGATGCTATCACAGCTCTTTTGCTGTTCGTTCGCGTTGCCCTAGCAGATACGCTACCAGCAATAGAGGAACTCTCGCTACCACCTTCGCTGGTACCTTCGCCGCCCGTGTTCAGTCTTAAATCATCAGGAAGCGTTGCACAGGGATCCTCGTACACCGAGCAGCAGCTTACTAGGCTGGAGTCGCAGGATGCTTCGTCCAGGCCACCGCAGCTGCTAGCATAGTCTATACTGTTGCGACTTCGTACCTGAAAAACATTTAAAAAAATTAGACTCATTGACAAGTTACAGTAATTTTTTTTTTATATTTAATTCTCACCCTAGGAACTTCTGTCGCGCATCCTTCCACACCACTGTCACTTCCATCCTTACTGTCTTTACTCTCTCCTACAAAATCTTTCCTCTCGTTGCCAGGCATCAAGACTTCATTCTCTTTATGGTTCTCAGTGCTGCTCGCAACATGGATCACAGTTATGTTACAGTCGCTATCGATCGTCTCATTAGGATCATCCTCTGCCACCGGCTTCGCTTCGATAGACGGTGAAGCCAGGTCTTCGGGCACCCCGGAATCCTGCCTGGGAACGTTCTGCGGTGGTGATACTTTTAAACTGTTTTCGTCGGATGTCTCCATACTTGGTATCCCATTCGTAGAATCGTTCATGATGTAATCTTCATTCTGAAAAACGTAAGTGAACAATGGATTACACGATGCTCTCCTATAGGGAATCACTGTGACGACCCTGGCCCATTATCTCTGACTTTACTCTTATTTAATGCTTTTACGATTCCCGTCACGTAATTATTTAAACCTGTGAATGCGTATTACACGAAACTCATTTCATAAGCGTGTCTATCGCCTCCACCATTTCCATGAGTCAGCAGTCTCTTCTGCTAGTACAGGGACAATGGTCAATTATGAAAATCAATTATTATAAGAAATCAGTTATCAAACGATAGGTATTCCTTTATTCGTATATCAATAGGTTGAAAAATTATTAGTAATTTTATTGTCAACTTTGAAGAGGTCTAAACGACGTTTTTAACATTTTTTATCGCATATCTCAACAGCACGGTATAAGAGGCAAATTTATCAGCCAATCGATAACCGTGCAAGAAGAGCTCTTTTGTCGTACCAGGCACCAAGGTCCTGTTACACGCAGCGGGCACGAATATCTTTTCTCAGTGACCTTATATTAGGAATAAAATCAAGGTCACAGCATAAAATCGTAGACTCGGTAGTATAGGTATCATTTTCGAGATCCTCTCGCGAGACTAAAAGTGATGGATTGAATCTGGGATCCGTAAAAGGTCCGACGGACTAAATTTGCATAATGCCACTTAAGAATTTCAAGGTTGTCCGGCAATTCTGTAGTTGCATGTTTTGCACAAACAACGGAAAAAGCTGTTCAGGTAATTTAACGTCAGGTGAAATAATGTAAAACGAATGTATGTCTTTTTGGAATTTCTAAAACAACCAAAACTCTATATCCGACTGATCAATTCAGACGGGGTGAGTGGATGCTTCAAATTAACAAATTAATTTCCCGGTGAATTCGTCAGGAAAGCAATCAAGTCCAGAAAATTGATCAATCACCGTTTCCAAGGATTCTAATATGAATTCACGGGGTATCCAAAATGAACCTTTTCCGTCTCGAGAACGACATAAAATGTAATTAGACCCGAAATCTAATTGTAGACAAATCCAAAAAATGCATACATGCTTACTCTATTAGTAAGAATCTGTATTTACGTAAATACATTGCCCGGGACTTCCCCCTTTTACACTTATCTGTGTCTGGTACGCGGTAGTACTCTGTCATGAAAATGTGACGTAAAATGACTTTGCTTCTGCATTGATACTCAAATTGTAAAGAGTAATAATCGATAGTGGGGATAAGTTCAGGAACGGCGCAATAAACACTGGTAGCCCGACGCTTAAAAACATCAAGCGACACGCGTGAACCTTGAGAAAGATTCCTGGCTGCAAAATTACATAATGAGACTATAAAATGATCAGATTTTAAATCATCGTAATTAAGTATCACGTGGCAGAGTATGAAATTTTAATTAATCGAACTATCGACTTACTCGATGCATATAATATTTGCCGCGCAACAAAAAAATCCTAAATTCGTATTTAAGATGCCCAAAAGTCAACTACGACGCTTAAGACCTTTTTAGTCATCTCGAGAATGACTATAGGATTTAACGTGCTGTCTAGGTGATTTCTTTCGAGTATATAACTCGTATCAGTATAATCTTGTGACGTTCTTAACCGATATCACTTATTTATGAATTTACATGTTTGCAATAAAAAAAAAATTCTACTATTCGAGGAGAAAAATTACCGTACATACACATGCATACTTGAGATAGACAAACAGTAATTTTCTGAATGACCACAAACTTTCTATTTGTGTGAGAAGGTCAGGGGAAGAACCTGAAATTATGCTTGGCGATTGGACGACACGAAGTACAGTGGCCTCCGCTATGCGATATAGCATGTCGCGCAGCTGCTTCCATCAGCATTCGATACAAGAACATTGCCAAACGCTGAATACTGTAAGTTGCGAGAAGAAATTACCATACGGTCTGTATGAGATAATAGCAAATAATAACAAATGTGTTCATCATCATCCGAGCTACGAGTTCCGTGCTGTGCGTATATATTTTATGAACGAGTGGTGAGATTAGTGATATTAAAAATTTTAAAAAATCAGTACCAATTAATAATTTGGCAACAACCTCAAAAATTGTTATATAGTTTCTGGAACCTGTCAGTGTCAGGTATTAACATCGTTTCATGTATGGATAGAATTATTAATGGTTATAAAAACGACAAAATTTGGTGTCTATTCTATATCAATGAAGCCCAGTGAAAACAGCATGAGGAAGTTTACCGGTGATGGACTATTGGTTAATTTAGATTCTAACGAATGCCTCCTAGAGGTCACTGGTGACGGCTGCACAATAATGCTGGCCCACAATTACGGCAGCGTTCGCATAGTGGGCGACGGTTGCAGTCTTAAGGTTGGACAAAATACTGGAGACATCACGTACAGAGGTGACGGCGGTCGTGTTGTTTTGGGAACCGAATGCAGCCGTAACAAGATCAAGTACGTTGGCTGCGGTGGAAAGATTAGTTACAACAAAACATTAACGTCTCGTGGTACTGCCACTGCTGCGACGTCGCCGGAACTGGATAATCTTTTGAACGAGAGAAAGGAAGCGAAAAGCGACAGCCCCGGTACACGTCAACGAAACAGGACTATAACCGTAACCAAAATTATTACTATGAAGAATGACGGAAAAATTGTCAAGAGATGGTTCACTAATTCAGGTTCTGTTATACGATCGTTAAATGCAAATGGATAATGGTGGAATATTGCCTAGTGATATATTTCTATAGTAACTCTATAGGATTTTAATGGCAGATATTTTGACTAGGATTTATAGAGCCATAACGAAACTTATGCTGTGAATGAATACGTGAGTCAAGACTGATAGCGAGAGCACAAAAGTCATATTAACGAATGCTGGAAGTTTTACGTCAAATAGTAAATATATTATAATAAATATCATAGTTTGTAATATTTATTAAAATGCGTCTTGCCAAAGTCTACGAGATCATTCCTTGCTCAACGAGAGGCTGAAAATTTCGTACAATTTTCAAGGATAACTTAATCGAATATTTAAACTGTACGATCCTTGGTAAATTTGTCACGTGTCGAATTAACAACTTTTTAAATAAGTGACAAATATTGAGGACACGGTGAATAATAAAAAGTCAAGGTAACCTAGAAACAAAAAATGTCTACGTAGTTGATTAATTGAAATATTCTGATCAGTCTAGTTACATTGCCGCGAGATTCCTTGTTTTCGATTGAACAAGAAAAACAGGATCTCCGGCTGTCGTGATTTTACGATAATAAACTCCAACTATGGAATTCCCCTCTGGCTGACTAACTCTCAAGGATTCATAGAATTTCTATCGGGAATTAGTCGACTTTTGCTAACGACATCATTGATAACACACTGTACATATTAGTCAAGAAGACATACTGCATCTTCGCAATGATCCTAGTTCCTATTCCTAGTGAAATAAAAATTAATTAAACGATTTCTCCGTGTAAATTGCTTACGTGTACTAAGAAACGAAGCGGTTGTATTACGATTTAAAATAATAATAATATAAATTAATTATAGTAATATTTATTTATTTATCTATGGATCCCCATAGTATCGTATCCGAATGATGACTGATTAAACGATTCTTATGAAATCAATGTGTCATTCTTCTCCTATTCCATCAATAATTCTTATGTATAGTAATAGCAATTCAAACAACTGACAAATATAGATTTTTGACAACCACATCGGTGCGGCATCCAAAACTCGTTTTTGGGGGCACAAAATTTGTCATTTGTCGCTATTTTTGAACCAATAGCATTAAATTAGACAATAGTATATTAAATCCTAAACTGAGCTCCAAATCGTGATGCACGTATTTTTCGAGTATCTTCTGTGCCAGTACTAGTTCGAAGGAGGTCACGCTGTAGGGTAATTACGCGATTCCCAGTATGGTTATGGCTTCGAAGACCCACGCTGCTGGCTACGTTATGGTTAAATATGGTTATGCTTATGGCAACGTGCACCGGATGAGTGGATAAACACGAAGCGACGAAGGGACAGCCGTTAGTTCGTTAGTCAGAGAAGTTTTATTCAAGAAAGGTCGTTTAACTTGTAATTCGCGCGATTACCGAAGACGCAACGAAGGTCGTAGGTCGAAATTAATACGAAAGGAAGTAAATTTGAAATAAAGATGACAGCATCCGGTTAAATATTAAATTCTCACGCCCGCGTATATTTTTATTCCCCAATTACGGAGCAAAGTAAGAAAAATTTTTAAAAATCTAAATTATCGTGAGATCCGAATGAGACTAGTGAAAATTAATTACTATTTTATTAATTAGTCCAACCTATCTTTATTGTCGGTTCACATTTTAACTAGACTGCTGTTCGATCATACTGAAGCTACTTGTTTGATTAATTGTTTATCCCATTAGGACAATTCTAACGGGTGTGTTAATTCGTACGAAGGGAAGCGACTGCGTATATACGACGAAGACTACATCCGGTATACAAGATGATTTCGAATATACAAGAGAAAGGCGCTGAATGAAATATCAAGTCTAAGTCGTTATTAATATTTCATTTCACGAGGACACCCAATGAGTGACCACGATGAGCATATAAAATAATTGCTATGAACAAGGAAGAATTTTTCCTTTATAATTCCTTTCATAATCAAAACGTAAAAACTTCGATCTTGATCGTTCCCCATTGTTATGACAGAATAAATAAAAATTTCTACAAAAATCAGAAAGCCACTCCGATGGGTTGTCAGTCGAATAAAAACCAGCCATTAAAATTATTATACGTATTCGCCAGATAATTATTTAACACTTAAAGCATAACTGACTAGAAAATAAGCTTGGATGAATTTACCAGTAGATTCAAACGAGGCGGGTGAAGAAAGTTTGTATAGTAAAGCCATAAATACGTAAATCCAAGTGGTAGTACGGAGAGAGAATTCTAACCTAAACCCAGTAGAGACGCGAAGTATAGAAATATTTTAAATTAAAAAGTCAAGCGTCAGCGTTAAAAGAGTCACCCAGTTTGACCCAGTGTATCAAATGAGACCAAGAATAAATCCCCCGACAGTAAATAAAGTACCACGTTTCTCAAAGCAGCCCCGTTCGAAAGTGCATCGAGACAAACAACAAAACCTCACTCCTTCTTACTTTCATTAATAATCAATCGATTACGATTTCGAGATTTCATCTTCATTTCTTTCCTAGACCCGTGAAATTCTCCCGTCACGTAAGTATTCACCAGTGCGGGAGGTCATCGTATGTGCAAGTGCATTTTAGCAGGACGGTAAATATATCCGTGCGAGTGTGAACGCCCTAGAGATTGAGAGCGATGTAAGATCAGGATAGCCAGAGTGAAAGGGGAGGGGGGGCAGAGAGAGAGAGAGAGAGAGAGAGAGAGAGAGAGAGAGGGGCGGGGGGGAAAGAAAACCTAAAAGAAGAATACAAGCCAGTCTAACTTAACGTGAAACAAAACGAATTCGTACGGCAGCCCGAGACTAGTACCCTGCATTCTGCAGAGGCCATTTACCGAGTAAGGTTAGGTTAAGTTAGATTCGGCGAACGGCGAGGCCAGCCAATACGAATTTATCTCGTGCGTTCTCCTCGTCACGGAAGTCAATTAAACGGAATGGGATTGGCAATGACAAAGGTAGCAATGAACGATTAAAAAAAAAAAAAAAGAGTACAAACTCAACATAGCGATCACGTAACCAACGTATAATTTACCTGGTATAAAATTCAACCACGGTCGAATTTTTATTCCATTTTTTTTAATGCCATGAACTGATTCAAGTACCTATTGACCTAACCTAACAGCAGTAATTCACTGATTTGTCGTTAAAGCTAATTCAGCAAATTTAATATACCATGCATTTTAACGTGATCGGTATTCGTTTAGACGCCACAGAGGCTCACGGCCAATACCAATTTATTTGCCGTTTCGCCACGTCTCGCCACTGGAGAAACTAAAGGCGAGTGTAGAACGAGTCGACATAAGAGAGGGACCTCAGGACGGTTCGTGATCGAGGGTGAGAAACGAGGGTCATTGAGTCATCGATTGCATTCTCTGTGTGGCAGCCATATTTATTTTGGTCCATGCACAATATATGTCATCTATAGAAAGATCGCGTCTGGCAGTTCTGCACCACCTATAGTGTTCACATTTTTTTCTCTGGATCAAAGGAAAAAAAAAAAGAAAAAAAATGAAAGTCTCTTGGCTCAAGTAGTAAGTACAATGACAAAGCATGGAGTATCGCTTCGCTGTGAATTTAAAACCGTTAATTTACCAATTGTAACTGAACTGTATATATACAAGCTTCGAGGCTCCTTTGTTTAGAAAGGTACATACGGTGCGCAAATGGAAAGAAACGTTATTACGAAATAATATAGTAACGTTAATAATAATCAAGTCGTACTTTCGGAATTGACTCTTTTGACACACTCCTTTCGTTCGTGTATAACAGTCGATTAACTTTCCTAACACGTTAAGCGTGGGAGTACCTATTACCTAGATGTAATGAGCTATTTTTAAAAGCGAACTAAAAAAAACCTTTGAGGTTATAAACACTGTGGATATTGTACGATAGAATGACATTTTCAATTTAATATCCATTATTGTTTTTCATTGGGTAGATTGCGGGTTGAGAAAAATTGCACTGTTATGTTTCATCATGGTAGTACAGAAGCATCGAGATTACAGAGTGTTGTGGAGATTTAGTGAAACCTTAAATGTCCGAAGGATCGCGCCACGAAAATTCATACAATATTTCTTGGACGATTGGATATTAACGACAGCGTTACTTCGTCTCGGTTAATACAGCGAGAATTAAAATGAGATAATATTATGAGATACGTCGCTTGATTCTTATTAGTGCGTTCAATGCGTGTGGGAAGGTGAGAATATTACGAGCAATTTATGCCAGGGGATAATGGCGATGACTTCAGCTTGGTTCAATTTAACTGTTGACGATCGTCACGCCGCCGAGCTTCAACGTGCGAGGAGCGAACTCGACATTCCGCATACATATTCATAAAGCGTCTTGTCGGTTGAGAACGATATACTTAATAAAGCGGGAATAAAGAAAGGAATTAGGTTAGCAAGTGAAAAATCATGTCCCGTTATTGTTATTAAGAAAAAGGTTATAATCGTTAGATCCCATCATCTAGGTCGGAATGCACTTTCCATAAACTAATGATTTTCTTAGTCGCACGACTGGATCGTCTACTTACGGAGCCTGATGGATATAAGTATTTGGTCGATTGCCATTAAAACCGCCTTTAGGCATGGTTGATCAGAAAAAAAGGATAATATATCACATCGTATACCAAGAGAGTATCGTTAGTCCCATTTAAAGTTGAATTTAACGAGTAAAAAATAAAATATATTAACAAATGATATGCAAATCATATTTCTATTTACATTCTAATGCACGAAGCAGTAAACCCACAAGCTCATCGTACAGGACGTTACGGAAGTCGAAGGCAGAGCAACCGCATTTCCTTTAGGCGCTGAAGGTAAACTCGTAAATTATTCCTGTCTTGGATAAGACATTAAACGTGCCCTGTTTACCGGTTGTGTAGGGGGGAAAAAATTGAAAAAAAAAAGCATCAAAAGTAATCACAAGCGTGCGATACTTACGACACGCATTAGTATATACGTCAAAGTTAATAAAATGGCGTAAAAAGACTGAAACTCAATGAAAATCAAACACGTGGAAACTGATAAACCCACTGGTCCCACGATACAGATGTTACGTGACATCTCATTAAAAAGACGAGAGTTACGAATCCAAGTCTAACCGCACACGAGCCAGTCATTTTTGGTCTCGGGTTTCATTAGCGAAAGCACGATCCCCGTATGGCTTATGTCATTAATATTGCAGCCAAAGAAAGAAGTAAGACGGTATTGTAAAAAAATTACAAATGACACTGAACTCGTTGAATTATGTCGCAATCCTTTATTCGAGTAGAGCAGCAATGGCGTCTATTCGAATTTATTCCCAAAAAGCCAGTGAGAACAGTTATCGTACTCTAGAAAATACTCTCAGCTTTATCTACTGTACTCCATCCGGTTGTTACACCCTTTCTAATAGCTATAGGAACACTTAAATATATTATAGAAACATGAATTCAAGCATCTGGTATTAATGTATCAGTTGCATCTTACGATAAGTGAATCTAATAAATTACTGACTTGTCAGAAGGAAACAGCTGTACAGATGAAGCAGTAGACATAGAGTTACCACGATTATGAAATACAAAAGTATTCCTTTGTCTTTAATACGTGCGTGGTAAAAATAAATAATGTTTGATTGGATATCCACACTGGGTCAATAAAATTGGATAATTGTCGGTCGCTCTTAATAAATTGTTCTTGTCCGTCGGAAAGAAAAGACGTTAGAAATATGGCCTATTATGAATAATTTGGTACGGTAATTAAAGAAGAGGAATTCGAAAGCTTATGGATATTCTTGCTTTATATGAAAAAGTGTAGTGTCATGTGGTAACATTATTGATATTTATGTTATGTCTTGTTATTCTTGATATTCCTGTAATGTAAGGATATTCCGCAACCGACATCGCGAGACGAAATATTCCTGTAGAAAGTGAAGAGCATTCAGCTGTTCTTTTTTCATCTTCTTCCACTTCAGAAATTCTCTCTTTTGGTAATCAAGTCATTAACACAGAAATATTGGTAACGAGATGGTCGCGGCCTTCGAGCGTGAAACGAAAATAACACATGAAAATATTGAGATTTCACTTTCAACTGTTGTGAAAGATTCATCCCCAATATGTCCCACTTGCTGATAAGTAATGGCAGGATTGGATTTCTTGAGAAATGTAGGACACCATAGGAGAAATAAATATGCGAGAAATATTTCATGGATCTAGGATTTTTTTTTCTTTGTATAAATTACCTCCAAGGCTCCTTGTGGGATTTAGGACTTCCTGGAAAGATGGCTGTCGACTCTTGTTAGAGATAAGGTTATCAGTAAAATGTACTGTGACTGTTAAGGAATAATTGGTGGGAAAAAATTCCAGTAGGTATATATTATTTAAAAAATTATAATTGAAAGCAGAGATAATTTAAAACCGCTATAGTATAGATCAGATAACAATAATATTGGAATTCCAATCACGTTTCTTCCGCCACTGGGATATTGTTAAATTCGACATTGATAAGGAATTACCTAAAACAAGATTAATCTTGTGAGTAAAGTTTGCCTCATCGACAAGACATTGTCACTGTTAAGAATTATAATCTTCATATTTATAAAAATTGGATAACAAAGCATTTCTTCTCCCATAAAAAATTGTGAAGAAATAACAACAAGCACTTTCTTCCTAAACCGAGGTTGCACGTGCGAGTCCGAAGAAGAATAGAACAAAACAAAAAATTTCTCTCTAAGAAAATCCTCATAAACACATCTAGAAAGTTCATTTAATTCCCCCTCACTGTGTACAATTCTATTTACAGAAACCTAAAGACCCGGTCGAGTCGATATATAGATATGACCGAGGACAATAAATCAGCCTAAGAAATGCACGAGCCATTCCTAAAAGTCAGCCAACGAAATTGGATTGATTGCAAAAGAGAAAAAGAAATAAAGAATGAGGGTAGCAGTCATGCTATCTTTTGTGGCATTCTCATGTTTCTCTGTCTCGTTTACGCACAAGAAAAATCTATATCGACCGGCCTAGAGACAACTAGTATCCCACCCACATAAAATTTATCTCTCATAGGATTCAGAGAGAACATACAGAGTACAGAGAAGAGGGTATAGGTGACATCTGTTTCCCTAAACAAACAAACAAACCGCTCCCCCCTGCTCAACGACTCGTATCCTGGTACAAAGCCAAGACAGAATTTCACCCTAGTCGTAAAGACCGTTTAGATCCAGAGTAGAAGCTACAAGAATAATTCCAAGAGAGTCATACTCGCGTAAGTATCTTCAGGATTACGATGGTTGAGAAGTTCTCGACATGAACCCATCAAAGAATCGATAACCTCTACGTGAAAACTCTCTCCTCACCTTGTCTCGTATCACCGGCTCCGAGGAGAATCCTGAGAAGTCCCTGCTGGCACTAGGACTCGTCGAACAGATTAACGTAGAACACATTAACAAGCACTTTTTAAAAATTATACGATAAGATTTAAGTACTCGATTTTTTTATTACACCTCAAACACTAAGCGGTCTTGATCCCGCACGCCGGACCGCCTAAATACGAATGTACGCAAAGCGCGCGACGCCCTGGTACTACTAGCACAGTGCACTGGCGTCGGTTTCCATCGTACGACGACAACGCCAGTGCTGCCCTAATGCTTATGGGAACGTTTCAAGATGGGAAGATGAAATAAGGTGGAACTGCGCGAAGCTCTAAGGGGTGAAAAAAAATTGCTCCAGGAGGGATGATGCAGTCGGGAATGTAGGTCGTTTAAAAATAAAATTTTACCGCATGCTGGATTTCTATCAACATGGAGGTGTTAATAGATAATACCTAGAACGAACGGAGCTGTTTAACAAGCAAAAGAAAACACTTGATGTTCATTGCTATGTTCACCCTCTTACATGTATCCCGTAGGGCGTAGCACAACTGAAGATAAAGCTCACATTTATCACTGATTATCAATATCGTGATAACGTGAGATTATGCGAATCCTTGAATTTTACTGATATTCGTCTCGAAATTGATTGTAATCTTTGTTTATTTATCTCGTTGTGTTGATTGGTTGTATTTGATACCAATGTACTGTAGAGAGCTCTATTAGGTGAAAGCTGCAGAACTATTCCTGGTAACAGCTGAAGAAATAGAAAACCAAAAACTAGAAAATTCAGCACAGATGAACAGATCAAAATAGAGTCAATATTTTGAATTCCATAGTCTGTTGTAATACTGCGTTTTTTGTGGCATAGAAATTTATTTTCTTGTGGCTGATGTATTTAAAAATATTTTATTAAATCTTTCATAATACTAATTTTACTTAACAAATTCGTTAAATATTTTTATATAAAACATTACTTATTTACAATCATTTGGTAATGTCTCATTTGATCTCGTTCATTCCAGGTGTTAATGTCATTAGTGCATCTTCCATTTTCTTTCTTTCTTGCTCGTTTCTTAAGCTGGACCACATAGCTTCCAGTTTCTTTCGTTGATAATTCTACCATACAACGAATTTCATGTAATATTAATAAAAATGCACATGTTTATATAAGTTATTTATGTTTGAATCGCATTCCACTTACTTTTATAAAGTGAAAGCAATGTTTCATAGTAGCTCCCACATATACAATACTAACTGAGACTAACTTGCCACCGATATCTGTTATGGACGATAAAGAATTTAATAAAAATCTATGAGGCCCATGGCGTACTTTTATTAATGCTATTCTTGTCCTTGCATTGCAATATTTAGCTGGCACAAAGAAAACATTTATTATTAATTCTGTTGATCCATATACATATATCTAATATTGAAACATTAATATCTATTGTATTTGGTGCACAAATAACAAATCAAAGAAAATACCATTGTATCCAGCTTTAAACGCAGCTGCACCAAAATCTCCATAAAATTGTTGCACTTTCTGCAGTATCGCATAGTGTAACGTTGTACTTTTAAGCACAATAGACTTATCACTCATATCTCCTGGTGTAATTTCAACAACAATATACCTATAAGGATAATACCATTGATACTGACACATTATCACACAATAAGAAATACATTACAGGCAATCTCAGAAGAATTACTACATTACTCAAAACTATAATACAAAAGATATTCTAAACCAAATACCTGTTCTTAAACCGAACCATTTTTTAGGTTAAACAAAGTCTTTCTTCTTCAGAATTGTGTCAATATTATCTGCAACAATACACTTCGCATATACAATTAAAACTTTTTTAAATCTATGAAATTTCACATTATTTTCATACATTTACAACACAATAAATAATCCTATACAAAATGTTTCATTCAAACACGTTTATTATGTTCCAGCCGTTTTTCATCATGTTGTGTTAGGTTGGGTACGCGTAAACAAGACGGAAGAAACACGTGCGTGAAATATAGAAACCCACGTTTCGAATATTTTAAACGGCGTCGCTTTATTTATAATTTTAATTAACTTATTTTTATCATCATTAGGAGGCCCCAATAGCAAAAATATAATTAATTCCATAATTCTTACCGTTTATCAACCATCTGAGATATCTTTTATATATAACGCACATTGTAACACGTCAAGAACACTAAACATATGCTTCAACATATATCAATGATTCACATATGCTAAATATTTCTTTCAGGCCCAATCCCCCAAGACTTAATAAACCTATTACCATTAATTACAAGACAGCCTCATGTATAGCATAAAGAATCTTAAACAAAAATAGATCTTGTATAAAAGAAATGTTTGACTCACTAAATGCATTAAAAAAAAAATCTATCTTAAGAAATAAATATATTATCTCTTTTGTACGGGGCATTTAACTTTCTCATAAAAGATTTAACATTTTCAAGGCCTAGTGACGTGTACTTGTTCCACTTCTGGCAATAACTACTTATATATACATAGTTACATAACGCTCAATCCATGTCAGATATTTGGTATTGTGAAAAATTATTTTATTAAAGTGCAAGATAGGGTAGGAAAATTGCACTTTAAACTTCACAACCGGATCTCAATCGTACTTTGTATATCTAATGCAAGGGTTTACTGTTATCTCAGGGTCATGAGATATCAGAATAAGCGCTTATAATCTCAAACGTAATAGTTTACCATTCTGTATTTTCACAGTACGCTTCAACGGTTCAGTCAAGAGAGACATGGCCTCTTATAAGTAAAAATTAATTTATTCAGACGATCCTTTACTGAAGAATCATGAATTATTATGTGGGCGTTGATGTGGGTACGGGTAGCGCACGTGCGGGTTTGTTTTCTTCCGATGGAAAACTATACAAAATAGCCGTTCATCCCATTGAAATATTCAATCCTCAGGCTGGCTTTTACGAACAGTGTTCTGAAAATATTTGGAATGCTGTATGTCATGTAGTAAAGGTATATAATTTATACTCGATGGAAATGACAATAAAGGTATGTTTTCAGTATTGTTTAAATGTACTGAATATTCCAGAAAGTGGTTGATGAAATACCTAGTGAGAATATCAAGGGAATTGGTTTCTGTGCTACCTGCTCCTTGGTTGCTTTGGATGAAACTGGTTTACCAGTAACTGTAAGCCCATCAGGTAATAATTATGAATATAATATAATATAGGAATTACATGTATTATAAATTACAGAATATACTTATATTGTATAATCTATTTATAGGGAAAGATGAACAAAATATAATATTATGGATGGATCATAGAGCAGAAGCAGAAGCAAACTTTATCAATGAAACGCGGCACGAGATGCTGCGTTGCGTAGGTGGTAAAATATCTTTGGAAATGGAAACTCCGAAGATGATGTGGCTTAAAAAAAATTTAACTGCCTCTTGGTCCAGAGCAAAATTGCTTTTCGATCTGCCTGACTTTTTGACTTGGCGTGCGACGAATTCAGAATCGAGGTAGAATATTTGATAAGAATGATTAAGTACTGTATTACATATTATTATAATTAAGTAGTTTATTTCAATCAGTTGAGTTTTATTTTCAGATCATTGTGTTCCTTAGTATGCAAATGGAATTACAAAGCTGGACCGGATCCTAAAAGTAATGGATGGAATCTTGATTTTTTTGAGAGACTAGGTCTATCGGATCTCAGTGACGATAATTGGAAAAGAATAGGTACCGGTGGAAGCTATGATAATTATTGTATCTTTTATAACTTTGCATTGGTTAACACCTGACACATCGAGCAATTTCATTCCTATCGCAATGAGAAAAGTGTTACAGGTATCGATGTAAAGGCACCTGGTGATCCAGTTGGTTCTGGACTATCAATTAAAGCTGCAAGGGAACTAAATCTTCTACCTGGAACTGCAGTGGGTGCATCAATTATTGATGCTCATGCTGGAGGACTTGGAATGGTGGGTTGTTCTGCACCTGGTATTTCGAGCGACCTCACTAATAGACTAGGTATGTACCTAGTTTATTTGATAAAACTAATTTCATTATTAGAAAAAAATAAAATAATTCATCTAAGGATTTTTTAAGGATTAATCTGTGGAACTTCCACATGTCACATGGTGGTTAGTGCGAAAGAAATATTTGTCGACGGTGTATGGGGTCCATATTACAGTGCAATGGTTCCTGGCTTCTGGCTTAACGAAGGAGGTCAAAGCGCGACAGGGAAATTACTGGATCACATTATAGACACGCACCCTGCTACTCAGTCCATACGTAACAAAATTGACAAGAAAACGTAAGCAGACTATTAATGAACTGTTTTCGCAATGACAATTAATATGATAATTAACCAACTCTAGTCACGTACAAGGATATCTGTCCCAATTGCTAGAAGCAATGGCAAAGAAGAAAAATCTATCAGACGTTGCTGTTTTAACAAAAAATTTACATGTTTGGCCAGACTTTCATGGCAATCGATCCCCACTGGCTGAACCCAGCCTTCAAGGAATGGTATTGCAATAATTACTCTTTAATAGCATATTAATTGAATACTGATTCAATTCAAAATTATATAATTCCTTTTTTCCTTGACATAGATTTCTGGACTCTCTTTATCAACCGATGAAGAAAATCTAGCAACCCTGTACTTGGCTACGGTACAGGCATTAACAGTGAGTAAAATAATATTTTTCAAAGCTTTAAATCTAATGCTAAAAGTCTTATATCAAATATAACTGTGTGAAATATTTTTAGTATGGCACTAAACATATTCTGGAAGTACTTACCACAGCTGGTCATGAAATCAATACTATTCTTATATGTGGTGGTCTCAGCCAAAATCCATTATTCGTGCAGACACAGGCTGATGTCCTTGGATTGCCTGTCCTTCTGCCCCATCAACGAGAATCTGTCCTGGTTGGTTCAGCCATTCTTGGTGCCTGTGCTGCTGGTGCATTTCCTTCGATGCATGATGCAATTCAGTCAATGAATGGTGCTGCGACTGTTGTGACTCCTAGAAAATTATTATATGAGTACGTAAGATTATTAGATGAATTTGATTAATTTCAGTACTAACCTTTTCATACAATGTCATGCCCAAGCTCCATACGATGTAAAATGATATTATTGTACCTTTTAGACACCATGAGAGGAAGTACAAGGTTTTTAAAAAAATGGTACAGGACCAAAAGGAATATGAAAAATTGATGAGCAACTAAGTTTAACTGTTTTTTATCTGTGAAATACCCATCGAAATTTCGCGTTTTTTTATTCCAATATAAATGTAATAAATGTATAAAATACATATCAATTTCCAATGAACATTCTTATAATCGAAGCTATTATATCAATAGTTCGCATATATGTATAGTTAGAATAGATTCATGTAACAATTAATGAAATATCTTATATAATACAATTAATGATAATGTAATTTCAATATATTGCTAACTGAATGAGTGCAGTAATAATTCTCTTATTGTATAACATTTCACAAAATATATCAATTGACATCGTCGTGCGTATTTAAATTCATGAACAATGATAAGACTCAGAATGATCTTAAAAAATTAAAAAAAAAGATTCCATCGGTCGGACTCAAATGAATCGTTAACCAACAGAAATTTTCAGATAATATCAATAAATAGTAAATGTAAAGCTCGATCCGTGTTTAAACAAAAGAAAAGCATTGCAGTATAAAGTAAAAGAAAAAATTTTAAAAATCATAAAGAATTCAATGATTTTAATAATTAAATCTCAACTTAATTCGGCGTTCGTACTTATCTTCAACTGGTTTATGTAAATTGCACATGGTATTATGCAACACATTGTAAATTAAACAGATAACGAAATAAAATAAAGTCTTATGAATCCGTTTATAAATGTCAATCACCCTCGGTATTGCTAAATTGCATTTCGCCAACAAGGAACATTATAATACACTACAAAATGACGTAACTAAACGTATGAGTTTCATAATAATTAAAATAATAATTCTTTATAAAAAAATCTGTGCTCATCGAACTATCCAAGTCCATGTGATGCTCGGTACGTAACTGTAATAAATTGCTTAAAGTATTTTCGCGATATCCATTGAATTAGAAAATTACATATCATAATAATAGTAAAATTTCCCTGATAGAAAATTATTACTCTCGCATCATAGGCACTTGCGTGATAATAAAATATTGTGCGTTGCCTCGAAAATTTGTTTTATTTTTTTTCTTTATCCTGGAAGACACGGGCTTCGTACGTTTACTGAACGGCGTAATAACACTAAACGACAGGGTAAAATTTCTTATAAAATATATAGTCTCAACAATGGATATTACTTTGCATCCTGGGCAAGTAAAACGAGCATTGCTATTAGCATTACTGGCAGTAATTAGCAAATACCGTGTGCAGATTAGACGAAGTATTCGTTTCGTTACATAAATTCGTGCGTAATACTTCTTTGAACAATTAATTAATAAATCATTATCTCTAGTAATAAATATTACTACGATACAGGCGATCTAGCATATTTCGGTAACTGCTCGTAATCGGCTGTATTAAAATTTCGGTAACTCTTTGGGTCCGAATCGTAAAAAATTGGACGTTATTAAAATGATTAATCAAATTAATTATCGCGGACTTATGTAAATCGATAATACTCCGCAATATGATTGAGCATATACTGAAAGGCTGTGGATGGTGTTGTACCAAATCTCTGTCGCCAAAGGTGAGTAGAGAGAATATTCTGACCTGAGGAATGTGACGCTTCCTGAATCTCTTCACAGACTTCAACACCGGTCTGCCATATTGTTTCTTGTAGAAAACAATATCATAGACAACCAAGGAATGAGTATCTATTGGCTATAGTAAATCGTATATCTTACAAAGACAAAAACAGCAATAATTACTTACCGAGATTATTGAGAAGCTTGTTCTTTCCTGGAGGATCAAGTTTTTGCAAATGCTCAACACTTATCACCCTGTATTGTTTTAATTCCTGAAGAGATTCGTAGCTGCAGCATCGAGCTCGACTATTAGCCACGATGTAACTGTCAGGCATAACATGCTGGATAATTTCCTTTAGAGCTTCTTCCACCATGCCACACCTGCTGCTACCAATATGACTTTTGTCTGATTTTATTGGCTAAAATAAGTATTGAGGAATTAATACCTGAGAATAGATATTAGGAGTGTTGACTTACCTCAGGCACTGCCTGAATCATATGGAGCCACATACGAGGTGGTATAGCATTTGCTTCTGCGATGCAAAGTATTGTGTGACAGTTATTGTTGCGTTTTTTCGTCACTGTAATATCCACGTAATTTTCCGTCATACAACCTCCAGGAAATTCATCTACTATCAACACCATATTTCGTCCTCCCAATACCCACTCCTCTGGATGTCGTACGACATAGGCTTCAGAAACTTTGGCGCATCTTTCATAGACTTTCTTCACAACATAATCCTTTAAATCTGTTCATAATTAAAGTTTAGAATTTTTTGTCACTGAAGTGATGTTGCATACCTTGAAAGCTTGACATACCTAAGTAATTAGCAGTGACACTTGCTGGAATTACTTGGCACCATGCCAATATCACTTGAAGGCACATCTTCAGGTCACATTTGATTGCTAAGAAGAAGGAGCTCTCTCGTATGGATTGTTTACGCGTACATTCAGGACATGCCCAGTTATATTTGTCTATTATTCTAGCAGCATTCCATGCTAGATTTCGTCCATTGCAAGTTGTGTTTGGACAGTGTGATACAGTGCGTATTAAACTCATTTCTTTTAACCAGCTGCAGAGCTCGCCTTCATGACCCTGTTGTAACATTGGTCTTACGACTACATCAAAGTAACCACCTTGATCCCCAAATTTCTCTAATGCATCTCCATTTTGACTAAATAACAGGATAAAATACAATAGGAATATTTCACTAATTTCATAAACATTGGGAAAATTAAAGCAGATAATGACTATACAATATATATATAACTAATATAGAAAAAATCAATGAAAGAATAGAAGTAAATAAGAGTAACAGGAACATAATACAACTAATATGTTACAATAACGAATGTACCCCGTTTATAATCAAATCTATTTATGATATAATATGGGGGTGATATAAGAATGGAAGGATATTGATTTTCTCCATTTGTGCTGGTCACCTAATAATATCACAACTTCCAATATCATTTGAATTATTAAAATCGTAATCCAAAATTGTTTAAAAGAATACAGAAACATTCTTAAACCATGTCATATACAGAAACGTGAAATACACTGTTCAAAAATAGAGAGAAGTCTAATCATCTTAAACATAACCTCACCATACTGCCGTCTATAAGCCACATACTCACGTTGAAGATTTCAGCTGTAAGTTTTTCATCTTATGAGGACGATTAGCAATAGCGTCCATCATGTTAAATAGAAATAAATAATAAACAGAACACAATAAACAAAAATATTCTGAATAACCAAAAGATACACAAAAAAACAAAAGCGATTTGTCAAATCTCCAGGCGTCACACGCCCATTTAGCGTCTACTATTCGCACGCGTGATCTGTCGGTAAATTAGAACATATTTTCTGTCAAACTAAAAAATATTCATCTCCAAAGCCATAACAGGCATCCATCAATATATTTTCTAATTCATACACATTTAGCTTTCCACTCCTACTCAATACTCTCTATAAACTCATCAGACAGGTTAAAAAGAACACGATAATCACACCGTAAGATTTCGAGTAAATATCTTTTTTTATTTTTTATTACGAACATGGTTTACAAAGCAAAATCGTGGTGGTGTTGGAGGTTTAGTGGAGGCTTGAATCTACAAACTTGGTGGTCCAGTAAACAGGCATCAACAAGGAATGAAGGTAGTGAGTGATACAAGGGAAGAGGATCGAGGGCAATAAAGGAATATTAAGGTAGATATATATATATACATACATACATATATATATATATATATATATATCTCAGCACATTAATATAAAAAGTACTCTTTTCTGAGAGACAGCGTGAGGATTAGGCCGGCACATTCATTCGTATCACCGATTCACGCGCGAGGGTAGATATATATATATACATACATACATAGGCTTGAATCTACAAACTTGGTGGTCCAGTAAACAGGCATCAACAAGGAATGAAGGTAGTGAGTGATACAAGGGAAGAGGATCGAGGGCAATAAAGGAATATTAAGGTAGATATATATATATACATACATACATATATATATATATATATATATATCTCAGCACATTAATATAAAAAGTACTCTTTTCTGAGAGACAGCGTGAGGATTAGGCCGGCACATTCATTCGTATCACCGATTCACGCGCGAGCCACACTGCACTTTCATATGTATGCCATTTCATTAAAGGATTTTCGCTCAGTAAAGAGACTGCGTTAATGTTACGAGAAGTCGCGACGCCAAGCGATGCATCGATACGCAGATGCAACCGGTTACACGCCTCAACAAATTCATTGCATCTCCATCCCAAAATGCATATACCTAGCGCAATACAAAAAAAAAACCTCTAAATTTACTGCTATCTTTTATTTCGCTAACTAAACAATAAAAAAAAAGACAAAGTCAACGCAATTAACCTACCCGTAGACTAAGATTTCTAATAAACGCTTAGAAGAGCCGCTTCTTAGCTACGGTCGCTACTCGCCATCGCACACCGAACGTAACAAACTGGTAGAATCAATAAGCTGCTGTCTGGTGACAACTTTTTTGTCCTCAAGACACCCAAATTTTACAATATTTTGATATGCGCACATTTTCGTCCTACATGAACGTAATACTGTGTTGCGTAACGTTTCAATAAGTAACTCGGATAAATTCGTGCTACAACAAAATCCTGCTTCATCATTATGAATAACATTATATTCGTAATAAAAGACAATTGTACAAAAGAATAAAAATTGCTCTATGCGGTTCAAGCCTAACCATTTATCACTTTTGTCTTTCCGTACGGCCATGCTTTATTTGGTATTCCTCTTTGCAACCGCAATACTTATTTTATAAGAAATCATACAGGCATAATATCTCGAGTTATCATGACAATTTAATTAAAAGACTAATGATCAGTACATTCATGACTACTTCGCAATATCGTCACTCCCAGTTCGCTAATGAGACGTCCCACGGTAAATAGGCGAGTAGAGCAACCGAAAGTCACCTACGTAAGTGTATTAAACTAAACGTGTTAGGGTGGGTGGGGACATACAAGAATTTTAAAACGAGGAATTCCTATACGAAGTAAAAAAATGGCCTATAAGGCAGATGAAAAACTAAATCGAGCGTCAGGACAACAATGACATTAATAATTAAACGGTCATAACCTGATAAGTGATAATAATGATTAACGTCGCGCATATGGTCGACGCAAAATCACGCCGATCGTTGGACACGATCGTACGGACTGCGAGAATCGCGAAAAAATTTCATGAGATTATACGTGAGTTCGAAGGAAAAAAAAAGTGATCGCGACACTTTTCTTATTTTCTTTTTTTTTTCTCTTCACATTCTAAATTCACAACGGCTCGCGTCCGCGCGCAGTAACGCTGCTGCTATCTGCACGCGGTGTAGATCAACCGCATTCAATCCGGAATCCCTATTAAATATTTACAAATGAGATCGATATTAAAAAGTAATGAGCAATCATCTTGGTATTTTTTTTTTCTTCATTTAATTAGTGCGTGCATAGGAAGGCGCAGTCCCATAATAGTGATATTCACGACGACAACGACACACGATCCAGTCACAGCACACCCTGCGGAGCCGACGAAAAATGTGAACCTGTGTTGTTATGATACGACGTTATTAATATAGTAATAGTGGCAACTGGCAGACAAACAGATTGTTTGGCAGGCATGGTGAACGTAAAATTCAGACACATACACGGACACGATAATCCCAGAGCTTTTCCTTTTCGTTTATATACTATATTAAATGATGTTTTTTTTTTGTATTAGTTTATCATCGACACTCTTCTCTCTCTCTCTCTCTCTCTCTCTCTCTCTCTCTCTCTCTCTCTCTCTCTCGCTCTGATCGTTCCCCCCATCACACTTGAATCTGACCTCCCTCCCTCCTCTCTTCATGCTCACCTTCTTCTTGCCTTACTCTTACATATCCTTACTGTCTACATTCATGAGTCCTACATAATATTGTAATATAGGCTTTAGTATGCTATTATGTAGGCTAACGCTAGTTCTACAGTCCCGCGACGCCTAGACGCGTCGCAAGCAATCTTAATTAATATTAGGAATATCGGCAGTGAAATTCCAATGATAGACGCGGCAGGCAGGCAGTCGGGTCCAGCAAAGTCTGTGGCACTCGCGCTGCTCCGGTGCATTTAATAACATGTAAAAAATGGTCGCCGGGGTGCCCCGCACGTTTTAATTATTTATTTAACGTTCCTCGCGAGTGACGTCGCAATACGCCATTTGTCTCGCTCTTCACGGAGAAATAAATGAAAATCAAGAGGGGCACCCCACTGCTCGCAGAGAGCATCCTGGTTCTTTGATCGTCATATCCGGCATGGCACCTTCTGTCTCCTCTTCATTGTTATCGTCAAGTGCGCCAAGATCGTCAGTACTCATCATCCCGACTCATCACACGTGACTAATTGTTTTTCGTTATTATTTCTCGATTTCTTTCTTTGTTTCTTTTTTTTTCTTTTTTTTTGTTCCATACGTCTAATAGTGAATTCTTTGTATCTCTCTCACTCCCTCTCCTTTCTCAGCTTTTGCGTCTCTATATAACACTTGTCATTTCCTTATACTTCTATCGTTATTTTTTGCATTTGTTTTTCCTCGAAAAATAATTTCTTTACAAATACTTAGGGGACGGCCGATCCGTCTCCGACGCGGATCACGCCGCCGTCATCGTCGCACGCTCGAATCGATCGGCAAAATGAAAAATCGGTCTCGAACCGTCCGAAACGCAAACGTTACTAAGATTACAAATCACAAATGAAATCACAGACTTTCGTTGGTGGTTCAACAGGAGATAGGGTGCCGCACACATTGCAATTAGAACAACATTGTAGGCGCTTCTTCATCAGCGAGGGAAGTATCACGGCGAGGTGGAACGGGATACCGCGAACCATCCTCACACTTCCCCCGATGTTCACTCCCATCCATTCTCCTTGATCATGTGGGCAAGTTCGATGATGAATTTGCCCTCCTTGTATTTTTGACTCGACTCAAACGCGTGCTCCTGAAACAAGATAAAACAGCCAAAGCAAACGGCACGGATCAATGAATCGTATACAACTGACGATACGCAGACGCTAATTTATAGCCGGAATTATCATTACCATAATGAATTGATAAAAGCTCATTGATATTCAAGCATCATGATTCCATTAAAGGAGATCTCTCAGATCGTCCAACTGCGCACAGTAAGCAAATCTAGCCTAAATCATGCAACCGTAGTCCCTTACAGGAAAACGAGGCACGACAAAAAATCAATTCCCTACGTTAATCAATATACTAAAAGACACTTACGTATTTCCACCCAAGGGTGGTCTTGCAGCACTCACAATAAATGTCAGCGACAGCGTGAAGGCCAGTCAACAAAACTCGCTCCTCTGCAGGACCGCAACCCACGTTCACCCTAGAAAAGAAAAAAAAAACACCAGACTTTAGCTCAATTTCCTACCATGTACCTTCAAGTAAATTCATCTAGTTGACAGTTCCAGCTTCCGCCAGATGAAACTCGACTCGTTTCAATCGCTCGCAAGATTGTCAGTTTAAAAGAAGTGAACAAGGCATTTGCCAGCCATTAGACATTACCAATTGACTTCAACTATACCGATTAACGCTATTCAAACGACGCCTTAGACTCGACTGCTATAAAACATTAGCAGCGCACACCATCCGCGACACTAAAAGTACTTGGTAACCGTGCCGTAAAATTTTCTCTTACAAAATATAACCCAGGTCAAGTACGATAATATCGTGTCACTCGTAACGGCAGATACCGCCAAAGAGACCAATTGCTGACATACTTACACGGAATTGAAGAGATAGGCACGACCTTGGCTGCCCTGGAAGGACTGAAAGAAAATCGAGAAAAAGGATTCGTTAAATACACGCGATTGGATCCAGTCGACGTTACTTTGAGTATCAACGAGCGAGAAGAGTCACATCCGTTACGCGTAGTAGGGTTCGTCGAAGAGTTACCTGGTGAAGTAGCAGCTCACCTTAGAGATGAGTTCGTCGTGGTTGGCTAGGTGAGCACGGCAGTGAATGCACGAGTAAGTGCGGTGGCAGGAGGGCAGGTAAGCTTGAAAAGTTTTGACCATGATGGCGTGATCCAAGCTACCGAAAAGTATCTTGGCTTTGTGTTCTTTTTTTTTTTTTACGTTCTCTTTTCTTTTTCCCTTCCTTATCCTCGTCAGGTACTCCTCAAAAGTTTGACCCTCGGGGCTCCAACGACTCTCCTTGCTACTTTTACTTCCTTCCTCTTGCTGCGACTTTTCACCAGGACTACACTGGATACTCAATAGGTGTCGTACGTGATTTCTCGTATTCGCGGGGTGGTGGTGCAATAGTGGCCCCGTTCACCGCCGCTTCGTACTCCGATCAGCTGTTGAGCTGGTTCAGGCAGCGCCGGTTCGGGGACACCTGTAAACCAGTTGATTCGTTAATAACATTCAATTGACGATTTAATACGAGAGAAAACTGGTTACGTGATTCAAGAAAGAAAAATAAACGTGAGATCCCATGCAATCGTGACCCTTTTTTTTTTTTTCAACACGCACAGAGAACGAGAAACTGTACTTGGGATGCCGTGACAACGTCGGACATTTATTTATTGACATCGATCGATTGAACTGTCGTTACGTTAATCGGTCGTTAGACTACAATGTCTTGATGACGTAATATTTCTTATTTCATCAACCCCACGATATTGTCCAACGTATTAAATAGATTTCAACCAATCATCGAATTTCGCAAGACATAAATATAGATAAACAAATACAAAACCTTGATTGCCATCTCAAGTAACGATATTAATTGCAAAGACGTTATCTGATAGCGTTTGAGAATTATTTGTAAGATAAAAAATAATCACACTCAATAACATTTTTAATTTCATGATACCGTTACACGAGACAGATACCGGATGTGCTAGTCATTAATTGTATATTTTTCCATTGTTAGTGTTTCCCTGAGAAGCCGTACGATGACAAATTAAAGATATATTATTAATTTAACCAGTGTATACGGTGGTTAATGATAAACATACTGTGCTGTGATACGTATATAAGGAATGAAAATGAATGTGATTTTAAAAAAATGTAAAAAAAAAATACATTTCACCGCCGTTCTCCGCATCCTTTGGTAATAACGTAGCCAGGAACTTCCCGGCAAAGTGTCTCCAACTGCGCTCGTATATCACGTGGCTGTCGAAATAAAAGAACCTTCAAAGTTTTTGGACGAATCGTCAATGAAAAACCGAACAGGTCTTACGAGATTGTAAGAAAAATAAAAACTATTAATCAAGGTATCATCTAAGATGAATCTAGTAGTGTATATGTTGTTTAGTCTCTCTCTCTCTCTCTCTCTCTCTCTCTCTCTCTCTCTCTCTCTCTCTCTTTCTTACGAAGAAAATCAACCGCCGCCATTTTAATCACAGCGCCGAAGAAAGATGAGTGCATTGTTCCGCAGATTGCTGACTCAAACGAGTCTTAATTCCATTTACTCGTCCCGGAGACTGTCACTCAAGTCAGCAGTAGGTCTAGCGTCATTTTGGTTGATTCTTACGAAGCGCCTAGGCACGTAAAATGGCGAGGAATTATGTAAACGAAAGAGAAAAAATATCGCGATTCGACCCCCAGACAATATCAAATACTTGGAACAAACAGCAAAGTGGTGGAGGAAAAAAAAGGCACGAAGAAATTTTTACTCAACTGTATTTACTCTTTTCTTTGTAGTCTCGAGCGAAATCGTGACGCGAAGTTTGGCGCTTCTCACGAGTTAACGATAAGATAAACCATATTGTCGCTCGTAACTGCAATTACCGCGGCAAACGAACGAAAATAATAAACGCGAGTTTACGTTCCATTTTTCAAACAACCCAATCGAGCTAATTGCAACGCTAATGGCGTGTTGAGCAATCGTATCCGAAGAGAGAAGGAGGAAAGAAATGTGAAGACTACGAATCGAAAATCCCGCGCTGTATGAAGTTGGCGAGGATCAGTGAGTCAAGGGTCGAATCGATAATCGATCGTAGGCAAAAATAAAATGGGAGGTACGAGCGGTCTCGGGATTTGCGTGATACAAAACATTGAAAGAACGTTACGACGGGTGAACGAGCGTCAATAAAAAAACACTTCTAGTAAAATTGATACAGTCGATATAAACGGAAGTACAATAAACCAACAATTCACGTACTTCGCGTTGTACGAGCGCGCGCGGACAGCTTTTCAAACACAGGGAAGAGACGGCGTCCATTATTACCAACCGTCAAAAAGAAGCGTCCGTCGGCCTTGTCGTCGCGGAGCAAAGAAAATTCCAAGGTACGGCGACATCGGCATTAGTCCAATTAATACGCCTAACTAACTGGTCAGACAGTCAAAACAATGATAATCAAACAATGACTTTCTTTGATAAAAACAATGTACACACGTATATATATATATATAGCCAATAAGATAAAAGGCAATCAGACGATGCTCAACGACCACACGAATGATCCTTGTCCAATTTTTTCCTACTACGCACCAACATTTTTCACTTGTCTCTAATAAAACGTCAAAGGATCCCCATGACAACTATTGCACGTAATATAACGCAGTGTACCGTATGGACTAAAGAATAGAATTCCAGCGAGAGACACGAAGCGTCACGACCCAGCGAATACAATCCCGTAGACACGGGGAACGAACAAAGAAGTCTCGCAGAGGAGACGCAAGATTCGAGTCAAAATACTCGTCAAGGTCGTCGATATTCCCGCGAAGTCTGTCTCGGATCCCTGTGGTGACTCTTTCTCTTTTTTTTTAAATACCTAAGTCAAGTCACCACGGCTAACAGGAGTTGCCTTCCGTATAACTACAAGAGACGAGACTATTGCTTTAGGGGACGGTCACAGTTTTCTTATCGACAGAAAGCATAAAATCAATTGTCCAATTAAGCTTAACCTTTATGACAATCGGAAAGAGACAGAAAGAAAGCAAAGCTCGCAGTAGCGAGGGGGGCACGTATCGTTTCACCTAGCAGCTATCCGACGAGTGCCCCTTAAATTTTTATCACGAATCCAATAGGCCTCATGATTTATCAATCGCCTCGATCAGTTATTTGCGCTCGAGTTGAAGAAGCAAAACACGGAAGCGACGTGCGCAACAGAAATTACAGTCTTAGTGTAAATCCCCGTGTTTGCGCAACGAGAGGCAATGAAATTCGACAAACAGATAACAACCGGGATCGATATAGATATGATATTATCTTATGAGGTTTCAATTGACGCTCTGGCACCTTAAGTGTACGAATTTACGCTCCCGCTGGTCCATTAATATCCGTCGCTCCCGCCAGGACGGACGAGGGTAACTGTCATTTATTTTATTTTCAAAAACAGCAACCTGCCTACATGTCATTCGCTAAACAAGTCAAAAGCTAAAAAAAACGTTCCTTGTCGTATGAAAAAAAGAAAAATCTAATCGCCAATCGCCATACAAATAAACACCGAGAGAGCACCAATGTTATCGAGGAGAGTGAAAACATGGCGCCTAGGAAAATGCGCGTCTTTCCCCTGTCCCTAATTCTCCTCCCTCCTCCGCTCCGCCCATCTAGTAAAACCTACAAGCAATAACTGACAGTCCCGTCAGCTGTGGATATATACAAACATTGCGTGTACATGCGCACAGCAGTCTCTCCTATGGCTTTTCAGAAAGAGCCCAACGCGAAGTAAAGCTGCGCATGTGCAGAAGCCGACCGACCTACCTTCTGTCGCGTCGTCGGAAAAAGTAACAGACGTAAATAAATGGCGTCCAAGAGAAACAGACTCTCATTCATAATATTCCCAATTTTCGTGAACGCCCGACATTCCCGACCTTGACGTCTCGTACAAGCAAGGTACCACGAAAGATATGCGTAAGAAGAAAGAAACAGTCAGACTGGTTCAAAACAATGAGAAGAAAAAATATATTCCCGTGCCAGACAAGGAATCCCTAGTCAAGTATATCATTGAATTACCCATTTAATTACAGTTATGTCTGTATACCTATATATATACGTGCATATACACGTATAGGTACAAACGAAAGAAACAAAGAGTTTCTAGCAGACGGGGCTCCGAGAGTTCATTGACTCTGTACAAGCCTAACGAGAATCGTGTACATGCACAACAGGTAAGGAATTGTATTTTTCATAGCAATTGAATGGTCCGAGCAAGTTTAACAAAAGGCTAATCACGATTCTGTTCCTCTCGCTCATTAGTATTATTGAGCGAACGCGCGTACCGTTCCCCTACCCCGCCCCGGGCTATCTAGTTCGCAATACTCTTCGACGGGGACCCAGACGAATTGAGCGCGCAATTACAAGAAAACAATGGACGCCAAGAAAGTCGCTCGAAGCTCGTCGATTAAATTACCGTACCGCCTACGGAGACAATTCCTTCATTGAGATACAACCATATCGTGACCGGCAGGAATGTTTAATTAGGATATTTCGGTATCGAGGTAAATAAAGTCGTGCGAGTATCCGCTGGTCGTAGCCCCCCTCCCCGGGAGCATCCATCGGCAAATTCCTTTCGGCGTCTATTTATACGGGAGTAACATGCCGCGAGTGCCAGCGGCAAGAGCAATAATACTTGCCAGTGTATATCGGGTAAGCGCGAGTGCATTGGGAGAAACTCAGAATAAGAAAGAAAACGAGAAAGAGAAATGACAAGTCACGCCTTCTGTCTTGAACGAGGAATCACCGTTGCAGAGGCACTGAAATAGCAGAGGCATAAAAGGTAGTTGGCGTCCGCCATCTTTTCCGTCTCGCTCTCTCACCCTGCGACGCGGCGACACTCTCGCTCTCTTTTCTCAATAGAACAAAAAAACTCCACGAAATCTCTAGAAACTTTGAATCCTCTGGAGAACGTCAGATGGCGACTCTGTCTACTTCTCCCTATTGCCCGTACAGCTGACAGTCCGATCAGCTGCAAAACGTACACAAAGCCCAACGTCCAACAGGTCTAGATGCTTCCGCGTCCCTTGCCATCTTCTGGACTTAAGACGGTCAATGTTTCACCAGAGTGTAAGGACGACATGAGACTCTCCTATGCTTCGGGATCGAGGGTAGCATTAAAACAAAAAAAAATAGGTCACAGTGTATAGAGGTCAATGAGAAGTGGAAAATCAGGTCGCTGTCCTTAGTCCTAGAAGGGGGAGAGAGACTGTTAATTTTTAACTGTGCCTATACCACGCACTGGATATATGCTAGTTATGTCACCTAGTTCTATTATGATTAAAGGTTGCTAAATATAAATTACACGACGAACTAAAGTCTATGTGAAATTCGAACTTTCGTTGCATCGAGGCATTCTTAGATTTAGAACGTTCGATAATCGATCTTACCTAAGTATGTACATAGTTTAACTGCAACGCAAGGTACTATAGTGCACTTGCATTACGCAAGAGTATTATTCCTTTGTTTCATTTAGAAGCAGAAAAATTGTTACTATTCGACAATCACGACACGATAATTTTTTATTCGATCGGTATCGCTTGTTCGTCATGTACTTATCGACAGCAACGATTTGCCTAGAAGCAATGCCAAGAACGATGTACCCTTTGTACGTGATCAGCTGTGTGTATATATATATATATATATCTAAAAAGAAATAAAAGTTAAACGAGAACGCAATAGGATATACACAAATGCCTAGTATCAATCTCTTATCGTAAGATACTTATAGAATTATTTTTAGGCTGTAGCGCTAACTACGCGAAGAAGACGCCTAGGATCAATGAATGCCTTGTACGCAGCAGAACGATCAGCTGTGTACTCAGACAAGGAAAAAAATACGACGCAATCGAGTAAACGCGACATATTAGAATCGTGCAAGAGCACAAGTCTTTGCATGAAAAATGTATTTTTATTCGTATACGTAAAGAGAAAGAAAGATAAAGAGAGAATTGGTAGAGAGGGGTAGAGATAGTACATAGAGAGTTGAAGTTCAATGGATGCTTGTAGGTTCCGAAGGGGACGATCAGCTGTGTAAATGTACACAAAGCAGAGAAACTGACGCTATCTGGCGACACTCCTTAGTAGGTGCGTATCTCGACGTGTTATTATCGTCGTAAACATACGTTCTGACGCCGTTTAGTATAAACAATTTATCCAATAATGTAATGTGAGATCCGTTAGGACACGACTAGATCGAACGGTGAACGATGAATAGATTTGATGTCTTTTTTTTTCTTTTAACGATCCCAAAATCGTTCCCGTTATAAGGTGCATCATTCTCAACGGTACTCTTCGCGAACTCCATTGAGATTAGAAGTAATTGTCGTGGAATAAAGACGATGGAAACAGTGATGCGAACGTGACAGTCGATACAGGAGAAATGGCAGGTCACAGATTGAGAGGTATATTGCGAGGAGACATTAAATTACTGTAAAAACACAGAAAGGTATAGATGATTTAGCAGTGGAGTACTAATAAAGATTGAATATGTTAATAGAAAACAAGACAATGTACAAGTTCTATCTTTTTATCAATCGCGTCGTTCTGGCAGCTGACAGGTCCGTCAGCTGAGTTGTGTATACAAAGAGCGATAGAAAGTTGCTCGCGACTTTCAGGAACGAGAAGCAGCAATATATTTGTAATACTCTGGAATTTCCAAGCCTCGCGAAATGATATCCATGAGTTTCGCAGGGGGTGATGGATTTTTTCAAAAATAGTATTGCGTAGTTGAAGCGCGATGACATCGGGCATGGACGATTAAATCAACTGCGTATCAAGTGCATTCAAATTGTGTAATATGCAACGGGTTAAATACAGTGGAAAGAGATCCATGGGACATCGGATATTAATGGAAAGTCAGAGGGAAAATCCTCATAGTAACAGTTGTAGTCCAGAATGGGAAAACTATAATGAGAAAATACACGAGCAAGCAAAATGGCAGGAGTCTGTTGTTAAACCAAACAAAGACGCGTGCGAGAAGTTCGCTCTGAAATGAGGGTTACATACCTCCATATGCATCCGTGGCTGCGGCCGCGAACGATATCAAATGTTCTCGATGGGTTTTCCAGTCTTTCAGCGTGGATCACGGCTTTGTCGTCGCGCGGCCCACGAAAAACAACAACTCGTTTTGATCATCACTCTGCGCGAGCGTTCACGTCCAGCGAGCACCGTGCTGCTGATCCGCTCAGCGTTGTTCGATTTATTTCGGTTCGTCTGCAGGCGGGATGAACGATGCTCGACGCATGCGCATGACACCGTACGAGCTTCCGGACATAGCCGACAGTTGACGCTGGCGTCAGTACAATCGTGAGTCGTGGTGGGGAAGGTGTCTGCTACGTCGAAACGGTCGAAACCCACGACACTTTGCAGACCGTGCATGAAACCTGCTGGGTTTTCATGAGCCAACAAGTGGCTATGCTACTTGCGTAAACTATGACTGCATCATTATAAAACCTACCTATGATTACCCATTATATATGGGTAGGATGGTAAATACCCTGGAACAGATGATAGAGAGTGGTTTTGAGAGGGTTCCAAATAGATTGTTAGGAAGAGGATACAAAGACAACGTGTTGCTCCGAAATGGCTTGTGGAATAGACCTTGTACCCGTAGTGTGAATGGCAAGTGCGCAGTGTCTGATTAAGAGACTCCACTTGCTTGGCGTATCCATGCGAGGAGGGCACTTTGAAGGAATATAATTATGAAGGCAATAAGAAGGCACAGAGCGGCTGTCGAGACCGATACTGGGATGGTAGACGGGTTCTTGTTAATTATTTTTTTCTTTGTTTATTCAATATGCGTATTTTCTTATAAAGTGATATTCTACGAATTAAAAGTAAATGAAAAAAAGGAAAAATATTCACCAAACAATAGAGTTAAGATATTCATTAAAGTTCATCTTCTCAATAAGGCAACTAATTTTTTTAGTACTTTGTTTTACATATCTAGACGTAAATGATATTATAAAGTATATGTAAAACACTAATATATGGTTACTTTTATTTTTCTTGTTACAAGCCTTACATATAATTAGAATATATGTATAATTTGTATATATACTCTTGTAATAAAATTGATTACTTCATACTTGATTCTAGAGATAATAAATATAGCTAGTGTGTAATGTTAGTACAAGAGAAGTGCGTGCAGAGGGTGGCAGCAGGGTGCGCGTTCGGGAGTGCTATCGTTTCAGGGACTCTCCAATCCCTTCTCTTTATACCGTCTCACATGGTGACGTTCAATTGTATTGCTTTCGTGTCCACTGAGCACGCCTGTTGCTGCTGCTGCTGCTGCTGCTGTTGTTGTTGCTGCTGCTGCTGCTGCTGCTGTTGGTGCTGCTGTACTTGCTGCTGGACTTGTTGTTGGACCTGCTGCTGTATTGCCTGCAGCTGTATTGCTTTCGTGTCCACAGTACACGTCTGCTGCTGAGGCTGCTGTACTTGCGACTGCTGTTGCACTTGCTGTTGCTGTTGCACCTGTTGCTGTTGCACCTGTTGCTGTTGCACCTGCTGTTGTTGTTGTTGCTGGGCCTGCTGCTGTTGCTGCTGGGCTGCTGCCTGAGCCGCCTGCCTCTGCTGTTGCCGTAGTATACTCGGTGGCGGGTCCATGTGCTGACGTTGATGGAGGAGCAGATGATTCTTTTGGAAGAATGCTTTGCCACATTTATCACATACATGTGATCGTATGTGACAACTGCCGTCCGTATGACGCCGCTGATGCTGCGAAAGGCCATGCTTCTGAGCGAAACCGCGTCCACAGTCCGGACAGAGATGAGGTTTCGGTTTCGGTCCTGTCCCCACTGGCGGTGAGGTCTGCGTAGCACCGTGCATGTGACTGACGCCGGGGGTACCGATCGGTCCATTCATCTGTAAATACTTAATTTTTAATGTTATGCGACGTTGTCGTGGAGCTCTCATTAGCATCTGACGTCTACCTGATGAGTGCCAGTGGTGTTGGGCGTCAGGAAGTGCCCTGGAGTCTGCTGGAAGGCCGCCGCTAATCCGCACAGATCGGTCACCAGTGTCCTGTCGCCGGAGTGTAACCTTAAATGTAAAGTGAGGGCCTCCCGATTCGAGAAGTCCAAGCCACATTCCCTGGAACAACGAGGCTTCCGGTAAGACTAAAGCGCGATTCGAGAGATGGGTTAACTCAAGACTCGAGACTGTGACAATTGGTCTTGGACTCTTCCTTGATGGAATTCCATTTAGATAATATGGGAATGATCGTGAGATTTTTAAATACGAACTGAGTGGACCGGAAGCCCCGTCTTTTAGTCGCTCGAACGTTAGTAGATTGATTAGTGCGTTTACCCAATGCATCCGTGCACCAAGAAGGAGCATGCGGACCTGGAAACGCAGAAACTTACCTGCACGTGAGCGATTTCTCATCGGTGCTGGAGTTGTTATTGTGTATCTTCGAATGAGTCACCAGGTCCACCTTCCTGGGGAAGGCCTCACCACACACGGTGCAGGCAAAGGGAGTTTCACCGGTATGAAGCCGCATGTGTGCCAGGAGCGTTCTCTTCTGCAGGAACTCCTTACCGCAGACAGTACACGAGTGAGGTACCCTGCCGTGTAGCCGACCGTGGTTCACCAGCTCGAACTTCCTCTGGAACGTTGCGCCACAGTCGTGACATACAAAAGGATGTAAACTGCCATGGAAACGCGAATGCATTGTAAGGTGGTCCTTCTGTGAGAAGGATTCGCCGCACTCCTCGCACACGAAGGGACGTTCCCCTGAATGGAATTTACTATGGGTCACTAGGTGACGCTTCAGGGGAAACGCTCGACCACATTCCTGGCAGACGAACGGACGTTCGCGTGTATGTACACGTGTGTGCGTCACCAGGTGATGCTTCAACGTGAAGGACTTTTTACACTCGCGACACTGATAAGGTCTGTCCGCGCTGTGCAGGAGTAGATGAGTGTGGAGACAGTGTTTGTGCGCGAAACTCTTTCCGCAGTGGACGCAGATGTGGGGCCGCTCTCCGGTGTGGACTCGCGCATGGGTTGTCAAATGATGCTTCAGCAGAAAGGATTTGCCACACTCGGAGCAGGAATAAGGTCGTTCCTTTGGAACACGTACCTGACTCCCCATGTCCTGCTGCTGCTTAACCTTAGTCTCAATCTGGGTGGTGTTTACGTGGGTTAGCACATGTCCAAAATGGGCTGTTGTATCTGTCTGACTCGCAGCAACATTATTTGCATTTGCTTGATTGGATGCAGCAGCCGCTCTTTTCATAAGGATTTCATTGCACTCTTCAACGGTGAGCTGCAGCGGACCCAGGGGCGTCATGAAATGTTTGCTCATGGCGTGTTTGTCTGCGGTTGTAAAAACTAAAGTGTTGGAGAATAATGAAGGCGGGGGTGTAGGATGTGCTGCATCACAGTTACAACCTCCCTTGTCACAGGTTAGAGAAAAAGCATCATGATGTTTCTTAGTACGAACGTGCCCTCCATGTGTTTGATTGTGAGCTCCTGTGTGACCATGATGTGTCGTAGGGGTCTGTTGACAACTCTCATTCATTGCAAACATAGGTCTACGATGAGCACTATTAGCGACCTTGGTTGGCTTAATATCCACTTGTATCTTCTGACTGGAACCCTGGTCTTGATTGTTGTTGACTGCGTAACTGATGTTAGTAGCAAGGTCACTCTGTGCATTCTCACGAGTTTCGGTTCCAGGGCCGCTAAACGACCAAGCGTACCCGAAACCGGTACCTGCATTGCCAGGAGTAGTGCACATCTTAGTCAAAGTGGTAACGGAGGGGTTGGAGCTCTGGCTAGCCACAGTACTAGTAGGCCCCTCCGTGTCTACCGATGCATCATCTGCACTGGATTGTTCGACTACAGCGAACTGGTCTCCAGGAAATATCTTAAGAGGTTCTAGGTAAAATAACCCGTCACGCTCCAGTATCTCGGTGGTATGGTACAAGGCTGGGTATCATATCTGCCCGAACGGTGTCGGGCCTTAGATGCTCTAGGAGCTTGGGTACTAGAGAACAACTCAGCAAAGAAGATACAAGGGAAATAAGAGTGCAACTCCTAAAAAGTCAACTGCTTCCTGTGTTGGCATGTATCGTATGGTTGAAAGTTACGGATTGTCCAGCACTGCTGGCTCTGTATGCCGTGGATCCCTGCGACGTAGCCTGCACCAGGAGGCAGATATGCCCATAAAAATGGAGCTGACGAGTTAGAGGGTGCTCCGTGCTATAAGGAGGCTTCACAATTCTGAGGCCGTTTTCGTGTATTTGTCGTGCCAGTGTGATCCAATGAAAAAAAATCCGGGAGCCGCGCGAGCCTCGCGCGTATATCGGGGCTCGCAGCGTTTCTCTCCCTCTCGGTCTTCTTGAGGCTCGCGGCGTCCACGGCTCCCGAAAGACAACCTCCACCTTCTTCCTACGGCACTCCCACGCACTCACTTGCACTACACGTACTTTTACCGCAGTTTAGACCACCGATATTTCACTCTAACGTACTGCCGCGAACGAGTAATCGTCATTAATTTTATGGAATTGCATATTTTATTGTCCATACAAAATAGCCTCATATATCGGCCATTTTATTTGTAAACTACCAAAAAACAATGTTGCCAATGCACGCGCGGTTTTGGAGGGAGCAGCCTACCAGTAGCGTCACCGAGTATTTCCGTTCTGGCAGCACTGCGCCGTCGACGCGACTCTTTCCGCCATATTTGAATAAGCACACCTTACGCATCTACTCTTTTTTTTAACATTCACGCGCTAGTTTACTGGACTTTCGAATCATTAATTAATCTCTGATCTCTGTGTGATTCCACGAGCATGATTACTTTTTACCGAACGTTGCATCAACAATTCTTTATTGCATCACCCGCTAACCTATAATTACTCCTATAACAATCAATTGTTCAGTGACGACTCTGAAGAGAGGGGATTTCGCCGCTAACGATTCACTCGTTACATTTATATACAGGAATGATGACAATAAAAACATAACCTACAAAGTGCTAGATATACATGCAATAAAAGCATGATACAGTTCGTTTTAGAGCGAGGCACAACATTTTAAGTATTTAATTTTGTGACATGAAAACGAGTATAACTTTCAATCTCGTCACAAGCTTCTATCGTAACAATTTCTTTTTATGGAAAGTCACAGAATTCAATTATCAACTCCAATGCGGGTTCCCAGTCATTAAATCCATAATAATCCCCGCTTCTGGATTTCCTCTGCTACATATCTGTGAAGGTCTTTCTAAAAAAATCCAAGTAATTTTTATATCACGAAACAATGCACAAAAAAAACATAACAAAATTGAGTTTCAGCGAATTACAAACGAAGCTACCTGGAACTATAGAACTGCGCACTACATACCGACCGAGCAACCATTCCAAAGATATCAGGGCACTAACTAGTGAGACCGACAACCGTACGATCGGGTACGTCGAAAAGGCGCGGTAACCGCTTCATCATTTATAGCCAATATCTAGTCGAGTTATGAGACTGGTGCTGGGGAGCTTTCGGATACGGGGATATAGAAACACCCCATCGCTCGGATGGTCATCGCGGAGTCAGCAACTGATAAGCCACCCATTCGTTAATGGTCCAGAGGCGTACGGCTTGGCGAAAGGCCAATGCGTGGCCGCTATAGGATGAGCATCTTATATTACAGTAGACCATATATCCATGCATTTCTTTCTAGGATATAACCTGACCAAGGGATGTTAAATACCATGAGGATGGTCACCCTAGTTCCACCAGGATCCTGTTAAAACGTTTGTTATTCAGTAACCCGTTACATTCCCACATTCACACGCACTCCTTGGCTTTTAGCCAAAACGTGCCAGATACCTGTAACAGTTATAATCCATTCATTCATCTGCACTTTGTTTATTTCTTCAAAGTTAACGTGACGAGGTATATATTATCATACGCGAGGATTGTGATCTACAAAAATGTAATAATATGCAATTTTTACGTATCAGTTAATTGTTACAGCATCTCTACATACCTCTAATGATAGTTAAGTTTAGTGGGACTTTCTTAACAGCTGATAACCCAGCCTAATCAACATGCTATGGTATTCTCATTGTCAAGTTCGACGAAGCATGAGGAGACTGTGTTTCACGCTTCGAGCAACGCTCCATTGTGAAATGTATTATCGAGAACTGTAGAACATCGGTTATGAAGATCTTACTTGTTTCTCTAGGTTGTTACTCATCAGTCGCTTATGGTAGTGGTTGCTCACGTATATTCATTGAAGGGACTTCATTGGGTCGTGTGACATGCTGAGAAGGCCCCCCTACAGGCAGTAAGTCTTCTGGCGAACATGAATATTTTTAGACGTTACGGGTTTCACGTATTGAGAGATTTCATGGTATTAATGAAAGATTAGAAAGTCAGTTAAACATAGATGCTGAATGTCACCAGAATTAATTTACAACTTTGCATATCGACAGGTAGACGGAAACCCTCGGCGAAGACTGAAGTAGGGACATTGTTACTTGCGAAACAGGTGGTACATAATAGCTGGGTAAGTAGGTTCGTCCCTGTGCCTTTAGTCAGGGTGGCATAAGCTACTGCTTCCATGAGAACTGGAAGGTCGAAAGAGGGTGGTTTTTGCTTCTTTCCGAAGAAACAACGTCGAAGCAGGGAGCATCCGAAATCTGGGGCAGTCAAGTGTGAACGCGATACCACAGACTTGCCTCGGCCAGTCGGGGTGCCGTCAAACAACCGTTCTTCGGCCATCCCCTGACTACCGTCTGACATCCCATGCTACCCTTAACCACCCTGCCAGGACGATTTGTATATATCAATTACCTTGAAGCTTGCTGGAAAACGTCAGGTCTATTGTCATCCTTTCCAGAATCTTCATTTTCATTCTGAACGAAGGACCACGCTTCTCACCTCCCTTACTGTACCAGAAAAAAAGGGAAAAAAAGGGAGGAGTAAAAAAGATATATATTTTCCCGGTAAAATATCAAGTCAATTCACGCAGAAACTAACTGGGATGATTAACAGGTCTGTTACAAACTCATGAGAATTTTTTTCCTGTTCCAGGTAATACTGCAAACTTTGTGGCTAGGGTCGTTGATTTTTCTTCAAGTCTATTTTTTTCTACACTCTCTATTTGGATACCTGAATATGCTATTTCTATCTTTGTATTTATAACACTTCATGTCCAACGTGTTCAATTGACTATAGATATGTGCTTATTGTATCTATAGTTGTATGTACCATATAGAATCCATTGGGTATTGCTGATTTAACACATTTTCAAACTATTCGCGTTAACGGTGACAGGTCTGGGCTTTGTAGGACTGCCACGTGCAAGTGCATCGACGTAAATCGCGGATTAAGGTTCCTACACAACGTGAGGCCACAAAACTGCAGAACAGATTTTTTTGCTTAAAAGTACTGTCTTGGAGTGTTATATTCCAGAGATTAATCATGATCACCGCTTATACATTACTATCAACTATAACACAATCTAGTGAAAAATGAACGCAGTTAAACAATGTTCAGTCAAGCATGCGGTATACCATACGATTGTACAAAGACACATCACGGCATTTCCGAGGTTAGCAGGTAAGTCCCACATTTCTTCTCCTTTTTCTCTCTTTTTTCATTCAGGTAGAAAATCGGCTGGGACTCTATGCTCTTTTGTCTAACACGAGGAAGTGAAAGAGAAAAAGGACCGTTACGGAATCAAAAAGAAATATCACATACCTAATAACTTAAGAATACTTGGTAAATTAGTGGATTCATTCACACTGAACCTTTTTTTACATTTTTCCTAGTATCTTAATGAACACAGACATTTATCTAGACAAGTCAGATCTGTAGACATTTCATAAGACTACGATAACGAATAGTTACAAGCAGCTATTATAGTTGTTAATATCATATAGAAATTTAATACCATAATTTAATAATTGCACATGCTAATAAAATGTATGTACACAGCTTCTCAATCCTTATAATTAGAATTTAGTGTTTATGATATAGAAATCCATAACACCCAATTGCTTAGGAAGCTATTGAAAGTAAAAACAAAGTCTAACTATACTTACACTGACCCTATGAAACTTTTTCTTGAATTAATTATCGCTCAGTGTGTAGAAAGCTTTACGAGTGAACAAGGTTCAGGACATGGGAAGCTCTTCTATGAAATATAGATATCAGTATCGAACTATGGATCAATGATCAGAGGCAATACAGTACAAGAGCGACGATCAGACCTATGTGAATACTCCTTTTCTACGATAAGAAATAATAATAAAGTGCCAGATACGAGAATAGTACCAAAGAAGAAGCCTATAAGACAGATTTTAAGAGGAATAACGATCAAAGAGATCTTTAATACGCATATGGTACGTATGACCTGTATGACAAAGAAACTGGGTCAGAATATTGGGACTTATCCAACATCCAACCATGAATTGGGACTTGATAATTATATCATACAGAACCAAGTGTCATCAATGCTACGTGGGAAGTGTCATTAACGACAGTGAGATGATCGTAAAGATCATGAATCAATCCTATAACGATCAGGGACTATCTATTCGTAACAGGTGTAAGTGGGATGAAAACCGGTGTGGAAATACCTATTGATAAGAGAGCACAGGACAGTTCATAGACGTGGGAAAGACTCCTTCACTACATTGTATAAAGATATCGGTCGAATTATATGGGCCAACCATACGGCAACTAAGAAGCACAGACTTCGACCGGTAAAACGAGTAATCATTAACGGATCGACGGACATGGTTATCTGGCTGCGTTCCTCTTCGAGTTAATTAAAAGATGATTACCTAATGAGGATCATTGATCCATACGAAACAGTTTGCCTAACGAGGATCGCCTGTGGCCCAGGTACATTATCGTCTAGGGATACCTTGTGGCATAAAATTCTCTCCAGGATTTCAATTTTCTCTTCGACTGTATAGATACTCCGTTGTTTATACAACTACGTAATGAATTTAACACTGTAAAAAAAATACGTTACAACCATTAATATCTATAGCTTGGATAGAAGCTGATAGTACTTTGTATTACACAATTTGTCATGTACCTCGTCTTATTAGTGTTAAAAAAAAAGTTTCAAAAGACCCCATCGTTGTTATCGTTATGTGCATTTTGAAAAACCACCAGGGATTTGACTTTTACTATTCCTCTTTGCTACAGGACTTTGATCTGTTAGCGTAGGTCTTAAGGGACGTACTGGAGTAGTAGGTAGTGGGCAGATGGTTATAATAATTCAATGCAGGTTTTGCCAGCGAGGGATACACAGGGTCGGCTTCATTCTAGGGTCTTATTAATTGCGGATTATTCCAAGTCTATTAACCTAGATTCTTGAGGTCGTGCTTGAAATTACCGAAGCTCTTTTTTCGATTACTCCACAGATACCTAGGTAGTTGAGTTTTGAAAAATTATTAGTAAATCTTTTTAAGAACTTATAAATTACATGGTATTGATAACTGTAACCTGGCTGCAAAGACTTCATCGTACGGCCCTGCATAGGGGCGTCATGCATCGCTCAGCAGAGTGTCATCCGCACCCACCACCATAGCTCGATCTTCACGGTTAATATACTTTCCTCGTAAAATCAATTAGTATCGAGTTCTGTTGTCCGGATTGCCTGCGGATCCCCATTGCCTTGCGTTACACCCAATGATCATCCAAAGGAGGGTACAAATCCGCGTATGGGGTCGTTTTACTGTGATTTTTCAAAAATTCGACTTGGATCTCTGAACAAGCCTTGATGCATACTCTGTGAATGTATAATAAAAGAGAACAAGCCGAATCAAGAATTTCCAGAGCATTGACTGTATTCCTTGTTTTTATTCTTCTCAGTCACTGTCAAGGCCAATGTAGCTTAGATCCATTGATCCTTACGTAATGCCATTCATTGTTATACTCCTCTTCTCAATTTCTTGTCCCACCTTGGCAGCTCAAGCGAAACTCTCCGTGACGAAAATACACCTTGCCGGTAATCCAGCCTGCGAGGTAATTTAAAATAGTGAAATAAAAGCGTATAACAAAAGGATAGAAAAATATGAAAAAGTAAAATTCGTTTCATTCTTTAGAACGTTTTCAACAAATTTTTATATACTCACACAAGCATTTTGCAAAGATGTATCGTCCTTAACGAATTAACCCCTGACCCTCTCCGGCCCTGAACTTTACTTCATTCTCTTGAAGTCGAATCAGGCCTCAGTGTCTGGAAAATAAGTAGCGCAGCCCACTTGGCTAACTACCCCCTTCGCACGACGTCTACCACTCATAGAGAGAAACGGCACCCCTCGCAGGGCACTGGGAATTACGCAATTATTGCATTGCGCCCGACAATTATCCCGGAAGACGTTGAATGCGCCGGATGGCCTCGAAGAGTCTCGCGACCTATACGTACAGACTGGGAGAATAAAGAATAAAGCCAAGTAAGAGGGTTATCTCGGTAGGGAGGCTGGAATTCGCGATTTCCTAAGCGACCGCTTACTGCGTATACACTGGAGTCACTGTTTAGACTGCTACGACGTCATTATCCATCGTCTTCGTTCTTCGAATCGTTTATACATTCAATTCGGCAATACTTGCATGTTATTGTAGATTACGATATTCTTGGTGAAAACAAGTTCTTCTATCTATAAAAGAAAAATTGCATACGTTAGTTACGATCAGGCAATGCATTTTCGAGTCATCTGATACGAGTGAATTACAATAGGAAATTGAATTTTGATAACTATCGGTTATAAACAGTCGTCACGATTTTAATTACGCATTACTTGCAATTGACGTCGATTTATTCGTTCGTTGCTTTGAATTCAAGGTTTAAAGAGGTCAGCGAGTTATCCGAGACGAGTTTCAAAGATTAGCAGTGTCCAAAATATCTGCTAGTATTCTGTATTTATGCTGGGTTTCTAATATATATGTATATAATGCTAATACTACTTGTTGTGTACATAGGATATCTTCGAACAATGCTTATATTATATTGGGAAACTCTTCTGGCAATGGTAACATGTAACCGAGTCTTCCTGGGATATTTCTAAAAGCTTCTGTTCTTCCTGGAAAGGATCCGTATAATGATTCTCCTTAGCGAACTGTGATGGCCGGCACACAGTTTTTTTTCGTTTAATAGAAGGGATTGAATTTTCATGGATTTTTGAAGTAAACTTTACGACATGCTCGTTCTTTTTTTTTTGTGGAAAAGGAAAAAAGTGTCAAAGAATAAAATCTTTGTGAAAACTTGTCTCTAATTTGTTTTAGAGACTGTACAAGAATTGACCGATCCAAGTATTTCGTATGCTTTTGTACGTCTCTAATTTTAAACGTCATAAAACGTCTCTATTTTCGTAGTGACTTCGTAGTCTGCTAAACTATGTGACAGCAAGTCGCATTTCCACGTAACTATCGTTTGCAAAAGGCGTGAAAAAAGTTGTAATTAGGTAACTAACACTCGAGTATGGGTTAAAGGGTCTATGCGTGTCTCATGTTTCGCCCAGGTTGTTCCTTTGAAGAGACCGGCTTGACCAGCCAGTCGCGCCAACTTGAGTTTAAAAAGAGAAAAATACGAGGGTTAAAATCACGCCACTCTGGCTACGAAACAGTGGGGAGAATGCCAATGGTGGGAGAATTCGATTTTCAACAGAGGATCCTGACGCATTTCACGAATCAACAAGAACACTGATTTGATAACACTGGTACTATCTCGTTACTCGTAACATAAATTGTACTGCGATTTATCACAGTGAATAATAGGGAGTATGGAATTCTAATTGTTCCAGAAGGAGAGTCAAATTTGACGTGGACATATCTGAGACAATGAAGGAAGATCTTTGGAGATCCTTTGCCGTCTAGATACCTGAAGATTCTTGCAGGATCAGGGAGAGAAAGAATGCACGTTTCATCGTCTAGGAGTCCTGAGTTGAAGCCATAAAAATTAATTAGTAGACAACGGAGTATGCGGTTAGCTATACCGACCTGCCATCCTCAAACGATTTCTCCTAGAGTCTAGTACTAAACAGATTATATAGTCCAACCAGGATCATGCTGACCGTCTAGTTTTTAACTTCTAGTAGACTCCGACCTGTCATTGATAACGATTGAATGATTGATATCTGTATTCTAGCTAGGCGCCAGGGATGTAGCTCCAGAAGGTTCCTAACAATTTCTGTAACAAAATAAAATGACAGGGTTAGCCATATGATTCTATGCTTCTTTTATAATGTTAAATTAATAAGAAAGCTGTCACTTCGGTATGATGAATTTCATTAGAAATATAATACAGTTAAATTTCGAGTGACCTAATCCGTCATTTAGTTCGGTATCCAATAACTTATAATGGGTACAGTAGACTAGGAGCAGGTTAGGTCGAGGTAAAGTTAGAGATAAGAAACAATGACTCACATCATTAGAGTAATAAAGGTACTCCGAAGTAATATAATTCCAAGGATGTGTAGGAACAGGTAGAACCAGGTACTATAGACCCTTTAGAACTCAACAATAGTCCTAGTGGCTGGTACCCATGTATATCCCTTTGATCCTCATCCAGTAAGAAAATCCCTATAAAACTTTGAGGCTCTAATAAAAAACTAACCTTAAATATTAAATATACCAGAGCCAATTGTGTCCAGTTTACCTGTAAAATCGAATATAGCCTCTCGTAGACACGTCCTTCGTAACTGAGAATAAATACTATCGACAATGGACACTTCTGAATGTTCGCCGGTTGGGCCAAGCCTGCAACATAATGGAGCTGAAGTACCGATTCTGCTGGAGATTCATTCAAAATGATCTGAAGAAGAGGAAGCAAAGACGAGTAAAGAGTGAAAATTATGAAAAAAAAAGTAAGTTTTATTACATTATTCGAATAATGACGCGCTCTTACGTGGGAGAGGTTAGGACGAGATCCCACATAGTTAAGTTGGCCTAACCACGTAGTGGGCTTGTAGAAAAAGTAGCGTGCCCTGGAGGGTCCGAACAATTGAGTAGCGTGGAACTACCTACTTTGCTCACTTAGGACTCTCACCTCCGAGTGGAACGAGTCATAACCGCAGCTAAGCACAATGGACACGGTTACGTCGACTTTTGGCTGGCATTCGTTCTTGCTGCTATTGGTTCCAACCATTTGGTTTCTTCTGCAGGTACGTAAGGTGCTCCTCGAAGCATGGATCAAGGCTGTGAAACATTTTAGCCAGCGTATGACCACGTCTTCTTCCATTTTGTGAGTCCTTTTTTATTTTTCCACTGTACCCCTTTTTATTATGAGAAGGCTCGCTTACAAAAGCGACAGTATGTATTCTCTAGGCTTGAAAGTTCACTCCGGTGGTCCGTTAGGAATTAAGTTTAGCTGGCTCTCGAAAATCGCCCTTTGGAAGGATGCCAATAACGACGTGAGCTTCCGTCTAGTTCAGCCAATCAGAGCTATCAGATTCTTCGTGCTTGCAGCGGCCGTCTTTTAGCTCACCAATAATTTCTCTCTCTCTCTCTGTCTCTCTTTCTCTCTCATACAGTCTCACAGTCTCCGTCGCTCTTGCTGCATAATTTATTATCGTCAAACGATTCTACGGTTCGGCTCACCAATGAACCGAAGCTGTATAACCAACTCTGTAACATATATATCTATTTTCAAATGCAGGTATCCGCATATCTGGTGCACTACGAGAGAGGAAAAAATGTCCTGGTGGAAGAAACCGTGTTAATCCATCGAACATGAAGGAAGCCATCGACAGCCACAATATTCTATCGATGACTCTTATCAATCTGGTTGGCCGCGCAGGTGGAAAATAAATGTCGCTACCCTACGGAGGCCAAAGAACAGGATCTTTTTTGTTCAACATCCGTTCGGTATAACAGTACTGATGGGAAAAGCGTATACGTAGCCGTCATCCCTATCCATCGATAATAAATAGACCCGATCGACCTGAGCAACGTACTCGCTATACCGATTTAATGCGTAAACCCCCTTTCCTCTGACAGATGCATTATTCTCCTGGTTCTTGATAAAAGTTGACGTGGTCTAGGAGAGGGTGTAGAGAATATTGTCAGAGAAAATAGACAAAAGTACATGGACAACCAGAAATCGGTATAAAAAGTGCAGAGTAATGGAAGAGGGTCTAATAAATTTATGCGAATAATATCGTGTGATCCAATACAATGGAGAAGAACGCGCGATTTTCTGCGTAACCCAGTGATTGATGCACCGGCATTGGCCGAAGAGTGCAGAAGCGTTCGGATGCCACGAGAGGGATTGGATTTGGGGTGAATGAGCGGGTCGGGAGGGTGAAGGGTGATAGGTGAAGGGTAGAGCGAGAGAGTAAAATAGTGAAAGAGAGAGTGAGAGAGGAGGTCGGATTTGGCAGTGGTGGAGAAGCATTGGTGGCAGAAGAACGGTGGGGGTTAGGTGAATCCGACGGCACCGGGGACGTCGGAGTATTTAAAGGGGGACCGCGGTCGCCTCGCGCCAGTTCTACGGCCGCTTGGCCCTCGAGGTGTCTTTTTGCTTGAATACATTGACTTACTAAACGTCTCGTGGTGCCTTAAGTTTAGCGCGAATTGATAAGATCCCTTTCCACGTGACATACACGAGATTTTCGCGCGTTCGTACGCCGTTCCTGATACCGTGTCTCGGTTTAAAGGTAATCGTCAAACGTATGTATGCTCGGGTCACTGATAATTTAAAAGACGTGTGATATCTTGTGAGATAACAGCAAATAAAGAAATTTAGTGAATCTATTGTGGTGATTAATATTTAAATTTCGTTTTTGACTTTCTGATTCTCTGATAGAAATTTGGATATACAAACAACCAGATCTAATATTCTATAATCGATATTAGCTTATTAAATGAAGCCTGTAAAATCTAATTTGGATTTACTTGTAGAAAATCAAGATGCTTGAACGCGATCCAGAAGGCTGTACCAATTAAAAGACGTTCTTGTTCGTTAAATACCACGATTGTAACAGCCAATACTAGCTGCTCGCACTGTACCGGTACTATTAGTATACGCGATTCTTGAGATTCTACATTGAGTAACTTATAATACTAAGGTGCAAGTTAACCGAGTGGATACCGCATTATTATCTTGCCAACTTCACCGCATAATCCCGTAGCTCGAAACACCAAAGAATTCAGGATTTATCTCAGTACTGCAAGGATTCGCGATTCGCTGTAAAGAATAGAAAGAATAGATAGATCGTGATAGAGAGAAAATCTCTATGAAAAAAAAAAATATTGGTGTTTAGTGACCCAAAGGTGAAAAAAGTCGAAACTGGACCCGATGCTGCTGGCGTTGAAGCTCCTTTTAGTGCTGTCGCTTGCCGCGGCTCTTCGGCAAGACAAGACTCTTCACTTCTTCATAAACTCGACGGACGGAAGTCTTCCGTCTGGATTCCGAGGATTTACGGTAACCAGGACACTACGTGACGGAGAATTGGAGAAGTTCACCAGGTGGACAGGAGTCTGCGCAAGGGAGACCATCGTCGACTGGGGGTCTGTAACACATTGCACGTTTCCCTCGTATAGAAATTACTTGTACAAATGTTGTTTGTCGATTATTCGAATAACGTCCAACGGTTTACCAAACTGCGGGAGATTGTGTATAGTACAGAAAAGCTTTGGATGCCAATGAGTATTGTCAACACGTGGAAAACTGACTGAGTATTTCTATTCTGTGCTCATGTCGCCACTCTTCATAAGTTGCCTCTTTCAAATGCGTTCAGTTGGAACTGTTTTGTTTACACGAACCATTTCAACGAATATAATGGCGTTTGCTTAGTGACCAATTCGATGGCCAGTACCCAGCTGGATTACCTAGAACTGGTTGAAAAAGTTTTAGGTCCCTGGATAATTATTATTAAACATTTTGGAAATTTTGTTTATGGCGATACCCGATGACCTTTTTTTTCCATAGGCTCGACAGAATTTAATGCGAGGACGACACGATTGTCATGCCGCTTTATCGTGGCACTTTCTTCTGGTTTCGGGAATTCGGAATCATAAAGCTTTGCATGTGTCCCAAAGCGATATTAGGATTCACGAAGCATATCAGAATACTTTACTCCACAAGCTTGAAGAAAATTTTAAAAAATTATAATTTGTATTACCGACACATTAACCGTATTTGTTTAAATAATTTTTTAAACATTTTCACTCCTTGGTATTATTCGATGAACTTGATTCTGTTATCAGAATTCAGGCTTCCACTTAAATGTTACGCTAGAGTTTCACGCGCTCCAATTTGCTAATTTACCAGAAGACGATCTCGTTCTTACCTACTTTCTCAAAGGATAATTTCTTATTTTTCATTTTTAACCCTCCGGGTGAAAACTCTCATGAATTCTTTGGCATCTCACGATTCTTCAACGTTCCACATCGCATCTGGGTATCTGTTCCGATGTATTAAACATTAACTTATGTATAAATTTATATACATATATCATATAATCAAACCTGCAGAGATTTCGTGAATAAATAATCAAAGGACAAAATAATTACCAAACGTAGATTGCATCACAGAAGTATTCTTAAATACGTAATAGAAAATGTCGTCCAGTACAGGGTCGAATATCGCATGCATAATATTAGGGCAGTACGAATTCCACAAATAAAAACGCGTCCCGTCGAAAACTGCAGGTCCGGTTTTCCTCGTGGCATGCAACGCGGCAAATATGCGTGGCGACGCACGAGGCGAGCTGATTCGTCGTACGGTCGAGACAGAAGTTTATATATATAAAAGAAGAGAAAAAAAACCAGTAGCAAGCAGAAAGGAAAATAAGGAGAGTAAAAATCTCTCATCGACCTCCGTAGTTTTGCAGCGACCGCTAAGCTCGGCGAAGGTTTTAAGCCGAAAAGCGACAAGTTAAGTAAGCAAGGATTTAGGATCGGCAAGAGTCCAACGTGTCCTGGCCACTACTTTGCCTCTCATCTGTTACACTCCCACGAGGATACGGTAGAATCTCGGGACCGCGAAGCGTCACTTTGCACTTAAACTAGAGAAAATCCTTCTGCTCGCGCACCGAAAGTGTCGTAATTACGTATTCTGCCAGATGGAGATGGTGCAGCCATATTATCTTCCTTAGTATCGTTTACCGATAGAGTCACGATGGACACTGATATACAAAGATTGTACTGCTGCGACGGATACCCTCTGAGATCATTATCGACAAAGGGACATCGATCATGCACTATGTGCTCTTTCAGTGCTGGGTTAATACAGTGTGGATCGCTTAATCGAGTGTAAATTATTTTATCTACGGTTTGGTAGAGCGTGTGAAAGGTATAAGAAACAATAGTGCATTTTTCTAACCTACAATAGTGATTTGTATGTATGTACATACGTACACCTTTTGAACAAAATATATTATTAGGTTATCTTTAGTAGATATTTAATTTGAGTAAGATGGTAGGTGGCTGGGTAAAGGTACTCCAGGACTGTTCTAAGGGAATTCAAATACTCAGCAACGAATGCTGCTGGTAGTAGGAAAACAATGAAAGTGCACATTCTGGCGAGCCGTCTGGGAATTCTCGTGAAGGACGTATCCAGTGGCGAGTCCTTGTTGTCTTCGTATTATTTCTAGAAGATTTATTTAACTTATTTGTATAACAGTGTTATTTCGTTACTTTTAGGGATACGGACGTTGCACTGAGACAGATCTGGTTGGAGGATAGCGGGCGAAAGTTACAGTTAATTTACGAGGGTGGCACCCTGACCGATTGCATCGAGGAGGGTTTTGCCGAGGGTGAGACAGTGGCTGCTTGCTTGGCGGGGCTACATTCCTATGATTACGATGACGAGGCAAGAATCGTGGTGTTTGAGAAGGACGAGGACAACGAGAAATCTTCGACTACACCGGCAGAGCTTTCTTGGCTGCTGCCGGTATCGGAATTACATCATAGATGTAACCACGTGAGATCCAGAAGCCGTAATGAACTTATAATGCGGGATCATAGGTGAGACGATACGAATAAATGATTAGAGATGATGCGAATAGAGGAGACCGAGTTTTCTCAATCTTAAATAATTAATAGATAGTTTTTTTTTTATTGAATAAAGAAATTTAATCACCGTAAAGTTTTAACTACTTTTATAACAATTTTAACGCTGACTCTTGTCTTTGGCTTCAGAGGACAGTAGGGTTACCCTAAAAGTTCTAATTTGTGTACTTTTATTCGTAACGAAAGTATTCACAAGTATTTAATGATTGAGACAAGATTTAATTATCTCTAGTTGTGTAAAAAGCTCGGACTCATTCTATAAACATTTCTCCTTTGTCTCTGGAAGCGTGCTGTGTTTCCACGCGGTCGCACAATTAATTCCTTAAGTGCGGATGGCAGGGCGTATTGGACATCAATATGGATTGGTAAACGGTATACGTAAATGCATGAAAAAAAGTATCTCAAAAGATATAAAAGTATCAGAAACACAAGAGCACAAATTACACGGAAGTTTACTGTGGTCATCAGTACCCTCCTCGAGTCGTATAGACTGAGAACACGCATTTAGCACTGAAAAGGGTGGTTGGAATTGGCAGGCGATCAAAACGAGGCCTTCAGGAGATGATGATAGCTCCAGGAACAAAATGGTGCGGTCCACATCAGCTTGCGTCCAACTACAAGGAACTCGGGGCTTTGGATAGCCTGGACAGATGTTGCCGACGACATGACCACTGTCACAGAGCCATACCACCGTTCTCTTCCCGCTTCAATCTCTTCAACTACATGCCCTTCACACTCAGCCATTGTGGTTGCGATCAGAGGTAAGAATACAGTGGGAGAAAATGATAAAACCATCATCCAAAAATTTATACTAACTGCTGAGAGCAATATAACAATAAGGAGACGCCCTGCCGCCGCCAGACTCAATACGACGTCTGCTCCGTCGCTGGTTTGCACTTCTGACAATCTAATCGCTTCTAACTATCGCAATATCACCGTGTCGCTATATTGCCACGCATTGTCACAGCGTACACGGCCATTCATCATTTATCGCTGTCATGTAATGCGCATTAAGAAACGCAGCACTCAACCCGTTGCAAGGAGTTCACGCTATCAGGGTCACTACGTAGTTCATTGACATGTGCGCAACTGTGCGGGTTTCGAAAATATTATTAATCCAGGAACTATCATACCTTGACGAGCGCTGTCAATGGGAATCGCAGGAAACGACGTGGGAGACGTGGACGTCGGGAACTCCTTTTGATACCCGGTACCCAATGGTGCGGCCGCGGTCATCGCGCTACCAAATATACTAACTTGGGCGGCTTTGGTACCGCTGATTCCTGCTGCCGAAGACACGATACGGCTTGCCCCTTTTACATTCCTGCTTTCGAATCTCGCTATGGTCTGTTCAACTGGGGCATTTCTACTATTATGCATTGCGCCTGTGACGAGCGGTAAGATGCATCCAACTCGATCGTCTGTCGTGCATATATTTTATTTCATTTCTTCTCCTTATTTTCCTTAGTGGATGCATATGAATATCTTTTGCACGTCTTTCTGCTTTTGCGGCTTCTTGTGGAAGGGATAGCAGCTTTATGTAACGTTGCGCAAGACATTAAAAGAGGAAGTTTATCAAGTGGATATTGCTGTAATTGCGTTAATATACGCTTGGTGTATATTACGCTTAAATATTTACCAGCCATTTACTCCTTATGATTTTACACTTGTGACCTGATTTCGTTTATGGTGGTATTTATGTGTTAATGATTCATGGCACATCTGGAAACGAATGGTTATCGTTGCTTTCATTATACAGTGAGACCTGGTAGAATTACATTGGGATATAATCTGTTTGTTTAAATATTACTCATTGTGTATTATCGTTAAGGACCATTTTTTGAAATCATTTTAGTCTAGCTTTCCTTTTCGTTTGAAAATCAAATTATGGAAAGCACAGACTATACGTGATGCACTTTGGAAATATTATTTTTAATTATATTGTATTTCATTTCACAGCTTTCGAACGTGTCTCAAGATGGCCGGTACCTCCTCAGCAAATTTCATCGGAAAGCTCTTCTTCAACGTGGTGCAAACGAAGTGCTTCGTTCTGAAACCGCACAAAGTTTGCACGAAACAGTCCTGGCGGGGAAAATGCGAGCATCACGTGTACCGAAAGCAGGCATACCTACGCGACAACGTTTCTTATTGATGAGAAACACGGATAACCTGTGAATCAGCGTCTATGCCAATGAGATATTTGAATAAATCATCTTACGTCGGGGACGTCAGTTACTCTCAGGGACGTGATAACTCATCAAGTGTCAAAACGACGTAATTTACTAATATTGAAGTAATTATAACGAAAAAAGTCGTTTTAATTGCATCTGCTAATGAAAACTTGAATACGTTTTGAAAGGATTTCTTCATATGATTTTCGGCTGATACGTCAATCGGTTATGACAATCAAATTACTGTTCTCCCAAAAGAATTTTCTATGGAAATTTACAACCCTGTTGATTCTTTGAAATTGACAATACTCCCTTTCTACTAAATGCTCTCCAATATGGATTATACCGTGAATCAAATATAATCTCACACGCAATGTCTATAACAAGTAATGTATTTATTCTTGAGGCATTTGCGATACTGGCTGGTTGTCTTCCCTAATCGTAACACGCTCTTTGCCTGTATAAATCTGGGAATTTCTTACTAAACTTGTACACAGTAAAAACTGTTTGGTCGATATTTGGTAGAAAAAAGAATTTAGATAAGGAAGCTACGTAGCGAATTTGTGATAGTACTCAGTCTATTAAACAGAATTGAACTAATAAAGACATGCACTTTTTCAGGGTCACGCCCCGTTAGTCAATCTTTTCTTAGTACATTAGTTACGTCACCATTACTCAAAGTTAATGATCAGAATTTTTTGAGATTATAATGTTGATTAAAAATAACGAGGAAATATTTTCACGAGATCTGATTAAATTAATAGAATAAATAAATCTCGATCAAATGACAACTCGTGATCAAAATGCTTGATCCTGGAATTTTGGCGTAGATACGTGTATTTTTATAGGTATGCATAGTATTGGGATTTTCGTAATGATGCGAATGAGGGCTAATCTTATTGTTAGCCGTTGTTGAAGACCACGAAAGTTTCCAACAATCAAATTTACTGGATTTAGAGATTTCAATTTTTTTTTAAATGGTTAAAACACCTTTAATAAAATTTGATTCGTACTCAATGATCTCTTTCAATATCTCGGATAGAACAAGGTAAAATTATCAATGTATTGTCCCATCTAATGAAATAATCGCATCTAATCGTAATGTCATTTTTAAAATTTAAAATTTACAACTTCGTTTCAATATAACGTCCTGACAATAAGAGGCTGACAATAATGTTATTAATGGCCGATAATCCTCAATGTATTATAAAAATGTCTAAATTCGTCGCTTGAATTCCATTGGCTACCATAAAGCCAGTGGTACTTTAGAGTCATTGAAATTAATTACTTAAGAGAGTCGATCGGATTTGAATAACCTTGGAAAATTTAAAAATTCGACAAACTAATCGAAAATTCTATTATAATTATAATATTCGGTTCCTCGAAAATATCGTATTAATATGCAGTTAGCGTAGTTTTATGATGTATGTAATGTATGTATAGTCAAATAGAATTTACAGTATATTGATAGCCTAAAAGAAGCAATCTAATTTAAAATAGATATTAGTATTGATGAGCCGTAAAGTTACTTAATAAAAAAATAATATTTAAGGAAATCGCGTCAGTGAAATCACATATGTCTTATACTATATGTCGGTGCGTTACTGTATATATGTAAAATAACTTATAAGATAAGACATGTCTACGATAATAGTTCATTTTAATATATTATGTGAATAAAGTAATAGAATGAAATATTCACACCCTCTTTTATTCTTTACAACATTTATTAAGTATATATTGTTGTTTCGGCGCAGTTCCAGTGCGCAGACTGATTACGACTTCGGAGATTCAGTTATTGAAGGCGGTAGCAAATTCATTTTCGTTTAAACTTAATGCAGCAAGTTATTTGTTCCTTTTTTTTTCTAGTAGAATAATGCATTATCTTAGTTCGCATGTTGAGAATTTTTTATAAATTTGCTATTGTGCCCAAGATTTTATTTAATATACGTTCAGTGTGTATGAAGATGACGAAAAATACTGAACAAATTAGAACTGGTAAGATTGCCTGCACGAATAAAGAATTGGGCCTCGCAATTACTTTGAATGGTGGACAAAGTTTCAGGTAAATTATTTGTATGCATTATCGTTAAACATATTAATCGGTGACATAACCAAAAAATTGATATTTACATTTTAAAGATAGATTCTAAAAAGGCGGGAATTCTTGTAATACTCCCTTGGGAATACAAAGTTTTATTGCTCAAGATCAATATAATAATTTCTTTAATTTTACAGATGGCTGGCACATAAAGGTGGTGAGGAATTTAGAGGAGTGTTTGCAGGACATGTTTGGACTCTCTCTCAAGATGAAAATTACATTACTTATACAGTTCATGGTCCAGTGAAGGAAGACATAAATTATGAAACAATACTTTGGGAGTATTTTCGTCTTGAATTTTCTTTGGAAGAAAACCTGATCAAATGGTCAGCTTCAGATAAGAATTTTAAAAAATCTTGTAAAACTGTGGAAGGAGTTAGAATTTTAAAACAAGATCCTGTTGAGAACATCTTTTGTTTTATATGCAGTTCAAATAACAATATTATCCGGTAATTGGTTAAGTCTTTGTATTTTAAGTATATTAATTCTTTTTCAACAGTATTTGATTTGTTTTCAGTATATCAAGCATGGTAGAAAAATTGTGTCGTTTCTTTGGCAAGAAATTATGCGAAGTTGATGGTAAAGAGTATTATGATTTTCCCACTATAGAATCTTTAACAAATGAAAAAGTTGAGTTAACTTTAAGAAAGGAAAACTTTGGATACCGTGCTGCTTACATAGCAAATACTGCCAAACGACTAATGGAAGTAGGTGGTCGAAAATGGTTAATGCAATTGTGTAAAGCAAATAATATTTCCTATACTGATGCCAGAGAACAGCTTTTATCACTGCCAGGAGTTGGACCAAAGGTTGCAGATTGTGTTTGTCTAATGTCACTTGGTCATTTAGAAGCTATTCCAGTAGATACTCATATTTTTCAAGTGGCACAAGCAAACTACTTACCTCACCTGGGAAAGCAAAAAACTGTCACACCCAAGATACACAAAGAAGTAAGCGATCATTTGCGACAACTATGGGGCCCATTAGCAGGTTGGGCTCAAGCTGTTGTATTTTGTGCTAAAATAAATAGCGAATCCCGTACTTTAACTGGACACAAGCGTGGGAATTCTGAGACGAATAGTGTCAAAAGAAAAAGTAAACAAAAGTGATATTAAAATAATTTTTAATCTTTATATTGTTCAAGGTTCGCACGTTGTATTACATTTTTTATCAAATAAAATTACACCAACATAACTTATTGTTAAACAGATGTATCATATGATCGCGTTTTTATGAGTTATATTTACAATGTAATCATGTAGAAACAAATGTTCTAAACACTACATACAAACGAAAACCTTATAAAATGATCGAACGTACGTTTCGATATACCATTAACAGCAAAGTACAAAATATAAAAAGAATTTTATGCTATAATGAATTTTATATCTTCCACAAATGGCAGGTCATTTTTAATTACTAATAATTTGATGATCATAGAGGATTGCTATTTATAGTAGCATTTACTTCACTCTGTAATCTTGATACACTTCTGCCTCCTTTAGGAAATCCTACTAAAGCTATGTCAAAGTCGTCCAAAATCATAAATTCGTGAGGCTGTTCATCTTCATCTATGTTGTCTTCATTAAAAAAAAAAAACCAAGTTAGGGCAAGTAGTTTAATTACAGACATCATCAAGATGAAGTATTCTATGAGTATACTTACCATTACTTTTTTGCAGTACATCTGCAAATATACTTTGTGTAATATACTTTAAACCTGGAAACGCTTCTGCAAGGTATGTTTTATGTAGAGAAGGCATAACAGATAAACTAGCCATTTGTAATGAAGCTGGCTCTGAGCAGCTATATGTTATGCGCACTCTACTTTTAGCTGCTGTTGAACTTATCATAGGGTACAACTCCACATCCCTTAATCCAGTAAATGCTATTCCTGTTTGCAATATAACAGGCAAATATGACTAATAGTTTTATCAAACAATTATAGTTATGCTTAAATATAAGAAGAAGCATACCAAGTGGTTTTCTGTTGTGGAAAAACTGTAATGTTCCTCTCCAAGTATCCAAATGCACACCTACCAGACTTCCATAACTAAAACCTGGAGCATAATTACGTATTTCTCCTGCATGTTGCAAGTATCCCTTATAAGAAAAACCCCAGGATTCACAGTCCAGTCCCAGCAATGAGCAAAACTTTAACCTGGCACTATCTAGAGTGACTTTATGGGTACCCATTCCCACCATCTGCATAAATACAATAAATATATTCAATAGTATTTGATACACTTAATCTAGTATGGAAACCCATTACAAATACAAATCATACATACCACATCGGTACCATAAACTGGAGTAATCATCTTGACCTCCCAATAGTGATGTCTACCTTTCGCCAAACTAGTAGTACCTCTCACAGCAGCTGTCCCAGTACTATATCCAGGATGAAATTTAACCTCCAAATTACGATCCGTTAATTGTAAATCAGCAGTAGCTAATTTATCATCCCATGCCCACTCATAAACTACACAAATAAAAATGAACATATTGTTAATAGAACTTCCCAAGAGACAAATAAATATGAGATTAAATTACACGCAATCGTTACCATTCTGTTTTTCGCAATGGCACTCATTTTCTATGCACGCACAATATTGCTCCCGTGTCACTGGTTCAGGATCGTATTCAAGAAACATTTTCGCACGAAAACTGCAACCTCTGTTGCAACCAGGTTAATTAAACAACTTTAGAATTAATCTTGAAGTAAAACAACGTACGTCATCTATGCATTGTCCACATACACCTCACGGACAAACTTTTATGCGACGGCGCAACTCGCTTATATGGATAAGAAAAGCAGACTAGAAACGTCTGGAAATTTCAGGCTGTTTCACCTGAAAATATTTTTATCAGCTGGTATTGCGGTTGCGTAATGTACGTACAGCCATTTCAGGAATTGCTGACTGAATATGCATATACACAATTATATAAGTGTTACGTGAAGAAATACTTTGTACAGGAATGCGATAAATCGTCTATCACTAGTTGCACTGTGAACTGAGATACTACGGTCCATATTATGTATGTACCAGAGATGAGTAGTACTACTATGAGTAGTAGTACTCATCTCTGTATGTACCACTAATGTAAACTTCATAAAAATTGTTGATAAACTGCGTTTATCTATTTATGTGCAAGATATCGAATTAAATTAATTAGAGGTTGGTTGATGTTTGAAATTAAATTTTATTCGCAAGCAGAATAGGCTCGTAAGTGTACAACAAAAATGATTTGCTCATAATCAATTAATACAGAACGCAATAGTAATGCATTTATCACATTGTAATAGTTACATGAGTTAAGACAAACAAATTTTCTACTGAAGTAAATTTTTAACCCATATGTTATCTATCTTATATATGTATAAGAAAAAAAGACAATGAGAATAGTGTTTACATTAAAAATTGCCAAGCGAAAATATTACTACACACATATTCCCAACTAAGGTGCGCGAGCCATGCTAGTTGCGAAGAGTACAGTAGGTTTTCCTTTCTTCTTCTTCTTCTTCTTCTTGCCGCTGGATTTACTATTATCGATCTATTCTCCTGGAAATATATTTAAAACTTTGAATTTGTTCCAAACAGAACTGAATCAAAAATTGAACTATCGATACAAATATAATACCTCCATTCCACAACTCTGACTGTTCCAATGTCTGTGCATCTCCAAAGCTTTAATTGTAGGAAGGTGCTGAAATGTAACCTTCAGCCTCAGGGTCACTATCAGATGCTTTACGAATTCTTACAGCAGCACTGGAACGAGATTGTTGCGAGGAATAAGATGTCCCTGCGGTTGCCCAAGCACTGTGGGATGCTGAACGTGTTATAGGATTGCGTAGCATCTCAGCAAAAGAAAGTCCTTGGTCGCTGGTATTTGCAGGCCAGATGTTTGGTTCTTTAGAAATCAATGTTAATTCATCCAAAGTGCTTCCTGAAGGGCTGCTAGCTACACTGGACGTTGTTGTGGATTCCGGAGGAGATAGTATTCCAATTCTAAATACATATTTAATAAGCAAAATACAGTAACTTACTAATGGCCTACAGACAAATATAATAAACTAGGAAATTCGTATTAGACTCACCCTGGTGTCTGACTTTCTGGCAGCCATTCGGGAAAATGTCGATGGGATTCTATGTGGACATTAGGAGTTGGAAATTTTCCCATCCGACGATTCTCTTCCTCTGTGATTTTTCTTTCCCGCTTCTTTTCCTCGCGTTCCCTACGACGACGTCTTTTTCGCCGCGTTTCCAGTTGATCTGAGTTTCAGGATTATTGTTACAAATGAAAGGTCATTGAAAAATTTTATGAATGAATAGTATTCCTAGTACCATGAAAAATTTCAATGACATCCTTAGACACGATAGGCGGTTTTAGTTCGATTTCAGCAATTTCAATTTGACAAGTGATTGGCAAGTGGCAGAGATACCGCAAACGACGTCGCAATTCTTCAGTGATGCTGCCAGCTTCCTTTTCCACAATTTTCCCAATTATACTCCGAGGACAATGCTCTAAATTTCCATACTGTAATTCCAACATCTTCACGTTCATCGCGTGAAGGTACACATGTTGTCCATCCTCGGCTATTATAAAATGTTACAAAGATGATTATGATGTACAAAAGTACAGTGTAACAGCTTGTAAAAATTTACCTTGATAGAAATAAAAGAATTTATTTGGAGTCATGGGAGAGTCTGAACCGCTCACCACGTTACTGACAGATGACTTTGAATGTAGCCCAAGCAATTTTTTATCATCTTCTGGTAATGATGTAGTAGTACTTCCATCATATTTATGAGTTTGACAATCTTGAGAATCCTGAGAATTTGCATTACGATCTTCTACCATAGAAATTCTTTTAGCTTTCTGGTTCTCAGCCAGTTTTTCTAATTTACTCTCAACCTGAATAATACAGTTTTGTTACTGATCATGATATTATTGTGAATTCTCAAAGTATACACACGCTTGCACTATACCCACTTCTTGCAAAATTTGCTTCTTCCTAACACTTAATTCGTTCAAAGCTTGCTCAATGAAACAATTCTCAGGTGAATGTGGATCCTCCATTAATTCAGAACGTAATTGGACACGTTCATATTCAATAATATCCATTACCTGTAGTAATTATTATTTCTTAAATTAATTCGATCAAAATCATAACCATTCAACTTATATATCACGGCGATCAAATAGAACTTACATTATTATTATTCGCAAATAATAGTTTTGAATATACTGATCCGCGGATGTTTTCACTGAGTGAGAAGAAGGTTGTAGGAATAAAGGATTCTGTTTCATCCACAGGCATAGCCAGGAGGGAACCTCTTTCTCGACGCATTAGACGTAAGGTGACAGTATCTCCTACGTTTAGTGCAGTTTGCGTAATTTCTACAACGCTAAATAGAACAAAACGCAAAAGTGAATAAGATAAGTGAAATTATACTATGTAACTATGTATACCTTTTCAAGTCAGATTTATGAATGGACTCGTAGCAAATTGGACACTTGCGCCACGACTTATCAGAGAGTGCCAAGTAGTGAAGAATACAGGGCCAACAATAGACGTGACCACATCGTGTCATTTTACCAGCAACTGGTATACACAAACAGATGGGACAAGCCAAACTTTCTAAACTATGAACCCTCTGCAATATGTGAAATTAACGTATTCAAGAATTGATAATAGTTGTGGAGCTTTCAGATTTGTGATACTTACGATTTGTTCTATTAGGTTCCAATCAACTAAAGTATCAGGATTCGCAAGATAGGCTGAATAGTCGCCATTGGCAGTTACGACAAACTGACAGCTGTAATGAAGTTTGTTTGTTAGTGACCCTAGTCAATAAATGGTATATAGAGCTTTATGATTTTAAAAGTTCATGGCAACTCACTTGGCTTGTAAAAATTGCTCCTTGTTGTATTTATGACGTTGTATGGGTGGAAGCCAGCGATTTGTATTGTTACTGTATTTGGTATACGATGATCTTCCACAATTCCACCCATCAGAACCACTTTGCACATCACGTGGTGTGTAATGAAAATTAAGCAGATGATTCAAGTTCTGCTTCTTACTTCCTTGGACCATCACTGAGCCTAGCTCAGCTGCCTCTTCCTGCACTACCTATTTACCATTGAATGTATTAAGTTAATATTGGTATTATCGAGAACCTATCATAGTATTTAACTTGGCCAACCACCTTGGTATCCTCCTTTGGACCGCCATGATATTGTCCTTTACGTTTTGGTTTCTTATCAAAACTTTTTCCTTTCTGTGCACCGGATTTCCTAGATTGCTCATATTTTGGAAGGTTGCTCGTACTAGTTGGTTCTCGTCTTTTTGAAATTTTGGGAAAGAGTTTTCCATTGATAACATCTGTAATAAAATTGAAAAATCTGGAAAATCTTCCCTCGTCTTTCTCTAAAATTTGAGTTAACATACTTCGATCAAAATAAAACTGAAATATTTGATTCATGAAGTTCTCGTTAACATATATATTCTCATAAATCGATCTCGCCACTGCGTAGACGTGAGTCTTGATTAGAATACGTGGAATACATTAAAAGATAAGATGACACGGAGAAAATATGAAGGACTTGTGACCACACCTTGGTTCTTCTTGGCATCACCAGCAGCTCCCTTGACGGAAGACTGCGGGAAACATGACTTCTTCTCCATAGTTAGGTCGGCTGAGATTGCCGAAATTGTTGATGTTGGTAGAGATGTGGTCTCCTCCGTATGAAGAAACGATATCTTTCTGTAGGCCCTTCATCTTTTCAATAAGCCATGTTCGTCAGTTCCAAACTATAAGACCTCTGTCGAAGTCGATCGCTTTACGCCCACGGTACAGCTACTACGGCGTAGAGAACACACGAAGAAAATACTTCCTAGGGAGAAGATTACCTCCCTTTCGTCGTAAACGACGATTTATTCGCGGCCGATCACAGTCGCAAATCTCGTCGCTAGAATGGCGACGGAATAATAGTTGGAGGTAGTAGGAAGTCAAAATATCTATCCAATTTTTTTTATCGATCTCTAGTAAACGACAACCGTTTTGAATAATAAATCTTTAGAAATTATAATAAATAATTACGAAAATATATTTTGAGTGTTCTATGTCAGAAGATAATTTATTATATTCATTTGTTGTGCATTTGAATGACGGCGTGAAGTTCTCAAGGTCATTTGGTCATTGTTGAACATCAGATCCGGTTCTTTATTTTTAATCATTAAAACTAATTCAAACATTTCAATGATGATTCACTGAGTGCAAAGTTATGCATGGCTTCTCAGATACAAAATATTAGACTGTTAATTGTTCCATGGCATTTTCTTGTATAAATATGGATAAACTTGTTGCTTTTTTTCGTATAGCAAAAGGATATGTATAGGTATAGCATAGTCCTATACAGATTGCAGTTATGTACTCAATTTTTTGACTCAATTTATTAACGGTTACCGATTATTATGTAGGTAGAACTGAACCAAGTTGATTTACTCAATATTTCTCATGATTTTAAACAGAAGGTACTTTGTCCTTGCTTATAATTTAATTTTCGTTCTACTTTAAAGAGTTGTATAGAATATATATTTGTTTTGACATAATATTTAATAGGTTACTTGCATAAAACATTGGTATAATACGTATTTAAATTAATCTCAGATGTTATTTATTTAATTGTAAGTAATAATTATAGAATTATAGGATACAAAAGTATCCACACTTTTATAGGAAATAATTTTCTTTTTTGCAGATACTATCAGTATAATGATGGAATCATTTAGCCTATTACATTCCATAAGAATTAGTGCATTAGTGCTTTCAGTTACAAGTGCCTTAGGTAAAGAAAAATACAAAAAAATTAACTTATAATAAATAATTATAAAAATAATAACTTATAAAAAATTACTGTATAATCATTTAATTGATAAAATATTAAATTTAATTGACTGTGATTTTATTTTATTTTAGATCCACATGAATTAACAATAATAATACTCAGTCAATCAGAAGGCTATCATGTTGCTCATGCAGATTTGTTAAAAAATGATATTCAAGAGCAAGCGAGATCTATGGATAAAGTATGTATCTTTGCATGGGAAATGCTTAATGTATAATTTAATCTTATAACATTCATAGTAATGGTGTCTTGTACATTAAAATTTCTTCAATTAATTTGTATACAATGATTATTGCATACTTTTCTTAGCAAATGGTTCAGTTCATTATCATGATTGAATATATAATTTGCTATAGCATTAAATATAAGTATTTAATAATTGCATTGATGATATATTTAAATAATTGTATAGGGAATCCCAAATGTGATATTAACACATAACTTAGACATTAAAGGTTCATGGACATTTGTACCATTATTACCATATATGATTGCACAATATTCACAAAGTAAATGGTTTTTCTTTTGTGAAGATAATACAGTTATTAGACTACCTCTTCTGATCAATTTTCTTTCATCACTTAACTATACACAAGTAAGTGGAGACATATTGTAGTAATATTTCAGTTTAATCAAAATATAATAAGACCATTTGTTTAAATATCTACTAAGGAACAGTGGCTTGGTCATGCACTTTATGACCGCGAACCAACAATAATACATCATTTTGCAGAACACACAAAGAAATTTAAATATCCAAATGTTGCTTCAGGTTTTGCCATATCAGCTGAACTTGTTCATAGGTATATTTTTTAATAAATTAAGTCTTGCATTAACAGTATAAAAAATGAATAAACTGATTTCCTCATCCAGCCTGGCAAACAAAATTGTGAAAGGAGAGGGTCCAAATAATGACTTTTCAATAGATGCCTCATATGAATTTTCCAGTTTTATATTAAGCTCAAGTAAAAAGAGACTAATCCATGCTCCTGAACTTTGTGTAGTATCTAGTAGGGATTGTGCCACATATCCTCGATACTTTCATCCCTGTGTAAGTTTTAAAAAAAGGGCTTTTTATTTTCCAAATATTCTTGGAGCTATATTAATAAGTATATTGATATAATAGACAAATCCAGTACCTCGCGAGAAAGTATTTATAGCTGTAAAAACCTGCAGCAAATATCACTTAGAGAGAATTCCAATTATCAAACAAACCTGGGGAAAGTATGCTAGTAACATTGGATATTTTACTGATAAAACAGGTATGAACAATACTTTAAATAAAAGAGGCATTAGTATAATGCTTGCTATTATAAGTTTTCATAGCCTTATTTTTCCTTAATATAGATAAAAATCTGCCTGATGCATACGTGGTGCCTAATACAGAACAAGGGCATTGTGCAAAAACATTTGCAATACTGGAAATTGCTCACAAGTTAATGCAAAAACAAAGTCTTGACTGGTTGATTATTACAGATGATGATACAATACTTGGGCAAGTTATGAACCCTATAAAATTTTCAAATATTTTGAATAACTTACCCATTCAAATGTTATTCATATTTATAACAGGTTAGCGCGTTTACTGCGCCTCTTGACTTGTTATAATCCTGCCAATCCTGTTGCATTGGGAGAGCGATACGGTTTTCGAATGTGGCATAATGCACAGGGATATGACTATCTAACTGGTGGAGCTGGTTTAGCATTATCAGCTTCTATTGTCCAACAAATATTAGAGTCAGGATTATGTCACTGTCCATCCCCATCATCTCCAGATGACATGTTTATCTTTGGGATATGCATTTCTCGGCTTGGTGTAAAACCAACGCAATGCTCTTTGTTTCATCAGGTACACTAAGTATCTCTAATGATACCTACATATTTAGAATACTAAAACTGTTTATTATATTCTGAATATATTTTTCTCTCAGGCAAGACCATTGGATTATGCCCTGGCTTATCTTGCTTCTAACGAGCCTGTATCATTCCATAAATTTTGGATGATAGATCCCATAAAGGTTTATGAACAGTGGTTTGCTGAAAGTGACAGTATTTATGCAAAGAACAATATGCATACAGAGCTTTAATGAAGTAGAATATTCAAACGTAAATTATTAGTTAGTTCAACTTTATACTATTGAACATAAAAGAAAATACATTTGACAGAATAAAGGCGTTAAGGTTTCTCTGAAATCCACAATCGAATATGAGAACCAACAGTATATTTATTATTTATATGTATAACAATTGTAAATCGTTCGATTCGCGTAACTCGTACATATTATAAAAATATTTTCCACCGTAATGCATGTAAATTGCACATAAAAACATACGTACTTATATTACATTATAAAATAATTAATATATTGCACCGGATATGTAAATATTCATTTGACCATACCATTTTTATCACAATTTAGATAGTAGTGCTTCACGCCACCAGGATGGTCGCTCTAAGTTTTCTGGATTTTTTAAAATCCATTGTTCCATATGCTTGTATACCTGAAATACGATTTATAATTTTGTTTTTGCTATTATCAGACTGTTATTGACAAAATAAAATTACCTCGCCGTCAGAGAAGCCGAGAGGAGAGTTAACGATAAAATCAGGTGGTGCAAGAACGTCAACCAGTGCCACCGCTTCGTTCAATAAGTCTTTGCACAAGGTTATAATTCCTTCTCGTAATAAAGTGTCGATACCGTCACTGGTTGATGCATAACCACCAGCATATAAATCGCCAAGTCTTTTTTCCAAACAAGTAGCGGCATAAAGTGAACCTAATTTAGTCAGAACAGATTTCTCCTCGCTACTCCACATAGACTCTTGCAAATGATCCAGGAAAGTTTTCATCAGAGTGTGCTGTAAAATTTATTAATAGCATTTCTTTTTTTATGTATTTTGATATTGTATAATACCTCTGCGTACACAAGAGCAAGAGTACGAGCAAGGAATACTTGAGAATTATTTCTGATCGAAAAATCACTCTCTCCATTTTTTTTCAAGAATACCACTTGTTGATGAGTTTTCTTCAAGTAATAACAGATCAGCCACTTTAACATTGTGAGTAAATCTGAATAATGATAATATAATAGTTAAATAGGACTCACCCTATCCGAAATAAAATAGATACGTACTTTCAGGCGCTAATACTTCCTCGATCGTTGTGTGATTAAATTTCAGCTGAAGAATATTTTGTCCGTCAGATAGGAAGCTCGCAGATCCAACCGGGGATGAAATTTCTTTTCCTTCGAGAATATTCGACCAGAGACCTAGTAGCCAATTACTAGCTTGTTGAATGAGTACATTGTTCTCCCCCTCGTATGTGCAATTCGGATCGTTATCAGCCCTTAATTGTCCCAAGCGTGATGCTGAAACCAATATTGACTAAATATATTAAAAATAGTGAGAAATTTTTATGACGATTTTGAAAAAAATATATCATTGATACCTGCAAGGTAACCATGACCACCACAGGCTTCTCTGCAATCTTGAATCGCATCACGCGTCATCCAAGAACATAGTGGTTTCACAGCAGATGACAGTGCGTGAAATTCCATACCCTCGGCGCTAACTAATTCACGGTTTTCTGATGTTAATAATGAGATCTGAAAACTTCGTAGTTTTCTTACATATATCTCAGAGAATATCGTCATAACATATGTGGTTGCTAGATGAGGAAACAGTCGCCATTGCTGAAAACAGACACAACAGAGTTATGTGACGCATTTTATAACTGATAATTTTCATACTGTACCTGCACTTGATATTCAATTACTGGCCATTCTTCTTCCAACGAAGGTCCAAACTGTTTCCTAACGGCACAATATCGAATAGCAATGACAATGGCAAGTGATATGTATTTTGTACAAACACACGTGATATTGACACGGCCCATTGATAAGGCACCAAGTGATGCACCTAATGAATCCTATAATTATTTATATCTGACGTAATCTATTTTTGATTACGAAATTTCTTACCTAACCGTTGACTCTCCTTTTTCAGACGAGAAACGTATTTGCCATCCTCTGTCACATCTCCAGTTTTATTAAGTAAATTTATACGTGGAATGCGGTAGTTGTGAAACATCACGAAACCATTGTCTATCCCGTTTAAACCAATCTTCTCACCTAAATCTCCAACCGTTACTCTTGGATATGGTAAGAGAGTTTCCGGATCGCGAATTGGAACGATAAACAAATGTAGTCCTCTGTTTTTTTTATCAGGAGTAATTAGTTGAGCAAAGACCATTGCGTGCGTTGACGTTTGACCTGAAAGTGTAGTATATCCTAATAGCTTTGATGTTCTTGTTTACTTTCAAGTTTTTGTATAAGTCTGCAAAGAAAATTAGCAATAATTACCAAGACCTCCAACCCAACATTTTGCTGCTTTGAAGTCTTCGGAGTGAAGAATAAAACTTTTTGTGTTTGGGTCATAAGTTGCTGTGGTTTTCATACCTCTGACATCAGAGCCATGTGCAACTTCCGTTAGTGCAAAACAACCAGTGTACTAAAAATTTCAGAGTAATGAACTCAAATTATTGATTTTATAATGAAGGTATACTCACTCGACCATCTTGTAGCTTTTCAATGATATCCCCATGTTGTTCGGTACCTAATGCCATCATAGTGCTCACTACCATACCGAACGTAATACCAGTTTTTATTGTGAGAGATGGATTAAAATACAAAACTGAATTAATCCAATGTGGATGTTCATATGGCTATATAAAATTGTATAAATATTACAAAACTTCATAGATAATTGCAGAGCATTCTCTTAGGCAGATTTTATTATTGAGTCTGTAATTACTAAATAAAGCAGTATCACAATAACAACATATTTACCAAAATATCATTTGTTAATAAAGCACGCATTTGCAAAATAGTTTGCCTCCGTTGCTCATCTACAGGTACAGTTTTTCTTGAACTTTTAAACACTGACGAAACTTTGAATAAATTCCATAATTTCTCCTGTAAACACATTGATACAATTTTCAATTTCAGAATAAAAAAAAAGAAAAGCAAAGTAAAAGTTAATCAATTAATGTGTATAACCTGGAATAAGAGTTGATCCTCTCCATATAAATTGTATCTCAATAATTTCCAATTGAAGCTAGCCCGCTTCCTATAATTACCCAAAGGTCCCGTGGGCAAATCACCTATAATTTCTTCTGCCTTGATTCCCTTCATATTGCGTAAGCTGCAACAATATCTTCGCAAAATCATTCCTAAAATGACCTCATAACAAGTTTATAAAGTTTGTTTGTTCTAGCGTGTTTATTTGCTCGTGGGTCTGGAGCAGTCTGGAGTCCCTGGCGATACTAAGCGCTCCGCTAGGATATTTTGCAAACGATGTACGTAACACGGTCTGATGCAGTCTGATGCAATAGAATGAGAGAGGAATATATGTTTAATTTATATTATTCCAAAGTCATTGACGCTTGCATCGCATATATGCATAAAACATAATACGATTTATGTAAACGTATGATTTGCAATAATTATTTCCTTGTTCAACATTGTATTCAGTTTAATATTATCAATAGCACGTTACGTGCGATAAGCGTATAAAATTCGTGGAATATTGACGTTTGAAGCAAAATTATTCATACAAAGTAACATACCAATTTAAATTCTTTCCTCGTAGAGATCCCTGTCTACAGAAATTGCACCAAGAATTACTGCGAGTGAATGACTGTGTCAGTGCTGCGTCATTCGTACTTTTAATTCCTTATTAACACATAGATTAACCTTTGCTCTTCTTAAGAATTGTTAATCAAGATTTCGATAATCAAGAAATAGATTTATTGTATATTCTACCATTCATCATCTGCAATTATCTATCCCTATCATATGCTGTTTTTAATTAAATTTGTATCCTATAACATTTATTCTCTTATATAATAGAAATAATATTGACAATGATTTTGTACTTTGTTATCGTAAAAGAATAATGTTTTGTTCAATTTGCATGATATAAAATATTGTTACATATATATCAAGATAAGATCCTATTATTGGATGTAGATTCATGGAAATACAGGACACGTGTTTTAAATTAACATTTATTTCAATATTTTCCGTCTACAGAATCCAATATACATATATTTTAATGCAGCTACGTTGCACATTATTTATTCTGAGAGATTATTTTTAAAGATGTTAACACAATTAAATACTTACGTCCAGAATGAATGTACCATTGTATATGGTACAATATGGTACATATACAATGATTTTTGAAATCCTGTTTCTCTTTGACAGATCAGTTAACCTGTCATAGTTTTGCAAGGCTATCCTAAAATAATTGTATAAAATAATAATATAAAGCTAATGGCTTTAATTAAAAATTTACCCCTTCTTGAAGGAGCTAAATTTATCGTCATAGATGAAGGTATTTTTTTTTATATAATCTCATTTGATTCATTTAGAGGAATGTAACCTTACTTTTTTTTAATGTGCTACACGTCTATTATAATTTTTAAGATGAAGTAATTCATTAATGTTTTAGATGTTGACGCAATGTATGCTGAAATTTTACTAAATGGTTGGCTACAAATGCTTGAAGAAAAAGATTCTAATTGTCCCATCGAATTACTATCTCTGTCACGTCCAAAGCGCGCCTATAATAATTGTCCAGAGCCCTTAAAAAACGTGCATATTCACGATTTATACAGTATTGACTGGAATGAGTTACCATCAGACACAACAATACTGAAAAGGCTTTTGTCCTTTCTTGAACCATCAAAAGCCAATGCTGTACTGATTCTAGATTGTCTTAGTTCTTTAGTTTTTCACATTGGTTTGTCTCAAGCATGCCAATTTATCTCTAAACTTGGTCAAAGTTGTCGTCAATTAATTTGTATCAACCGACGAGACTTTACTCTTAAAAAAATCCCTTCTATCGAGACTCTTGGTACATCTTACATCAAGTTAAAAAAGAGTCCTAGAGTTCAACTGGAAAGAAATTTCATGTACGAGGCATCAATTATACATAGAAAGCCAGGTGGTAGTATTGTACATCAAAATGAACTTGTAAATCAAAATATTTCAAGTTATGTTATTTCGTCGGAGAAGCTTGAAGTAAATCAGAAAGGAGAACCAGTCAATAACGAACCAGTAAAAGTCTTGGCTTCCTTTAGAATTGAAATGAATGCCCGTGAGATGGAGCAACGTAATAAAACTCCACTCCCTTACACAATTTCCACAAATGAATCTAAAATATTATATAGTCCTGACGATGTAGATGATCTCGATGAGGAAGATCCTGATGATGACTTAGATTTCTAGTATAGTCTCATTTAAGAATATAATAAACCCACAAAGAAGTGATTTTAAATACAGATTGAATATTTTGATCGTCGTGTATTTATTACTCCTATATACATAATAATAAGGATAAGTTAATCACTCATGATGTAAATATTATATTCCAATACTTGCATCTCTTTGGTACATGTCCGTAAGAAAATATATGTTTGCTACATATCACATGAGAAAGTCGAGGATCTTAACACCAAATGTATAGCTAACAAAAATTGCTAATAACAAAACCAATCGACCTATGATAAAACAATTCATACACTCCATTCGTATTGTTTTTTGACTTATCACAGTCATTTTCAATCAATAATCCTAAAGCTGTATGAAGCCTATATTGTTCCTTAAACAAATATCCTTATTTGTTCACACATAGCCATCGCTTATCTAATAAAAAAAAATGGGAGCTCACTCAAATTTTGTTCTGAGAAGGGCACAACATAGAATTATCAATTACTAAAATGTATATCAATTTGTTCTAGCTGAACTATGAAGTAGACAATAATTGTGTTACTGATGATAATAAACAATTGAAAAAACAATAATTATACCTCTGGTACAGCATACCGAATGGCTGCTATCGATTTGCTGTAAACCGAACACAGGGATTGAGCCCCTGATAGCAATTGTTAGAAATAAATAAAAGCTAAAAATGATATAAACGTAAAATAAGATCAAATACGTTATAGGAAAAGATAATCACTCAATTCAGCTATTATCAGATCACTTATATCGAGAATTAATAATCTAATATGTTCTTGAATCTAATTTTTTTTTCAACTAAATAAAATAGTAAAAATCGAGAGTGAATGCCATGTCAGGTGATTAAAATCTACGTGCGGAAAGTGTAAAGAATATCTCTATCCTGAAAATGCTCAGTACCGTCTACGTGTCGAAGAACTCTACTATCCAGTAGGCAACGACCGTAACGTACAGCTTCCTCTCGATCATGCGCTACGTTGGCTTCTATGAGCCAATCAACTAGACTTTTACCGGTAAAGACACCCTCATAAACTTGAAGAAGTCTTCTGCGACACATGGAAATCCTTGCCCGACATTCTACCAAGTGACATCTGGCAAATTGTTCCCTGATCATCTTAGCCTCTGGACTTAAATCCACTTCTTCTGGTAGTTCAATTTCTTTGGCTACAGACAAAAATATATGTAATAATTGTTATCTTACATCGCCAGTCTGCATAATTTACCTGCACACCAGGTGCGACAGACTTTACGCAACCAGCAACCTAAGGCTCCTAGACCAGGATCCAATCCAAAAATAGCAAACGCTATTAATGATTGTCCAAAATTCAATGCGACATCCAGGAAAGCTAGTTCAGCGTAAATTCCAGTCATTTGCTCCAAGAGCAACGTTCCAATTGATAAAACCAATCCCTGATCAAATAGAATGAGAAAATTTATTTATTGCTGTGAGTTATATTTATACTGTTGAATTAAGAAGTTCTATATAACAGTTACTCACAATAAACATGGAACACAACAATAAGATCAGGAGGACCTGATGTCGAAGTATTTGAAGATCATCAGATTCTGATCTATTTGCACTGGCATCATATTCTGAATTTTGATGATGAGGAGGCTGTTCTTCGTTAGCCGTGCAGGACCCATTTGAACAATCAAATTCGCACGGGAGTGCAGTAGAAGAGACCAGGTCCTCCACATCTCTTACGTTCCTATTCGTGTTTGTTGGTTCAGGAATAAGTGGAGCATCGGGTAATGTTGAATAACCAACAATACTGGTTCTACGCTGATATCGTTGTTGCAGAATAAGACAACCCAGAGTTACTGTGAAGTTTAAAATGTATATTAACTGAAAGATATGAATGGGTATTAATTATTACAGTATTAGATAGCAGATATTATTTACCAACAAAACAGAATATTAAAACAAGCATTGAGGTTGCTGCTTGCGTGCTTCCTAATTGAAAATTCGGATTCCTACGGTCAATTTCTAATGATTTTTCTGGACTGGCGAACAGGCACATTATTGATACAATTAAAAGAGGACCACTGTAAAAAAAAACATATTTATTGTATATCAAAGTGCAACGTATGATATTTCGCTTAAAAATATTATTTAAATAATTTTGCTGCTTACCCCCAAGCGATGGGAAAACACCATTTTTGAACATTTTTAACGACATCTTCTGTTCGTGAACTCAGAAATAAAATAGTTGCTGCCAGCACAGCAGTCCAAAATCGACTTGCATATACTCCAACGACTATCAAGACAAATTGGACATACCTGGACAAATGAATGAATAAATAGAATTGTTATCTTGATATTAAGTTGAATTTATATCATTTTCAATTACCAAAGTAAGTCACCAGCGTTGGAAGTATCAATCTTTGTCCAGATTATCACACCAACTGCACTTGCGAGCTAAATCAAGAAGGAATCTCTAAGTTATATTCTCCTAAAGTTGCTATTATTACTTTGCACTTCAATAAAGAATAAGGAATAATGTTAAGTTACCTGTGCAATAATAATACACAAAGTGCACCGATGAGTGAGTCTCTTGTACTTTTGTCCACCTAAAGCCAAGAAGCAAATGAGCAACCAGATACAAGCAGCAGTAGCTGCTGCACTGGTATCCAAAGAGAAGGCGTTCAATTGCTTAGCATAATCTTGTGGAGAAATTCCAGAACTGACAGCGTCGATCATCTTTGCAGAAATAAACATCAGCGGTGCTGAGAGGAACGTGCAGGCGACCATTGCAGATGCAATGAGGTCGATGTCCACGTTATAACGCAAAGTGAAGACGAAGAGTGCTGGAGCAGTTGGAATAGTTCCATAGAGAAAACCATAGGTACTCAGATCGTTGGTATCCGTACAATTAATGCCAGCATTCAGAAGAATGACCGATTCTCTTATGACCAATGGTAAAACAAGAAGTTTTACGGAAATCAAAATTCCAGGTATAAGTAGGGCAATTCCACGTAATGTGTGGATCTTTCCCACCATCATCAAGCCCAGGAGAAAGAGAGCACTTGCAGAGAATGCATTTCCGAAGACTTCCAAGATCGCGGAGAGGATTGCTGGTATTGAATGGCTGAAGATCAAGTTGCCTATTATTCCTAATACTGTCATTGCTAAAACAGGATTCAAGGCGATACCCTTTACAGTTGCAATGAAGAGAGACCAGTTGCTCTGTTCTTGATTCCTCCGTTTTGCTATCTCAAGCAAAACGAAACCAATCGGATTTAAAATAGCTAGAGAGATCGGTGCCATTAGATAGAGATATGCTGAATATTCTGGATGTGTATTATGGTACAGAGCATCAACTGAAACCAAATAATTAGTTTTAATATTTGTTATTTGGTCTTTTTACAGTAATGTTTTCATTTTGTACACATACTCATTGGATACCCTATGGCAAAATCATTACTCTGCGTTGCAAAAATGGCGAACAATGCACTCCGTCCAGGATTCCATGGTTTAGAAACAAGCATGCTAATGACAAGAACAATAAAAAAGACACAGCTCTTAGCCAGGGTGACTGCCAGTAAGAAACGCCAGTTCACTAAACCAAAGTCTAATTTTGCCAATGAGAGAAATATTAATGATGGAAGTGTAAATGTTCCGACAAATGTATTTAAACCATTTGCCTCAGATCTTCTTATAATGCCCAAACGGCCTGCCACATATCTATAGAATAAGACAGACAAATCATACAAAATTGCTCGTTTCTAGAATTACAATATATTCATTTTGATTTAGGAAATATGCATTATACTATTACCCGCATAGTATTATAGCAAAACATTGTGCCAAAGCAAGGTACAGATTGTCTGTAGGTGTTGTCTTCGATACCACAATCTCGTCCATGCTTACAATAAATTAAATAACACGTGAATACAGGTTTTGTAACAGATTTATACTACCTAAAAAAGATTAATAAATTTTAAATCACAGTGAGTAACTCAACCATCTGTTTGTGAAATAGGTTAATGCACTTACATTCTAAAATGCTATCGTCAATTAAAAATTGTCAAAAGGAGTATCACAGAGGTGTCAAAGCTGTACATTTTAACGTTTACCTTCTCTGTGATTCAGTGTCACTATTAGTTAATGAATATAGAATTCTTTAGCATCCTGTGAAAATTGTTTGACATTTGACACACATCACATGATCGTTCATCAGAGCCTGCGCGATTTCGCGCAGTTTCTAATGTCCTCAACCCCAGTTCGAATAACAAGAGTTTCTACCGAGTGTGAATGAAATTCGTAAACTCATGAAATAAGTTTTCGAAATTATTAAAAAATGTCGATCACTGCTTCGTTAAATATTCAGTTTAATATACAATATATAATGAATTACATTCCTAATTCGAAAGTATTTTGGTTCTATAGCAATTTTTCAGACGTGCACACTATGTTAAAATGTTACATTTTCAAAACGTTTTTTAATCAAATTATAAAACGTTTTTGACCAATTATTTGAAATTAAAATTACTCAGTAGCTTCGTGTTCCCAGAACAGAGATTGGGTTAACAAGGTTACTGCAGAGATGAATGCATCTCTGGTTACTGTTTTCGATTCCTTCTTGTTGCGCAGTCTTCTCGCATGTGTTTCGTAATCATCGTGTAGAATGATCTATTCAGATCAATTGCGCATGGTTGAAAAAGCGACAATAGTCATGGAACCTGCTGAATCACTATACGTTCCCAAGGGAAAGATTTTTCCAAGAATATCTTTTCCTGGCAGTTTTTACGTGTCAATATATAATTGAAAAAGACTCTAAAATGATCATTCACGTTGTACGATAACTAAACAAATACAATAGATGGATATTGATACATTTGAAAAATAGGAAATGTATTTTTTCAACCTTGATTCAGTTACACATGATAAAAAATATATACATATATTAAGTTTATTGGCATTGCAATTAATTTTGATATTATATTTGACGAATACTTAATAACTTTATTCACAAAAATTTTGCTGAAAATAACGTGATCAATGGCATTCACGAGATTGATAATATACTGTAAAAATAGATGAATATTGCAGTATCAAAGTCCTAATTGATCTGATTATCGTTATAAATCGGGTGCTACCCAATTAAAGAATTTCATAGCAACTTCAAAGCCAACAAAGCACGCTGCATTGGCAGGAAAAGCTCTGAGCATGACTGGAACGACTCCTGTATAAAGAGCCCGAGGTCCTTCGTTTCTCATTAATTCTACGTAAACGTCACGTAAACCATTCTTATAAGTGCCTTCCGGTGCTGTAAAAAAAGATAAATTAGTATTTTACTATTCGTGGTACAAATATTTATTAGAAACATGCGTGACCGTCAGTGTCGAAAGCTACTCTACCATGCATCCAACAAGAATCAGAGTATTGATAAAGCCAAGCAGATAACTGAATTCTCACAATTCAGTCAGAAGGAAATTCTTCTGAAACAGTGAGAACGCAGAGAAATAAATAAAAATTACTGTACCAGTTTGAAGACGACTTTTTAGAACGTCAGGCGGCATGCCAACGATCCAATTGGCGATACCGGCTAATCCACCAGAAAGGATAGTTGAGAGAATTCCTATTTTTCCGTTTTCTGGAGTCAACAGTCTCTGCATGCAATCGTATGTCATGAAATACATACCGCTGGCCGGTACATCTGTAAACATTAAAAGATAAAGACACGGGACAATCCTTATGGATTCTTACGTGAATTTAGGATGGCACGGTATAGTATTGTGTACAATAATTAATAATAGCGAGTAACGCGTGTGGGTTGAGAGATAGTAGACATCCTGTTTGATAGGAGACATGAAGTTGAATAGATAAGGGAAAACAATATTCAGTTTCCCTCGGACCAGCGTACCAAACTAGGTTCCCAGGACCGTGTCTCCATCAAGACTAGATGACTGGGTCCAACCTGGGCATTATGGGCATTATCCTTCCATTATTGTGCTCTCTCCTAATCCTGGTAGGTCGACAACCTTATTCACTTGGTAAATAAGGTCATTCATAATAAATGTTCTTAGCTTCTGTAAAAAGCTTAGTACAATTTTCAATAGAAATAAGTCAAATCGTGTTGTTCGCTTTGGCGTACTATAATATAATAATAGTGATTGAATGAAGTAATGCGTTTGCTACACGTTTCGATCAGGAACAATGCACTGGACAAGTAATAGATATCGGTGGCGTATGGGAGATAAAGTGTCCGCAGGGATGTTCGTGTCAAGTACTCAAATTCACCGACCTGCCTCTACAGCAGTGGGTCAAACCGAGCACAAGAACTCAGGTGACGAAACCAATCACGTAACTAGATGATTGGCTGCAATATGCGTGAGGTAAACGTATCTCTTGCCGACAGAATTCGGCACAAGACGAGGGATACAATAGTCTAGACGAAGATCATCCTCTGGCTAACGAGTTACTCAAAGTGGCGACATGCGTGTTAGCGGGTAATCCCAGGAAACTCATGGCGAAACTTCCTTCAGATTTGCAGGTGAGGCATTCGATTGGTCGCTTTCTTATTGCTTTATGCCTAATCAATTCCGGGACGATCCTCCATATAGGTCTTGAGTATACTTGAGTCAGGTACCGGAACTTCGGATATATTTCTTTCATCCACTGATCTGCAACGCTTCGTGGAATTGATATCACTTGATATACAAGGGGTAGAGCATGAGAAGAAAGGTGGAATAATATTATCTTCGGATACTTTACTTCCTTTGGGCATGACACTACTTTATTTGAATTTGGAACGGGTCACATTAACTAGTCAAAGTCTTACGAATAAGACTACCGCAAATTTGGTAGTTAAGCCAGTGAATACACCAAGTGAAGAAGAGGCAAATGATTCTGTAACATATACAGTGACTAATCATTCCTCTAGTCGAAATGGACATAGACTCATTTTTCTCAGTCAACAAAATACGGGAGAAAACGAGGACAAAGAGATTCTGCCATATGATGTTTATAAACAGGAAGTGGAAGCTGAAGAAGATACAGTTATGGGTGGCCTTTTTACTGGTCTCTCTGTTTTAACTCATCTCAGAGTATATGACTGTGCTGTTAAAGATATATCCTGGCATATGTTTGATGGTCTATATAATCTACAGCATCTCTCTCTTGAGAAGAATGATCTCAAATTTATACCTGAATTTTGTTTCTATGGTACACCTAACTTGAGAAGCCTATCTTTAGCTGCTAATAAGCTACTCACGCTTAAGAGTGTAGATTTAGCTGGGTTATTGATGCTGGAGCAATTAGACTTGACGGGAAATAATTTAACTTTCTTGTCAGAATTATCACTTCCACCATTTCCAGCTCTAATCACCGCAGACTTTCGTGACAACCCTCTGGATACAATATTTCCAAGGTAAAAAGGAACTCCAAGTTTAACGTCATAGATATCAGTCCTGTTCTTCAATGACGATTTACATCTTTTCAGCACATTTGAGATTATGAACACAACAACTAAACTCTATTTGGGTGGTGATGATGCACCGCTGACGCTGCACAAGAATTCTCTACTAGGATTACGTCAGCTCGAAACATTACATTTGTATAATTTGAACATTCCTTTATTGGAACGATTCATTCTGCAAGGCATGCCGTCTTTGTTGGAATTAAAGATGCGAGGAAATGTTACTAGAATTGATTTTGACGCCTTTCTCGATCTTGATAAGATAATCGACTTGGATCTTAGCCATTGCCATATTCAACTGATATCAATGGATGCATTCTACGGTTTAAAGAGTGTAAAACGTATTGACTTATCATTTAATGATCTCGAGTTTATTCCACCAGGATTATTTACAATACAGCAACAAAAGGAGTTGAGGGAAATCCTTTTAAGCAAGAATAGGTTGACGACGTTGCCTGGAGACTTTTTTAAGAATTTGCGACCACCTAAAAGGCAGACACAGATACAGAATTTGAGACTGGATGGAAATCCTTGGGACTGCAATTGCGGTATGATACATTGGAATCCACATTTGGTACGTTGAAGTATTCCCTTTGAAATAGAGAATATTTCAGAAAAAATTGACTTTGTAATTTTTACAGGTGAACAGAGTGAAGGAAAATGCTCCCCGATGCCTAACACCGGAAAAGTTAAAGAATTGGGGTGTTTTTCATGCCCTCCGTAAAGGTGGACTACAATGCAGACGTCCAAAACGACGACACAACCACCGACTTTTTCGAAAAGTAGCAAATTATGAGGACAATAATGTTATCAGCTAGCCAATTAGCAGTGTTCGCGACAATCGCGATTTGATGTACATTATTGTTCAGCTAGTATTAATAAAATGCGACAATCACGTCGATGCATAGTTAAATACTTTCAAAGTAACCAGGTAATGTCAAAATATATGAAAAGCAGTGTGAACAAATTTTTGTAAAGTACTTATGAAACTTATATATATCGAAGAATATAATTCAAAAACTATACTCACCTCTTAAAAGTGTTGCACATGTACCCTTATATATACTTCTAATTCCTCCTTCTTTATACAGTTTCTTAGCACAATCAATTGGTCCATTATATTTTGGTTTAGCACCAGCATGCTGAATTTGAAGAAGACATTTTATGCGTTCTCCTGGCGCCATAATAACAGTTGTAAAAATTCCACTGAATGCACCAGCATAAAATAATTGATCAGGACGCAGTTTCTCATCTACAGTTTTTTGTTGAAGCTTTTTACCTACTCCGTATCCTAAGAAGCTTATTGCAAATATAGGCGAAACACCACATAGTGGGGCAGCCATTCCTGAAAAAGAATACAATGGTAAGACAAGTCCTATAAATGAACTAATACATCGTACCTTTGTAGAGCCCACGGATTCCTTCTTTTGCAATCGTTTTTTTTGCGCAGTCCCATGTTCCTGAATATAATGGCTGTTCATTAGGACCAACTTTTGAAACAGTTTGCAAGCGAACCTATAATAATAAATAATAAAACAACCTAAATAACAAATGCTATTAAAATAAGGCAGCAACTACTAATAGTTTTCCATGCAATTATTTTTGTTTGATTATTATACGTATCAAGTAGGTCAGAATGGATGACCGTAGTCAAACATTAAATTGTTTATTTAACGTTAATACTGTGAAACAATAAAAATTATATGGTAACCTTACTTTAATAGTATCAAGAGGGTGTCCAGCTATAACGGTGCAAACTCCTCCGAAACCACCACTCAAAAAATGTTTAACCGGATTAACATGTTCCGACATTTTTATAAAAGTTTATTCACTGAAGTCTATTTACAGTGTTAAAGGCGAAAGAATAAATTTTTGTAAAACTGCCAGCAGAGACCACGGTCAAAGTACATGTATACCGATGTATACTAATGTAAACGTATCCCTATGACTGTTACATATTTAGAAGTCTATTATCTATAATTTTTAAAAACTTACTATAGTACAACTTTATTTATTACAGAATAATAGATATCGTTTATTTCATCACTGAAAATTATACTGCTACGATCATAGGAATTAGATAAAAAAACTCATGTCAAAAATATACAAAATAAATTGTTATTCTTTACAAACTACTGTAATTATCAACTTTTTCAATCTAAAGAGCCAAAATATTTTAAGTTTAATATCAAGAGATTCTAGAAATAAACCATTAAGATAATGTTCGTAAAACAATGATTCAAATGTCATTCAAATTTTAGTAATGCTATAGTTATTAAAGATATTGTTATAAATTAACTCATTATCAAATCATCTGCAACCTTATTGAAATTTGAAAAATCATTAGATTTGCATTAAACTTAGAATAATTGGATATCTTGCGTTGGCTGAACTGAAAATTATAGAGCACATGTTTTCAGAAAGGTACGAAAAATAGTCAGTTCACTATTGCTTTTGAGCCATTTACGGGATTAGGATGGAAACATGTAAATAATGTCAGGTGATTGAAAATTGTTAGCCATTCTTGGCTCCCATTGTTGTGTTTTCTCGTTTTAATAATTTACTTTTAATACTGGGAATGAGTTATAATCTTTGACCTCGAGAAGATTGTTATATACGTACCACAGGTAAGCTGACAATGTTGACCTGTTTTCTAACATGATCGTTAACATTGATGACGCAGATTAGAGAGACGTGCTAATATTTTAAGCTATCTTCCATTATTACATAAAATTGATGTAAATTGCTGGCATTGCATAATTTCTATTTAATCTACTGTAGAATAATAATACAGCAACTCTTTTCGACCTTCTGATCTTCCTATGTTATAGAGTTTTTACCAAGTCAACAATTAAATAGATTCATTGCAAAGTATGTTCATTGTGGAAACTACTTATGAGATATTGGTACAAAGGGTCAGTCTCTGTACATTCTTATTCTTAAGCAAAGTACATAAAATATCAACCTCCTTGAGAACTTTCTTCTGGCCTCAGTATATTCTCTATGCCTACTCTTCATGAGCCGTCAGACATAAAGTTCATAAGGCTTACCCTCTTTACTAATATATCCGCGATGTGGATACTTCAAAACAGCAATTTAATACTTTATTTGTTAGAAACCATCAAGATGTCGGATAAGATACAAACAGGACAGCCACAACCTATTGTGAAGATAGGACATTATACTCTAGGGCAGACACTCGGTGTTGGAACATTTGGAAAAGTAAAAAGTAAGTTTTTTCATACTTCTATTATGCTTTATTCCTGAATAATATGTTATCTGTTTATACAGTTGGTGAACATGTTTTGACAAAGCATAAAGTTGCTGTTAAAATCCTTAACAGACAAAAAATTAAAAGCTTGGATGTAGTGGGAAAGATCCGTAGAGAGATTCAAAACTTGAAACTGTTTCGACATCCTCATATTATTAAATTGTAAGAATTTATTCATTGGTAATATGGATGATTCCAATTTCGTTAAATATATTATAATTAGCTATATATTTTTTTGTATTAGATATCAAGTAATAAGTACTCCGACAGACATATTTATGATAATGGAATATGTGTCTGGTGGAGAACTCTTTGACTATATTGTCAAACATGGAAAGTTGAAGGAATACGAAGCACGCAGATTCTTCCAACAAATTATTTCAGGGGTGGATTACTGCCACCGTCACATGATAGTTCATCGCGACTTAAAGCCAGAGAATTTACTTCTAGATCATAATCTTCACGTGAAGATTGCAGATTTTGGTACACAACTTGTAAAAATTATTCTACCAGAGGAAATAAATCACTGGTAATCATGGATTTCTATAAATGTACGTGATTTAAGGTTTATCGAACATGATGATGGATGGTGAATTTTTACGTACGTCCTGCGGTTCGCCAAATTACGCAGCACCTGAAGTAATATCCGGAAAATTATATGCTGGTCCAGAAGTTGATATCTGGTCTTGTGGAGTAATATTATATGCTCTACTATGTGGAACACTACCATTCGATGACGAACATGTGCCAACGCTGTTTCGCAAAATTAAATGTAAATCCCTTTTTATTTGTAACAAAATAAGTAACCACAAAACATATAGAACGAAAATTACTAATACATTATACAATTTCAGCGGGAATCTTTCCCATCCCAGAATATCTAAATAAGACCGTAGTAAGTTTATTATGCCATATGCTACAAGTTGATCCAATGAAGCGGGCGACTATCGAGGATATCAAGTATGCTAATTGGAACTAAATTGTATTTCAGAAAAAAAAAAAAGGAAAATTATCTTCTGATTTTATTGCAGGAAACATGAATGGTTCCAGAAGGATCTCCCAACGTACTTGTTCCCATCTCCAGTAGAACAAGATTCCTCGGTGATTGACATCGATGCAGTTAATGAAGTCTGCGAGAAATTCAATGTCAAAGAGGCTGAAGTTCATGCAGCTCTCCTTAGCTGCGATCCTCACGATCAGTTGGCTATTGCCTACCATTTGATCATAGATAACAAAAGAATTGCAGATGAGGCTGCCAAAGCAGAGTTAAAGGACTTTTACGTAGCATCAAGTCCACCACCAGTAGCTTTTACTTCAAGCGATGTAAATAATAGTCCACTACGACCACATCCTGAGCGAATTGCCCGTAAGTCGAAAAATTTGTACGGTATAAAAATTTAGGATCGATTCAATCAATACGATTTGTTGTTTAAACTCGGTTTAACTGTGCGATTAATCAATTGGATACTTGCATTTTGAAGATAAACGGAGTTTACACATCGAACTATAACGGAGAAATCAAGCCATTGTCTATTAAAAAATTTAATTTTTTAAAAAGCAGCACTGCGGGAGCGTCAGAGCTCTTTAAGTAGTGTCTCGGTACCAGTACAAGGTGCAGGTCAAGGCGGAAATCGTGGAACTCCTGTAAAACGAGCAAAATGGCATTTGGGAATCAGATCTCAATCTAAACCAAATGACATAATGAACGAAGTGTATCGTGCCATGAAAGCCCTTAACTTTGTAAGTAACAAAGAATAATTAATCTTGATCGCTCATTAAACTTATGAAATCCGGATAAATTTTCTATAGGAATGGAAAATAATAAACGCATACAGCGTCAGGGTGCGTCACAAAAACACTCTCACTGACAGACACAGTAAAATGTCCCTGCAACTGTACCAAGTCGATTACAAAAGTTATCTGCTTGATTTTAAATCCCTATCCAGTGAAGAAACTGAGGATTTTACTGGACGAGGTACGCAGTGACGGCTGGTATAACCTTTCTTGATTAAAATGTTTGATTGTTATCATCTCTTGCAGAACCTTCTCTTCCACCACCTCAGGCTACAGGTCACCATACTATGGAATTCTTTGAAATGTGCGCAGCATTGATCACCCAATTGGCACGATAAATAAAGGAAATAACGCTTCTATGGCCGACAGGTACCTTTATATTCTATCAATGACATTGACTGTATTTTTAACGATTGTAATTCCGACAAGAGCTAAGGGTGTACATATGGTGTTGGAAACCAAAGAAAAGATGGCACCAGAACCACAGCCATTAGCGCCTTTCTTTCCTACCCAGTTATGTTTTCCTATCGAAGAAACAAGCGACCCTCAGGAATACTATCTAAAAGCTTTCGTATGGTCCTATCATTGACAAACATAGCAACGTGACTGACATAAACAAATGTTTGCCAGAGATATCGGATAATAGAGAATTACTAAAAGTAGCTAAACGTATAATCGCAAACGAGCTATCATTATAACGAAGTAATGGGGAAAAAAGTAAATGGTACATCGGGTTTAAAATAAACCATGTATGAAGTTTCAAAAAATCCATAGTCCGTAATAGCGAGAAAAAAATAAAGAAAATGCCTTAGACCACTGGAGCAAGGGTCAAAGTGTAATCACCGAAATCGTATATGGAAGTTTTAGTGATGTTTTTTGTATTCACAAAAAACTCGTTCACAGGTATTATAAGGGATGATATACTGCTGTTCGAAATAAAACTATATCGTAAAACATACGCCTAGTATACTTATCATTTATTGTTGTATGCAATGATCGAATATTACATTACAATGATTTATTATAAATTAATTATACAATTATCTTAGCTATCTAACAAGTGACCACGCTTTACTTCTTAGTCGTGTTGCGATAACAGGGGAGTCGATTGACTATGAGAAAACTGAGGAACAAGGGAGGGGAAAGAGAAATTAAACAAAAAAAAGGGCGCTGGAAACCAAGTGTGTGCGTAACTTTAGAAAAATATACATTATTATCATTATTTTTATTATTATCGTATTCAGACTCGCTTCCTTCTCATGCACACGTCATACATGTATGATCAGAACTTCACACCTCGTGTCCAATGTAACTGATACGTTATCCGAAGACATACTACAGGACAATTATTAAAGTTTTATCCTAAGCTATAATACGACGTAGAGTGATAGTGGAATATTAGAAGTTTAATCAAGTATCATACGAGATAAGTTTTCTTTTTCTATTATGCCTCGGTATATATATAGTTATTCGTCAAATTACGAATTTTAATTACAATACACGTCAAAGTGACTACTCCGTGACGCATGCTCGAAAAACATCTCAAGCACCAGATAGTCGGTAATATTATTAATCAAAGACAATGATTGTATATATTTATATATATGTATATATATATATATATATATTTATATATAATGGCACATCCTATCTATCGCTTTGCTTTATACAAGTATGGCTGGATTCTCGTAAAATGCTGCCAAAACAACTGCCTTTATGGTCATTCATACTGTCCCATTGCAAATTACTATAACTAGAAGATAAACTTGCGTGAAAAATGCGTAAAAATTATATTTTGTTATTCTCGGAATATTTGTTTAAGTGATGAAAGAGTCGAATTTCCGCTATTCGCTTGTACATATGAGAAAATAGACGGCTACACGCAGAATCCGAATGTATACTTTTATCGTTCATGTGGAATACTTCCAGTTTATTTATTTTTTTAAATCTTAATACTGCGATCGTTTACAGGAAGAATACGGAACGGTTACTACGCAGTGGATATTATAAAGAGACGTATGAAGAGTTGAGAACGAAAAATTCTTATCAAGCGGATTTTGGATTTTTTCATTGCAATATCCACCATTTAAAGTTCAATTTTTTTTTTATATATATTGGGAGAACCCATCGGTGGCACAACCTATGGCTATTAATCATTATTGCATTTACCAATAGCAGGAATATAACGGATTTAATATTATTTTATAAATATATATAAGGAAAAATATTCAATGACTCATGCAACCCGGTCAATGCAATATTGCTAACATATTTTCGATTTATTAATATATACAGTGGAGATGCTATTAAAAATTAAAACCATTTGGTCTTCGTCCTTTCTCTTGTAACCACGATACATGCGAAACGTGCAAATTATTTCGAAAAACTCTGTTAAATCTCTTGATTCTCCTCGCTAGTCTCGTTTTCCACAAATTCTACATGCGTGAATGGAAAATGACCAACTTTCCCGTGCAATTCACCTTCCCATTGACCGTTTATATTAGTTTTTGTTACCTTAATCATGTCACCTACTTCCAGCTTAAGAGCTGTTTTATCGTATGCGTTTGGTACCCTTGCTTGCTTTACTTTCGCGAACGCTGGTAGCGTTCGTTGTATATTTGAACGTCGCGTTACTGTCGCCTGACCTGATTCTTGATGTGATACTTGCGAAGAAGGCTGGACAAGATTCGAATTTGAACTACAAGTACCACCTTCCAGTCTATTTTCTATTACAGTATGACTATCTTCATCATATTTTTCAATATATGGAACTGGTACTGATCCAGTTTGGCCTAAGCTGTTTTTCGCAGTCCACCATTGGTCTTCGTCCTTTGAAATTACTGTCAGGATCTCTCCTGAAAGTCATCTTTATCGTGAGAATACTTACAAACTTTGCTGTATTTAGAAGTTAAGACGTAGATGCTCTTTAAGCAATTGCTCGAAAAGTATATATTACCTTTCCTAAAGGGAAGGTCATCGGGATCGTAGCCAGCAAAATCATATTTAGCAATCACCCTTTGAATCTTTCTAGGTGCTGGCCTGATTAAGGGTGTGGTGTCCAAGTAATGTAGCTTGTAAAAAGCCAAAAGATTTGGAATATCAGGGAACATTTGATCTCCAATGCGATAACGTATTTGATCACCCTGCTGGATTTTATTGATGATATAATGGCTAACTTTACTATCCTCTCTCACGCAAAGTACAAAATCCCCATGAATCGATGTACTGTCACGAACTAAGAATACGCCACCCTCCTTTTCACTCATAAGGAGATCAGATGCATCCTGTCTTGACATTGCTCCAAAGTACCAGCTAAAAAAAATCATTTAGAAGATAGTGAAAATCACTATAAAACAATTAGACAGCCCCTATATTTTGTATAAATCATAATTAGTATACTGAGAACGATCAGCATAATTTGGATCAGACTGCTGTCAAGTATGCTAAGAAAAATTAGTTTCCACCATGTACCTGGACTTGTCGTACTGATCAAACGTAGCCGTCATCGTGGTGCGAATATAACAAATACTCCACACAATATTCAATTACAAATCCACTCCTTTTATTAAAATATCGCAAAATATCTTCGAAACAATTGGTTAGTCGTCTGCATAGCGAGACATCACTTCATAAAAACCAGTGAAATTCACCAGTTCGCCCGACTTTTTCAGGGCTTTCGAATAAATAGTTAACTTTCTTTACTGAGCTTCAAGGAATGTCGATTATTCCAGAAACCCGAGACAGAAGTGTCACTCGAAGAAGCAAAAAATCACTTCATCCTGAACGACTCGTTGGGGCTACTTCGGATATTTGAACCTCTTTTCCACCGAGGATACATCAACTGATACGTATTGCACGCCTAGTACGTTTTATAATTTAAAAAATTTTCACAGAGAATAACTGGATCTCTAATAATAATGCGATAAAAAACACGTCTCCTCTTTGCTCCTTTAACACAGGGCGACTATGTACCATACGACATGTCAATTTTACGACATAAGACGTTCACCGTACCGACTTTGAAGTGCACTCTCACAAAAATGGTTGCCAGCATATCCTAGAACCTAACCCAATACTATGGAGTTTCATGAATATGATATCTGTCTCTGTCTGTCTCTCTCACGGTGAGTTTTCAATTGGACCATTTTAACACTAGATATGTGGATACCTTCCTCTGCCTCGATTTTTCACTTGTCGGGTCTTCGATCACTTTTGATTTGACGTAGGTACAATTTAATGAGGATTACTGAATACGCAACAATTGATTAACAGTATAGTACTGTTACAAGCAAGAAGATTGTACTGGAATTTTTAATATTTTCTCAGATACTTTGAAAGAGTATTCGAATGCATCCCGCTACAATGATACCACGATGAAACGAGGAACAAAATGACAATGACACTAAAACTTGGGATTTTCGATGATTCTTTGATTCTGTTGTATAAACTGATAGATATAATTGTTTGAACGGTGGGAGAATCACCTTCACATGTCATTCGGCTTTTTGCCGGTCAGATGGTATTCAATTTTTCTACTAAACGGTACTCCGTTCACATTCTTGTAAATTTGTACAATTTACTTTTGCAAAATGGGTGGTAAATGGTCGAGTATGGATCCTTCTGAAATTGAAGTCCCGCAATTGAAGGCACTTCTTGAGAGAGATCCTTATTTGGAGAACTATCAAACGGATATTCGTAGAAGGTTTGTATTTTAAACATTATTGAGTTATTTGAAAATTGCCATTGTTGTTTAGTACAGTTTGAATATAAATATTCAATTTTTATTATATTCTGTTATCCTTTATGATATGAATTTATAAAATACTGTCATGTAATGTAGTCTGTACAAAAAAATGAAGCTTATTTAAAACTTGTGTCAATTTTGAATTCATTGAATTTCTTTAGGTAAATAGAAAAGGATTGCTTTTATTGTTTTAAATTCAAACTTTATGCTGCTATTCATAATACATATTATTTTGGTCATTTTAAATTAGCTTTATCTTAGAAAAATTTTAATATAGAAGTTAACTCAGTTGATATCTAATTGACAAATTTATTATACATTAAGGTCACATATACATATGTTATACATTAAGGTCAATGCCACTGGTATCGTTATTTACACTACTAGTATAAGAGATTAAATATAATTGAATATGAGTAAATGATAATCATACGCTTATTAATCTAGATATGCAATATTCAAGGACTACGTGGAAAAGATTGAAGGGGGAGATAAAAGTTTAGATTTATTTTCTAAAGGTTTTGAAACTTTTGGTATCCATATGAATAAGGACAATAGTGTTACTGCAAGAGAATGGGCTCCTGGTGCTCAAGAACTTTTCTTAACAGGAGATTTCAGTAAGAAAATAGTGCAATATTTAATGTATAATGAACTAGCTTGAAAATATTCTTACCGACGTTTGTAACAACATAATTTTTCAAAAGACGGTTGGGACAAAACAAAAACTCCTTATAAGAAACTCGAATATGGCAAATGGGAGTTGAACTTACCACCAAATGCAGATGGTAGCTGTCCATTAGCACACCTGTCAGAGGTGAAAGTAATTGTCAAAAATCATAATGGAGAATTATTGGAAAGATTAAGTCCCTGGGCCACGTACGTGACCCAACCACCCAATCGCTCAGAGGGTACAACTTTTAAACAACGAATTTGGCATCCACCTGCAAATCAGGTTGCTTAGATTATCCTCACTTTTAATTATTGACATATATTGTCATTATAAGCATCATAGACTTACATAATTAATACTGATCACAGGTCTACAAGCTACAGCACCCTAAACCAAAGCGGCCAGAAAGTTTACGCATCTATGAATGCCATGTAGGTATAGCAACACAAGAATTCCGCGTTGGTACTTATTTAGAATTCTCCAAAGACATTGTACCACGAATTGTTAAACAAGGATACAATGCCATACAATTAATGGCAATAATGGAACATGCTTATTATGCAAGTTTTGGATATCAGGTATATATACTATACATTTATTATATTAGAATCAAACAAGTATATGAATTTAATTTCAAAAAGCTATCGTGACACATATGTAATCCGTTATCATAAATAATTAAGGTAACATCATTTTATGCCGCTTCCTCACGTTACGGTACTCCGGAAGAATTGAAAGAATTAATTGACGTCTGTCATCAACACGGCCTCTACGTTCTTCTAGATATGGTGCACTCTCATGCATCGAAAAATACTCTAGATGGATTAAATATGTTTGACGGAACCGATTCGTGTTTCTTCCACACTGGTAGTCGTGGTGAACATCCATTGTGGGACAGTCGTCTTTTCAATTATGCAGAATACGAAGTACTGCGATTCCTCTTATCTAATTTACGTTGGTATGTCGACGAATATGGCTTTGATGGATTCAGGTATAATCGAAATTTACTATTATGTCGCTCTGTGCTTTGTAATTATTTTTAAGACATCTTCATTTCTTAATATAGATTTGATGGTGTTACATCCATGTTATATCATTCGAGAGGCATGGGTCAAGGTTTTAGTGGACATTACGATGAATATTATGGATTAAATGTAGATGTCGAAGGTGTTGTGTATCTAATGTTAGCTAATCATATGCTTCATGAATTATATCCTGAAATGGTAACGATTGCCGAGGACGTTAGTGGTATGCCAGCAGTATGCAGGTAATGTACTTGGTGGAAAAAAAAAAAAAAAAAAAAAAAAAAAAAAAAAAAAAAAAAAAAAAAAAAAAAAAAATAGAATTATATAACTAATTAAAATGTGATCCCGATAGACCTGTTCCTGAAGGAGGTGTCGGTTTTGATTATCGTCTGGGTATGGCTATTCCTGATAAATGGATAAAACTCCTGAAAGAAGTGAAGGACGAAGACTGGAAAATCGGGGATATTTGCTGGACGCTCAGCAATCGCAGATGGATGGAAAAAACAGTAGCCTATTCCGAATCGCACGATCAGGCTCTTGTTGGTGATAAAACGATAGCTTTTTGGCTCATGGATAAAGAAATGTACACACACATGAGCGTGATAAGTCCACCGAATCCGATTATCAGTCGTGGCATTGCCTTGCATAATCTCATTACCCTAATCACTCATGGTCTTGGCGGTGAAGCCTATCTTAACTTTATGGGTGAGTAGAATTAGTTTTTCTTATCTGAGAGTTAGAAAAATATGTGTGTCTTTACGTGACGTATACAATAACAAGTCACATGATTTAGGTAATGAATTCGGCCATCCCGAATGGCTTGATTTTCCACGTGCTGGCAATGGCGATAGCTATCATTATGCCAGACGTCAATGGAACTTAGTGGATGACGAGATGCTCAAGTATAAATTCATGAATAACTGGGATCGTGCTGTAAACCATCTTGAAGAAAAATATGGATGGTTACACGCTAATCCCGTAAGATCATTGAAACCGATTATAATGATTTTGTTGATAATTCTTTTAGCTATCATGTTACTGTAATTATTCTAGGGATATGTAAGCTGGAAACACGAGGATGATAAGGTTATTGTCTTCGACCGCGCTGGCGTTATATTTGTCTTCAATTTTCATCCGACAAAGTCATTCCCTGATTATGCAATTGGCGTACACGAGGCTGGATCTTATAGTATTGTCTTGAATAGCGATGACTCAGAATTTGGTGGTGAATCTCGAGTTGATACTAGTATACGTCATTTTACAAAGGATGAGCCATTCTGTGATCGTCCACACAGAATGATGGCATATCTTCCCTGTCGTACTGCTCTTATTTTTGCTCGAGGTATTATCTCTTTTAAACAAATGGTACTCATGTTTATTTATTATGCTTCGTGTATGAATATGAGTTTTATTATGATTTTTCAGATCCCTGAATGAACTGTCTTATAGAAGCTGATGGGTCTTCACAGAGTGTTAAAAAAATTTTTATTATATACATTTAAAACTAAATGAAATTGCATTATTTGTATAAAGTGTTACGGCTACTGAGATTAGTTCGATACATTACTGAATATGGTTCTGAAAGGTATCTGACTGCTCACAACTTTTATAGTGTTCTATATAAGTCGTACCTTTTTGTACCTAGTTTCTTGTACAATGCAGATTCTATTTTCGATAGAAATAGCTTAACTATAATGAATGCTGATTTTTCAAAACCTTTATATTTGTATGCAATGATTTTATGTGCGTTGAAAAACTCATGTTATGTAATGAAATCGTTTATTAAATGAAATAATTCTTTTTTTAAACGTATTAGCTCTATGTCCATCCTTTACAAAGATTATTTATTAAAATAAATATTATGTATTTATAAACAAGCTAATAACTCAAATAATTCTTTAATTACTATTTTCAACTTGGTAATATACTATTTTCTACATTTTTATGAGTACTGTTTTCAAACTCAGCTTCGTTTATATCATAATTTACCATTTTCTTCTCAAGTATCCACCATTTATCCATAAAACCTATGTCGACTATCCTCTCATGAAATGTGAGATAGCGTGGTTTCAAATATGAGCAAGTGGCTTTGTAATGAGCACAAACCTCATCATAATTATCCAGCCAAATAAATGAAATTATTCCTAAACTTAATCGTCGTATAACACCTTCATTGTAACACTGCTCGATCCACTTTATATGTTGTACAGTTTCTGGATTTCGTATTGATTCACCAACTGTCATCACTTTAATAGAGTCCTGAAGTAACTGCTCGCGATAGGAACTTTCGTCAGGATTATGCTTGGCAAAATAATAACAGGATGCAAGAGCTAAAACATATTAATTATTATAAGAGATACTTCTAAATCTCGTGCACAGTAATACTTGTATGACATACTTGAAAAATAGAAAGTAGCACGTATCGGACGTTCTCTGCAATCTTTTGCGACATCAATTGCAACATCCTTATAGTCAATATATAAATTCTTCCAATATTTTCCTAAAAATATGACAGAACATTATACATGACTGAAGCATATAACCTAAAGAAAAAGGCGTTATTTAGAACAGTTACCCCAGCGCTCCAAAATTGTCCCTTTAATTTTCTCAGGTGTTTCGAAATTCTCTATCCGTGTAGCAATCTCACTTAATTTGTTACTAGTAGTATCAATAACCGATTTCATTCTACTCCGAAGAGAAAAAATTCTAGATAAGGCCATGTTGAACCCGGTTGTATAAGCCTCAATTATATGATACAAAAGGCAGATCAGATACGCAATTTTATTAATTTACACCGCATAATCAGTAATGAGACAAATCATAAGATTAATATTAGAATACACGATTGAAATCCTCCCCGTTGTACTACAACAATAGGTACAAAGTATATCTGCCGAAAAGAAACAATTTTAAGTACATATAGTTGCTGAACTTTAGATTTTCAAACAAACTCCACAGGACTGTACATACTCGTGCTGTAAATTAGTACTTATTTATTTATAAATTCCAAAAAATTCTCCAACAATATATATTTAACAGTCTTTATTGAGCAATCTATTTATTGAACAACGTTTAAAATATCCGCCTTCCCGTAAAAGAACCAGTAAGCAACGGATCTCTTATGATTACGTGTGCATACATACATACATCCATGCACCGAATCAGAAATATATTGTCAAATTTCCAAGTGTAGTGTCTTCTTCCATTGACGTATCAATTATTCTGTAGACCCCAGGAAGCTGCGACTCATAATAAAAATTCAAGAATTTATATATGTATTAAGGATATAGGAATTAACATAAGACACCGTGTCCTCGTGAAGAAAGATCTGTAACATGTGATTTGGAAAGTACTTCTTATTCTTACAATTGCGTAAAATTGATACGTGGTCTTTCTAACACGAGATACAGTCCTGCTCTACTGATACACTGCCAGAAGATTAAACGTTTCTAGTTGAGGACGAGGAAACACAAACACAAACGCGCAAATGTCAGCCGTTCGGTACGAAGAACCAGATGTAGATATGTCTATGGGGTGTAGCTAGGCAATTTTGTATTTCTACAAAGTAGAATATTGAGTAAAATTGAAAGTATTTTAGTGAAAAGCAATGGAGGGTCAGCAGGTATGTACTTATACGTTTAATAATCTTTATTTGGTTAGCAAGTACTTAGAGAATTAGGATTATGACTCATATCTGCTAGAGTGGCAGAACGAAATCCTTTGTTTCTATCATTCAGTAGATGATTTCTTGTACTAATTCAGATTCTTTTACAGGTACGGGCCCTTTATGAATTCAAGGGTGAACCGGGAACAGCAGAATTATCCATTAACGCTGGAGAAATTCTAACAGTGATGAGAGACAATGTGGGTGATGGATGGTGCGAAGGATTTAATGAGAGTGGACAGTCAGGTCTGTTCCCTGCAGCTTATGTCCAAGTGGTTGAAGCAGCTGCACCAATTACAGGTATTATTGTTTACTACTACTTAAAAAATTTATTTTACATATTTAATAGTGGAATATTTTGATAGTTGGCAATTCCTCCACATCATAAATAATTATTGCAAAGTAATTGAAAAAATCTTTATAAGATCTATCTACTTGATTTTATATCAAGAAATTATTTATGATAACAATTTGTATAATTCTTGTACAAGTGGCTATCCAATAGCCACTATAAATATGGCGTGGAAAATGATTGGAGTATCATATTCATGATAAAAAGTTATCATTGTGCATGTTAAATGTCAAGCAGTAATCTGCGTTTTTAAGATTACAGTAGAAATACCATGTAATCAATTATTGCCATCCTATAAAAACTTTCTTATTGCATTAAGCATACTTGTTCATTATTGAACCTATTTTTATGAAAGGTAATATGACAGCATCCCAGCAAAGCACTGGTGATTTCTGGGATGATGATTGGGACGATGACTCTGATGCAGGACAAACACAACCTTACGTCCCTCCCGTCCAACAGCACCAAATGATACAACCAGCCCAACCTCACACTGTAGACTACGGAGACATAGTATCCATGCACACAATCCACTCGGTAATACCAGAGAGGCCCATTTCCAATGTACCAAAGAAAAACAACAAATTTTCTACGCTGATCAAGTCGGGCGAAGATAGTTTTCTGCTGGGTACTAAGTTGTTGAATGTACCAGACAGTGAAAAAGTATTCATTGATGAAGTAGAAGGAGGACGCTGTACGTGGGTACCGACTGGTGAAAGTTATAACTGCGTTGTCACATCCCCAAAGAAAGAGTCAAAACTCAAGGGCTTGAAGAGTTTTATAGTTTACCAATTAACACCCACGGTAAGTTGATAACAGTCACTAGCATCTGTTAACTTAAAAGACATACAGTTCCTTTAAAACACATACCATTCGTTTTGTAGTTCAACAATATTCAAGTATCTCGAAGATACAAACATTTTGATTGGCTACACGAGCGCTTAGAAGAGAAATTCTGTTTCATCCCGATACCTCCATTACCTGACAAGCAGATATCAGGTCGTTACGAAGAGCAGTTCATAGAGCACCGACGAACGCAGCTACAGGAATTTGTCGATTATGTCTGCAGGCATCCAGTATTGTCTCGAAGCCGCGTTTGGGAACATTTCATGACGTGTACAGATGAGAAACGTTGGAAAGCTGGAAAGCGTCAAGCCGAGAAGGACGAGCTTTTGGGTGTAAATTATTTCAATGCAATCCAGTGTGCTGATCTTCCGCCACTTGACCCGATCAAGGTTGAAATTGAGACTGATGCCTTCTCAAGGTTCATCTCGGGACTGGATCCGGTGGTGAAGAACTTCATGGCAGTAGCTGTAGATCAGACAAAAAAGCATCAGGTCCTCTACAAGCGTGAATTCCAGAAGATCGGACAATCTTTTACAGCCCTAGGTCACGCCCTGGAAGCCGACGACAGTAGTAGAGGCAGACTGACCCATGCCCTCAAGATGACCGGGGACGCTTACAACGAAATAGGAAGATTATACGAAGAACAGCCGAAGTTCGACTGGGAGCCTCTTGGTGACAAATTCCATATTTACAGAGGAATCATCAGTAGTTTCCCGGACGTCATCAGTATACATAAGGTACGCTTTCAAGAAGCTTATAAAGATTATAATGAATCTTTAACCCCGCCATTTTTCTTCGCAGAGTGCTGTTCAGAAGCGAAGAGACTCGGAGAGGCTAGTCAGTGAACACAAAATGGAGCCACAGCAATTGCAGGATCTGTGCATCAGGACAGATGTGATAACCCGCGCTCTTATGGCAGAGGAAACGCATTTTCAATCAGAGCGCGAAATTCACATAAATCAAGCTATGAAGAATCACCTTGTAGAGCAGATAAACTTTTATCAAAAAATTGTGAATAAGCTCCAGGAGGCATTAGCAACGTATGACGGTTGATTATTACATAAAAACCCTATTTGTATTAGAGGCACGATTTAACGAGTCAAAAGTGATGGACACAATGATACCCTACTAATTCAACCTAATGCAGAAACCTAGTTGCGGTCAGTTCACTTTCCTGCAACTGGGTTACGAATTCACTAGGTGAACACTTCTTAAGACAGAGTATTACTTTAGCGCACTTTCGGATTGTACATACCACTATTTCGTTATGGACCAAGCAACAAAATGATTATCACGAATAATTGCATTTCATCGAAAAAGAAGAACGAATCGAATGCTAGTATTTATCGAATGGTGTGAAATCGCTAGAATTAATCGAATGCTACTATCAATAGTAATCGTGATCTGATAATGGCATTCTTGAAAATTTTTCTGTAATCTACACTCAAACGACTAAGTCAGTCGATAATTCATTGTAAAGCGACGATTTGTAAATAGGATAATGGCCAATTTTATTGAGTGTCTTTTTTCTTGGAGAAAATTCATTCTCTCCCCCATGTCCGCGATCTAAATAGTCAATCATTTCTCATGAGTTTCCGCAAGTCCTTATGTGTAAATAAATGTAATTTACTTCAGCAATTGTCAATATAGATAGTAATACAGAATAGTACGTCAATATGGTATTGATCCTGATGTATAAACGGATATTACATCTTGGAATGGAAGATAAGCACCTGAGCGTAGCGATGCTTGTAACGGGGCTTAACGGGACCAAAATGTCTCACTTTTTGACTCCTTTTCTTAGTTAATTATCGAAGTCACCTATATCCATAAAAAGACAAAGTCATACTGTAAAGCCTTTGACAATGAAATTTTTCACAATTTTACAGAACGAATTTTGTCATTCGTACAAGTACATGATGATCTGCATCCTGGATCATCGTTGCGTTTAACGAAATAATAAATAAGAAACTGTTAACATTTCCATGCCTCAGCGATATCTTTTCAAACTGTCGTAAGTCGAACCGATTGTTGATTAATAAATAATTATTAAATTGACAGAGAATGCAAATAATAATTTCGAATTTACAAGTATCATACAGAATGGGTATGTCTGGTGCTAAATAGATAATACATTTGTACAGTAGAAAATATGTGACGAATCAGCCTCTAACTTTAAACGATACACAATGATTCTTTTTGTCTTTATTAATTAATTTATTAATCTAATAGTAGCGCATTGTACTCACAATCATCATCATGATCCTAATAGCCTTTCACCCGTAATATTAGAATCTCCTATCTTGAGCACAAGCTTAAAGAGTTTTTGTAAATGGTATTAATTATATATAAAAAATCGCTACTCGACGAAGTCGGCACTCCAATAAAGGTACCACTATGTCAATAATATGAATTTTTACATCATCCTAAAATCCCCTTTAGTCGTAACGATCCTTACATGCGAATAGAACTATCTAATTAACTTAACGACACAAACTAACTTTGAAATCAAATATATACTAATAAAAGATAATCGTTCCAAGGAATCGTTCAGCCTTTGAGACTCAAAATCATCTCAATAGGCATAATGTGAATTACAAGCGTGCAAATAAAACATAGTCAATAACAGTTCAGTAGCCTTAAGTAAAATCAAATGTCTCATTAAATTATCTAAAACCAATAGAACAGAAACCAAAAAGAGAGAGCGCCCTCGTCATTACAAAAATGAGGCAGCCTTAAGATCTGCGTGGCTCTATTTCTGTCCTGGTATTCCTAAAAGTACGTGCAAAATATTTATAAACGAATGCCTTCGCTGATTTATACAAAGCCAGCTGTAACCAACTGAATACATTCCTCGCGAATTGATGCTAATACCAATAATCAAGCATTGAAAAGCAAAAAAATGAATGTATGCGCGAAGCCATTAATAAAAATATCCAGTTAGACTGTAGAAATGCTTAAGGCTTAAGGATTTAATGAAGGAGGTTTCAATTAGTCGTTACTTTTTGTCTAGCGTAACGGATTAGTGGATAGGTGCTTTATACGTATAATTTAACAATAATCATTCAGACAGTTTAGTAACAGCGATAACTCCGTCTCCCTACTCAACAGTCAGTCTGAGCTTCATAATTTCTCTTTATGTTTCCCTTATCAGACTGCGTTAGTGCTTCGTTAAATCGTCATTTAATTTCACCTTAATTTTACATCACATTTACAATGCTCGCTGCCGATATGTTCACTTATGTGGCACGGTAACGTTCGATACAAGCTAAAACCTCCTGTTTTTACTTTCCTTTAGAATTTGAGAGACGCTTCAGCGATTTATCGGCAAGCGACGGTATATCTCGATTACTTTTTTTTTCTTTCTTTTACATTTTTTCCCTTGCTTTATTTTCTTTATAATAATTAGCTGCAGTGAACTCTTCGAGTCGGATGACACGATGTCGATGAGACGACCACGGCGCACAATTTTCGGCGCAGCCAAAGCGCATCGAGCGTAGAAGAACAGATAGAAAGACAAAAGAAAAATAAGAGAGGTTAGAAAATAATTATTACGATTTTAAGTACAGTATCGCAATTACCTTTACAGCGCGTACTTCTACATTATTTAGTCCTTATCGCTATAGCGTTTTATCAGACTTTCGCAATTTAAGAATTAAGAACCCTGACATTCATCTTCATTGGATCTCAACAGCGTCTCTCGCAGTGGAACGGTTTGTCTTCAATTAATTCTATCGAGTTTCGAGTGTTCGGCAGGTTTCTTGTCGCTTTTTGTTTCCTCTCATTCACGGGACTTGATATGGGAAAATTCGTTGATAAAGTTTTTACTTTGTTTCTTTGATCATTTCTTTGTACGCTGTACGATTCAGAAGGTCCTGTACATAATAGACGTTACAATACGAATAAGAAACGATACCTATTTTTTTTTATATATGCATACAACAATATAGGCATTTGTACTATCCGATTACACGGTATGCTGCGATATCTTTGTATCTGTGTACATAAGTATGTCGATTGTATTTCACATTGTATCGAGCATAACTATGATAATTGGATACAAGCATATATTATCAATCGCTCTCGATAAACGAACGTCGCTGACAATTACAAACGTACCTAGTAAAACAATCAAATAAAATTCGAGCCGCGTGCAGCGACCTTGAGCCACAGGAGTAAGAGTTGTCTAAGTAAAGGAGATTCTCTTACTCCGATTAAAAGTATCCTAAGAATCGATTAAATTCGTCTGTATAACAAGTCGTAAGTACGAAGGAAACAAAAAAATATATATATATAATAAAACAAAAAGGAAAAAGAGAAAGAAAAAAAAACTTAAACACACAGTAACATCATAAAATGAACTTAACGGTCTTAAAAGTACAAGTTTCCCTTAAAAATGCTCATCATCGACATTGTGTCATCCGAAGGCACACCAGAACGGCCTACCGATTTGCGCGATAAAATATGCACAGCATTATCGTATCGATTTGATTGGCATATCGTTATCACGATAACAATTGTGAACAATGATCGTAAAAAGCACAGTTTATAGCTCTCGGTCTTCGTACGCTTTCCTATAAACCTGGTTACTCTTAATTTTTCCTCGCTTTTCTTTGAATTACTTATATATTTATGGCATTTAATAAAGAATATATATATATATATATATTTATATTTATATAAGTATGCCTTATGTTTATCGTTAACTTTAAAATTATTTTTAAGAGTCAAGTATTAACTTAGCGAATCGATTAAAATCCCTTCGTACATCATTAGCGCCCGATCCACAGAGACAGACGTGTTCGGCGTTCGGGTATTCCATATTAAGTGATTATATCACGGACTTAGTTTTGATCTGCTGAGAGATATATAGAATTAGAGAGTGACGTAGGAATGCCCGCTCGATAAAGAGCAATTAACTTACTTATTTCCTACAGTTCGGAGCTATTAGCGTTTCTCCAGAAGTTTTCTACATTTATATTGTTCGTACCTTCGTTTCTCGCTAATAACAGATCTAATGAACATATGTCGACAGACGGATGCACCAAGAGTGCAAAAATAATATACACGTACACGCTCATGCGGTAAGCTAGTTTATATTTTATCCGTCTGTCAAATACTTTTCTCTTTAATTGTCGCTGATGTAGTTTACCCTCTCCCCCCGCCGCCACCTGCCAACTGCAGGGGGAAGCTCCTCCGACAACGCCACCTGAGACCCAGAGACGTTCCCTTGCCGTTGGGTCTTGAAGGTGTCACGACGAAGGTAAAACGAACAATGAAAATGGACGCCCGTGGCTCGCTGCAAGCTTACGCGACTTTATCACAATAGCACAGCAATTGCAAGGAACATTTATGGCATCTAATAGAGTCAACGAGATCGAGATTGACAGCGTCGACAAAAGATTTCGAAATCTATCGAGGAAGTGGAGGACAAGGAATCGCAAGTCGGATAGGGGGAGAGAAAATTGTAAATCGGCAAGTCGATGTCTACTCAAAAGGCTAAGGTACCATTGAAATTCGCAGCGTTGAAAGTACACAAGTATCATTCGTGTCTCGTTTAGGGTCGTAGCGAACCAGGGCTGAATAACGAGCACCATTTTTGTTTTCTCATCGAGCGAATAACCGAAAATCGCCAGTGGAGCGCTTTCAATATTTTCCACGTTGAATAACTCCACAAATATTTTAAGCCGTCGTCGTTCAGTAACAGTGCAGATAGAAAATGATCGTTTATTATTCTTTAAAGTTAATCCGTGACACGAATTCGTCGACGAGCCAATCGATCCACCAGCATTTTCGGAAGACTCGAATAATCAGTATAACGTGTACACAATACATTGCGAGGCATTATAGTGCATTGTATAAGTTTTCCATTAACGTATTTTTAGGAATATATGTACACATTTGCTTCATCGCTCGAGATTAACTGCGCATCCGCTTTTTAGAGCGAGTGAGTACTACAGAACAGGTATTTCATCTTAAAGTGTATATCGCGATGGAAGAAAAGGTCTTTAAAATTTTCCCAATGGAGTCGCGACCTCTTAAAAACTCCTTAAAAGTTTAACAATCCTCATCAAGGTGTCCCTCGAAGAAGAAGTCAGACGAAAGCGATTGTAGTATTACACGGATAATCAAAAGCCGACTTATTAACAGTATCTATGAGAATCAGTAGAGATCGAAACGGATATAGTAAATAGATAGAGTAAAATCGGGCGGAGCTACTTAAGATTTTAAATCGTAGCAGTTCCATCCGCTTAAAGAGACCCTCGATTTACATTATTCGAGCGTAGTGCAGCAATGAGAAAGAGATAAAGAAGCGCAAGGACAATCGCCTATATCGCGCGGGCTTTTCAACGAAGACCTGACCACGAGACCATCGTCGAAGCGGTTAATGCCGAGTAGAACCGATTACGACACAAGGATGACAATAATAACATAACGTCGCCACAATCATCGTCATCGCCGTAATCAACATAACCGCAACAGCGCAGATCGAATCGAACGCGAGAAGTTTAGACGCTTCGTTCAACGAAGCCTCTCTATCGTGCATGACGACACGCACGAGCGTCGTATAAGCTGTTCGAGCCATAATATTCAGCTTTTCTTGTGTCTCCTCTGCTTTCTAAGATAGGAAACATTAGCGCGGAATAACGTAGAGATAGCGGTACGCGTGCTACCCCACAGTTTGAAGCGTTTGTTGCGCACGTATAAGGGAAAGTCGGGCGGTGCATTAGAAGAAGGTAACGGCGAAGACGTCGGTGAGGTCGAAGGCGGCGAGAAAGGAGAGGATGGAGACAGGGCCACCATGTTTGGCAAGGACGTTGGTGGCACGGGAGTGTGCTTCAATTGTAGTTGGTCGATGGTGGCCCCGGGACTCTGTGTTGTTGTTGTTGTTGTTGTTGTTGTTGTTGTTGCTGCTGCTGCTGTTGCTGTTGGTGGTGATGATGGTTGTTGGGGTTGAGTTGGGATTGTTCGGGGCGCGGGTTGACGCTGGAGGGGCCTGTCGATCCTGGTCCCTGCTGCTGTTGGCCGCTGTTGAGCGCCAACCGCTGCATCTGACGTATAACCGTGGCCGCGTGATATGCTTGCTGCAACCATGACACAACAGGGAGACTTTCCTACGGAGCCTGGCGAGCAAACACACACATGCTATCAGTCGCTTGCTAATCGATTATCCGTACTAACCTTCCACCTTGACTTGGCAAAGTTCTTTTTAAGTTGTTCCGATACAGTACCATGGATATTTTTATTGCTTGCTGCGTTGCCGGATATCCTGGAAAAAAAATCAATTCATATTGCTTAATCAACTTGAATGCGCTGGTCCACTTACGGATACGAATAATTAGTGAAGGAGGGGCTGGTAGCGAGAAGAATCGGTAGCTCGCTATATACATATATAGAATGTATATGTCATAGCTCCAATAATATTCACCGCGCTATTTATCGATTAAATAATAATAACGACATTCTTCTGATGCACTGATCCGACGATTCAGTCGCTACCAACCCTGCCTGAGCTTATCGGTACGATTCTGCTTATCCTATACTGTCAATGGACCCCGCAATCCCACCGATACACCCTTGATTAAAAAGAAAAATATACTAGATTAGTATAAAGGGCACGTGATATAGTGTCATGTTATTTTTGCAAAAAAGAAACCCGATGGCACCAGATAATAGAGAATATCAAAAACAAAGCTAGAATAAAGCAAAGAGATAGAAGGAGAGAGCGAGAGAGAAACAGTGAATGAGAGTAGATTTCGTGAGTAAAGATAACATACGAAAACAAGATAATTGCGTGACGATAAGAGAAAGTGCGTCTTTTACTTACTGGAAATTTTGTCACTACACTTTGTTTTATTTTTTAATAACTTTAATATACATTCCCAATAACTCCGTAGATCCAACGTCCCTGATACCTGGGACATAATCGTGTTCAGTAATAGCAGTAGACATACCAAAAAGAGATCTATTCATAAAAGTAGCATCCGTGCGTTTAGTAATTGCATTAGTAATAAAATCATCGTCAATGATTATTGCTAATTGAGAGTGCCAATAAGACGTAATAATAATTATTCTGTGCCTCGTATATCAGACAAACAAGTGTGAGGTTTAGGTGCGTCCAAAAGCATACGTTTCACGTTAACGTATATAGGTGGTACATAAGACCAGAGAGACAAACGTATACACGCAGTGTCAGTAATATTGTCCTTTGTTATCGAATCCTCTATGAAGTGTCGTGTGCATCCTCAAAGAAATAACTTACCAGGGATGCGCCAATGCCTGCTTGCAGGTGTAACGTTCCTCGACATTGACGCACATCAGCTTGTGGATGAAATCCTTTGCGGAGTCGCTGATATCGTCCCAGTACGGCGAATCGAATTCAAATTCACCTACAACAGTCTGGTTAGCTCTTTTCTATAGGGTGGACAGTATTCGTACTCATTGAAATAAAGTTGGAATCAGATACGACTACAAAATATCAAAGTCGGACAGAATAAACGTTTAATGTAAAAGAGGAAGACAAAGATTCTTCGAAAATCTTAAAAATCCAATCAGTTTGCATTACCCGTGATTATTTTCAATAACATTTATATTTTCAACGATGCATCGCGACTGCCTTCGCAATTAATGAGTTACGCGAGCGATTCCAAATCCTTTTTTTCAATGTGTTCGTTACGAAGTATCCGGATAGGACGAAGCAACGTGAAATGCCAGATCGACGAAAAGTACTCGAGTATCAAAGAGAAACGTGTGGAAGCACGTAGAAACGTGAGCGACAATGGATAATAAAAATGTCACGTAGGCACAAGGCAATATCCGTTTACTTACTACGTTAAATACGTACTATAGCAGCATATAAGAACTAGAATATAGCACCTTAAAAATGAAAATAAGAAATTAATAATTAGCACAGTGCCACCGTGTCGCTAGTATCGTGCGTAACGCGTAGTTTAAAAAAAAGAAATAAAAATAAATTATCCATTGACATATCGTCACGATACATCTCAGAATGATGGCGGTGGTTACCTTTTAAAATTTGTGCAAATAGATTGGCATCGTTCTCATCGTAGAAGGGAGGATAACCACATAGGAGTATGTAGGAGATGACGCCTATGCTCCAAACGTCCACAGCCTTCCCATATGGCTTCTGCGCCAGGACTTCAGGTGCTGCAAAACAAACTCGATAAGAAACTCTTTCTCCTCAAGAGACACATAAAAGTAATGCGACTACGTATAATAAAGTTCTCGAAATTTATTATACGAAAAAAGAAAATAAAGAAACAAAGAGAACGCACGTCATTCCCTCTGCAGAAGGAATTTTCCACGCGCTCTAACGTACCGACGTATCCCGGAGTACCGCAAGCAGTGGCCATTATTCCAGAATCCTCCATCTTCGATAGGCCAAAGTCACTGATCATTATCTTACTATCCTCATCGGGACTGTAATAAAGTAGATTCTCAGGTTTCAAATCCCTATGAACGACACCCTGCTCGTGCATGTAATCCACAGCCTCCAGTACTTGTCTTATCAATCCAGAAGCGTCCTTTTCCGTATAGGAACCCTTCTCCACAATTCTGTCAAAGAGTTCGCCACCGGTGACCCTGAGAACCAACAAGAAAGATACAAGTGAGTAATCGATGTGACGTTTAACCATTAGACCCAACCAACTGCTGGACGTCTATGAAAGAGAATATGTAAAAGGCAATTCATATACATTGATTTGCAACGTGAATTCTATTGGTACGTTAGACGAAAAAAAAAAAAATGAAAAACTCGTCTAATCTTTTAAACCAATATTACAAACGTTCCATTATGTATTCTATTAGCATGTTTGTCCATGGACAAAAGTCTCCGTCGTCCATGAGTAACAGTTGTGAGTCATCCGAAAAATTTTGTCTCATTACTCTTAGTTAACTCACAGTTCCATCACCAGATAGACCTTGTGTTTGTCCTCGAACGTCTCCAGAAGCTGTACGATGTTCGGATGGGTTAACCTGAAACAATTGAAACAATTCTTAGTGCCGAGTAGTTAATTGTCACTCTGTCAACATTTAGAGCCCCACCTCCCCATGCTGTCAGGGGGGGTGCACCGTCTGCATGCTACCCTACTTCAAGGTACACATATGCGCCATTTGTAAGAGTACGTATTCAAGGAGAAAGCGAATTACGCGTTTTCTCATAACCGTGTCGAAATTGACCATAGAAATTTATAAGTTAGAGTAGAAGTACACTCGGTTCGACGTAGTATCAGAGAGTTGTCTCGATATTGATAAATCAATTTTACATAACGATACGAATATTTTTTCCGTACTATACACCAAGACAGTACCTGCAAAAGATGGCGCAGTGAAAATCAGCTGCAATGAAATTAGAGTTTAAACGCGAAATGTCTGTTTGGTCCTAAATAAATCGTAATAACGAAAAAGAGATCCTACTGGTCCCAGAATTTCGTAAGGACGACTTCCACGTTGACACAGCGATACTTTATTTGAAACATTGCAACAATGCGCGTGGAATGATATCGATACATCGTGCACGATACTATCGAATTGCTTTTCGATTGGCATTCCCAATAAACGAATAGATCGAAGTGGCAGAAGTATACTAAAGCCAGTGTCCCTCGTATACGTAACGAATAGAATATATGTATATATCGACAATTTCGACACGTGCAATCGTAGACATATGGATGCATACAAGAATTCCATTAAGCCAGCCCTTGAATCTTTCGCAAAGCAAAGTAGTACAGAAATTACATTAACAGTCCCGTCTTGCCAATCCTTCAGCTACACATTTCGTATCCCACGGGCAATGTATACGTATACAATTAATACCAAAGAGAGACTACACAATAAACATAAACAGTTCTCGTACGACTGAAACAAACAAGTACTACTTAAATTAGACGAAAAGACAAACGGTAAGAAAAAACAAATCAATAAAATAAGTATCGAGAGATCGAACTCTCGCATGACGAGTACACCGGGCCATCTAAATGTCACATATAGCCAAAGCATTAAAGAGTCCACCGATTGCATTTAATAACGTTCACCAATTGCATTGTAGATAATTGATCCCACCGAGTATATGCATCAAAATAAAAAAACATCGCATACATTATACATATAGAGTTGTATATACGTATATATGTATACATATATAGGACATATAAGCCATCCACTGGAAGCTGCGAGAACGTGACTATGTGTGTATCTGAACAGTTGTGTATTTAGTGTCGTGTATGAACACAATGTTGCGTATGTGGGTATATGTATATGTATATGTATATATATATATATATATATATATATATATATATATATATATATATATATATATATATATATATATATATATATATATATATATATATATATATATATATATATATATATATAGCGTATGACAAAACATGAGGGTTATACGTATAGTACGCATATCGGTATCACATATGTATATACGTACGTGCTATTGTGACTTGGCATCGATATATGTATTGATACTTTATAAATGGATAAGATGACACAATACGTAATTTACAGGTGCGAGAAGCATCTGCGCCTAACAAAATTGGAAACATGCTCGAGAGGTTTTTCTTCGAAATTCTTCCCATGCTTGCGAGAATATTGAAGCAATGGCGTAGACGTGTAATTAGAAATTCGAAATTGTCACGTGACTGCGAAGAATAATGGTCGGGCGAGTTAATCGGGTGTCGGGTAAATTTTGTTAATGTTCCTACGCGCGTTACTCGTGTGTAAGAATAGAAAAAAAATTAATGTATTATTTTCGAAACAATCAAATTTTTTTCTTCTCGTTGCGAATTGTGTGTACAGTTGATTAGCGACAGTGTATACCGAGTGTTCACGTTAGTTTTAGGATATACGGTGAAAGCTATGAAAATCGGACATTTTGGGAAGACGTGAAGGAATGAGGTGCTGGGAGGGGGGGTGATAAATAAAAAGAGAATGAAAAGTTGCGAAAGTAATATGAGACGTGATTTGTCAATGAGATTGATGAAAAAAAAAACTGATTGATTTATGTAGAAATTTCAAAATTTTTTTGATCTCACTTTTTTCAAAATATTCCATTCCTCAGGACTGATTTTCGATTGTGTAATGAGCAGAGGTCTAGAGGTCGTTTCCTTAGTGTCACGTGCCATGCATGTACGGGTATACCAGAAGTGCGCGTGAATCGATAAAAAATGACATCCTATTAATACCCTAATACAGTAAATAGATATGCAATGTAAATCCCACGGTAATTTAATGGATCCGCCCAAAAGTTCGACAGCTTTGACGATACGATTAATCACGATCATTCCGAAAAACGTTATTAATTATCGAGAAAACTTTCAAAAGTGATGCTACCTGACTCGGTTGCGAAGACGAGTATTAGGTGGAAAATTTAAGAATCTCGAGACTGATAAAAATTTATATAAATTTGCAATTGCAAATTAGTCAGGTAAATAAGGATGGATTTCTTTGGAACAAAGTATTTCGAATTAAAAAAAAAAAAAATACAAATTTACGTAGAAAGATATATAGATACGGATAAGATTAAGAAACGAAAAAAATTTTACAATAAAATGTAATTGCAGGTACCGGATTTGATAATTAAAAAAAAAATAACCGACATACGTAACATATATGTATATATATATGGAAGACGGTGCGTGAGATTGTAAGTGTGCGTGAGTATTTTTCGTGCGATTCCGAAATTGTAAATGACGTATGAACGTATTTTGTTGGTCGAGTGATAACAAAAAATAGGGTGCCGTGGTTATAGGCAGTCGGTACCCGTGCAAAGGGCCCACACTTACCATCCTCTTTCGCCACTACTATCCGACTTGAGCGGCCCATCACCACTGTGTGGTGTCACTGTTTCACTGAACCTACGAATTACAATAACACCGTACACAATCACATAATACATATCGAGTGCGGCTGATTGCTTGATTGCCTGTACGCTTGTTCGGTGTTTGATTAGTGATCTGATTAATTAATTCGCTTAAAATAAATAGCTTCCTCCACAGTGTACAAATAAGATGAATTTGGCGGAAACGCCGGTGTTACGTGAAAAAAAAAAAAGAATTTTTTTGCGAGGCTCTTGTATGATAATAGGACTGATAAAACGGAAAAGATACAAAGCAGAACCAGGAAAACGTATTTCAGAAGCATATGGGATGAGGATATCGATAGAAAATTTACAATCAATAAATATTAAGACTGGCATAACCTATAATATATCAATAGCAACTATCGAGCTCGTGGCTGCGAATTAAAGTTGGTAATTCTCTTTTTTTTTTTTTTCTTTTGGTTTTGCATATAAATTTCAAGGTCTATATTAAAGCAAAGACGTAAGACATGTTTCAGATCTTCAATAATGTTATGATAATCTATGTTAAACTTTAGGCGCAAGCCACATGGCGTTAAATGGAATATAAAAAGGGAATTATTAAAAGGCGGTATCAAGGAAGAGGATACGTTTATCAGGTAGCGTCGTATACGTATAAGACCGTGTATGCAAATAGACAAGGAGAGATAGTGCGCACTAATCATTCCATAGAAAAGTGAAAAAGAGAGACTGGAATCCCCATTTAAATACGAAAGCTAAGGATTGTTATGAATTTACTTGAACATTAATCCAATTGTTATAACGTTGAATATTATTACCGAGAAATACGACTTGTAACCTAAGGAGAACGCATCCAGTGCTGTAATGGATCTGATAACTTATCGTTTTAAATATGCATTGTTTTCGCGCCCCTTGATACTTTTCAAACGTCAAACAGCACGTATTTAAAAATCCTACTGCGGATATATTTTGTACTTTGTCGTCAACGTCTTGGACCCCACCTTCTCTCATTGCGTAGATGTGTACATACATGAGCTTGTTACTGCAGGAATTAATTTTTACTGTAACAAACATACGAATTAGCAATTTAGCACACGACATTTAGGAAAGGTAACGTGGACAGCCATAAGAGCTCGCATCAGATTTCATCATCTCACAGCACATTGAGATTCAAATGTTCGAAAAGTGGAAAGTGCAGCTGCCGGTATACAGGTTAGTTCAAACTCGCTAGTCGGGCTTGACAGATGTCAAACGGTCGGGTATGATTAAGTGCCTCCGAATAGAAACTTTCACAACCGAACAGCCATTGGTAATATAAGGAATAAATATGGTCAAATTTCAAAATACTACTGAAATTCTCAAAGTATGAAAGTCATTGGCACTCGTAGCCGTACCCGTGAAACGAGTGACTACCTTGATTTTTTTTAAACTGTTTCCGTCCTTCTCTAACGCACGCAAGCACACATAAGTATGTCTCCGTCGCACTCGCGGAGTATATAAGAAAGTCGAAAAATCCATTGCGTCCTTCCTTCCTCTTCACTGCCAAATGTTACTGAACCAAAACCTTCGCGTGACGACTGTCAAGTTTACTTGACTTGTTTCAACTGTATATACCTGTATACCTGTGTGTTTATACACATCTCTCTCTTGTGTATAATAAAACATAATCGTGGAGTTGCATATGTAGTGTGAGCAGTATTAAATAGACGGCGTTGAAACGCGCGAACTACCGTGCATTTGTCGGCGCTTGTGGAAACTTTGAAAAGTTTACTGAGAATATAGAATTTCTTTCAAGTTCCTTGAAATGTGATTCTACGTTTCAAGAGAAAGAGTGTTTAGAGAGAAGCGGATATAGAGCGACGTTCCACTAGCGTTTCCTATTATCATCACCCACTGTTGCTACACTAATAAAGTAGTATAGCTGCTATAGTAGTCGAATATAGTAATAAAGTGTGAAAATAATGTAATAATATAGTACACACGGGGCAATAGGCTTTTGATATAAGAAGCGCGCAATATAAGAAGCATGCAGAAAAGTAGTGGAAACCGATCCGAGTGATCTTGGACCAGTTCTCTCTTTTTTTTTTAAATCGGTTTAAGCTAACCGAAGTGCTTCTTTTTTTTTTACTAAATGAAGTGTCCAGTATCATCCATTCTTGGGACAGTTAGCTGGTTAGGCTTTTAGGATCAGACTGTTTCTCATAGCCACCAAAAGCCTACCTTCGCAGTACTTTGATTTCATTCTCTAAAGAGTCTTCCTTCCCCTTCAGCGCTTTCTTGTCAATAATTTTCACTGCAAACATTTGTCCTGGTTTGTCCTTACTTTCAGCTAGTCGAACCTCCGAAAAGGCACCCCTGTGAAAGAAAAAGAATCATTATAATTCCTTGTACGATCTATCTTGCAAATTATGATATGCTTGTTCAATAGATCATAAATGATGTTAAACAATATTACATTGGTATTAATATCGTTTTCAAAACTTTATGTGAAAGATGATGTGATTGATTATTTAGACATACGGTTATATTATTTGAAATGGCATATGCTTGTTCTACGCATATATTTATGACTGATATCAGTCCATTCATCTATTATGAACCTGTTTGTTGAATCTGGTCAAGGCTTTTATATAATTATTAAGTATTTTTGTCACTTTTCTTGAATAACAGTGATTACATCCAATGTGTATTGACGTAGATTCTATGTTTTCACATTAATTATGACCGATATAAAAATCTTTAGTACACAATTGTCATTTCCATAATTAAATTTCAATTATATTTAAATGACGGGCCTAGAAAGGATAGGAAGGATAGGAAGTAATTATAATAAATATGATAAATTCATCATTTTGTAAATTGTCTTAAAATAAATACTTGAGTATAGAAGCAGAGAATATATTAGCTCTTACAGATAAACGAGTCATAATTTGTTTTTATGAATGGTGATAACATGCTTAGCTGGATGAATTACCAAAGTATCATGCCTTAATGACAATCAATACATCACTTGTCAATTCTGATTGTAGACTCTTAATAAACACAAATTTTATCATCTAAACTAATATTTGCTACGAGTATCTTATTTAGTAGAAACATTATGGATCACAATGATAAGTCACTTTTCATAAGGAAAACAGTCTACAAATAGTTCTCAAAGAAATACTAAACAGGTTTTTCTAGAATTAAAATAAGGTGCAATCCTTTTTAATTGGTATAAGGACTAACTACTATTCCATATAGAATGTTCTAACAGAGTCCATTAGAAGGCAACGGCTAAGTGAGTCTGAATTTCATAGAAAAACAGCATTACTCCGTACAGCACTTCAAACGAGTTATAATCAAGAACTGCTTTCTCTTTGTACTGTGAGAGTATACCAGTCTCAATTGGTTGCATAGCACTAGATATAATTATACCAAGCAACAGTGAGATGGTGGTTGCCTAATGTAAACAAGTTTTTGAAAGAAGTAACCACGTTATACAACTAAGTAATATCATATCAAGCTCAGTTATTTGTTTGATAACCATTAAGTATAGAAAATTTCTAAGGCAACTTGAGCTTAGGGATATGACAGGAAGCTACAATGATAATCAGTTTTTCATTTATCATACACTTGAGCCTCTGGGAGTCTAGTGGAATCCAAAACAAATGAAGTGGTTATCAGGCAGTATATCACGACATATATCATACTTCCGTCTTCAAGATATTTCCCAGATGAACGATGCAACTCAATGCGTTTACTTATCTTCGCAAGGCACGATCAACTGTTTACAAATGAATATCTATTTACAATGCATATTTACCCTGTATTATCATCGTTTACACGAGGCTTTTAATATAGGCACTTATATACTATGCATACAAATGTATATGGATGTACCGACGAAGTTTCTATGTCATTACTTACAAGTATTTCAATACCCAGAAGATAATTCAAAATGAACATAAGCCCACGATAAGAGAAAAGAGAATGAGTTGAAATTAGTAGAACCGGAAATACAAGGAGTCCTCTATAAAAGAACATAAATAATCGATTCAATTGATTTTAAATTCGCGATCACCGAAAGCCGTGCAAATGCCAATAGTAGGCCAGGGCTATCCAGCGAACGATGTTTCTCGGATAACGTTTGAAGGTCTGAAAATTATTGGAAAGGACGAGAAAGCGTCGCTGGTACTGTAGGTAAAACGATGGGACGTATTATAGAGATAAAAATTACGGTGTACAATACTTATTTCGATGCATGTACATTTTGCAAGGAGTATCAGGTTGCGACCGAACCATACGAAGAAGGTTAGGATTCCGAATGCATATAAAATTATCATAATTCATAATAATATCCTCGATAATATGAACAGACAATGACTAAGAATGAAAACGATAATGAGAGTAAAGAGAGACGGTGCATGGAAGTTTCACGAGTGAAGTAAAAAGAGAGAGTAAAGGAGAAGGTCAGACAGTACCAGCTGTCGAGCTGTCAAACTGCAAGTGGGGAAAACCCTTAAAGCCATGCGGAAGAATCGCCCTTTTTCCAGGCAAAAGGCAACGAAATATATTTTCTTCTTAAATACCCATAGCGATATCTCATCAGTTATTAAGAACATATAAGCCACGTATAAAAATACTCACGTCCCAAGGAGTTCTTTGAGGATGTACTTGTCATCGACGGACGGAGACTTGTCGTCCTTTCCATCCTTCTTGAGTTTCTTGTTCGAATCCTTCTTGCCAAAGAGCGGCATTTTTCTTAACACTAAAAATCGACGATACACGATAAACACACAACGACTTTAAAATCTACACACGAACCCCTTATCCTTAAAGACTCTCCCGACTGTTCCTCGACGTAGTTAGCTTCCACGAAAGCGCTCTCACTTACGACGTATCCCAAGACAAGACAGAAAAGAACAAGACACTCTCCCGCGAGTACACGCCCGGCTCGGCTTAGTTCGGCTCGGACCGCCGATTTTCGCCAGGCTAATAAGTAACAGCGAATACCGATATATACGATATGTATACACCGTATGTCTCTTCCAATGTTGAAATGAACTTGTTCAAAATTGCTTTGGCATACAGTTCCTTATCCGCAGATGTAACGACACGTTTGCTACTTTGCTTGCTTGTTTGCTTGCTGCTGCTGTTGGCTAGCTAGCTTGCCTGGCTCGTTGGCTCGGTGTCGCGGATCGGGCTCAGGGTCGCGGCCTCGCGCCCTCGCACCACCACCGACAGATAGCTCCAAGCTATCCGGCTCTCCTATCTATCGCGATTCGACGTCGCGTTTCGTTACTCCCGATAAACATTTGCCCCCGGTCGCTCGGGTCATGTCGTTTACTGAAGATTCTCTTTGATTCTACCACTTGACACTGTGTGTTAAGCGACTTCTTTAAGTCTGATTTTGCAGATTGCTCGCGCACAATATACTATCCTTGCGACACGTAGACAATTTCGGAAGTGACACTGGCACTGACTGCTTTACTGGACTCTGGTGCTGCCAAGGCAAGCGAGCGAGGATGTGCCACGGCTTACGTCGACTCGTAATGCACAGCGCTCGCGATCTTTATGACGCTTGCCTAACCTGGCTACAAGCTTCCTTTGACAGCCACCGAACGGCGCCGCTTTTATTTAGATTCTTACACTTTTCTAGAGCATAGTTCTAGAAAAATTTAAAAGATATCTGTCAGTTCACTATGTATTATAATATTTAGAAAAGTCAGGTATGGAATGTACGTACGAACTATCTGCGTTGGGATTAACATATTTTACTGTATCTGTATCACTTTATTCGAGATACTTTTCAATGCTCGAGAACAATTCGTTTCTGCACATGGACTCGAGTCGCAGTCTGTCGTAAATCATGTCGATTATGTTTTTAGGCTAGAATTAAGGTTCTGCGAATGACAGTTAGATGGCGATATTGTATGAAAGGATTTAATCTGAGGGATATAAATAAATTTACGTACATCGAATGATTATGATTGTTTTTAGAATATATATAATTACATACGTATACTGCTGTCTGCACTATTGAAAAATTTTAATATCTATTATTGGCTTAGTGGATAAGGTTCTGTAATGTCTGATTCTCTATGTTGAACGTAGAGCTTCGAACTTACGCCACTATGGTGCGCCACTATATGGTCTATAGATCTTTATTCTTTTTTTTTTCTTATTACGTATATTGAATCATGAGGAACATAGAGGTAGAATTCATTCTCTATCTTTATTTTAAAATTGGCTAATGCCCACAAGCCAACAGCGCAGTTTTCGAATGTGCCAAATAAGTTTGTATCATTAGGAACATTAATTGACACGTGGAATACATTAATGAGGTGAGATTCTTTGATATACGGATGATCCAGGAAGAATGAGGAAATTAAAATATATCATTATTCAAGCTGTGTTCTGTTGGTTCGATTAATTGTTTTTCGTATAAGATTATAACTTTACAATCAGAAAAATACATCGAGGGAAATAACAATTATTTTACATTTACTCATAGAAAATTAAGTTTCTTAAGATTAACGAGCAACGTCATCGTTTCGATAATGCGGAAACACATTATCCGACAACTTAATTACATATCCATTATAATATTTATATTTAATACAAACTGCTTAAAAATTCAACAAATATGGTCGATCACTAAAATGTTTACACTCCTTCTGTTACTACTACATTATCCACATGGAAGGTTGAATATAATTATTAAAAAGTTCTAGAATCTTCCAAATTGCCACCGAGTAATAGTCACTGAGAGCTTCGTACAGGCTGAAAATTTACATACGTTTTTTCATAATACCATATTAATTGTGAATGTAATATAAACATTTTTCTCGATTCTCGGAAAGTAAGAATAATAAATGTATTCAAAATTTATCAAACTGAAAAGAATCATTTTAAATTCGCATGAGATGACCGCATAAGATATACGTTAAAGAAAGTTCCAAATAAAATAAAAGTTTAGATTCTCTTTTGTCCCGAAAGTTATAAGAACCGCCAGTAACTCACTTGAACTGTGAAAGCTAGTGTTATCGCGTTTTTTTGTACCAAGTTGTAAATGCAAGTATCACACGTTTTCCACTTGAATGAGAAATCGTGACCAGGTTTGTCAATCTATGAATGATTTGCCGCTAAGTGACCCATTCGTATAAACAACAAAGCGTTTCAAAGCAGTATTTTATTACTTCTAAACGTCATCCGGTGTTACTTTTACCAATAGTCCATTTGCAGGACTTTCGTTTAGCCGTTACGAGGCCATAGGACCGTTGTTACGAGGTTATAACAATTAACCAGATAAAAGCGGCATATCACGAGGGTTGCAATTAAATCGAATGGGAGCTGTGATAAGTGTTTGCGAAATAATGATAAACTCTCATCTACCAGCTCTTTAGTATATACGAGATTAGAAACCATAATATAGAACGATGAATGTTCCTGGTTGCACGATTATTAAATCCTTAATAACAGACTGAATGCATTGCAAGAATAAATGCAATTAGAGTCACGATTCACAAATTACATTTAGCAACTAGAAACACGAATTTTTCAAACTTTCTCCCTTTACCAAACATCTCGTCGTATCTTTATTTAAGACTCGAAATTGTAATGTTGAAATATAGGAAAAGCTCAAACGTACACATAATATAGCAAATGACAGTACGAGTTTTCTTATTTGGTCAGTAACTTTTCAAATATACAAACCCATTGAGACTTCAAGCATTTCCTTCGAATTCCTCTATAATCATCCAGACGGTATTTGAGTATTTAATTTTCGATGCCACTAATTTTAGGTATCACTGATAATCAACTCACTACTCTTCAAAATTGAATTATAGTCACCATATGTAAACGCGGCTTAACTATAGCAATAAATTTATAAAGAATTATGACGTTTCGTATAGGGGAACATTGAGAAGATAACATTTATACAAAACACGTCCAGTCGATTGTCACAAATGAAGATTTTACTTTCAACTGTCCGTTCGCATGCTGGCCAAATGCCGCATTTATTCGAATCACTATGTAAACGTGAATACTATACGTGAGGTTATGTCGGCAGGTACGTTTACTGCCAACAGGATGCGGAGTTAACAGAAAACGAAAGTACGCACGTTTCTATAATAAAGTAAATAGTAATATTTACACAAAGTAATAAATAATAATATAAATTTTCTGATAAACATATTTTAAACCATTTATCTAGTAAAATAAAAAATATGAAACCTTCGTGACACGTGTCTAATCACAGTTTACTATGATGGCGCAACGATGAGCGATTAAGCACGTAATTTAGACGCTTCTTCAAGGCAATTAACTAAAGAGAAATATGCGCTATCTTGGCAAATTAGAGATTATATCCGAGTCGAGAGTGTACCCTCGTAAAAGATTGAAAATTGAAACGATAAGTTATAATTATCCTTGAAATGTGCTTATCGAGCATTGGCTAATCGAGCGGTTAGGATATCAGACGAGACATTAATATTTACGATTAATCGTTTGGATTATACAAGATATTGGAAAATAATGTGAAAATTTAATTACTGTGATAATAACTGACCGGAATATAAGCAAACACTCTTTTCTGTATGTGTTCCAGTTGAAACAGTATGAAGAACCACATTCCAACTGCAGCAGAGACCTTTTACGCCATGTTCAAGTATCATTCCGGTTTTCTAACGGTTCACGTGAATATGTACGCACCTAGCAATCGTATGCAATGACGCAATGACAAGCCAAAATTCCCGTTAATGCGATACACGAAAATAGCTCAAAGGAAATCGTGTCGACCGTCAAAAAGGGATGTCGAGGTGAAACTTGAAGGAATTTGAAATCGTCATTAAGTGAGCTAGAAAGTCAACACCCAGCATAGACGATTCGTAAGAAAGCATAATTACATATTAATTCCGTAAGGATCCGTCAAATTAGTTAAATCGACAAACCATACCTATATATTCCAGTGGCTGAAACCTGGCGGGAAGAAATTCAAAAGCAGATACAAAGGATTCTCAAGATGTAACACGAAATTCAATATAAATTCAAGTTAAAGAATTCGCATGTGACACAAACGGCTATATGCAACTGTACGCAATGAGATACAAGAATAATGATCGGAAGAGAAAGGTTCGTTGAGTTATAGCTCTCTTTTTTCTCTCATTTAACTTTTTTCTTCGTCTCTCAACAGTCCAGATACATTTCCAAGCATTCACGAAGAAGCGTAACGCAATCCTTCAAACCACGAGAGAGAAAGGTTATATGCTTCACCACAGACATTTTTCCTTATAATTTCATGCGACCCACCGAAATCCACCTTCACTCTGTGGTTACCAGTCTCTTCCAACTATTTTTACGTGAGGAGTGCACATCAGCACGATGGCATATGATTTAATGAATTAAAATAATAAATTCGAAAAGCGGTTACTTCTTGCCAAGCGTCTAAGTCATGAGTAATCGCGAAGCCAGTTTACGTGCCAGCTACTCGTAACAAGAGAAAAAAAATCTAGCGGTACCTGTCGTTCATATATTAATTGACAGTGACTGTATTTACATATAATTATCATCGCTTGTATACACATCGAACGTGGTGCGCTTAATAATGCTAGTTGCATAATCTTTTATTAGATTGTAAATGCTAAGAGGGTTTTACTTCCTTGAGAAACATTACTCTTATGCTTGAAGCATTTCAGGAAAGGTAGCAATCGACTCTAGCAAGAAAGACTTGTCGTTCACTTCTGGAATTTTTCTCGATACGCTGAGACGATTCTTGGATCCGGTTTTGGTACCGATCATAGTAATACGAACTCTGCTCGCTTTTGTGTACATGTGTTTTACAGTGAACGCTTGTGTGTCGATATACATGTATATTAGATTTTTAGGCTCATAGTCGACCCACAACATTACTTGGCCAATGTGCTACTTTCAGCTGTGGTTGTTTTAAACAAAATCTAGACATTGACTAGAGCTATATAATAAGAGTAAAGTCAATTCGAAGAGAAAATTGGAGTCAATTAATTGATTCGCTGTGGCCATTTGTCAATTATTAATTTAGGATAGTATTGTCGGAGAGGATTCAGGAGAGTTATATTGTATAGACTATTCGAAACATGTAAATTTGAGCAAAATCAGTATATTGTAAGACATGAGTGAAAGTTTTGTGACATATTGCTGATCATTCGAACACTTTACAACTGCCAATTAGGTATAGCGAATATCTTTCATTTTTAAGAATTGGTCTTCAATTAATTATTGGTGTTAAGTCTAAAATATAAAATTTGAAAGTTTGACGATATTCCCCTACTGTGTTCGTCTATTTTATATAGAATAAGCGTTACACCCTACGTGTGGGGAATTCCAATATCCCAATACTTCCGTAGTCCACCGTATACGCTCACAATGGCAGAACTGGATTTCGTGAGGGCACGTTTTTTAGATACAGGTATATATAAAAATAAAAATACACATGGTCAGACCTACGTGTGGAACGAATAGAGGAATGAAAATAAATATATTATCATAGGTTTTTATGCGCCAACGATTCTCCAGCTAAGCGATGATCGTTGAGCATCCAATAAAATTAGACACGACATTGAAAAATCTACTTTAAATATTTTTCTCATTCTGTGTCCATATATAGAGTATATATGCATAACTGCACATACACTGACAGTACGCATAAGCACGTGTTTTGTTGCGAGTATTTATATATTGTCAACTCGTATTCGAATTTTATTCGAATCTTCTTCACATTGCGCAGGTTGGTTTTACATGTTGATATAAACAGGAACAATTGTATACAGGATTATTCAAGTTAAATCCATTAGTCAGATAATGTATATCTAACTAAAATATTGATTTTTATCTGAGAGAATCAAGCGTATGAGATAAATGTAATCAGAATATAGTGATAAAAATGAAAACTAACTGATGGATTTGAGACAGATATTCCTGTATATAATTATGTATGTATATCCGTATATCATAAACACTAAGGTGGCGATTAATATCAAATTCGAAGAAGCAATCTTGATTTTACGCCGTGAAACGGGCCAAGGATATTTCAAGTATAGTGAATAGGTGACGCATACTAACGAAGGGAACCTTGGCTGAGCATTCAGGTCACCGAACCTCCAGTAAGTCTTTTCCAGACTCGAGTTAAAGTATTGTTTATTAGGATTTTGTAATTACGTATATATAGCTGTGATAATGACTAACCCTTTCCAAGAAATGAAATAGGAACACGATACTTCAGTTAAGCTCATTATTTTACTGTCGATCTACCCTATGGCACTCGAGAAAATTACAATAAAGAAATGGAGACCAAGACTTGAGTGCAAAGTCCGCGATTCGTTATTATGCGATTAAAGTAACTTATTAAATATGAGTAGTAAACGAAAAAAAAGTTATGTATGAATAGAAATAGTCCAATTGTAAAAGTGAATGTACCTTCATGTCGTCTGAGCCTAGTATCTTCCCTTACTTGTCCTATTTAGCTAAGTCAAGACTCAGGAATTGCAACCCTTGTATAACTTACGTCAATTAAAATATTCATAGTGCGTATGTTCTTTGAACACACACGCTTGTAATCTAGCGGAACAGATATACCTGTACCGAGGTGTGAACTAGTATCAAATAAGTATACGAGTTACGATGAGTTATCGGGCGTGACATTTATGCGTAATAGCCTCCATCTTGTCCGTTATCACTTGCATTTACTTTTACCATCCAGTAACTTTTTCCAGAGGTCAAACTGTTCGCTATATTTAACCATGTGTATGCTTATACCACGCTGCACGTTACACGGACTATACGAGATTCTCTTGTTCAGAAATTCGTTAGCATGAGCACGCTTGATCCCGAGTTTATGAGCAACAATGCCGGTAGTGAAGACGTCTTCGAGTTTGAGATATGTCTGGTCCAAAGACGCCTTATACAATTTATGCACCACATCACTTGATAACAGATAAGCAGGTCCGGTTGTGAAGTCTGGAAAGATAGAGGGCTTGTACTGCGCCTGTGATACGTAATACTTGCTCTTCTTGTTCCTTATGGGTTTCCACTTCTTGGCTAATCTTCCAAATATCACATTCTTATCCTTGGAGTGTTTACTTATGAAGGAGAGTAGCCGCGGCACGTTTATAAACATGTCGTCGTCAGTCTTCAGGATGAAACGTACATTGGAGCAATAATTGTCAACCCATTCCAGAGTTGATATTGTTTTCAATGTGAGATTTGAATACGAATCTAGAAAGTTTCCACGAATCACATCACCATACATTAATTGTTCGTGCACCAGAATCCTCTCGATCCTAACGTCTGAGGTTGCACCGAGCATGAAGAGAATGCTCACGTCTCGTCTTTGCCCAAAGTGTCCCCAAGTCTGTCTGATGGCGGTCCTTGCTTCTACATGACTCGGTGCTGACATTACTATTATTACTAACTGCATGTCCTTGCCGAAGTTAGGACATTTTTCAGGTATAGACACAGTATGACCGGATTGATATATGGCACGTGCCGAAGCATTGTTCATTGTTGAGATGCTGGTGCTTGTCATGTTTAGCAGGTTGCTTATCTGTTTTATCGGCTTGTCACTACTGTCCTTTGAAATCGTCGAGGAACTCGCGGAAGACAGCGATTGCGAGATGGAGGATGTCGACAGGATTGTGATTAACGTTGAGAGGTTGCTGCCGTTGTGAGAGCTGCTGCCATTTAGACTAGAAGAGAGCTGTGCTCCAATTGTTGAATTCTTTGTTGGTGCCAACCGTGCTTCAGCATGTTCTGTGGCGTTGCCACTGATATGGTGAAGGTCGTACATCACCAGGTGACCTGTAAATAATATTGTTTGTATACTTATTTATCCTCCTAATGATTTTGTAAGGTCTTACGGAAGTTTTCATGAATTTAAATTAATTGCTTTTTGATTTTTACATTCACTAATTTAACTTGCTGAAATCTGAAGGACACGCACGCAACTGATTATACGCTATAGAAATCTTTAAATTGTTTCCTTCTTAGTTTTTGAGTAAGACCTTGTCTCAACTCAATAACATAACGACGATTAGGACGTATCGCACGTAAATGAGTTCCTTAACGTATTACTAAAGAGTACATAGATTAAAGAAAAATTCCTAAGATATTACATGGGTATTGAAATTATGCCACTCATTCCAAGGACTTAATATTCACAAGAGAAAGAATTTTTTAATGATCAGTTTTATTATTCAGTTCCATGAATAATTATTCAGATAAAAACAAAATTCATCAGGTACTTATACATGATGAAACAATAAACCAAGTGATATTATTTCTAAATAATTTCATTATATCTACTTATGCATACAGATGTTCATCAGTGCGCAAAGAATAAAGTACGCAGGATTATATATATTTTTCTCATACGCAGCTCCATTGTGAATTGATAGACTAAATATGTAAAATTTATTGAGAAAATAATCTGACAGCAAGAAACAGCACAGTATCATATCACGTAATTCTATTCACTGACTTCTTTTCCACGCTCCATTCAATAATGTTCGAATTTATGATATTCATCGATGTACAACATATAATACAGCCTTTCAACTTACGTGCAATTTGAATGATTCCTTATGCAATTGCCACTTTAAAACATTTAAGCTACATATTATATGTAAATCAAAAAGAGATATCTATTCTTAATCACAATAACTTATGCTGCAAAAACGATTAGAGTCAATCTCAAATTATCAAGCACCCAAAGTAAAAAGATCATTAAAAATCTAATTGAAAGATCTATAAACTGAAAACAAATACTCCTTACCGTTACGTGCTGAAGCAAATTGTCGTATGTCGTTGACAGTAGTCCGGTAATACGCATAGAAGGTAAGACCAACCAGACCCAGTATCAGACTCTGCAAGAGACGACTACGAAGATGCAAAAACTGGAACATGTCGACGGTGAATATTGGTCCGTTGATTACCGCACGGTTATGTCATTGCGGATGCTCTTCACGATCCTCTTCGACGCACTGCTTATTAGAGTCGGTGACTTCCTTCACTATTGCCATATTGCGGCTCGTTTGAGCCTTCGACGCGCGTGGCTTCTTACTGTCCAAAGTGGCCGCCGATGCGTCTCCTCGTCGATGATCATACTGTTCGCCGAATTCCGCGCGACAGCCTCATCCTGTTCGCCGACCTCCGGAGGCCACTACCGAACACGTCATTATTCGTCACGTTGGTAGTCCACAACACAACTACTGGGACAGGTGTCCAGGGCGTGGGAGTATACGTGAGGTTCTACTTCGCAAGTACGGGAGAACCTGGTGAGTGGTGGCCGCTGTCGATTTCCTGGCGATAGGAATACCATGACCACAATGTCTTACACTGTACTCTCAGTACTGCCAGTAGATGTCAGAATTAGACTGGTTCTTCAATACTTTGTCTTTAAAGGATACAGCAGAAACTCGAGGATAACTCTTTAATGGTAAAACTCGTGAAACACCATCCGATGGTTTCTTACCGAAGGAATTAATTTTTCAGCCATCGAAAGAGACGTCGCTAATTTACATAGCGCCAAATATTTCCTTCTGTTCGAAAAACATCGATCTATCTGTCGCTACCAATATTTCAGTTGGTATTATCGGTATCACCTATAATGCTTTCAGACCATATTATTTCAAGAACGGAAAGGTTAGTAAAAACTGTATCTGCGTTGACGGAACTTTAAATATGTATATTGGAGTTTGATAGATTTACTAACATTAGACATACTTGATAATAAATAAAGGCCAAACGTGTCCCATGTGTCCAGCGAACAATTTAAAAAACAAGGCATTATCTGCCCAGTGCAGGAAGTGACTTCACTACATCCGGTATTTCATCTAGCCCAGTTCCTTGGACCGGGGCGGCGCTTATTACCGCGAGACCAAGGAGTTGATCGATAACCTATTTTTCAGCGGTTGGCATGTAGCCAAAAATCCCCGCGAATGCTGCTGACTCTTTGACTCATCACCGTGGCAAACAGACTACCCTCGAACCTTTGGTAGCAGTTCAGGATCGTGCTAGGTCACGAATGTTTTCAAAACTGAAACTTTGCAATTGCACTTGAGGCTAGTTGTGCAGTGGCTTGCTGCATATCCGTAGGCATGCATTGCGGTTACCGGATTTTCTCTTGGTGTGATTCAGAAGCATTATTGAATTTACCATCGACCTTATATGTACTTCATGACCATCCAAGACTGCTAAGAGGCTCCTGTAGAACTATTCAAAGCGGAATCCATTGAAGGAGAGAAATATTTTTGTATTTGAAGAAATTCAAACAATAGTTGCAAGACCTGAGAAAAATTTTATGGTAGCTTTTAGAACGGGTACGTATATGGGTTTGTCAGTTTTAATGTGCATTCGATACTGCTAATTATAAAAGCTTGTAATTCAAGGTGGTATGTATGATAGCGTTTCATCGGTATACCAGTCTTTGCAGTGAAGCGTATTTCACGCTCGAGTAATGGCTAAACGCTCGATTACTGGAACGCCTGTATAAATTGGCAGAACAGCTAAAGCGTTTATGTGTCACCATTTATATACGTCGAGGCAGTTCACTTTTGGAAATTCAATTGAAGTACCAAAGAAGTCTGATAAAAGAGCATTAGAATGTCCATAAGATTAATGATGGCAAATGGGTAGCATCTAATCAAAACGTTTACATCCGTCTCTCTTATTACAGTCGATTCTTCTAACTTTGGTTTCTAACCTAATATCTTTTTAGGACCGAGAGACGAGAAAAAACATACGATCTCTTACGATTAGCGTTTGAATCATTAATGAAGACTAGTGAGTAAATCTTTTAATATCTTTAAAACCATATTTATGTTTTTTTAAATGATTATCATCCATTTCAGACGAGCTAGTGCTTTAGCATTATGCGGATGATTGGTTATACGTGGTCTAAACGATCCCAGAAGGAAAATCAATAAGACAAGGATGTCGATGGTCCAGCCAGGTATTTAAAAGGTCACATAAAGTTATATCCGGTTGGATTAAAGATGAAGAGACAAGCACGGAAAGTCTCCTGGCAAATCTGCGTGCCGGCTAGGACGGTCAGCTGCTAGACAGCAGCCGCGCAGCCGATCGATGGCCTAGTGGCACTTGGTGCGCCACTTCTCTACGCCCCTATCTTCTCTTCCTTGTTTAGAACTCCACTCGTCGTTTTCCCCAGTTCGCCGCCTCACAGGACGTGTCTCTGCCTGTCTCTGTTCCCTCTACCTCGTCGGCAGCCACCCCCGCCAGTTTACCAGTCAATCGCTGCAGCTCGCAGTGCTCGAGCACCAACTCTATGTCGTCGTCAACGGTGCGAGTCAGAAACCCTTTACTTGTCAAATCTTGGCGCCGTCACCTTCGTTATTCTAACCTATTCTAACTATCATTGTGACTTCTACTTTCATTGGATATCAGAAGAGCAAAGCGAACTTTTACTACGCTCATTAAGAAACGATTCCTCAAGTCAGTCTTCAGGAACTTGATGCGACCTTCGCAAGCTATCAGCAACATCTACGAACACTCACTAAAATAACGGATTCAAAGCTTCAGAATTACAATGTCGGATTGGCTGCTCGTCACGGCTAAGGTTAGTCAATTCGAAGATAGTTTATTGCTTTTTGTTACCTGGTGCAACCTCACCGTCAGCAATTGTCTTTATTGCAAGCGTTATTCTCTTTATACCTCGACACACCCATCCGAAGACCATGTGTGCCTCAGGAGTAGGCAATGGCGAGCCTTCAAAATCGTGGGTAAATCAATAACGGACCGCAATGAATTCCATGACGCGGTCGCGGAACTTCTCAAAGCCAGAAGAACAAAAATTAAGCTTTTACAATTTGTTAATGCGCCTGTCTTATGATTAAGTATCACTTGAGTCAGTCTTGAAGATGCATGCTGGTACAAAATTTGGAAAATTTTCTTTTCCTTCACCTTACTAAATGTCAAGTGGCCCCTGACTTTTAATTGTTATCTCTTATGGCGTTGCTACAAGAACAGACAATTTTGCTCTGTCCTCTATTCTTTTACGTAAGACATTTTCTACAGATGTCAGATGTACATACAGGGTGGCTCTTAATCCTTTTCTGAAATATTCATTCACGTGGTTCATGGGTACATGCCATCGTCCCTTTTTCTTCTGGTGGACACATCCTAATCTTATCTGTCACAAGAAAGATGCACTCTAACAGAAAACGACGTCGAAGAGGAAAACGTTTCACAAATTGGCCCTCGTCACGCGAACCTACCTGGATTATTTTGTTTTAATCAACGTATGTAAGTCGTTATTCAAGTCCCTTTGATTTATCTGCTATTGGTACGGCTGTCAATATTCGATCAATCTTTATTGGTGATGCAGTCATGGAATTTAATACAAGAATTTCGTTAGTCGATTTAAATGATTTAATTACACTCCCATCTATTGTAAATTACGAAAACTTGGCACAGGAAGTCAGAAAGTTCTTTGCCGCTATAGTGTTTATCTGTAAAACCACTTCCGGGCAATGGTCCCTAATAATCCCATACTAATTGGCACACCATTCGCTATCGATCCATTATAAGCTAAGGGCATGGCAGTAATAATATTGAGCTTAAATTTTAACCTTTACTTATATAATTTTTGACATTTCATTTATTACAATGATAACGTACAAATTGTGCAATATTTATAAAATTTTTATCAAAACGTGACTCGTGCAGTTTTCAAGAAAGAGAGACCTCTCGTTAAAAGTGGTTTCTCTTAGCTCCGTTCGCTCTTCACTCGCACAAAGAGAATTCCGTTTACGTAAGAGCTTACAATTTCCAGTCAAATAAGAGCTTCGATATTCCATTGTGAATTCAAAGGTAAGCTATCATCCAATCAAAAATTGTATTCGACTGTCACTGCTTAAAATACGAATAAATTACGTAGACTCAATAGGTTTGTTCTCGAAACCTACACTTTCTGCACCTATCAAAAAATGCGAATTCTTATCGGACGATATTTTCAAATTTTCTTTTGAAAAAAGTAGAGCAGTTCTAAGAAGGTTCAATCGTGCTCTCATAATGGTTATTTAGGCAGTGATAATCGGTATCAATGACACAACGAATATATTTGCATTTCTAGGTTAGATTATACCACCCGTACGTGCGAACGAGTGTTGCACGTTGATTGTGAAATACCTGGATGGTTTTGAAAGTACAAAATAATGGTGAACAGTGGTAAAATCTGGAATGGAGAGATATAAGCGTACATGGGTTATCTTTGCGTGAGTGTTGCGCGCGCGCGGGTGTCAGGTACCTCTTTCCCTGAGAGGGCAAGTCGTTTCGTGGGGGAAACAAGAAGGACATAGAGACAATCAATATGTTTGCACTGTGACGGCCACGCACGTCTTTGCTTCGTAAATGTATTTTCTACATACGATAAAAAGGATAATCCATGTCTTAAGACGAGAGTGGGAGATTTGAAAATTGCGTCAAATGTTTTTTTTATTTTCTCAAAAGGCAATTTGGTTTTTTAAATTATACGAAACTTATTTGAAATATTCATTAGCCATTACAGAGCTGCAGTTCATTTATCATATGCTCTTTTATGTAGAGATATAAGCAATTCCTTTTCCTGAGAACGTATAAAACATGGTGGTCGTTGCTGTAGTCCCTTCTTTACCTATTGTTGATATATAGAAGACTGTACCGTGCGATTTGCATCTCACTCTCTCTGTAAATGGAATATGGCCTGCGCTTATTAAATTCAAGATCGATCCTCGACGATATGAATTACGGAGTTGTACTCGGTAGAGGTCAACGAACAAAGGCTAACACGATTCCCCTCAAAAGCACGCTATTCCGTGCTGGCAATCGCGAGCAACGGTTGGCTCATTCGATAAGGAACTTTCTTATCGATTCATTTCGTGTTACGGTAACTCCTAGAGAATCCATGGTAAGGACAGGTAATAATATAAAGTCCTTTGACGCTCGTTGATGGATTTGTGTCCTTCGTGGCTGTAGAATTAGTTCTGTACGATATACGATACGCCGGAATACCCGCATCGTCCATACTCAATGAGCCTTGAGGTATGTAAGGAGGCCGCATTGATTTTCTAAAATTACGAGTAAATACCGAAAATAACGTACGAAGGATGTAGAATGTGTTATCGCATCGATTATATTGCTTCGGATTGGCTCAAGTATATTCAGATTGAGTTTGGCTGCTTTTATGGATATGGGTGATCCGAGTGATGAATCATCATGAAAAATGTACCAAATATAATGTTTAATATCCATAGGACGTTTAATTTATGAAAATTATTTGCTTCTTCTGCAGGTGTGGCTGGTGAAGAAGCATCTGTAGAGTCTCAGGAGAATCAATAGGAGAGAGAGAAAGAGAGATAGAGAACGGGGGAGAAAAGAAAGAAGTATCAAGACTGGAGTAGGGGAAGTGGACGGTGCAGAGAAGAAATAGAAGAGATCGAAGCCTTGACCACGGACACTTCAGGGCCAAAGCCGGAAGTAGCTGGGCCTCCGGCGTCGACGTCGGCGTCGGCGTCCCATAAAAGAGCATGATAGACCCGAGTTCCTCCGAGGAGGAGAGCGAGGAGGATCAGAGCACCCATCATCACGGGGGTGGCGGCGGAGGCCGTGGTGGATCCCATGGTTCCCGCCAGCATCCCGGTGGTGGTAGTGGCGGTCCAGGGTCTGGAGCAGCCGGAAGCGTAGGTTTGGCTAGCTCGGGGCTCACGGCTTCCCCGGGTGGCCTGAACCACGTAGGCTCCTCCAGTTCGTTAGGGGTACACGGAGGCAGCGTGCATGGAGCACATGGGAAGGGCGGCACGGCCATTGCTACCCAGCAGGAAGCTGTGGCAGCTGGTTTGGACGTGCCGAACCTATCCAGTGCTAGAAACTCTCTTTCCCCGTCTATGAGCGCAGCTCAGGATGCCGTCAACTACGCCAAGTCTGCGCCGAGGCCCACCAGCCCTTCCCCATCGGTGGCCAGTGAGAAGACTGAGGCTGATCTACAAGTGAATACTACTTTTATCTTGGATCAATTGACTCGTGCTTTCCAACTTCGTTACTCTTGGCACCTTTGTTCATTAACGTATTCGATCCTAGGATAAGCAGGAACGCGAGGAGGAAGAAAGGAAAACTAGAATCCAACTGTACGTCTTCGTATCAAGATGCGTCGCCTATCCCTTCAACGCGAAACAGCCAACAGACATGACTCGCAGGCAGATGAAGATCACGAAGCAACAACTTGAGACTCTCTGCTCTCGCTTTCAGGTATCTTGTTTTATCAGGAATTCCCTTTGGGAATGGAAAAACAAACCCGAGCACTCACGTGTTCCTAGTCTGCACATACGGTCGTATATGCAAATTACTTCTAGGTTAAACATGCAAATCGTAACGACTGATCTACTCTGGGCATTTGACTACAGTGCTACTGCACTGTTACTATGTGGAAGTAGCTTTCCCGTATCGTGTAGTTCCCAGCACTTGGTTCTTATCGCGGGGAAACGTCGGGACACGCAACCAAATTGCTGCAACATGATTGCTCTGAATACGTGTAATGTCATGAACATAGGAAACCCTTCAAAGAGGACTTTAATTCGTCGAAGCCCCTCGACCAATCTTATAGTTGACTCTGCTCTAGCCTTAGCCTTCGCGTTTCTCCACTCGAATCGATCCTATCGATAAGTACATAGTACAAGGCTGTTCCACCTGAGGTCAACAATCGAATTTATTCGTAGACAAGGGCAAAGGAAATTAATACTGAAATATGGCACGTTTGGGAATAACATCTAATTTGATAGTTATTTATGAAAATGAAAATTATTTATAGAATTTTACTAATCGATACCAGGAACAGTGCTCGTTCTCAAGTATTTCTAACGAAAAAATGGAAAAAGGGTCCTTCGAGAATAAATTCAGGACATCGAGATCTGTCGTATCTTCAAACTTCGATTTGTTATTGGAAACGAGATGAACTAATTTGGATGGAAAGTCTTTTTCAAAATATATTGTAAATAAGGTCGAATGAAATATTCGTTTAATTTTTTAGAGCTTTCTGAAGGGGGAAACGCAGATTATGGCCGATGAGGCTTTTCATAATGCAGTGCAGAGCTACTTCGACGTCTTCCTCAAGTCGGACCGCGTTGTCCGCATGGTACAGAGTGGGGCCTGCTCACAACACGACTTCCGTGAGGTGTTTAGGAACAACATCGAGAAGCGTGTTCGATCCCTTCCGGAAATCGACGGTTTGAGCAAAGAGACTGTTCTTACGTCCTGGATGGCCAAATTCGACTGCATCTTCAAAGGAACCGGTGACGAGGACACCAAGAGGCCTTCCAGGATGCAACAGCAGTCCTTAAATTCGGAGCTGATCCTCTCGAAGGAGCAACTGTACGACATGTTCCAGCAGATCCTCGGTATCAAGAAATTCGAGCATCAGATTTTGTTCAACGCCCTCCTGTTGGACTCAGCTGACGAGCAAGCTGCCGCCATCAGGAGGGAGCTGGACGGTCGCATTCAGAAGGTCAACGAAATGGAAAAGGTACAACAAGTTCTCCGTGTCTTCGTTAAGTCCTTAAGAACGTTTGATGCTGATTTATTCAAGTATTATATATTTTTTTGCAGAACCGTAAACTGATGCCGAGGTTCCTCCTCAAGGAAATGGAGTCGCTCTACATCGAGGAGCTCAAGTCGTCTATCAACCTGCTAATGGCTAATTTGGAGTCGTTACCGGTCTCCAAGGGTTCGATAGACAGCAAATACGGGCTGCAGAAGCTGAAGCGCTACAACCATCGCGGTGAGCGCTCCCGCTGCCGCAGTCAGGGTTCCCTCGCTAAACTGGAGGGCGACTCCGCCGATCCCGATCCCCAGCTTACCAAGATGGACGTCGTTCTGACCTTCCAGCTGGAAGTTATAGTGATGGAAGTCAAGGGCCTCAAAAGTCTCGCACCAAGCCGGATAGTTTATTGTACTATGGAGGTCGAGGGTGTGGAGAAACTTCAGACGGACCAGGCTGAGGCCTCTAAGCCAATGTAAATAGTGATTCTAACGACACTATACGAATTACTAAAAAGATGAGAAATACCTTAAACTGAACAATAATCATTTGATTCTAGGTGGGATACCCAGGGTGACTTTACGACCACCCACCCTCTGCCAGTTGTGAAGGTCCGACTTTACACAGAAAACCCGGGCATGTTAGCTCTTGAGGACAAGGAGTTAGGGAAAGTTATTCTCAGACCAACTCCATTGTCTTGCAAGGTACCCGAGTGGCACCGCATGACGGTTCCAAAGAATCTTCCTGATCAGGATCTCCGAATAAAGATAGCCTGTAGAATGGATAAGCCTTTGAATATGAAGCACTGTGGGTACCTCTATGCGCTGGGTAAATCTGTTTGGAAAAAGTGGAAGAAGCGGTACTACGTGTTGGTCCAGGTCTCGCAGTACACATTTGCGATGTGCTCGTACAAGGAAAAAAAGACCGAGCCCTCGGAAATGATGCAGCTCGATGGCTACACAGTGGACTATATCGAGGCCGCTTCCGCCAACTTGATGGTTGGAATGGACCTTGAGGGTGGAAGGTAGATATCGAGATATTTACGATAAAATATTTACGATACCTTTCTGTTAATAAAATTATTTTCCCTTTTCTTGGACTACAGGTTCTTTTTCAATGCCGTCCGTGAAGGCGATAACATTGTATTTGCTTCGGATGACGAGAACGAATGCCATCTCTGGGTAATGGCCATGTATCGTGCCACTGGCCAATCACATAAGCCAACACCACCAGTTTCTGTCGCCGACAAAAGTTCTACCATCAGCAAGATACAGGGGGATGCAGACAGAGCCAGGAAGCATGGCATGGAAGACTTCATTAGCGCTGATCCTTGCAAGTTTGATCATGCCTCGCTGTTCAAGTTCTTGCAGAATTTAACACTGGACTATAGACTGAATGATCCATACAGTTCGTTAGGATGGTTTTCTCCCGGACAGGTTTTCGTTCTTGATGAATATTGTGCTAGGTAAGGATCATTCGTTTGGATATATTTGATAAATTGAGTTATTCCAACTGTCTCGTTTCATTTAATCATTTCTATTTAGGTACGGCGTTCGTGGATGCTTCCGTCACCTCTTCTACCTTAATGATCTCCTGGACAGGGCTGAACGTGGTGTCATGATTGACCCGAATCTCATCCACTATAGTTTTGCTTTTTGTGCCAGTCACGTTCATGGAAATCGTACCGACGGTGTTGGTTCGATTACCCATGAGGAGAAGGACAAATTTCTGGAAATTAAGGAGCGGCTGAGACAGCTCCTGGAAAAACAGATTACTAATTTCAGGTGATTTCCTGTGTCTTACTTATGAGCTAATTAGATAGAAACAGGTTCTACGTTGCTCTCTCTTTGGGTATCCAGGTACAGCTTCCCATTCGGACGACCAGAGGGTGCTTTAAAGGCTACCTTGTCCCTACTGGAGCGAGTCCTAATGAAGGACATCGCTACCCCAGTACCACCGGAGGAAGTCAGGGGCATGATAAAATCGTGTCTGGAAACAGCGGCTCTCGTGAACTACACGAGGCTATCGGCAGAGGCAAAGATAGAGGATGATTTTAGTGGAGAGGTCTGTGTACCCCCAAGTAAGAAACTTGAAGACCTCATCCACCTGGCGGAACTTTGCGTAGACCTGTTACAGCAAAACGAAGAACATTATTCGGAGGTATTAGTTAGGTTTTTAGAACTGAGTGTTCATTGTCCGGGGCTCTCGAGGGAGAGGGTCGCATGTGTGTGTCAAGGACTTGGTAAGGGTCCAGAACCTCCTCAGAAGACAACCAAATCAATCATTTCATGTCATGGCTTATTAAAGTATCAGCTGCCCATTCATCTCATGATTGTACAATGTATTTTTATTCTCTGTAGATTTTGTCCAGGTCACTTTGCTTCTGATGACGATGGTAAGGAAAGTGTAATTACTGGTAACGGTACATGAAGATGAGTGGTACACAAGCTCACGTTAATCCTACATAGCCACGCAAAGTAGTTATCGTCGTAGTGTCTTCTGAGTCCTCGAGAGCTCCGTGCCCAAGGTGGCGACCCCACCATCCTGGGTCGAGGAACATACCCCACCGTATATGTGTGTCGTCCAATATTTTCACGTTTCGCTCCTACTACACCGCACCGCAGGCTTTCGCCTGGTTTAGCGACCTCCTGGTGGAGCACGCTGAAATCTTCTGGTCGCTATTCGCCGTCGACATGGACAAAGTACTCTCCGAGCAGCCGCCCGACACCTGGGACAGTTTTCCGCTGTTCCAGATCATGAACGATTATCTGAGAACGGACGGTGAGTTTATCGACCTGGGTAAAAGTCCAAGAACAGAAATGATGGAGTTGATTTCCATGTATCAAGAACTTTCATATGTTTCTCAATTACTTCGGATGTTAATCAAAGGGATTGAGGTATTCTCACAAATCTATACCAAGTTAAACAGATCTTTCTGACCATTAGACAATCTCAAGAATGGAAGATTTCATCAGCATCTTCGGGATACCTTTGCCCCACTCGTTGTGCGCTACGTCGACCTCATGGAAACCTCCATAGCTCAGTCCATACACAAGGGCTTCGAGAAAGAACGTTGGGAAATCAAGGGTAATGGATGTGCTACATCGGAGGACCTCTTCTGGAAACTGGATGCTCTTCAATCTTTCATCAGGGGATTACACTGGCCAGATCAGGAATTCAGACAGCACCTTGAGCAAAGACTCAAGCTCATGGCCTGCGACATGATCGAATCCTGCATACAGAGAACTGACACAGCTTTTCAGCAATGGCTCAAAAAGGGTGTAACGTTTATATCCACGGATTATATTATTCCTTCGGAAATGTGTGCCATGGTGAATGTTATTCTGGATGCGAAGAATCAGAGTTTTAAGCTTTGCGCCGTTGACGGCGTCGACGTGGTAAGTTAATGATTGTCAAATATTTTCTGCCAAAAGTCGCAGGCGTCACTGTCATTGTCAGTTGCTTTCTCTCTATATTTCTTTCTCCAATTGGACCATCAAATTCCTCTTGATGTAAATAACTTAATGACTCCTGTGTTCTACCATGGTATCCACAATCGACTTCCAGCACCAGTACCACACCAAGATCGATGATCTCATTGAGAAGACATCAGCTGGTATGACTCAAGGAATGATCAATAAGTTAGTTACCGTCTTGGAGACGACCCTGTCAAAACTCTCGCGTTACGACGAAGGATCCTTCATCGGATCCATTCTTAGTTTTACGGTAAGTTCAAAAATGCAATGAGTCACAAATATAATCAAAATTTCTTATCCGGTCGTACGTTCTGCAGAAGGTATCGGGAAGTGGAAAGGAAATGGGCCAAGCCTACGTGAACTTCACGAGGAACTGCATGGACCAGATTCGGAGCAAGGTCATCGACGAACTTTGGATTTTGATCTTCTTCGAGGTCCGTATAAATGAAATGTTATATCTAGCTACAAAGAAAAATAATTATTTTTACTCCTCCAGCAATGGTACACAGCACAGATTCAGATGCTGTGCAACTGGCTTTCCGAAAGGCTGGATCATAGCTTGCATCTGTATCAGTGCACCTGTCTCGCTCATATCGTGAAGAAGATCTACTCAGACTTCGAGCTCCAGGGTGTCACAGAAGACAAACTCAACTCGAAGACATATCAGACGATATTCCAAAGGATGCAGACAGAGGAAGCAACTTGTGCCTTAACCATGTGCGCTCAGAACGAGGAGTGAGTAAACCGAGACAATGGAAAAATCAAATATCTTGTTCTGATCTGAAAAGATTTTCATAAATCATCTGACACCTGTTATCGAGAATTTTATTATCCTTGCAGAGGGCTTTCGGAGAACGGCAACGACGAAGAGGTCGAGAGGCCAAAGACAAAGGTGACGATCGTGGAGACGATCGCAGGCGAAGATGCCAATTACGTAGCCAACATCTCCAACGTTACGTCCAACGTTGTGGGTAAAGTAGGCAGTATGTTTGGCAGGGGCATCGGTGGCCTTTCAACGAAATTTGGCGGAGCTACCAGTTGGTTCTAAAGAAAATCCGTAGTCCCTCGTACGAACATATTTTTGCCTAGGGCGTTCCTCTATCCGTTCGTCTGCTAACGAGAAACTTAGTATGCTCAAAAAAGCAAGAGGGAGGACTCTCTCTGCCTCTCTCTCTCTATCACGAGTAATACCGTAGAATCATAAGTCGTAGGGTTGTCAGCCATATGGCTAATGTGATACGGCCACCAGCGATCGATCCAAGAATAACGTCGAGTATTTCGATCCCGAAGAAAAGCATTATAAAAAATAAGATATTCAAAGTAAGTGAAGCTAGAGGAAAGATCCATCGAATTCTGACGTTCAGCGTTGCATAACGGGAAACACGAAAAAAGAAATGGATAGCCTGGAGAAATTGGCGATGAAAGAAAGAAAAAAAAATATATAATGAAGATGTTAGTACTCATTTTCAAGTACTTAAAGAGGAGATTCACATTATTCGCAATGGGCTTGTGAAAAATATAACATGTATCTATACCATGAGGATATAGGACGACGGTAAAGAATAAAGGCAAGATATATAGATATATATATACTGATATGTTTGTGCGTGCTCACATGAATATTTACGTATATTTTTATACAGAGCGATCGACGCAACCGGGGTCGTGTTTGAATAATTCGTATGTTCCTATGATGCAGTCATGGATGGATAACAGGAGGGAGAGTTTAATTACGCAATCGTATTGAGAGATGGATTGGATTAATAAAAAATTAATATAATTGATCGAGCAAATTTATGAGTAAACAATACAACGCGATTAAATTTCGAAAAAAATTCATGAATTAGGTATTTCATATAATTCCGCGTCTCTGTATTTTGTACCGTGCTGGGATATATTTGTTTTCGCCTATAACCCCAAATGTGTGGATCACCCTGTATATAAAAGATAAAAGAAGGATGCTGTAACGTAATAATTATAAAATATTGATACTATCTGTACTCCAGATATATTATTAATAACTAGCAGGATTATCGCAAAGCATATAAATTTCCTATTTAGTAATACGTACATTAGAAATCGAGTGTACGGGCGGAATGTTATACACGTTAATTGATCGATTAATTGATTAGAAATGGATCGAGGAATTTATATCCTTCGGTACGGTATACACCGGACGTTCAATCGAAATCTGTCCTGGTATCGTTTTGTCGTGTAAGATGATTATGACGCCGTCGTTGCAGTAATAAATGAGTGTTTAACGGAACGACTAAAATTCCGACGGGCAATAATAATGGCGCGTCCATCGAAGACTATAAAATGCGAAAGAGAAGAAAAAATAAAAAAAAAAGATCGGTGCCTTTGAATTATTTTTATTAAAAGTGCCGTGAGCCAATGATCGGAGGGACACGAGCGTTCCCGCCACAATAATGAAAGCATGTCGAAAAATTGGACTTTTTAAAGACTTTTAAGCGAAAAAACGATAATGGCCGCAATTAACGGCACTTCGACACTGACAAAGCACTTTCGAACTGACAGGTCCCTCATTGTCGTTCACAAATATTTCTTTCTCGTAATATCCTCAGAATTTACGTTAATAAACAGACGTTATACTTCATTGATACTTTTAAAAATGGCGGCAATATGTCGACGTATCACGGGAATGGGTTTCGACTGTTTAAAAAAAAATATACCGACTACTTTCACACTTCTCGTCAGTGTCAATCGGAAATTATCCTTAAATAAAATAAAAGCTTTGACCTCACGAGGTATCGCGCAAAATGAACCTCTCGGCCAACCTTTATCGATTTTCCATATATATTTATATAGTTTTTACCAACAGTCCTTTAATTTTCGCTCTACAAAGAATCTCGATGGCCGCGGTTAACCTAATTCTTCTCCACGTGTTGTCCAATTCCCCAGTAAAACTTGACGCGTTATGAGAATACGAATCCTCGACCTTCTTTATATCAAAGAATTCCGTCACGTTTACGCGGTTCCTGTATTCCCGATTCTCTTCCTAAGCCTTAATCGTGCGTACCCTATGATTATTAATTTCGGATAATCCTAATTGTGGCCGTTCCAATTACACTGCACGGTCGAATTGGTCGTACTATTCGAAGCAGATACATCGCCGGCAGCTTGAGAAACGTATTGTAAGAAGGAATGAAAAAAAAAGAAGGCTAACAAAGAACGAAGATCGTAACCGATCGCGTTGTGATTGACGTCCAGAAAAGTCAGATTCTCGAAATATTAATATCGGTACTACGTGAATCAAAGAACGAGCAATGAAGTTAATATATGATCGAAGATGAGTAAGAATTTGGAAACAAAGAATATGTTAAAAGAAACGGACGAAGGTTACGAAGAAGATGAAGAAAAATAAAAAAAAAGCTAAAAATTGTTATATCGTATCTATAACGACGCTAATGAATTTAGATTACGATTATCGTTTAGTACGGTTATTATCATTGAGACACTATTATTATTACTACTAATATGATTACGGTCGTTTATTATCGTTGATGTTCATCTTATTATCATTGGCCGTTATACTACGATTATTAATTATTGGTAATGAGACTCTTATAATATCTCTAGGATAGGCTAGGACAGTTACGTAAACGATCTCTCTTTCTGCTCTGACGGTAATATTTTTCTTGCACTAATATTGAGAAATGAAAAATCTTTTAATTCACTCTTAACTCCCCCTCTCCTCAAACCCTACCCCAGCCACCCACCCCCGTCGTATTCCCCTACGAACCCCCTTTTAATCGCATCAATTCTGACGTTTATTCAAGCCAAATGAGGAGAATCTTTACTCTAGCCAATGTTCTAGCGGATTCGACATCTATTCAACTGTTGTTCTCTCGTTAATAAAAATCCATGAAAAACGCCATGCGCTCGAAATCTCGACATCTTTTATTCTTCCTCCGAAGCGTTAATCATTGACTCATTACTGTATTATTCACGCAATCACAATTACAAATGTCATTTTGCATTTTTTTCGGTGCTTATCCGGGCGCATAACATTTTGTCATGACTTGTCAGTGTTTTCATTTTCTTCTTTCTTCCCAGAATAACCTAAAGTATGAGTCAGATCCTTGATAAAATTGTCGACGATAACGATTACATATCTATTTTCTCTTTTCCACCTTCTTTCACTGTTTCCACTATTTCTCTTCACGGTCTTCAATCTTTGCGTCATTAGTATCAGATCAAACATTATGTTCTTAGATGAGTTACGGAGATTTTTCATGACGTTCATTGTATCGCAAGGTGATCACCTGTTGTAAATAAATAATGTGAAAGTATAATTAGTTAATCAGTACTCTATGCCAATCCTAATAATACTTGATAAGTCAAACTACGTTTTACACGTAACGTCATAAGTTTAGCTAATTAAAAAATAAAAAATAGTAATGGTATATCTTCAACGGTGGATTAGATATATGACAAACTATTTATCAACCGGTAACAGAAAACCACAATATAGTTTTTACTGTTGGCTATAGGTAAGAAACTGCCATGTCTGCTTTACCGAGCGATTCGAAAAATGATCAATGAAGACAGAGATGTAATAAATTGACTCGCGACACAGATGAATAGGGAGATGCACAACGGTACGGTTTTAGGCAGAGACGAGTAGAGAGATGCACAACGCTACGGTTTTAGGCGATACCAAAAGCATGAATAGTCTCTACTACTCTAGTCTCCATGGTGCTTACGGTCAACTCAGCTATGACGAGATCCGCATTATCGACGGAGACGATGATCACAAAATTCTACTTCCGGATTCGCCACTACGATTTACTGCCATGCTTTTGGTACCGCCTAAAACCGTAGCGTTGTGCATCTCCCTACTCATCTCTGGTCGATCTACGTCAGGCGTCCGCCTGACGTCCTTGGCTCCGTTCACTCGGTTGGTGATCGTGCGGGTCGTAAAATTGTAATCGTAAATTACAGATCCCGTAGACGACACGTAACTGTGACGAGTTCTTCAGATCGTGCTCTCCGAGTCTCCTCCATTTTTGGTCCACAGCTCTGATCAGAGATCTTAAACGATCAGTCATGCTCACGGTAAATAGTCATCACATAATTAAGATAGACAGTGTTCAATAGGTTACTTTTACGATGGATGAAGCATATGGATTATTCTGCATTAAGATTATTTCTATGAATCGTTATTTTCAGTCGGCAGTCAGGGGTATCGCCCGTCGTTCATTCTCCACGTCAAAATGTTCTGCTGTACAGCAGGTAAGACCTTTTATGGTTATTCTCTTGGGAAGATAACATAACCTCATTTCAACATTATCATTCAATCCGCAATGAAAGTGTAGTGTCTTAGTTCATAGCGGAGATAGTTGGCTTTTATAAATATTTTATGCGCCATGTACCGATTGTTAAATTTGAATAAGTAACTAACGATTAGCGAACTGTGGATAGAGAGAGAATTTCAAGAAGGTCAATGAAGGTCATACGTTTATCTAGGAATTCATCTCATTGAACATTTCCTTCGATTTTTATGATGAACGGTGTAATCGTGCGTGACACGTGTGACTATCAGCCTCATAACACGTTATAACATTAGTTATCACTTGTAATTAGTTTTTTTTTTTATTGTGAACATTAGATATTTAGTGTTTGAGTTGGTGTACAAAAGCTGTCTAGATATGCCAATAATGTTTTGAAATATTGGTATAGATGACTGTCAGAGATGCTTTAAACTCGGCATTAGATGAGGAAATGGAGAAGGATGAACGTGTCTTCCTGTTGGGTGAAGAAGTTGCACTGTACGATGGTGCATACAAAGTCTCAAGAGGATTGTGGAAAAAATATGGAGAGAAGAGAGTAATCGACACCCCAATCACAGAAGCAGGCTTCTGTGGTATTGCGGTTGGAGCTGCCATGGTTAGTTTTCAAGACATAAAAACGCTACAGACTGATAAGTGTCATATCAGTCACATAACAAGAATAACGTTTTATCACAGGCTGGGCTTCGACCGGTTTGCGAGTTTATGACCTTCAACTTCTCTATGCAAGCAATTGATCAAATCATCAACTCCGCCGCGAAGACCTTCTACATGTCTGCTGGAAAAGTGAACGTACCAATCGTATTTCGTGGACCCAACGGGGCCGCTGCTGGCGTCGGTGCGCAACACTCACAGTGCTTTGGAGCATGGTACAGCCACTGTCCTGGACTGAAAGTCATCTCGCCGTACAATAGCGAGGATGCCAAAGGTCTTCTGAAGGCTGCGATACGTGATCCGGATCCAGTTGTCGTCCTCGAGAATGAATTATTGTATGGCGTCCAGTATCCCATGTCCGACGAAGCTCTATCAAAAGACTTCGTTCTTCCAATAGGCAAGGCTAAGATTGAACGCGTTGGCAAGCACATTACTCTAGTAGCACATTCCAAGGCAGTTGAGCTCGCCCTCGAAGCTGCTAATGAACTTGCTGGAAAAGGTATCGAGGCTGAGGTTATAAACCTTCGTTCATTGAGGCCTCTGGACATCAACACTGTGGTACAGTCTGTAGCAAAGACCCATCATGTAGTCACGGTCGAACAAGGTTGGCCACAGTGCGGTATAGGCGCTGAGATCAGCGCCCGGATCTCTGAGAGTAAGTAGATTTAATATTATTGTTCGAAGTAAATGAGCTTTAATCGTTATATATAATTCTAGGCGAAGCTTTCTTTCATCTGGATTCTCCAGTGATCAGAGTCACTGGCGTAGACGGACCTATGCCTTACACAAAATCGCTGGAAGCTGTTGCACTGCCACAGACGCCCGACGTCATTCTTGCCGTCAATAAAGTCTTAGGCGTATCCCAATAGACACTGCCGTAGTGAATTAGACGCATTCATCGTTCCTTGATCCCTTTCTCCCACAGATCATTAATCCCTAGGTCCCTAACAATCATCTGATCACGACGTCCTCTACCCAGGGGGCAAGTACAAACTTGCTAATAACTATAAACCGACTAGCATCGATTCGAGAAGTAAATGAAGAATAATAATTTATTAATGTTATTGAGGAATTCCCTTGTATAACGCTGAATTATGAGGTTTGTCGACTCCATCGATCATTCATGCTCAGTCAGTAATGATTATCAGATTGCAAGGTGATCTCGATTGATCGAAGTGTCTTGTGTAAAGTCTTAAAAACTATTAAAGCAATCGGGAGTGGTGCATTGCACTATAGCAAAACTAGTACGTTTTACCGTAGGGTTTGTGTTTTGAGTTATTGAATTTAATTACAAGGAATTCATAACTTAGGGCTTCAGTCAAATAATCTTGATCGGTTTGAGATACAAGTACAATCAACCGAGCCTACCAGGCTGTTTCGTATTTATAGCAATGTTGCTAAATAAATCGAATATCAAGATGTTACAAATGTCCAATGAGAGTAATACGTATTGTATAAATGTACATGATGATACGACAATGACAGACAACATATGTGAGTTTATGTTCAGTAAGAGATGAGCATACAACTGTGCTGCATTCGTCTATTAATTATTTATTATATGAAATGAATAAATTGTAATATACGATTTACCGTACTTCTTTTACAGCCTATCACTCATTAATTCTTCACAGATACTGGATTCTCCTCGGATACTGTTAGTCACGTATGGTACATACGTAATAAGCAGCTTGTTACTACTTTCATGTAGCGATCAAACGCATCTCTCACATCTCCTCTGGAATATTTAATTTTGAAACTGTATGATTTTATTTAGATGGTTTTTCTTTCATCTCATACCTTAGCACATCCATGTCCAGTGCGCATTGAGTGTAGGCTCCAAGGAAATTACGAAGATCGGTATGGGACCAGTTGACCTGTCTCCAGGGTTCGATACAACGCTCGACTAATTCCAAGAAGAAGAACCTTAACTCTCGTGAACGATGCAGATTGCATGCGATACCTAACATTGATCTAGAGTAGGAACGGAAATTACTGTCCAGTTCTTGATATGATTTTTCAAGAAGCGTTGGCTTTAATTTAATGCACACCAAACTGAAAATATGATCATCACTGTCATTTATAATTCATGTAAACTGGATAAAGGATACTTACTGCTTGTGGTGCTTGTCGTTTTCCAGTAATATTCTACAGTCGGACAGTTCCATGAGAAACTCTCTATCTAGGTCTGTGTCAAAATATTCTGAGCCTGTGTAACGATATGTCCATAATGACATCATACTGTAAGCACAGTGATAAAGATCTGGAAATGTTAGGAACTGCAGTTTTCTTTTATTCATTTCAAATCGGAGACATGCTATGAATACTACAGCTGCGTATCTCCTGTTGAATATTTAAAATTTACAGTTACATGTAAATTATACAGAGTTGATTGATTTTTTAGGTTACATACTTGGCTAGGTCTTCGGGAAGTAGAAAGTGTTGCTTTATATTAGCAACTAAGGAGCCTGGTAAATCTTCAACGACCTTAAAGACACGTTTAACATTGTCATATTGCCTTCGACAACTTTTAAGCGTAACACCAGTTTTCTCAGACACTTCATCCATGTCCTTTCTACTTTTGGATGTTAATTTCTTGCCCAGTAACTCACGTACGACTGCATCATCACATTCATAATACCTGTCAAAGCACAAGAAGAAACTACTCAAAGATTCTCCTTGTGTATAATAATATAACTTAACCTCATCGCCTTACATTTCAATCAGCATATGACTAGTTTGTGGTTCAATTTGAAAGGCTAGCTGCTCACTAGCAAGTTTTGTAGGTGTATGTAGTAACCTTTCCAAGAGGCAATAGGTACGATAATGATCCAGAACGTCAGATGCAATAAGTTCAATAGAAGCATTGGCTTGTTGGCAAATGCCTCTTTGTTGCAAAATGCTAACAGCATCACTGGCTAATAAGAAATAAAGAATAATCCATCATTTCACCAATATCAAGTTGTATTATCACCCATTTACATTTAATCGTAACAATTACTCAGTATCAGCAACAAAAAATATATTGTTTTTCGACGTGAAAAGTTCAGTGTTGGAAATTAACCTTAAGTCTGATCTATCTGTCAATTTAAATTATCTGAGACCAAGCAATTAATATCAAGGCCACCAAAACAGCATAATCAACAATGATGAATCCTCGTATAAAATATTTTACCAAAAACAATGTTACTGATATTCAAGTGCTACACATAGTTGAATACATCAATGTATTTCCTGTTAAACTCACATGAATATCCATCCACCCAAAGTTGATAAACTTCTGGATCAACCAACGTATAATTACTAATAAATACATCGACCTCAGACAACATTTTACAAGTTAATTCAGTGCAGTCTTTTCTTTATCTTGTATTAAGTCTGATCGTATTGACGCACTGTTATACACTTATTTCACATTCTTAAAATGTTTACCAAACGTCGTTGATAAAATTCATGTCATCAAGAATCTTTCAGAAACTCACATCAGAGATGAGTAGGGAGATGTACAACGCTACGGTTTTAGGCGATACCAAAAACATGGCGCTGAATTTCAGCAGCGAGTCCGGAAGTAGAGTTATGTGATCATAGCCTCCGTCGATAATGCGGAACCTGGCGTAGCCGAGCTAACCGCGATCACGAAAGTGTAGCTTGCCGGGCAGAGTCCTTCGCTACTTATCGCTGGTTCCCAAAACAACACGTAGAACGAGACACCTCATTGGACATAGCCTATAGTATATTGTGCACCGAGAGCGTTTCTGCGCCGCGTATAAAGTTGAGGTTCCCGAGGCGGAGCCGAGGGGTTCTTGAAGAAAATACTTCTTTTCTTTGCAATCCTAAATTCAATCGCACAGTGTAAGCTCGGTAAGTTTAATATGACAAAAGCAAGCAACTCATGCCTGCCTGCACTGAAGCGTATGATGCCACCAGCATATTTAATACATATTTTAACGATGTTGCGTAGCAGAACGATTGTTAAAACCTATCAGGAACTATAGAACTCCTCGACAACTTTTCAAAAAGCCTATTGTTGAAACATTATTTTCGGGTTTTTAAATAGTTCTCAAGGAGTTCTATAGTTCCTGATAGGTTTTAACAATAGTTCTGCGTGGCCCTATGGCAATTCGATCTGTGCCAGCCTCTTCTATGGACCATTCTGAGTTTCTACACTAAAAGATCTTTAAAAATTTCAACGAGAAATCCGTAGATCCAACCGTTTGCGAGATATAGCCCGCCGAAGGTGAAGTTCCGCGTATCTTCAGAATCCAAGAACGGGGATTCCTTGTACGTGGCCCTATCTTTGACTTTTAACATTGTTCTTATATAATTAATAAATTGGGAGTACTCACCGGAGCTGGTGCAGCTAATCCGAGAAGGCCGAGAACCGTATCCAGAGGACACTCGGGTGGGCACTTCACTAGGTCACAGCACTACACGTCCGGAACACGCACGAGAAATCCATAAAATTTCCTGGATATCGCGAAAGAAACGCGAGAACTACACGAGCGAGAACTTTCTATACCGTAGCGAAACACAGATAGAAAGAGATGTATTCGCGACGCACTTACTCAAACGTATCAATTCACTACGTCACACTTTTTTTTCGTAAATAAAGGTAAAGGACACAGAGTATAGAATGAGATGACATGAAATGGGCTGAAGGCCCGAGGCGAAGAACCTCAAAGAAATGATTTTGAGGATACTGATAGGGAATGGTTGTTACAGA